CAAAGACTTGTGGTGTAGTACAGTTCTGGCAAAGACTTGTGGTGGGGTACAGTTCTGACACTGACTTGTGGTGGGGTACAGTTCTGACACTGACTTGTGGTGGGGTACAGTTCTAGCAAAGACTTGTGGTGTGGTACAGTTCTGGCAAAGACTTGTGTTGTGATACAGCTCTAGCAAAGACTTGTGGTGTGATAAAGTTCTGACACTAACTTGTGGTGGGGTACAGTTCTGACACTGACCTGTGGAGTTGTACAGTTCTGACACTGACTTGTGGTGTGTTACAGTTCTGGCAAAGACTTGTGGTGTAGTACAGTTCTGGCAAAGACTTGTGGTGTGTTACAGTTCTGGCAAAGACTTGTGGTGTAGTACAGTTCTGGCAAAGACTTGTGGTGGGGTACAGTTCTGACACTGACTTGTGGTGGGGTACAGTTCTGACACTGACTTTTGGTGGGGTACAGTTCTAGCAAAGACTTGTGGTGTGGTACAGTTCTGGCAAAGACTTGTGTTGTGATACAGCTCTAGCAAAGACTTGTGGTGTGATAAAGTTCTGACACTAACTTGTGGTGGGGTACAGTTCTGACACTGACCTGTGGAGTTGTACAGTTCTGACACTGACTTGTGGTGTGTTACAGTTCTGGCAAAGACTTGTGGTGTAGTACAGTTCTGGCAAAGACTTGTGGTGTGTTACAGTTCTGTCAATGACTTGTGGCAAAGACTTGTGGTGGGGTACAGTTCTGACACTGACTTGTGGTGGGGTACAGTTCTGACACTGACTTGTGGTGGGGTACAGTTCTAGCAAAGACTTGTGGTGTGGTACAGTTCTGGCAAAGACTTGTGTTGTGATACAGCTCTAGCAAAGACTTGTGGTGTGATAAAGTTCTGACACTAACTTGTGGTGGGGTACAGTTCTGACACTGACCTGTGGAGTTGTACAGTTCTGACACTAACTTGTGGTGGGGTACAGTTCTGACACTGACTTGTGGTGGGGTACAGTACTGACACTGACTTGTGGTGGGGTACAGTTCTGACACTGACTTGTGGTGGGGTACAGTTCTGACACTGACTTGTGGTGGGGTACAGTTCTAGCAAAGACTTGTGGTGTGGTACAGTTCTGGCAAAGACTTGTGTTGTGATACAGCTCTAGCAAAGACTTGTGGTGTGATAAAGTTCTGACACTAACTTGTGGTGGGGTACAGTTCTGACACTGACCTGTGGAGTTGTACAGTTCTGACACTGACTTGTGGTGGGGTACAGTTCTGACACTGACTTGTGGTGGGGTACAGTTCTAGCAAAGACTTGTGGTGGGGTACAGTTCTGACACTGACTTGTGGTGGGGTACAGTTCTGACACTGACTTGTGGTGGGGTACAGTTCTGACACTGACTTGTGGTGGGGTACAGCTCTGACACTAACTTGTGGTGGGGTACAGTTCTGACACTAACTTGTGGTGGGGTACAGTTCTGACACTAACTTGTGGTGGGGTACGGTTCTGACACAGACTTGTGGTGGGGTACAGTTTTGACACTAACTTGTTGTGGGGTACAGTTCTGACACTGACTTGTGGTGGGATACATTTCTGACACTGACTTATGGTGGGGTACAGTTCTGATATTGCAAACACACTGGCCGAGCGCCTTTATTCTGACCTGTACACAGAACCTTTGATTGGTTGATAACACTCTGGCGTTGGTAAGATCTATTGGTCTGGCTGGAGTTGGAGGTAATTACTTTAGTCATGTACAGGGGAATGGTGTCTATTGGTCCCAGGACAGATTTATTCTTGGCTCCTGTAGTTAGTCTACATGTCTTTAGTCCATCTCCAGTCAGGTCATAGTAATTACTGGTTACCTAATATGAGTCAACTGGTCTCCTCTCTATTAGCCCAACCCTGTATTTGAATGACATCAAATTTATTGATTAAGATACTTGATGCTAGTAGGAGGTAGATAGTCTTGTATAACTGGCCTCTTATTCCACACCATCTCTCTGTTATACACATAGTTCAAGGAAATATTGTGACAGTAATTAGATGTTCTACTAACCTTATTGACTAATTTCACTTAGACATTCTGTGAGGTCGGTCAGTTTGTCATAAACCAGTCTCCTATAGCTTTGTACAGATTGAAAGTGAAATGTCTAGTCAGATCACAACTCACCATCAGAGGAAAACAGAGTGTAAGATCAGGTCTTATCACAGGTTTGATGGGTGAGGTCAGATAGTGAGTATGAGATGAGGTCACATCACAAGGTCGATGGGTGAGGTCAGATAGTGAGTATGAGATGAGGTCTCATCGCCAGGTCGATGGGTGAGGTCAGATAGTGACTCACCTTGAGGACTCCCAAATTCCTTGACTTTTTTTAAGTTGAGCAAGTAACTCACCATCTGGATTTACCATCAGGTTAGCTTGAGATTAGGTTATCTCTGGAGTCATTGTGAAGTTAGGTAGTTGTTCACCTTCTGGACTTTATATTTGGAGAGCTCTCTTCAGTCACTATAGAATAAATAGTGTTCAACTCACCTTCTGGAATTACTATTAGAAAAACTGTCATGTCACTGACAAAATCCCTCAAATCATTGAAGTTAGGTAAGAACTCACTTCTGGATTTCTGATATGGGAGCTCTCTAATGTCACTTTGAAGTAATATATTGACTCAACTTCTGAATTTACTATTAGGGGTGCTGTCTTGAGTCAATGTTTAGCTCTTGCAATTCACTTAGCATTAGGAATTGACTTGCCTTGTTGACTTGATATTGTTTTTTTAGCCATCTGTTTGTCTATTGTAAACTTTAATCTTGTCCATAACTATTGCACCGTAAGAGGGAGGGCTTTCATATTTGGCATGTGTTTATTTTTCTGACGAGATCTTTTTGTTGGTACCAAACATTTTAACTATGTGACCTTGACTGTGACATTTGAAATAAAAAAAAACATTACCACAATAAAGACAGTGTTTCACAAAGTGTGCATGCAATTAACACATGCCTTTCACAGTACAGTTTTAATGTCCCACTTCAGAATTCAGTTGTAACCGGGGGCATAGTGTTTCATAAACACATCTTGTTGATGTATTAAAAACCGAAGAAAAAATATTGTTGGAAATAACTCACTACAAATGGCCATTTTCTCATTTATGTTCTTAAGTACTGTCATTGAAAATAATTCTTTGTAATGAGCAGAGATTCTCAAAAAAGTGATTATTTTGCCTGCACAACCATTCCTGTTTAAATCTTTATGTCTCTAATCAATATGTCTTTGATTTCCCTGCCACCTTTACCATAGAGTCGACATATCACTGAATATTGATTCATAACTTTCTCTTGATTCTGCTGGACTTTTTTGTCACCTACAATGTAATCCACTTTCCTAATCAATAGAACAGCTCAGTGGTAGAGACAGCTAATTATTACACATGATCAGTAACTGTGGTATGGGCTGCTGATGTTGATCACTACTCAGGTCATCTAGTGCTACATTATCAATCATGTGCCCTCACAGGTACTCTGTAGTACACTGTACAGCTTAAGGTCACAGGTGATAAATACTGATATATACACTGTATAGCTGAAGGTCAGAGGTAATATCTTCTCTAAAAATGTAAATCTAAAGGTCTGGGGTAATTCATACCTAATATACAATGATCTGAAGGTCAGAGGTGATACATACTTAATATACAGTGATCTGAAGGTCAGGGGTGATATCTTATCTAAAATGTAAATCTAAAGGTCAGGGGTGATACATACCTAATAAACATTGATCTGAAGGTCTGGGGTAATACATACCTAATATACAATGATATGAAGATCGAGGGTGATACATACCTAATATACAATGATATGAAGGTCAAAGGTTATACATACCTAATATACAATGATCTGAAGGTCAAAGGTTATACATACCTAATATACAATGATCTGAAGCTCGAAGGACATACAAACCTAATATACAATGATCTGAAGGTCAGGGGTGGTACATACCTAATAAACATACCTAATATACATATCTGAAGGTCAGGGGTGATACATACCTAATATACAATGATCTGAAGGTCAGGGGTGATACATACCTAATATACAGTGATCTGAAGGTCTGGGGTAATACATACCTAATATACAGTGATCTGAAGGTCAGGGGTGATACATACCTAATATACAGTGATCTGAAGGTCAGGGGTGATACATACCTAATATACAGTGATCTGAAGGTCAGGGGTGATACATACCTAATATACAGTGATCTGAAGGTCTGGGGTAATACATATCTAATATAAAATGATCTGAAAGTCAGGGGTGATATCTTATCTAAAATGTAAATCTAAAGGTCAGGGGTGATACATACCTAATATACATTGATGTGAAGGTCGAGGGTGATACATACCTAATATACAATGATCTGAAGCTCGAAGGTCATACATACCTAATATACAATGATCTGAAGGTCAGGGGTGATACATACCTAATATACAATATACAGTGATCTGAAGGTCAGGGGTGATATCTGATCTAAAATATAAATCTAAAGGTTAGGGGTGATACATACCTAATATACATTGATCTGAAGGTCTGGGGTAATACATACCTAATATACAATGATCTGAAGGTCAAAGGTTATACATACCTAATATACAATGATCTGAAGGTCAGAGGTGATACATACCTAATATACAGTGATCTGAAGGTCAGGGGTGATATCTTATCTAAAATGTAAATCTAAAGGTCAGGGGTGATACATACCTAATATACAATGATCTGAAGGTCAAAGGTTATACATACCTAATATACAATGATCTGAAGCTCGAAGGTCATACATACCTAATATACAATGATCTGAAGGTCAGGAATGATACATATCTGATATAGAATGTATATCTAAAAGTCATTTTGACAGATACTAATATGCAATGTATACCTGAAGGTCAGGGGTGAAAGTTTTGACTCCAAATTTTTAATGTTTTAACAAATGATAGCAAGTTTATTTTCACTGTAAGCTTATCTTTTTGCAGAAACTGCTGTCGCCAAACTCCAGAATAACCATGTGGACATAGGCCACCCACGACATCTTGCTGCCACAAATGACCAGGTGAGTGCTGCTCTCACATAGATAGACATGCTACCTTACTGTCCTCACAAAGTTTTCCATGCTGACATTTTGCCCTCATACAGTTAGACATATTACCTTACTGTCCTCACACAATTGGACATGCTGCCTTACTGCCCTCACACAATTGGACATGCTGCCTTACTGCCCTCACACCATTGGACATGCTGCCTTACTGCCCTCACACCATTGGACATGCTGCCTTACTGCCCTCACACAATTGGACATGCTGCCTTACTGCCCTCACACAGTTAGACATGTTTCCTTATTGTCCTCACACAGTTATAAGTATTACCTTACATGTGATGGGGGATGATGATCATCAAATGTCCTGCTGTGTAAACATTGCATGACACATTGATTCAATACAAAAGACACAGTAGCTATTTTATGAGTCGACCAACCATGGAGATTCGAGATCCTTAGTGCTCCAGGAGGATATTACAGATTTATTGGTTTTTTTATTGCCTTGGATTGAGAACATTTCTGCTGGTTCCTTTTTGCAAACTAAAACTGTTTGAACAAAAAATTACATTTTGTATAACTTCATTTTTGTCAGGTACATTAGTCTAACTGAGTTGTATAAAATGGCTGAAGACCTATCCTTGTGTTCTCTGACATAAGACATGACAGTAGACTGGTCCTTGTGTTCTCTGTCATCACACATGACTGTAGACATGTTCCTGTGTTCTCTGACTGAAGACATGGTTGCTGACATGCCCATGTGTTTTCTAGCAGAAGACATGACTGTCAACCTATCCTTTTGTTCTCTTTGACATAAGACATGACTATAGGCCTGTCCTTGTGTTCTCTGACATAAGACATGACTATAGACCTGTCCTGGTGTTCCCTGACATAAGACATGACTATAGACCTGTCCTTGTGTTCTCTGACATAAGACATGACTATAGACCTGTCCTTGTGTTATCTAACATAAGACTTGATTATAGACCTGTCCTGGTGTTCTCTGACATAAGATGTGACTGTAGTCCTGACTTGGTGTTCTTTGACATAAGACATGACTAGACCTGTCCTCTGGTGTTCTCTGACATAAGACATGACTGTAGACATGTCCTGGTATTCTCTGACATAAGACATGACTGTAGTTCTGTCCTGGTGTTCTCTGACATAAGACATGACTGTAGTTCTGTCTTGGTGTTCTCTGACATAAGACATGACTATAGTTCTGTCTTGGTGTTCTCTGACATAAGACATGACTAGACCTGTCTTTGTGTTCTCTGACATAAGACATGCCTGTAGACCTGTCCTGGTGTTCTCTGACACAAGACATGCCTGTAGTTCTGTCTTGGTGTTCTCTGACATAAGACATGACTGTAGACCTGTCCTGGTGTTCTCTGACATAAGACATGACTGTAGTTCTGACTTGGTGTTCTCTGACATAAGACATGACTGTAGACCTGTCCTCTGGTGTTCTCTGACATAAGACATGACTGTAGACATGTCCTGGTATTCTCTGACATAAGACATGACTGTAGTTCTGTCCTGGTGTTCTCTGACATAAGACATGACTGTAGTTCTGTCCTGGTGTTCTCTGACATAAGACATGACTGTAGTTCTGACTTGGTGTTCTCTGACATAAGACATGACTGTAGACCTGTCCTGGTGTTCTCTGATATAAGACATGCCTGTAGTTCTGTCTTGGTGTTCTCTGACATAAGACATGACTGTAGACCTGTCCTGGTGTTCTCTGACATAAGACATGACTATAGACCTGTCCTTGTCTTCTCTGACATAAGACATGACTGTAGTTCTGTCCTGGTGTTCTCTGACATAAGACATGACTTTAGTTCTGTCTTGGTGTTCTCTGATGTAAGACATGACCTTGTATTAGCTGATGTAAAACATTACGATTTCCCTCATGTAGTGGTGTTTGACAAAAGGTATAATTGACTTTAAGATTTTTTTCTTTGTTGTATCAGTAGTTGTATCATATACACCATGTAGATTGCCTGCCTGACCTATAGCATCAGCAGGAGGTATATTCATTTGGGAATAGGTTTTGCTGTGAAACGATTGAGTTCTGATATAAGAGGATAGATGGTGTAGTCAGCAGAAGGTGAAGTAGCTTATGTAGGCACCACTGTTTTGTTCTGCTGATGATCAAATTACAGTGCCCATTTTACAAAACTCAATATCTTTTGGCAAATTGCATATCTAAAATTGGTATCTTGTGCCAGCACCAAGTATGATTTACTGTCTCCAATCTTCCAGACTCTCACAGCCAAATGACCCCAGTTGACCTCCTGACAGATTACTGTCAGATGCTTCAAATGCTGCTGTCATTCATGAAAACTTGCTCAGCTGTCAGACTGACTTGGCTGACACCAGATTTATCCCGTGATACCAATGTTTTATGGTTTTTTTTCTTCCCGGTGTGTGTTATAGAATCAAACTATACCAGGCAACCAAGATGTAATTTTATGAAATTTTAACTTTTAAAGTCAGAAGAATATGATACATTGGGAGAAAACAACATTCTTAAAGTCTTAAGATTATGGCAACATTCCTGGATGAATATCACGTGATATTCAATTGGTATCCATCCAGGAACATTGACACAATCTTAGACTTTAGTGTTGGTATCATATTGTCCTTGTTTGAGTTTGTGGAGAGCCCCTGCATCCCTCAAGGGATCTACTGAAACCAACCAAAAGGAACTGATTGGAGGACTAGATTCTAAAAGGACTGCAAACCGGTACCTCAGGGGAGGATATCAACCCACCCCGAGATGAACCGAAAAAATAAGCTGCGGAGCGAATCGCCAGACTTTCAAGAAACGTACTGTGAAGTGATATTTGACGAACATTCTTAAACATTGACTTTATACAGTTTTATCACTAATTAGAGCCGCAGAAAATGAACCCGCTTGCCTATTATACTGCAGGCCAACTGCTTTGCAAAAAGATCATTTCCTCGATTGCAAGACCAACACTGGACACTAGAATCCTAAAACTTTGATGGATTTATAAACTTAGCACCATGATACTTTCATTTTCTATGACTGACTTCCAATAGGGTATAACTACAAGTTTATAAACCTACATTGTGTATCTAAAGTAAGTTTTTAAATTCACTTAATTAGATCAATAGTTTAACAATAAACATTGACTGAAGATTTCACACCCGAGATATTTGTTATGTACACTATTTAGGAAAATTACTAGACCACTAGATTTTCTATTGATTTCAATTTTATCCAGAATAGCTCAATTGTTAAAAAGACAATTTTCCTAATATTTATGTGCCATAATGTTAACTAGCTTTTATATGTGTTTGAATATAAGTTAATCAGTTAACAAGAATACACTGCTGCTGATAATGGAATAACACAGTTAATTACCTGGTAGTCCTTAGATAATTAAGCTGTCAAAATATATTATGTAACCATAAAATCTCCATGTTTAACATAACAACCGTAACCATCTAGAATGCAAAACTGTACTTCAGGACACACTTAAGTTGTATAAGACTTACTGATAACAGTCGCGTAGTAGTGGAAACATGTTGATGATACCGTCACCGTAATAAACAACGAAACTGCTCATGGATGTTGAGAATCCTTTGTCTACAACTTTAAAGCCTGTAAGAGGCAAAGACTAGAACAGAATTGTACATTGATCTTTAAAGGACTTCTTCATTAGGTATTGAAAGCGGACTTCCAACCTTATGTAGCGGACTTCCAACCTTATGTATTGGTTGTTGTGTAAAAATCATTGTTGCCTGAAAAAGGGTCAAGGGCCAGTTAGAGAAAATTAGGGAAGATCAATGTAGCCTGATGGCAGGCCATAAAGGGTTTAACTAAAGTGGACAGTGAGGCGGGGCAAAAATTGAGAAATTCATGGAAGGTAATTGTGGACAGAGAGGCAAAGCCAAAATTTAGAAAATTTGGGAATATCATTGTGGACAGGGGGCATATCAATATAGACAGAGGGGCTGGGCATATTAGAGAAAATAAGGGGATATCATAAATATATGGTTTGGCAAATTAGAAAAAAGTTAGGGGATATCATTATAGACAGAATAGCTGGGCAAGTTAGAGAGAATAAAGGTTAAAGTAAAGTGGACAGATGCAGGGCCATATTGAAAACATTCGAATAAAATCATTGTGGACAGAGAGACAGGACCAAACGGAGAAAATAATGGTTCGTTTATTTTTGGCACCTTAGCTTTATTGATGAAACCCTGAAGCTCAGACCTCTGTTTTTTAGGACCTATATATTGCTGCCTTAGCCTGTTACAAGGTGAGACTTGATAATGTGAGGTTGAAAGGCCAGGTTTTAAGGTTTCCGGGCTGGAGGATACGTTTGCAAAAGCTGTTAGTTTTCAGTCTCATTTTTGCAAGCTTGTGGACAGCTTGACAGTCTGAATTAAGTTCCTCACAAGCTTCATTACTAACCTGCATATAGCTTCCAAACAGTTAAATGAACTTACAACAAGTTTGTCACAAGCTTCATACTAACCTGCATATAGCTTACAAACAGTCAAATGACTTTACAACATGTTTGTCACAAGCTTCATACTAACCTGCATATAGCTTACAAACAGTCAAATGACTTTACAACAAGTTTGTCACCAGCTTCATACTAACCTGCATATAGCTTACAAACAGTCAAATGACCTTACAACAAGTTTGTCACAAGCTTCATTACTAACCTGCATATAGCTTACAAACAGTCAAATGACTTTACAACATGTTTGTCACAAGCTTCATACTAACCTGCATATAGCTTACAAACAGTCAAATGACTTTACAACAAGTTTGTCACAAGCTTCATACTAACCTGCATATAGCTTACAAACAGTTAAATGACCTTACAACAAGTTTGTCACAAGCTTCATTACTAACCTGCATATAGCTTACAAACAGTCAAATGACCTTACAACAAGTTTGCCACACGCTTCATACTAACCTGCATATAGCTTACAAACAGTCAAATGACCTTACAACAAGTTTGTCACACGCTTCATACTAACCTGCATATAGCTTACAAACAGTTAAATGACCTTACAACAAGTTTGTCACACGCTTCATACTAACCTGTATATAGCTTACAAACAGTTAAATGACCTTACAACAAGTTTGTCACAAGCTTCATACTAACCTGCATATAGCTTACAAACAGTCAAATGAACTTACAACAAGTTTGTCACACGCTTCATACTAACCTGCATATAGCTTCCAAACAGTCAAATGAGCTTACAACAAGTTTGTCACACGCTTCATACTAACCTGCATATAGCTTACAAACAGTTAAATGACCTTACAACAAGTTTGTCACACGCTTCATACTAACCTGTATATAGCTTACAAACAGTTAAATGACCTTACAACAAGTTTGTCACAAGCTTCATACTAACCTGCATATAGCTTACAAACAGTCAAATGAACTTACAACAAGTTTGTCACACGCTTCATACTAACCTGCATATAGCTTCCAAACAGTCAAATGAGCTTACAACAAGTTTGTCACACGCTTCATACTAACCTGCATATAGCTTACAAACAGTTTAATGAACTTAACAACACGTTTGTCACAAGCTAACAGCAAGCTGTTTGGGGATAGCTGTTATAACCGTCATAGTTTTTAATCACATACCATTCCATTTAATGAACAGATGGAAATGTTATTTCTGACTTTATCTTTTTTCAAGATGGAACTGACTGGCGCTGGACTTGATGATGGAATTCTGATTTACAACCGAATCCCCAAGACAGGCAGCACTTCCTTTGCTGGAATTGCATATGACCTCTGTAAACGCAATAAATTTCATGTCCTTCACGTCAACACTACAAAGAATGCTCACATCCTGTCACTGTCTGATCAGGTATGCCTCATGATCTTACTTTTTTTCTTTGGTTTGTGTTCAATTGTCATTATTGTGTGTGAAATTGTCATCATTTTATGTAAAATTGTAATCATTTCATGTGAAACTGTCATCATTTTATGTGAAATTGTCATCATTCTGTGTGAAATTGTCATCATTCTGTGTGAAATATTTGAGGGAGAATTAAGGTCTCCAATTTCAGATGAAACAATGAAGAAATGAACATGTGTTAGCTTGAGGGAGAATTTGGATCTTTGATTTCTTATGATACAAAGAAGAAATGAGCATGTGAAAGGTTTATTGAGAATTAGGTCTCCAATTTCTGAAAAAACAAAGAAGGAATGAACATGTGGAAAGTTGAGGGAGAATAGAGATCGTTAATTTCTGATGAAAAAAAAGATGGGTGAATATGTGGAAAGTTGAAGGAGAATTAAGGTCCCCAATTTCTCAAGAAACAAAGAAGGAATGAACATGTGGAAAGTGGGGGAAGAATTAGGGACTTCTATTTCTTGTGAAACTTCCTGTGGTGATAGGTGTCTAATCTAGATAAACAGAAAATCATTTGCTGATGGCAGAGCATTCATCTTTTTAGGTTACAAGTCACCATATTGAGCATGCAGTTGGTTTTGATAAAGGGTAATTGAGTTATTTGAAAAATTGATTCAATAATTACTGTGACTCACTTTCATGGTCATAGGAGTCGGAAAAAACCAGGAGACTAAAAGTTATGGTGTTGGATTTCTTGGTTGGTATGCTGAAGGAGTTTCAAAAATTTATTTCTCACAGAAAAAATATCAATGTAGGTTGTTATGTCAGACTGTTTCTATATGTTTCACCCCTTTGTTATGTCAGACTGTATCTATATGTGTCACCCCTTTGTTATGTTAGACTGTTATCTATGTTTCACCCCTTTGTTATGTTAGACTGTATCTATATGTTTCACCCCTTTGTTATGTTAGACTGTATCTATATGTTTCACCCCTTTGTTATGTCAGACTGTATCTATATGTTTCACCCCTTTGTTATGTTAGACTGTTATCTATGTTTCACCCCTTTGTTATGTTAGACTGTATCTATATGTTTCACCCCTTTGTTATGTTAGACTGTATCTATATGTTTCACCCCTTTGTTATGTTAGACTGTATCTATATGTTTCACCCCTTTGTTATGTTAGACTGTTATCTATATGTTTCACCCCTTTGTTATGTTAGACTGTATCTATATGTTTCACCCCTTTGTTATGTTAGACTGTTATCTATATGTTTCACCCCTTTGTTATGTCAGACTGTATCTATATGTTTCACCCCTTTGTTATGTCAGACTGTATCTATATGTTTCACCCCTTTGTTATGTTAGACTGTTATCTATATGTTTCACCCCTTTGTTATGTTAGACTGTATCTATATGTTTCACCCCTTTGTTATGTTAGACTGTATCTATATGTTTCACCCCTTTGTTATGTTAGACTGTATCTATATGTTTCACCCCTTTGTTATGTTAGACTGTTATCTATATGTTTCAACCCTTTGTTATGTCAGACTGTTATCTATATGTTTCACCCCTTTGTTATGTTAGACTGTTATCTATATGTTTCACCCCTTTGTTATGTTAGACTGTTATGTATATGTTTCACCCCTTTGTTATGTCAGACTGTATCTATATGTTTCACTCCCTTGTTATGTTAGGCTGTACCTATATGTAACTCATTTCTTTGTTTCCTTCCTTTTCATCCCTTAGACTCATGGTTTTCAGTTTTTTCTGGTAAACAGTATTTTTCATAGTTAAAAAAAGCAATTTAGTAAAAGTTACTACATAATTCCATTTAGTCCTGTATCAGTACGCTAGAAGGAAAATGTCAGAAAATAAAAATTTGTCATTTGATATGGAATAGAAAGTTTGACATGTTGATGATAGTGTATTTGTGCGTGGTTTATTTTACAACTTTGTGTGATTGATTTCTTCAGTCTACATTTTCTGAATCTCTGTTAAGTGATTTGGTAAGTTTCGCTTAATTTCCCTCTATCATGATCCTCTGCCTACGTAGGTAACGTAGCCAGTATACTGTTGTAGTATTAGCGTGTTTGAAACTCGTCCATTATGTTTGTCCTCTGTTTGATCTGTAAAACAGGCTACAGCCCTTACATCATGTTGGTGAAGAGTTTTATGTTTCTGAGGAAACACTTCCCCATTACTGCACAAGATTGTATCTGTTTTGTTCACTGTTAAAATGATTGAATTTGTTACATTATCATCTGTAGAAGGAAATGCAGTGAGTATCATCCACAGTCCTTGACAGTCCTCTCCACAGTCCTCCACAGTCCCTCACAGTCCTCCACAGTTCTCCACAGTCCCAGACAGTCCTCCACACTTCCCCACAGTCCCAAACAGTCCTCCAGTCCTCCACAGTCCTCCACAGTCCTCCACAGTCCCCCACACTTCCCCACAGTCCCAGACAGTGATCCACAGTCCCAGACAGTCCGCCACAGTCCTCCACAGTCCCTGACAGTCCTGCACAGTCCTCCACAGTCCCAGACAGTCCTCCAAAGTCCTCAACAGTCCTCCACAGTCCCAGACAGTCCTCCACACTTTTCCCCACAGTCCCTGACAGTCCTCCACAGTCCTCTACAGTCCCCCACACTTCCCCACAGTCCTCAACAGTCCCAGACATTCCCCACACTTCCCCACAGTCCCAGACATTCCTCCACACTTCCCCACAGTCCCTGACAGTCCTCCACAGTCCTCAATAATCCCAGACAGTCCTCCACACTTCCCCACATTCCCAGACAGTCCTCCACAGTCCCAGACAGTCCTCCGCAGTCCCTGACAGTGCTCCACAGTCCCTGACAGTCCTCTGCAGTCCCTGACAGTGCTCCACAGTCCCTGACAGTCTTCCACAGTCTCTCACAGTCCCAGACAGACCTCACAGTCCCTCACAGTCCTCCACAGTCCTTAACAGTTCCAGACAGTCCTCCACAGTCTTCCGCAGTCCCAGACAGTCCTCCACACTTCCCCACAGTCCTCAACAGTCCCAGACAGTCCTCCACACTTCCCCACAGTCCCAGACAGTCCTCGCCACTTCCCCACAGTCCCAGACAGTCCTCCACAGTCCTCAACAGTCCCACACAGTCCTCCACCTTCCCCACAGTCCCAGACAGTCCTCCACAGTCCTCCACAGTCCCAGACAGTCCTCCACCTTCCCCACAGTCCCAGACAGTCCTCCACAGTCCTCCACAGTCCCAGACAGTCCTCCATAGTCCTCCACAGTCCTCAACAGTCCCACACAGTCCTCCACACTTCCCCACAGTCCCTGACAGTCCTCCACATTTCCTCACAGTCCCTTACAGTTCCAGACAGTTCTTCAAAGTCCCCCACAGTCATCCAAAGTCCCAAACAGTCCCCCACAGTTCCAGACATACATCCACAGTCCCCCACAAACTCCTACAGTCCCAAACAGTTCCCCATATTATCCCATAGTCCCTATAGTACAGGAATGAGTTCCCCAGAAAGCTCCCAAAGTCCTCACGACAGCTGAATTTATTTTCACTCAGTCCCCCAGACAGCTGGACCTAATTTACTTCTGACTCCCCCAGAAAGCTGGATCTAGTTCATCCACAGTCTCCAGACAGCTGGATCAAGCTTTGCCCATTGCATCCCAGACAGCTTGATGTGGTTTTCCTGCCACATTCCCCCTGACAGCTGGACCCAGTTTTCCCAACAGTCCCCCAGACAGCTGAATCTAGTTTCCTTACTGTCCTTAACAGATTGCCACAGGTCCCTACTGTCCTTAACAGAACCACAACAGATCTCGACTTTCTTTAACAGATTTCCAACAGATCTCTACTGTCCTCAACAGATCCCTGAAAGATCCCTTCTGTCCTTAACCAGAGAATGTGACTAGATTGTCCCATCAGAGAATGTGACTAGATTGGTCAACCAGAAAATGTGACTAGTTTGTCCCTTTAAGGAATGTGACTAGTCTCACCAGAGAAAGTTACATGTTTGTCACAATGAAAAATATGTCTTGGTTTTCCCTGAAAAAAAACAGAACTAGGTCTTTTTTCTTCACTTTCAAGGTCACACAAGTTAAATATGATTAACTCTTTAAGGGATTTTTTCTCAAAAATTAGAAAAAACTAGTCATACTTTGGGTGAAGGGTTTTCAAGTTTGTTAATATGAATGACCTTGGCTCACTTCTAAGATCACAAGCATCAAATGAACTTTCTTTTTTATCTTTTTTTATGCTCCTCAAAGGGAGAACATATAGTTGCTGCTTTATCCATCTGTCCATACATTTATCCATCACTCGTTTTTGCATTATTTAGGAGTTATTGCCCTTTGTTATTTTTCATACTTAAGTTTTTAACTATTCGTGTAGGATAGCCTGCCTTTGACGGCCCTTGGTTTTTTTTTTCGAGGTCACTAATTACCTCATTTTTTATCATTTCAGATGAGATTTGTACAGAACATTACTGAATGGGATTCCATGAAGCCTGCAATGTACCATGGACACTTTGCCTACATTGAGTTTGGAAGGTAGGTTTACCTTATGTTCTATTGCATATGTGGGATTAAAAATTTGATGGACCATATAGCGGGAAAGTTTAACAATTATAACATTTAAATGATTTTGCCTTAAAAAAAAAAGAAAGTCAATATTGAGTGATGGGTTATATTTAGATATTTTAATTTCTCAACTAAAATGATTACCTGGTGATCAAATATACATTATATGGCCTCGCGAGAGCCTGTCAAGGCCTCTAGTCAGTGTCAACTGGAGGGTTATAAAGTCCTAGACTATATGAAGAACAAACACAGCAGCATGAATTGCATGGCTTTATCAGGGTTGTGAACACTGTTCACTGTATCTAGTTTACCAACCAGCATTTTCATCCTGGTGTTGCCAAGCTGCAGGAAAATGATTATTGTACCAGCTGATATTCTTGAATTTTTTTCCCATTGTGTATTAAGTGAAAATCAAAAGAAAATGGCAAAGGATGGAAATTTAGGTATGCTTGAAATGAACAACTTTTGTGATTTAAATTTTGGCGATCTATATGTTAACCTGCCAAGTCACTAAAATAATGCTGCATGAAAATTTCTCCCAATATGGTAACTCCTGAAACTTTCTGCTGCCTTAAACCATGAATCATATCATGAGATCACATACTTGAAAAGAAATTTTTTGTTATTCTGTTCTAAATAGATATTAAAAAAAAACATAGGTAATACTTTGGCGTTCCTATCCTACAACTCTGTGATTTTACTATTCAGGTGTACAGACTCTGTGTGGACGATGTATGCATGTTGAAGACACAATGCACACACAGTGTTACTGATGGGTAGTACAACTCTATGTCTGATGTACAATATAGAAGGCTGAAACAATTATATATAAAGTATCTGAGAGATTTAAGACTTTACCCAATTGTAATCCAGAATGAAGTGTTTCTTCCTACCCCAAAAACTAAATTGGAATGTCACATGACAAGTGATGCTTGATGGTAGCAGTGACAGCGTAGTAGTTAGCCAAGTTTTTATCGTCTATCTAGAATGACTCAAGAATCCATCTCAAAATTATCTCTCCAAATTACACTTTCCTGCTTATAAGAATCATCCATAAAAGGGAAACGCATGATTACAGTGTATATAAGCTGAGGGGAAAATTACATTTAATGGTGAGTTGCAAGTGTTGCCTTAATGCTTGTGAGTCTTAATGCTTGTGAGTTAGTTTATGTTGTGTAGGATTCTTCCCTCTGTTCGAATCTTTTAAACATTTTTTATGTGTCAAAAATTTTGACGGGACGTATTATGTTGTCGCATTGTCTCTCCATCCATACATTGTAAACTTTCGTTTGTGTGTCTATCTCCTCTCCTCATTTTCATCCAATCTTTTTTGAAATTGGTAGACTTAATCACCTTGATATGAACCTGTTTTTCCTGAAAAGCAGTTTGATTAGATAGTGTTTGGAAGAGTTATTGCCCTTTATTGTTTTTATAATGTTAAATCTTGTCTGAAGGTCTCCTCTCTCAGTTTTCAACCAATTTCTTTCAAACTTGGAACTTTTAATCATCATGACATGAAGTTATTTTTTCCTGAAAAGCAGTGTGATTAGATAGTGTTTGGAAGAGTTATTGCCCATTATTGTTTTTGTAATGTTAAATCTTGTCTGAAGGTCTGCTGTCTTAGTTTTCAACCAATTTCTTTCAAACTTTGTAGACTTAATCATCATTATGTTTTTTAATGGCATTGTGATTCTTGAATTTACAATTACAAAATGGAGATCAGCCTTTTTTGAGATATGTCTTCCGTCTGAGCACACGTAAGCAGAAATTTCTTTTAATTTGATCATATTTCAAACCGTTACACTGCCGAATTGTTCATTTTATCATCTTAATTTTGTGTAGAGATTTTTTTTCAGAGTGTTTCAATAACAGAATGAAATATTTGGTGAGAAGTATTCTCGGGTAATGCCATTTTCAAGTTTGCTGAAATTGAATACACTGACAGCCATCTCATTTCAACTACAGAACTAGTTAGCATACAGATCCATTGGGCCTATTGTACTCTGTTGTCCCAAGCTACACTGATAACATTTAAGGGATTGATGGGTACTGTAACGGCCACCAGGTGGCCATCTTGAAGTTTGAAATTTAAAGTAATTGCGTTAGTGTCTTTTCTGGGAATCAAATTTCATAGAAAGGTTTTCATTGTCTATTTATATAACCATAGATACAGAATTTATTGAAGAGGAAAAGAAGAAATATCACAGTTACATAGAACAAAAATATGATTATATGTTGGTGAGTACCAGAATCCCTAATGGATATCTTGTGTATTATGTCTACAACGAGTCGTACAAGACAGGTTTTCTGTGCACTGACATCAGCTATAAATTCATTCATTGTTCAATCATTTCGGTGTAAATTTATGAACCAAAATGTTGAAGAAAAACTTCATTTGTAACTGGTGCTTATAGAATGTGCAGGAGAGGGCAATTTGGTCAGGTACTTGATACAGATTGGCTTCTCTGGAAGAGTTAGATACAAGCCTGTCACATCTAATGGTCAACATTTTCTACAGACCAAGTAGACAGAAAGATTTGTTTATTAGCTGCCTGTACTTCAAACACAGTTGAAATGACAGGAATTCCCAATGCTGTCCACTTACACTACAAGGACATTCATGTCTTTTTGCAAATAGGCCACTTCAAACCAAACAGATTGGTTGAAGAGTTCCAAACTCACTAACCTAAAGTAAGGGAAAACAGTCAAATTCAGTATTGAATCAGGAGAGGTCAGAGATTGTATGGCCTTGTACAGGAGAAAACCTGTGGTCTGTCTGTTATCATTTGTATTTATAAGAGATGCTGGATTTGTTTTAATACTTAAAGGTGTATGAGTCCTGTAAAGGTAAAGATGCACTGTGAGATTAACACAGGTTAGTGGATAAATATCAATCATAGTGTCTAAACATTAACACAACAATAGTACTTCTGGGATATACTCTAATCCTATTCCTATGAATGAGCGAAATCGGATTATAGTTTCACCTCCATGATTGTATAACCTCTAATGTTGCCACCTCCATGATTGTATAACCTCTAGTGTTGCCACCTCCATGATTGTATAACCTCTAGTGTTGCCACCTCCATGATTGTATAACCTCTAATGTTGCCACCTCCATGATTGTATAACCTCTAGTGGTTCCACCTCCATGATTGTATAACCTCTAGTGGTTCCACCTCCATGATTGTATAACCTCTAGTGTTGCCACCTCCATGATTGTATAACCTCTAGTGGTTCCACCTCCATGATTGTATAACCTCTAGTGTTGCCACCTCCATGATTGTATAACCTCTAGTGGTTCCACCTCCATGATTGTATAACCTCTAGTGGTTCCACCTCCATGATTGTATAACCTCTTGTGGTTCCACCTCCATGATTGTATAACCTCTTGTGGTTCCACCTCCATGATTGTATAACCTCTAATGTTGCCACCTCCATGATTGTATAACCTCTAGTGTTGCCACCTCCATGATTGTATAACCTCTCCATGATTGTATAACCTCTAATGTTGCCACCTCCATGATTGTATAACCTCTAGTGTTGCCATGATTGTATAACCACCTCCATGATTGTATAACCTCTAGTGTTGCCACCTCCATGATTGTATAACCTCTAGTGGTTCCACCTCCATGATTGTATAACCTCTAGTGTTGCCACCTCCATGATTGTATAACCTCTAGTGTTGCCACCTCCATGATTGTATAACCTCTAGTGTTGCCACCTCCATGATTGTATAACCTCTAGTGGTTCCACCTCCATGATTGTATAACCTCTTGTGGTTCCACCTCCATGATTGTATAACCTCTTGTGGTTCCACCTCCATGATTGTATAACCTCTAATGTTGCCACCTCCATGATTGTATAACCTCTAGTGGTTCCACCTCCATGATTGTATAACCTCTAGTGTTGCCACCTCCATGATTGTATAACCTCTAATGTTGCCACCTCCATGATTGTATAACCTCTAGTGTTGCCACCTCCATGATTGTATAACCTCTAGTGGTTCCACCTCCATGATTGTATAACCTCTAGTGTTGCCACCTCCATGATTGTATAACCTCTAATGTTGCCACCTCCATGATTGTATAACCTCTAGTGTTGCCACCTCCATGATTGTATAACCTCTAATGTTGCCACCTCCATGATTGTATAACTTCTAATGTTGCCACCTCCATGATTATATAACCCCTAGTGGTTTCACCTCCATGATTGTATAACCTCTAGTGTTGCCACCTCCATGATTGTATAACCTCTAGTGTTGCCACCTCCATGATTGTATAACCTCTAGTGTTGCCACCTCCATGATTATATAACCCCTAGTGGTTTCACCTCCATGATTGTATAACCTCTAGTTTTGCTATCTCTGTTAGGGAATTTCATTGATTCAACACCTGCAGAGAGATTCTTTCTAAATGAATTTTATATTGGTTACAAGAAAAATGAGCATTTTACTGTCCCACTGATTTTAAAGGTTAGGTAGTACAGAGTTGGAACAGATTACAAGCCTTGTCTTCCTGATATAGACCAATCCTGTCTTAGATGTTTCAAATCAGATCAGATGATTGTGCTCTGAAAAGGTCTGCTGATTTGTCATGGTATACAGTATAGATGGAGTGTTAATGATTTCATATGGATGTCATTAGTTTTACGTTACACAACTCTATGCATTTATGCACTTTGTATGTGCTTTTTTTACATTAGTGTTTTAATGTAATGATATAGACATAGTTATGTCAAAGGTCAATGCAAAATACTCAATCATTTCTTTTCAGAGTGATGACTTATAAACTATTAATGCTATATTATCTCTGATACATAAAAAGTATCATCACCGGCCATTGTTTATTGTATTATAATTAAGTCTACTTTTGAGAAACATATGAAACAAAATTAACTAAAATCAAAATTATAAAGCCGCTTGACTACAGAACAAGGTAATCAGGTCAGAGGTCAAATTACCAAAGCCGAGGTCAAACTCAAAACTCAAGACCATTTAATGGTGAATAGTGGGTTGTAATCAAATGTGATTTAAGTTGCCTATTTACATGTAAAGGTCATCAGTTCAGAGGTCAAATTTCCAATGAAGAGGTCAAGCACAAACTCAATATTTCCTATTGAATATTTTGTTTTGACGTTATGAAGTTAAGTTGACCTTTAAATAAGGAGAATCAGGTGTGAACTTACCTACTACAGGTTCAAATATTCCTGTCGTCTTTCACCTGCAGATCTATCATGTTTTATAACAAATTTGGGGAGAGATGTGCATACCTGTAGTTTATCATCAATGCTATATGTGTACCCTAGGATGTGTTAAATTTAAATAGATAAACGAATACGAATGACGATGTTTCCTTCCAGACAATGATGAAGAGGTTTGAAAACTAGTTACTTAAATGGAGAATACCAATTTGGTCTAGAGTTCTGGGAGACCTAATGAAAGTGTCAAGTGTGTACTGTTGGAACATGGTAATGTGTTTTAGCTTGGTATACAATAAACACCAATTTTCCAGGACAATTTAGACTGTTTGTATGCCTGTGTTACTGTGAGGCCAGAGTCTGCACAAGCTCTGGTATTAGACAAGGCCAAATACAGCTGGAGAAAAGTGCATTATTGAACAAGAGCCCAACAAGCTAATGTGTGAGAAGACATGTTTCATGTTCTGCAGGTGTAATATGCAGGTTGATTTTTTTTTGACAAAAGACTGGTAGTTTTCATACAGTGTTTGCATAATTTTTTTCGAAAATCGATAATCATTGATGTAGTTAGTTTGATATATAGGAAGTATTTTAATGCTGACATTCAATCTGTGTTACTACCCATCATTAAGTCTGTTGTTTATTTCTCTATAGTACAAGTATCAAAAACCCTAGCATATCCTCACATACAGATTGACTCCAGTAGATCATGTCTCCAATAGATATTTGACTCCTCCACACACAGATTGGAGGTGATCAGTCCCCCAGTGTGATGGTCCAGTAGATATATGACTCCTCCACACACAGACTGGAGGTGATCAGTCCCCCAGTGTGATGGTCCAGTAGATATATGACTCCTCCACACACAGACTGGAGGTGATCAGTCCCCCAGTGTGATGGTCCAGTAGACGTATGACTCTGGTGTGATGGTCCAGTAGATGTTGGTCTCCTCCACACACACACAGATATATGACTCCTTGGAGGTGATCAGTCCCCCAATGTGATGGTCCAGTAGATGTATGTCTCCTCCACGCACAGATTGTTGGTGATCAGTCCCCTTGTGTGATGGTCCAGTAGACATATGACTTCCCCACACACAGATTGGAGGTGATCAGTCCCCCAGTGTGATGGTCCAGTAGATGTATGTCTCCTCCACGCACAGATTGTTGGTGATCAGTCCCCTTGTGTGATGGTCCAGTAGACATATGACTCCTCCACACACAGATTGGAGGTGATCAGTCCCCCAGTGTGATGGTCCAGTAGATATATGACTCCTCCACACACAGATTGGAGGTGATCAGTCCCCCAGTGTGATGGTCCAGTAGATATATGACTCCTCCACACACAGATTGGAGGTGATCAGTCCCCCAGTGTGATGGTCCAGTAGATATTGACTCCTCCACACACAGATTGGAGGTGATCAGTCCCCCAGTGTGATGGTCCAGTAGATGTTGGTCTCCTCCACACACAGATTGGAGGTGATCAGTCCCCCAGTGTGATGGTCCAGTAGATATATGACTCCTCCACACACAGACTGGAGGTGATCAGTCCCCCAGTGTGATGGTCCAGTAGATCATGTCTCCTCCACACACAGATTGGAGGTGATCAGTCCCCCAGTGTGATGGTCCAGTAGATATATGACTCCTCCACACACAGATTGGAGGTGGTCCCCCAGTGTGATGGTCCAGTAGATATATGACTCCTCCACACACAGTGTGAGGTGGTCCAGTGTGATGGTCCACTCCTCCACACACAGATTGGAGGTAGTCCCCCATGATGGTCCAGTAGATGTATGACTCCTCCACACACAGGTGATCAGTCCCCTTGTGTGATGGTCCAGTAGACATATGACTCCTCCACACACAGATTGGAGGTGCATGAGTCCCAGTAGATGACTCCTCCACACACAGATTGGAGGTGATCAGTCCCCCAGTGTGATGGTCCAGTAGACATATGACTCCTCCACACACAGATTGGAGGTGATCAGTCCCCCAGTGTGATGGTCCAGTAGACATATGACTCCTCCACACACAGACTGGAGGTGATCAGTCCCCCAGTGTGATGGTCCAGTAGATATATGACTCCTCCACACACAGACTGGAGGTGATCAGTCCCCCAGTGTGATGGTCCAGTAGATGTATGTCTCCTCCACACACAGACTGGAGGTGATCAGTCCCCCAGTGTTATGGTCCAGTAGATGTTGGTCTCCTCCACACACAGATTGGAGGTGATCAGTCCCCCAGTGTGATGGTCCAGTAGATCATGTCTCCTCCACACACAGACTGGAGGTGATCAGTCCCCCAGTGTGATGGTCCAGTAGACATATGACTCCTCCACACACAGATTGGAGGTGATCAGTCCCCCAGTGTGATGGTCCAGTAGACATATGACTCCTCCACACACAGATTGGAGGTGATCAGTCCCCCAGTGTGATGGTCAGGTAGATCATGTCTCCTCCACACACAGAATGGAGGTGATCAGTCCCTTTGTGTGATGGTCCAGTAGACATATGACTTCTCCACACACAGATTGGAGGTGATCAGTCCCGCAGTGTGATGGTCCAGTAGACATATGACTCCTCCACACACAGACTGGAGGTGATCAGTCCCCCAGTGTGATGGTCCAGTAGATCATGTCTCCTCCACACACAGATTGGAGGTGATCAGTCCCCCAGTGTGATGGTCCAGTAAATGTTGGTTTCCTCCACACACAGACTGGAGGTGATCAGTCCCCCAGTGTGATGGTCCAGTAAATGTTGGTTTCCTCCACACACAGACTGGAGGTGATCAGTCCCCCAGTGTGATGGTCCAGTAAATGTTGGTCTCCTCCACACACAGATTGGAGGTGATCAGTCCCCCAGTGTGATTGTCCAGTCCACACACAGTGTCCCCCAGTGTGATATGACTCCTCCACACACACAGAGTCCCCCAGTGTGGAGGTGACATATGACTCCTCCACACACAGATTGGAGGTGATCAGTCCCCCAGTGTGATGGTCCAGTAAATGTTGGTCTCCTCCACACACAGATTGGAGGTGATCAGTCCCCCAGTGTGATGGTCCAGTAGATATATGACTCCTCCACACACAGATTGGAGGTGATCAGTCCCCCAGTGTGATGGTCTAGTAGACGTATGACTCTGGTGTGATGGTCCAGTAGATGTATGTCTCCTCCACACACAGATTGGAGGTGATCAGTCCCCCAGTGTGATGGTCCAGTAGATATATGACTCCTCCACACACAGATTGGAGGTGATCAGTCCCCCAGTGTGATGGTCCAGTAAATGTTGGTCTCCTCCACACACAGATTGGAGGTGATCAGTCCCCCAGTGTGATGGTCCAGTAAATGTTGGTCTCCTCCACACACAGATTGGAGGTGATCAGTCCCCCAGTGTGATGGTCCAGTAGATATATGACTCCCTCCACACACACAGTCTCCTCCACACACCAGTGTGATGGTCCAGTAAATGTTGGTTTCCTCCACACACAGATTGGAGGTGATCAGTCCCCCAGTGTGATGGTCCAGTAAATGTTGGTTTCCTCCACACACAGATTGGAGGTGATCAGTCCCCCAGTGTGATGGTCCAGTAAATGTTGGTTTCCTCCACACACAGAATATTGGTGGTCAGTCATCGTTTGATGTTTAATTGCTTCTACAAGAGTGTCTATGTATTATCACTTTCCTACTTCTATGTTAAAACTCAATAGTTTGTAGTGTTTTCTTTGATGAGTTGTCAGATATGATAAGTTCTAGGGTTTAAGTCATGTCTGCCTCTTTGTGTTATTATGATTATGCCTTTAAACTCTTTAAGTTTTAAAACATATCTTTATGTCTTGATTGCCTTGTTTTCCTTTTGACTTCAACAGTTGGTCATCCTCTATTCTGTTCAGATTATTTCAGTGTCGGTATGTTTACAGGTATGGAACACGTAGACAGACACTTTACATCAGTGTCGGTATGTTTACAGGTATGGAACACGTAGACAGACACTTTACATCAATGTCTGTATGTTTACAGGTATGGAACACGTAGACAGACACTTTACATCAATGTCTGTATGTTTACAGGTATGGAACACGTAGACAGACACTTTACATCAATGTCTGTATGTTTACAGGTATGGAACACGTAGACAGACACTTTACATCAATGTCTGTATGTTTACAGGTATGGAACACGTAGACAGACACTTTACATCAATGTCTGTATGTTTACAGGTATGGAACACGTAGACAGACACTTTACATCAATGTCTGTATGTTTACAGGTATGGAACACGTAGACAGACACTTTACATCAATGTCTGTATGTTTACAGGTTTGGAGCAGGTAGACAGACACTTTACATCAATGTCTATATGTTTACAGGTTTGGAGCAGGTAGACAGACACTTTACATCAATGTCTGTATGTTTACAGGTTTGGAGCAGGTAGACAGACACTTTACATCAATGTCTATGTTTACAGGTTTGGAGCAGATAGACAGACACTTTACATCAATGTCTGTATGTTTACAGGTTTGGAGCAGGTAGACGACCACTATACATCAATGTGATTCGTAATCCTCTCCACAGACTTGTGTCCTATTATTACTTCGTACGACATGGCGATGATTTTCGGCCTTATTTAAAGAGAAGAAAAGCAGGAAATAATGAAGTAAGTTGTTTTTTATTACATTTATGTAGGAATACAGCTGTTTAAGAATAAATACCAATCACAGCTATTGTTCCTTTAATATTCAACACAATAGACCAATCACAGCTATTGTACCTTTCATATTCAACACAATAGACCAATCACAGCTATTGTACCTTTCATATTCAACACAATAGACCAATCACAGCTATTGTACCTTTCATATTCAACACAATAGACCAATCACAGCTATTGTTCCTTTCATATTCAACACAATAGACCAATCACAGCTATTGTACCTTTCATATTCAACACAATGGACCAATCACAGGCATTGTTCCTTTCACATTCAACACAATAGACCAATCACAGGCATTGTTACTTTCACAATCAACACAATAGACCAATCACAGATATGGTACCTTTAATATTCAACACAATAGACCAATCACAGTTTTTGTACCTAATATCATTGTGTGTGGGCTGTGACCTGGTGACAGTATAGTGGGCTATTGTAATTTTATGAGCCTACTGAAACAGCTTCCCATATTTCCACATTAGAACTATAGAGTTAAAGAAATGAGAGTGCTGAGTGAGGCTGTCACTGGAATCACTGACAGTTAACTGGCCAAATTGAGATAGACATGTCTGTTCCTAAAGTGAGACTGATACTAATTGTGATTTAGTTTATGTTAGGGCCCTTAACCCCAGCTGTAATAATTACACTCAGTTTAAGTTGCCATGTGAGGATTATTGATTGAGACAGAGAGAAAGATATATTTTGTAAGGTGAGTGTAAGGCTCCATTCTGTAATTGATTGGGATCAGTATTGGCTCACAAAGAAATTTAACAAATTTTAAACAAATGATATCCCCAGTCACCACTTTACTGTCCAACAACTGATATCCCCAGTCACCAATTTACTGTCCAACAAATGATATCCCCAGTCACCACTTTACTGTCCAACAAATGATGTCCCCAGTCACCACTTTACTGTCCAACAAATGATATCCCCAGTCACCACTTTACTGTCCAACAAATGATATCCCCAGTCACCACTTTACTGTCCAACAAATGATATCCCCAGTCACCACTTTACTGTCCAACAAATGATATCCCCAGTCACCAGTTTACTGTCCAACAAATGATATCCCCAGTCACCACTTTACTGTCCAACAAATGATATCCCCAGTCACCACTTTACTGTCCAACAAATGATATCTCATACCACCACTTTACTGTCCAACAAATGATATCCCCAGTCAACACTTTACTGTCCAACAAATGATGTCCCCAGTCACCACTTTACTGTCCAACAAATGATATCTCCAGTCACCACTTTACTGTCCAACAAATGATATCTCATACCACCACTTTACTGTCCAACAAATGATATCCCCAGTCACCACTTAACTGTCCAACAAATGATATCCCCAGTCACCACTTTACTGTCCAACAAATGATATCCCCAGTCACCAGTTTACTGTCCAACAAATGATATCTCCAGTCACCACTTTACTGTCCAACAAATGATATCTCATACCACCACTTTACTGTCCAACAAATGATGTCCCCAGTCACCACTTTACTGTCCAACAAATGATATCCCCAGTCATCACTTTACTGTCCAACAAATGATATCCCCAGTCACCAGTTTACTGTCCAACAAATGATGTCCCCAGTCACCACTTTACTGTCCAACAAATGATATCCCCAGTCACCAGTTTACTGTCCAACAAATGATGTCCCCAGTCACCACTTTACTGTCCAACAAATGATATCCCCAGTCACCACTTTACTGTCCAACAAATGATATCCCCAGTCACCAGTTTACTGTCCAACAAATGATGTCCCCAGTCACCACTTTACTGTCCAACAAATGATATCCCCAGTCACCAGTTTACTGTCCAACAAATGATATCCCCAGTCACCAGTTTACTGTCCAACAAATGATATCCCCAGTCACCACTTTACTGTCCAACAAATGATATCCCCAGTCACCAGTTTACTGTCCAACAAATGATATCCCCAGTCACCAGTTTACTGTCCAACAAATGATATCCCCAGTCACCACTTTACTGTCCAACAAATGATATCCCCAGTCACCACTTTACTGTCCAACAAATGATATCCCCAGTCACCAGTTTACTGTCCAACAAATGATATCCCCAGTCACCACTTTACTGTCCAACAAATGATATCTCATACCACCACTTTACTGTCCAACAAATGATATCCCCAGTCACCACTTTACTGTCCAACAAATGATATCTCATACCACTACTTTACTGTCCAACAAATGATATCCCATACCACCACTTTACTGTCCAACAAATGATATCCCCAGTCACCACTTTACTGTCCAACAAATGATATCCCCAGTCACCACTTTACTGTCCAACAAATGATATCCCCAGTCACCACTTTACTGTCCAACAAATGATATCTCATACCACCACTTTACTGTCCAACAAATGATATCCCCAGTCACCACTTTACTGTCCAACAGATGATATCTCATACCACCACTTTACTGTCCAACAAATGATATCCCCAGTCACCACTTTACTGTCCAACAAATGATATCCCCAGTCACCACTTTACTGTCCAACAAATGATATCCCCAGTCACCACTTTACTGTCCAACAAATGATATCCCCAGTCACCACTTTACTGTCCAACAAATGATATCTCCAGTCACCACTTTACTGTCCAACAAATGATATCTCCAGTCACCAATTTACTGTCCAACAGCCAACAAGTACATCTCAACACACATGACTAACAAACTAATCAAACAGACAGAACTTGTCCACACTTGACTGAATTCCTAACTAACCAATCATGACAGAATATCTCTCCACACTTGACTGAATTCCTAACTAACCAGTCATTACAGAATATCTCTCCACACTTGACTGAATTCCTAACTAACCAATCATGACAGAACATTTCTCCACACTTGACTGAATTCCTAACTAACCAGTCATTACAGAATATCTCTCCACACTTGACTGAATTCCTAACTAACCAATCATGACAGAACATTTCTCCACACTTGACTGAATTCCTAACTAACCAGTCATTACAGAATATCTGTCCACACTTGACTGAATTCCTAACCCATCATGACAGCACATCTGTGAAGACTTGTCTGAACTCCTAACAAACCAGTTTTACCAGAACACCTGTCTACACCTGATGTCCTTAGCTCATAGGACATTAGTGAGACAGAAATGTCTATATATCCATTCTGCTATATGTAGACTGTATCAAACTGTTCAATAGACCAATGGGAACACAGCTGTGCAATAACACAACTTACCAGACTAATAAAGATATTGTTTATTCTTGTCAAAATAGTTATCCTTGTTTATATTGTGTCTAGACAACATATTTATGACAGTGGTTTGTTTCAGATTAATAGATTTCTGAGAAATGCTTGAACTGCTGCTTCATAATCACTCTTTAAAAAGGCTATATAATCGTAACGATAAGATGTACTAGATATATTACAAACAGGGAACAAAATTATTACAGAAAGGTTGTACTAAATATATCACAAACAGAGTGTACTAAATATATTACAAACAGGGAACAAAATTATTACAGAAAGGTTGTACTAAATATATCACAAACAGAGTGTACTAAATATATTACAAACAGGGTACAAAATTATTACAGAAAGGTTGTACTAAATATAACAAAATATATTACAGTACAAAATTATTACAGAAAGGTTGTACTAAATATATCACAAACAGAGTGTACTAGATATATTACAAACAGGGAACAAAATTATTACAGAAAGGTTGTACTAAATATATCACAAACAGAGTGTACTAAATATATTACAAACAGGGAACAAAATTATTACAGAAAGGTTGTACTAAATATATCACAAACAGAGTGTACTAAATATATTACAAACAGGGAACAAAATTATTACAGAAAGGTTGTACTAAATATATCACAAACAGAGTGTACTAAATATATTACAAACAGGGAACAAAATTATTACAGAAAGGTTGTACTAAATATATCACAAACAGAGTGTACTAAATATATTACAAACAGGGAACAAAATTATTACAGGAAGGTTGTACTAAATATATCACAAACAGAGTGTACTAAATATATTACAAACAGGGAACAAAATTATTACAGAAAGTTTGTACTAAATATATCACAAACAGAGTGTACTAAATATATTACAAACAGGGAACAAAATTATTACAGAAAGGTTGTACTAAATATATCACAAACAGAGTGTACTAAATATATTACAAACAGGGTACAAAATTATTACAGAAAGGTTGTACTAAATATATCACAAACAGAGTGTACTAAATATATTACAAACAGGGTACAAAATTATTACAGAAAGTTTGTACTAAATATATCACAAACAGAGTGTACTAAATATATTACAAACAGGGTACAAAATTATTACAGAAAGGTTGTACTAAATATATCACAAACAGAGTGTACTAAATATATTACAAACAGGGTACAAAATTATTACAGAAAGGTTGTACTAAATATATCACAAACAGAGTGTACTAAATATATTACAAACAGGGTACAAAATTATTACAGAATATACTAAATATATCACAAACAGAGTGTACTAAATATATCACAAACAGGGTACAAAATTATTACAGAATATACTAAATATATCATAAATTGAGTGTACTAATTATATTACTGATAGGGTATATATGCTTGGTAAATAAAAAATTGGGTATACTTGATATATGACAAATACGATATCTAAATTCATTACATATAAAGTGTTATTTATATATTACAAATAGGGTATATTGAATTTATTACAAATAGTGTGCACTTAATGTATACTAAGTAGTGTATGGACTGGATTATTTAGCTATATCAACTTTTTAGCTATGGAATATATATAGGAAAGCAGTGTAGTGCTGTTGTAAGGTCTCCATTTAAATGTCTTATTACCTGGGTTATGACCCTTTATCTGTTCCATATAAAGAGTGCAATTATCCAGAGTTACAGCCCTTTATCAGTGTTATGTAATTCTAGGAAATCAGAACTTCAGAAACAGCACTTTAAAATTTTACAGTTTGTGCTGCAGTAATGTGTGCCGATTTTATTACAGTATTGAGCCATGATATTTCATTGTAACTATGAGTACATTGATGGTGTGATACCAACCAAGACTTTTATCAATAACATATTTCCTGACGTTCATACTGAGTGGCTGTGTTATCGAGGATGACACTCTAATAGACCTGGGGTCCAACATTTCTCAGGCTAATTGTATCAGGATAAGGTTTGGGTTTTAAGGCCTGAAAATCAATGACATTTTGTTAAGGCAAGTAGGCATGTTTGTATTGAGATTGATATGGTGGAAGAAATACTGAAACTCTACCTACTGCTAACATACATGTATCTGAACAGAACTTCAGATTTTCATGTTTTCCTTTGTCTTCCATTGTTGTATTGAATTGTTGTGTTGTCTATTGTTATGTTGAGTTGTTGTGTTCATTGTTGTATTTTGTGTTGTCCATTGTTGTGTTGTTCATTGGTTTTTTTTATTATGGTGTTGTCCACTGATGTGTTGTTGCATTGGTCATTGTTTTCTTGACTTGTTGTTTAGTTCCTTGTGTTGTCCATTGTTTAGTTTATTGTGTTGTCTATTGTTTAGTTCATTGTGTTGTCCATTGTTTAAATCATTGTGTTGTCCATTGTTTAGTTCCTTGTGTTGTCCATTGTTTAGTTCATTGTGTTGTCCATTGTTTAGTTCCTTGTGTTGTCTATTGTTTAGTTCATTGTGTTGTCCATTGTTTAAATTGTTGTGTTGTCCATTGTTTAGTTCATTGTGTTGTCCATTGTTTAGTTCATTGTGTTGTCCATTGTTTAGTTCATTGTGTTGTCTATTGTTTAGTTCATTATGTTGTCCATTGTTGTGTTGTCAATTGTTTTATTGAATTTTTGTGTTGTCCATTGTTGTGTTGTTCATTGTTGTGTTGTCCATTGTTGTGTTGTCCATTGTTGTGTTGTCAATTGTTGTGTTGTATTGTTGTGTTGCCCATTGTAGTATTTATCGTTATAATGCCCATCGTTTTGTTTGAGTACCACATTCAGGACCTGCAACTTTTTTTAAAACAAACTTATCACCTTTTGTTAATTGTTTTTTTCTGGAACATAACTTTGCTTTCATTTAAGCCAGGATATTGAAAACTTGGCTTAGATTGGTCATATTAGGATGACATGAAGGACACGCAACCCCTTAATTATTGCCCTTTGTTAAAATTTGGTGTCCAGTAAAGTTGTTTTCAGGGAGCATTCATTAATTTCTCTGATACTCTGGTGTGGACTGGTTGTGTTGTCCATTGTTGTATTTGGTTGCCATGGCATCCATTGTTATACAAAATGTTGTGTTTTCCATTGTTGTGTTAAGTGGTGCAGTAAAAGGCCCCTTGTATGTATAAAAAGACAGAGCAGGAGAAATCTGGGAACTTGCCAGACAGGGATGGAATATTTTAGAGAAATAAAGTGAGATAAATATCTGTGATTATCATTAATTGTTGATTCACCCAGTTTGTAGACAAGACCATCATCCTGGCTCATCAATTATTCTGTCCTGCACGACGTTGTATGTTCACATTAGTTGTGTCTGCTCTCCAGTATTTCTGTCTGTAGTTCAAGTACTTATTGACGGGCAGGTGATCTCATGTAATGAAGAGGCATCCTTTGTACGTCCATCTGTCTGTAGTCTTGTACTTACTGATGAATAAGTGACCTGATGTCCTGATAGGGTGTCCTATATCCCCATGTCCATCTGTCTGTAGTCTTGTACTTACTGATGAATAAGAGACCTGATGTCCTGATAGGGTGTCCTATATCCCTATGTCCATCTGTCTGTAGTCTTATACTTACTGATGAATAAGAGACCTGATGTCCTGATAGGGTGTCCTATATCCCCATGTCCATCTGTCTGTAGTCTTGTACTTACTGATGAATAAGAGACCTGATGTCCTGATAGGGTGTCCTATATCCCTATGTCCATCTGTCTGTAGTCTTATACTTACTGATGAATAAGAGACCTGATGTCCTGATAGGGTGTCCTATATCCCTATGTCCATCTGTCTGTAGTCTTATACTTACTGATGAATAAGTGACCTGATGTCCTGTTAGGGTGTCCTATATCCCTATGTCCATCTGTCTGTAGTCTTATACTTACTGATGAATAAGTGACCTGATGTCCTGATAGGGTGTCCTATATCCCTATGTCCATCTGTCTGTAGTCTTGTACTTACTGATGAATAAGAGACCTGATGTCCTGTTAGGGTGTCCTATATCCCTATGTCCATCTGTCTGTAGTCTTATACTTACTGATGAATAAGTGACCTGATGTCCTGATAGGGTGTCCTATATCCCTATGTCCATCTGTCTGTAGTCTTATACTTACTGATGAATAAGTGACCTGATGTCCTGATAGGGTGTCCTATATCCCTATGTCCATCTGTCTGTTGTCTTATACTTACTGATGAATAAGTGACCTGATGTCCTGATAGGGTGTCCTATATCCCTATGTCCATCTGTCTGTAGTCTAATACTGATTGAAGGTTAAGTGATGCTATGTCATGATTAGGTGTCCTGTGTCCATGTGTCCATCTGTCTGTAGTCTTACAATGATTGAATGGTAAGTGATGTTCTGTCATGATGAAATGTCTTGTGTCCATATGTCCATCTGTCTGTAGTTTAGTACTGACTGACAAGATGTTGTGTCATGATGTCTAGCATCCTAACCTCCATCTGTCTGACAACAATTATTTCCTTTCAACATCTTTTTTAAAAGCCAAATTAATTCATATTACAGGGAAAGTAACTTGTTCAAATCAGTGGTATCAAAAGTTTTAAAACTTCTGAATGACCCCAAATAACCATGGAGCCCATGGGTCATTCTGTTTAGCTAGGGGTATGCTGGGATGAGAGTCAAGCAGTTATTAAGATGAACTAAGAACATGACCAATAGACTACAGGTGTCAAACATTTTAAAGATCTGTAATAAAGTGGTAGTCAATGGGAATTTTCATAAACACTTTCACTTTCTTCATTTCACAACTTAAAGAAAAGGTGAGTGATACAGGCCTGTTGGGAGGCTGTCCTATCAAAACTTTATTTTCATATTGTTTTAGGACTCTCAGTCTCTTGGTAAAGTCCAAATAGGAATATGAAGACTTGAAGTTGTGCAGAAATGTTGTTGCTGTTGTTAGGATGATGTACTTGCCGGTATCTACACTGTCAAAATTCTGTGGGATCAGATTCCTTATCTAGTTACTTACATTGTTACAATTCAGTGATGTCAAGGTCCACATCCAGCTACTCACACCATCACAATTAAGTGATGTCAAGGTCCATGTCTAGCTATTCACAACATCACAATTCTGTGATGTCAGGGTCCACATCCGGCTATTCACACCATCACAATTTAGTGATGTCAGGGTCCACATCTAGCTATTCACTCCATCACAATTCTGTGATGTCAGGGTCCACATCTAGCTATTCACACCATCACAATTTAGTGATGTCAGGGTCCATGTCTAGCTTTTTGCACCATCACAATTCTGTGATGTCAGGGTCCACATCTAGCTATTCACACCATCACAATTCTGTGATGTCAGGGTCCACATCTAGCTATTCACACCATCACAATTCTGTGATGTCAGGGTCCACATCTAGCCATTCACACCATCACAATTCTGTGATGTCAGGGTCCATGTCTAGCTATTCACACCATCACAATTTAGTGATGTCAGGGTCCATGTCTAGCTATTTGCACCATCACAATTCTGTGATGTCAGGGTCCATGTCTAGCTATTTACACCATCACAATTCTGTGATGTCAGGGTCCACATCTAGCCATTCACACCATCACAATTCTGTGATGTCAGGGTCCACATCCAGCTATTTACACCATCACAATTCTGTGATGTCAGGGTCCACATCCAGCTATTTACACCATCACAATTCTGTGATGTCAGGGTCCACATCCAGCTATTCACACCATCACAATTCTGTGATGTCAGGGTCCACATCTAGATATTCACACCATCACAATTCTGTGATGTCAGGGTCCATGTCTAGCTATTTGCACCATCACAATTCTGTGATGTCAGGGTCCACATCCAGCTATTCACACCATCACAATTCTGTGATGTCAAGGTCCACATCCAGCTATTTACACCATCACAATTCTGTGATGTCAGGGTCCACATCCAGCTATTCACACCATCACAATTCTGTGATGTCAGGGTCCACATCCAGCTATTTACACCATCACAATTCTGTGATGTCAGGGTCCACATCCAGCTATTCACACCATCACAATTCTGTGTTGTCAAGGTCCACATCCAGCTATTCACACCATCACAATTTAGTGATGTCAAGGTCCATGTCTAGCTATTTGCACCATCACAATTCTGTGATGTCAGGGTCCGTGTCTAGCTATTTGCACCATCACAATTCTGTGATGTCAGGGTCCGTGTCTAGCTATTTGCACCATCACAATTCTGTGATGTCAGGGTCCACATCTAGCTATTCACACCATCACAATTCTGTGATGTCAGGGTCCACATCTAGCTATTCACACCATCATAATTCTGTGATGTCGGGGTCCACGTCTAGCTTTCACACCATCACAATTCTGTGATGTCGGGGTCCACATCTAGCTATTCACACCATCACAATTCTGTGGTGACAGGGTTAATATGTTGTTCTGTTTATGTTACAGACATTTGACGAGTGTGTAGAGAAAGGAGGCAGCGACTGTGACGCTGAACACCTCTGGCTGCAGATCCCATTCTTCTGTGGACAAGACGCTGAATGTTGGTAGGTATAGTATATAGGAGTGTTGGTAGATAGTGTGTACATGATGTGTGTTGGTGGGTATAGTGTACAAGATGTTGAGTGTTGGTGGGTATAGTGTACAAGATGCTGAGTGTTGGTAGGTAGTTTGTATAAGATGCTGAGTGTTGGTAGGTACAGTGTACAAGATGCTGAGTGTTGGTAGGTACAGTGTACAGGATGCTGAGTGTTGGTAGGTACAGTGTACAGAATTCTCAGTGTTGGTAGGTAGTGTGTACAAGATGCTGAGTGTTGGTAGGTAGAGTGTACAAGATGCTGAGTGTTGGTAGGTACAGTGTAGAAGATGCTAAGTGTTGGTAGGTACAGTGTACAGAATTCTCAGTGTTGGTAGGTACAGTGTACAGGATGCTGAATGTTTGTAGGTAGTGTGTTTAAGATGCTGAGTGTTGGTAGGTACAGTGTACAAGATGCTGAATGTTGGTAGGTACAGTGTACAGAATTCTCAGTGTTGGTAGGTACAGTGTACAGGATGCTGAGTGTTGGTAGGTACAGTGTTTAAGATAATGAGTGTTGGTAGGTACAGTGTACAGAATTCTCAGTGTTGGTAGGTACAGTGTACAGGATGCTGAATGTTGGTAGGTAGTGTGTTTAAGATGCTGAGTGTTGGTAGGTACAGTGCACAAGATGCTGAGTGTTGGTAGGTACAGTGTACAGGATGCTGAGTGTTGGTAGGTAGTGTGTTTAAGATGCTGAGTGTTGGTAGGTACAGTGTACAAGATGCTGAGTGTTGGTAGGTACAGTGTACAAGATGCTAAGTGTTGGTAGGTACAGTGTACAGAATTCTCAGTGTTGGTAGGTACTGTGTACAGGATGCTGAATGTTTGTAGGTAGTGTGTTTAAGATGCTGAGTGTTGGTAGGTACAGTGTACAAGATGCTGAATGTTGGTAGGTACAGTGTACAAGATGCTGAGTGTTGGTAGGTACAGTGTACAGAATTCTCAGTGTTGGTAGGTACAGTGTACAGGATGCTGAATGTTGGTAGGTAGTGTGTTTAAGATGCTGAGTGTTGGTAGGTACAGTGTACAGAATTCTCAGTGTTGGTAGGTACAGTGTACAGGATGCTGAATGTTTGTAGGTAGTGTGTTTAAGATGCTGAGTGTTGGTAGGTACAGTGTACAAGATGCTGAGTGTTGGTAGATACAATGTACAAGATGCTGAGTGTTGGTAGGTGCAGTGTACAGGATGCTGAGTGTTGGTAAGTACAGTGTACAGGATGCTGAGTGTTGGTAGGTACAGTGTACAAGATGCTGAGTGTTGGTAGGTACAGTGTACAAGATGCTGAGTGTTGGTAGGTAGTGTGTACAGGATGCTGAGTGTTGGTAGGTACAGTGTACAGGATGCTAAGCATTGGTAGGTACAATGTACAGTAGATGGCTAAATTTTATGACAGAAATAAAGATCAGATACTTCTTTTGTTGTCCATTCATGTTAACTAGGATGTTGGGAATGTTGATCTCCTGTACCACGAATAAGGTGATATTTTCTGATACAACTACATAAACATTTTTAATGAACAGGAATCCTGGAAGCCAGTGGGCTTTGGAGAAGGCCAAACAAAATGTGTTAGAGAACTACCTATTGGTCGGGGTCACAGAGGAGCTTGGGGATTTCATTGCAGTACTGGAGGCTGTGCTGCCACGATACTTTAGAGGAGCAGTCAAACTGTACAGCTTAGGTAAGTTACTGATAATATATCAGTCATGTGACATATTGTCAGGGACAGGGAGATGTAGTTCATCTCACTACGTTCAGGGACTAGGAGATGTAGTTTGTCTTCCTACATTTAGGGACAATATGTAGTTTGTGTCTTCCTATGTTTAAGTATTGTAAACTATTATTTGTCTGGAGATTAACTTCTACAGTTTTCAACTGATCTGTTTCAAACTTGGTAGGCTTTATCAACATGACATAAAGTTGTGTTTTACTGAATGGCTGTTTGAATTGACTGTATTGGGCAGAGTTATTGCCCCTTGTTGTTTTTTATGTCAATCTTCTCTGGAGGTGTCCTCCCTCAGTTTTCTACTAATTTCTTTAAAACTTTTATAGACTTTATTCACACCATAACATGTAGTGTTTTCCTGAATGACAATGTGATTTGATGGTTTAGGGAAGAGTTACTGCCCTTTGTTATTTTCATTATATTAATCATGTCCAAAGATCATCTCTCTCAGTTTTTCTTTCGAACGTCGTAGGGTTAAATCACCATGACATGAAGTGGTGTTTTCCTACACATCAGATTGTTTAAAGATATTTTGAAGGTTTTATGACCCCATTGTTTTTCCAACATTTTAGTTTTGTATGGCGATTTCCGTCCTTTCTTTTTTACCAATTTCTCTGGAATTTGGTAGACTTTATAACCATTACGTGAAATGATGAGTTATTGCCCTTTGTTTTTTTCTACAATCTATCTTGTCCAGATATATCCTCCCTCATTTTACAGCCAGTTTCTTTGAAACTTCATAGGCTTGAAAACCACAGCATGAGATTATGTTCTTGTAAATAACAGTTTTGATTCAACAATATTTTATTTCAAAGTTATTACCTACTGTTCTTTCCAGCATTTTAATCTTGTCAAGAGATTTCTTTCAGTTTTTCAACCATTTTTTTTTTAAACCTTGTATGCTTTAATCAAATATTAAAAGAAATAACACTGTTTTCCCTCTTGACATTTTACTTTTTATTACCATCTCTATATTTGTATTCTTTTTGATGCAACAAAAATCCTGAAAATTAATGTGAGATAAACATGTGTTGTACACCCAACCCCATGAAACTCTTGTTACATTTTAAACTTTTTTTTTTAAGTTCCATGAGTGGAATTCAGCAGAAACTTGCATGAAATGATTTTGAGTTGGTCAAGACCAACCAAGTGTTGTTAATGGGTCAATCCAAGATCCAACATAACTACATTCTTGAAATTCACATTTTGAAATTATTCTCGAGTTCCACTGGCACCATTGAGCTGAAAATTGGCTGGGATGTTATAGAAAGGAAGCCAAACATGTTTTGTTATTTTTGCCTCATCAAAGTTCATTATGGCAGCCATTTTGTAACATGACTAAACAAACATAGTTTCCAAGAACGATACTGATTTCAAACTTCTTTCGAAGCTCCACTACAATTCAGCCGTAATGTTGTAGGAATATGGAGAAAATGAAATGAGGAGAAGTTTTTGTCTTTGCTTCCAAAATATTGTGAATCAGAACTGTTTTAATTGCTATTTCTACTACTACTACTGTTATATCATATATAGGTCTTTATAACAGATGTCAGTTATAAGACTTCTTGTTTCTGATCAGAATGATTTAATTCTCACCCATCTATGCTGCCCAACAAAAAAATTCCTTATAAAAATCAAATGCGAAAATGCATGTCTTATCTAGCCCTGCAGGTATATTAAAACATCAGTTTTTTTTTTCAGGGAGAAAGTCGCACCTGAGACGTACAGCAAATAAGATCCTGCCTAAACAGTCGTCTACTACCAAAGTGCGCCAGTCCTTTATCTGGCGTATGGAGCAGGATTTCTACAACTTTGTGCTGGAACAATTCCACTTTGTAAAACAATCAACTTTTGACGTAGTTAATGGAAACTATGTGGAAAAGGGAAACAATTTTCATTACGAGAAAATTCGACCAAGATGAAGCTAAAGTGTTTCTTTTTCCATAAAACAATTCCAATATTGTGATATTTTTTGTCTCACTTCCTTATTGGAAGGCAAAGAAATAATTTGATGTGTAACAGTGTTGTGTGTATGTCGGTATAAATGAGTTGTCTACCCTTCAAGTGTGGAGAATCAGGTACAATGACATTGTTTTGTATAAGGGAAGCTATGGGCTACTAACGAGGAGTCGTGGGCTATAACAAGGATATAATGAACTACAGAGGGAGCATGATGACCTACTGGAGAGGAGATTGAATGATATTCGATATGATGTGGACTTAGCGGGGAGAATACGGTCTTGGGAAGGGGAGTGACAGGGTATGTGTCTTTATAAGAATCATGTTAGATCATGTTGAGATAAGCTTGATACCTGATGTGTTGTGTGCAAGTTCTCAGGGTTTATGAAATCCGTGCTGCTCTTTACTCTATGTTTACTGTTGTTGTATATTGTTTTTTGTTTTTAAGTTTGATACTGGTTCATTGATATCAAATATTAATAACATTCAAATACTGGGACCAATACAAACTAAATCACATGTAATGCAAGAGAATAAATAACCATTACTGGTGAGGTGTGTAGTGAGGACGGATGAGGTATGTAGTGAGGACAGATGAGGTGTGTAGGGAGGACAGATGAGGTGTGTAGAGAGGAAAGATGAGGTGTGTAGTGAGGACGGATGAGGTGTGTAGTGAGGACGGATGAGGTGTGTAGTGAGGACGGATGAGGTGTGTAGTGAGGACGGATGAGGTGTGAAGTGAGGACGGATGAGGTGTGTAGTGAGGACGGATGAGGTGTGTAGGGAGGATGGATGAGGTGTGTAGTGAGGACGAGTGAGGTGTGTAGTGAGGACGGATGAGGTATGTAGTGAGGACGGATGAGGTCTGTAGTGAGAATGGATGAAGTGTGTAGTGAGGACAGATAAAGTGTGTAGGGAGGGCAGATGAGATGTGTAGTGAGGACAGATGAGGTGTGTAGGGAGGACAGATGAAGTGTGTAGGGAGGACAGATGAGGTGTGTAGGGAGGACAGATGAGGTGTGTAGGGAGGACAGATGAGGTGTGTAGTGAGGACGGATGAGGTGTCTAGTGAGGATGGATGAGATGTAGTGAGGACAGATGAGGTGTGTAGTGAGGACGGATGAGGTGTGTGGTGAGGACGGATGAGGTGTCTAGTGAGGATGGATGAGATGTAGTGAGGACAGATGAGGTGTGTAGTGAGGACGGATGAGGTGTGTGGTGAGGACAGATAACATGTGTAGGGAGGACAGATGAGGCGTGTAGTAAGGACAGATGACATGTGTAGTGAGGACGGATGAGGCATGTAGTGAGGACAGATGAGGTGTGTAGTGAGGACAGATGATGTGTGTAGGGAGGACAGATGAGGTGTGTAGTGTGGACAGATGAGATGTGTGGAGAGGACAGATGAGGTGTGTAGGGAGGACAGATGAGGTGTGTAGGGAGGACAGATGAGATGTGTAGTGGAGATGTGTGGGGAGGACAGATGAGATGTGTAGGGAGGACAGATGAAGTGTGTAGAGAGGACAGATGAGATGTGAGGGGAAGACAGATGAGGTGTGTAGTGAGGACAGATGAAGTGTGTAGGGAGGACAGATGAAGTTTGTAGGGAGGACAGGTGAGTTTGTAGGGAGGACAGGTGAGGATTGTAGGGAGGACAGATGAGATGTGTAGGGAGGACAGATGAGGTGTGTACTGAGGACAGGTGAAGTGTGTAGGGAGGACAGGTGAAGTGTGTAGTAAAGATGGATGAGGTTTGTAGGGAGGACAGGTGAGGTGTGTAGTGAGGACAGATGAAGTGTGTAGGGAGGACAGATGAGGTGTAGATTTAGGACAGACATGGTGTGTGTTAAAGACAGGTGTGAAAAAGTAAGAAAATTTATGTATTGCATTACAACTGCCATCCAAGTTGGTATGATATTCAAAGTTAATAAAAAAATTATGATAAATCTTACGTCTGTTTTCTTTGCAAATGTGTCAAAAGATTTATAATTGTCCTGTCTGGTATGTTGTTTTTGTTGAAAGTGAAGTCAGCCTAAACTGTGAAAATAAGTAACCATATTGTTTTCCTATACATTTATCAGCCTCCCCCCACCACCCCATCATCATCAGGTGGGCTATTCAAATCTCCCTATACAACTATGGTCCATCTGTCTGTAAACAATTTGTTAATGCTATTCCCTTCATTCATAGTTGTCTCTTTTTGAATTTTAGACTTACAAGGGAAAAAAATCGTTGATAGGTGGCCATCTTGTATTTTGACAATAAAAGTTTGGCGTCACCTATTCTTGTGAAGTACTGGATTGGTCGTTTTCAGATTTCATAAATGCCTAGGTTCCCCCTGGTCCTTAGCCGTGCTGTTGATTTTGGATTAGTCAGCAACTAAATTGTCCGATAGATGACCAACTTGAATTATGATAGTTAAAGATTATAATGGCTAATTTAATTCTGAAGAGGAATTTTCAACTTTCATGTTGAAACAAAAGAAGAGAAAAGGTCCAACTTTTAAGGAAAAAATAAAGCTCAAACCATGGTGGGCACCAAGATCTTTGAATTCCTTTCTGAAAGGATCTAGCCATGTTTGATCAAAATCCATTTACTCATAATAAAGACAGAATGCAAAAAAAGTGAATGTTTGATGGCACTCCTCTGCTACTGGTCATCCTGACTCTCCATGTCAAATGACCTAAACATCTCATTACTGTTGTGGAAGGATTCTGTTTCTCATACATTTATCGTAAGTATGGTCCATAACAAATTTGGACAAAATCCCTTTTTCTGTGTAAGTCCTAATGCAGAACAATTACTTCCATTTCTTTTATGGCGTCAAACTACTCCTCTCCAAGAAGAACTATGTCTTCTGTTCATTATATCAAACATGAGAACTTTCAACCTTTAATAATTATACCAGACGAAATTTCATCCCAGTCTGGAGTTATGTATGTTTAGGTATTGATATATCAGTCCTTTTGATCAGGTAAAAATGAACACAACAAAAAATATAATTATCTGATTTTATTGCATTGCCAAGTGCATGATGATGACTTGATCCTCACCATACAAAAGAGAACATCTACAATAAACACTAATACTGCACAGGGCTGTTAACAGACAGGCCACACCCATCTCATAGCAGGCCACACCCATCTCATAGGTGTTACTCACAGACAGGCCACACAAATCTTACAGGTGTTTCCAAAATAAGCCACACCCATTTCACAAATGTCACCTACCTACAGGTCACACCTAGGTCACAAGTGACCAATCCAAGCGCTAGATCAAATTCCTCGGACAGGTCATGTGATATCCATCAGATAGATCAAACCATCTCTGATTGTCCACATCAGGGCTATCAATGATCACATATAGAACAATGCTCAGTGCCCCAGGCAATACATACAAAATACACAGAAATCACTGAGATCAGGATCCTACACAGGCCTGAAACCAAGCCTCTCTCCTCACAATACTGTTTATTTTTATATTGTAAGTTTCTAGGGATGAAGATTTCAAGGTCACAACAATTGATTTTTTCATTATATTATTTTTACAAAAAATAAAAAAAGAGAGAGAGAAATCTGCACTCAATATACATTTTTATCATAACTGTTTGTTAGTGTATGTTAGTCTATTATAAGGAAGAATGCACTGCGAACAGTGACATGACTAAACAAACCACGTTACAAGAACATTGCTATATAACCCAATGTTTATACTGGTAACTAGGTTTCAAAAAACAACGATTCAAAAAGACTGCAGAGTTTAAATGGCACCTTGAAATAAGATTGCTTTTGGTCCACTCTCGACAATCATTCTAACATTGACCCGTAACTGGATAACATAACCAACTTCGGAGTGACAGGGATATCCTAGGACTGAAGTAGAAAAACTATCAGATTGGTCGATTCCTGAAGTAAATTTAACACCTTTATCCCAGTAGTGAAACATACTGTCAGTCATGCCTCTAACCCCACCCACCGTCCCGCCCACCCCCCTCTCATCCTCTTCCCTAGTCTGCTCAAGTTAAACATGCCAGCAAAAGGGCCCCATAGTTTACAATAGGAGGCTGCATACAATACACTACAAAGCCTCTGGTTATGCTTGTTGCCTACCAAGCTGTTATGTACACTGTAACCTACATGATAATATATACAAGCAAATAGATACCAAATCTGGGCTTAAACTGTACAAAACCAGTAGATTTTACTACTGGATGACATGACCTTGACCTATTCTGTGAAATACCAAAAGATTTTACTACTGCGTGACATGACCTTGACCTCCACAGCAAATAATCACACTTACATAGGCAGCCCTATACACTATATAATCTTATTGTGTCACTTTTAAAAAACAGGATTTCTTTGTTACAAATGTTGACAAAAGGATTGCACTCTTCCCTCTGTAGCTGTTGGTTTGAGAATCAACCAATGCCTACTTTGTCCTGGAGTCAGTCTACACGAATCATGACAACCTCCAGCACCACACATGCTTTGTCTCCAGATCTTTCAATGGTACTGTACAAGTATTTACATATAGACTAATATTTGTAGAACTTCAATTCATATATATTATATATTGGTGATAAAAAAGTCTTACAAAAACATACAGATCTGATAACAAATGACTAGAGTTGACACTGTACAGCATTTACAGGAAACCATGATACCATACAGAACTTACAGGAAATGATTATGCATTACAGCTTTTACAGGAAATTGTAATAACATAAAATTTACAGGAAACCATTATTCCATAGTTTCTAGGAAACCATGACACCATACTGCATTTACAAATCCACATAGCATTTACAGGAAACAATTACACCATCCAGCATTTACAGGAAATGATTACACCATCCAGCATTTACAGTAAGTGATTACACCATGTAGCACTCGCTGGAAATGATTACACCATACAGAATTTACAAGAAACAATTACATCAGACAATTTACAGGAAACAATTACACCATACAGAATTTACAAGAAACAATTACACCATCCAGCATTTACAGAGAATTATAACACCATCCAGCATTAACAGGAAATGATTATCTCATATTTTCACTGTGACTAAGCAATGTTTTCTCGTTTTCTTCGCACTTCTCTAACAGGACATGAGGCCTGTTAGTTGATGTGTTGATATGACTGCCTATGCTAGACACCCAGTCAATGTTACAGCACAAGGCCTGCTCATCATCCTTTGATCCTAATATAATACTAGGAGAACATGGTTAGAATTTCTGTAACCAAGTATCATCTCCTAACAAGAGGACCAAAGGGCCTGCATCACTCATTTATCACTAACATAAGTTCTGTTGATTTTAATTAAGTTATATTCACTAGAATTATATACTTGTCTCGGAGGATGTCATAGTTATGAAGCTTTTGTAGAAACTGTCTTTTTCTAATTCAACAATTTTCAAAGTGATCTTGGTCAATCATGTTGATTCCAAATTTTCCTTTGATCCCCATTTTCTCTTTTTTATTTGAGTAGCAGGCGAACTATGACATAGAAAGTGGCGTAAGGTCATCCATTTGAACCAATTGTAAAGCCATCATCCCAGCATACTACTGGCGATATATCATGACAATTATTTTCTCCATTATTAAGAAGAAGTTGTTAAAGTTCAAAAGTTAGCACCCAATGGATGAAGGACACTTTACCATGTTATAAGCTTTATTGTCCTTAGGACTGGTGAAATTAAATTCTTACTATATTATATCAGCTTTATAGTCCTTCAGGCTGGTGAAATTAATATCTTACCATGGTATAAGCTCTGTTGTCCTTTGGACTAGTGAAATTAATTTCTTATCATGTTGTATGCTTTATTGAACAGATGAAATTAAATTCTTACTATAGTATATAGGCTCTATTGTCCTTTGGGCTGGTGAAATTAAATTCATGACACATTTAAGCCCTGTGAATCAAAAAGAGTCAAGGACATTGATCTGAAAAAAAACTTGAAAGCCCTACACTCCAGAATCTTACAACAGGTGAATCTCTTGAATTCAAAAATGTTGACCATTTCATTCAGATTGTTTGCTCTTTCAGCAAAAAAAAAAAAAAAAAAGTGAAAACGAAGGGAGTATTGAAGGTCACTACAGTTCTGATCGACCCTGCAACTTTATCACATAGTAACACATACATGATTACATTCACAACTGGTAAGGAAGCTCTTGACAGATTTGTTATAGATATATGAGTAGTAAAAAAAGATCTTTTCTAAGTAACCTTCAGTATATGAAACTTCTGTCAGATCAAAAAGTTCTAGACAAATAAGAAATCTACTAAGTACACTGACCGACCACATGTATAATCACAGACAGCAGCTAACAACCATAAACATTCACACTACAGTCATCACACAGTACAACCGATGTCATTCTTATTATGTACACACATATATCCACATCTGTGGATAACCATGTATCCACCTTACAAATTTACTTGATGAATATGTATCCACATTATCCACATATATCTGCACATCCTTGAAGATTACCAGTCACACTATTAAGTACAAACCAAGGATGTTGATCTTGAACTAACTGTAAACATATTTTGATTTATGTAAACTAACAACAAATGATATCAACTGAAGTAAATGTTGCTATAACAATGGAAATAAAGTGCTAAAATGACAGAAACAATGCAAACTATAAACTAAAAGATCCACCAACCTAGACAGCTCTCTATCTCACCTGTTATCTATCTCACCTGTTATCTCTCTATCTCACCTGTTATCTATCTCATCTGTCATGTATCTCCCTATCTCACCTGTTATGTATTTCACCTGTTATCTCTCTATCTCACCTGTTATCTATCTCACCTGTTATCTATCTCACCTGTTATCTATCTCACCTGTCATCTATCTCACCTGTTATCTATCTCACCTGTTATCTATCTCTCTATCTCACCTGTCATCTATCTCTCTATCTCACCTGTCATCTATCTCACCTGTCATCTATCTCTCCTGTCATCTATCTCTCTATCTCACCTGTCATCTATCTCACCTGTCATGTATCTCTCTATCTCACCTGTCATCTATCTCACCTGTCATCTATCTCTCTATCTCACCTGTCATCTATCTCACCTGTCATCTATCTCACCTGTTATCTATCTCTCTATCTCACCTGTCATCTATCTCACCTGTTATCTATCTCTCTATCTCACCTGTTATCTATCTCACCTGTCATCTATCTCACCTGTTATCTATCTCACCTGTCATCTATCTCTCTATCTCACCTGTCATCTATCTCACCTGTCATCTATCTCTCTATCTCACCTGTCATCTATCTCACCTGTTATCTATCTCACCTGTCATCTATCTCTCTATCTTACCAATCATCAATCTCTCTATCTCACCTGTCATCTATCTCACCTGTCATCTATCTCTCTATCTCACCTGTCATCTATCTCACCTGTCATCAATCTCTCTATCTCACCTGTCATCTATCTCACCTGTCATCTATCTCTCTATCTCACCTGTCATCTATCTCTCTATCTCACCTGTTATCTATTTCTCTATCTCACCTGTCATCTATCTCTCTATTTCACCTGTTATCTATCTCTCATTCTCACCCTCATTCTCACCTGTTATCTATCTCTCTATTTCTCTTGTTATCTTATTACCTGTTTATTATCTAACCAATCTTCAAATCTGTCTAAAATCTTTTTTAGAAGATATTTTTCTACATTCTATGTCACCAACAAATAATACCAAATCTAAGTATCTCTATCTCAAATATTTGAGTATTTCATATCAACAAAATACAAACCACATCTCATCACTCTCTACTCTCATTTATCAAATAGAAGTCTTTAAAAGCATCTTTAATCTCAACAGAGTCTATCATCACCTGTTATCTATCTCACCGATATCTCACCTGAAGCTCCTTAAAATAAAAAGTCACTATCTTACCTGTCTCTACAATGGTAACATCTCTCTATCAGACAAATGTACATCAATAAAATCCTGTGTAATCTATCAATTCTTGGCACGCTAAAGAGGAAGTTATCTTCAGATATAATTTAATATTTCACCATCATAATTTACTCATCAACGTTATAATCCACACACAAATCCTGTCATCTATCTCACCTGTTACTATCTCTCTGTCTCACACACACACTCTATATTTCACACTGTTATCTATCTCACACACACCTACACACACCTTGTTAACATCTCTCACATCACCTGTTAGAATATCTCAAATCTATTTTCAATATTCAAGCAATCACACTGTTATCTCTCTATTTCACCTGTTATCTATCTTTCTATCTTGCCTGTCATCTATTTTTCGGTCTCACCTCTTATCTATCTCTCTATTTCTCTTGTTATCTTATTACCTGTTTATTATCTAACCAATCTTCAAAGGTGGTCTAAAATCTTTTTTAGAAGATATTTTTTACATTCTATGGACCAACAAATAATACCAAATCTAAGTATTTCTGATCCAAATATTTGAGTATTTCATATCAACAAAATACAAACCACATCTCATCACTCTCGAACTCTCATTTATCAAATAGAAGTCTTTAAAAGCATGCTTTAATAGACAACAGAGTCTACATCACGATAGAAGCTCCTTAAAATAAAAAGTGACGCTTACAATGGTAACAAAACAGCAGACAAATGTACATCAATAAAATCCTGTGTAAAATATCAATTCTTGGCACGCTAAAGAGGAAGTTATTTCAGATATAATTTAATATTTCACCATCATAATTTACCATAACAAAACGAATGTATAATCCACACACAAATCCGGTCAATAAATTCCTACAGACACTTAGATCCACACACACACAATCCAGATATATTCCACACCCACATCAATTCACACACAAACTACACACACCTTGTAACATCTGATCACATAACCGAAGGAAGAATATCAACAAAGACGATATTTTCAATATTCAAGCAATCACACGTATCCAATTCCGCTGATGATGCTAGAACCTCTATAACAACAAAACTAATGCCATGTATCAATAACAAAACATCAGGGCAAACAACAAGTCCTTTAAAAATAACATACACAATGTATATAATGTATAATGAACTCTCTCTGGTAAAGCGAGATATGTGTTCACTTTGATGGGATAAAAGAATTGCATTGAGACATAAACATATAATCAATAATTTGTGAAATGCCAAGTTGATGAACAGCCTTAATATGTAGCCAATACAATGGTACAAACATAAAATGTGATGTACAGGCTTTATATCTAGTCAATACATCAATAAAACATAAAACATGATGTACAGCCTTCATATCTAGTCAATACATCAGTACAAACATAAAACACGATGTACAGCCTTCATATCTAGTCACGATGTAGCCTTCATATACAGCCTTCATATCAGTACAGTACACAAACATAAAATACGATGTGCAGCCTTCATATCTAGTCAATACATCAGTAAAACATAAAACACGATGTACAGCCTTCATATCTAGTCAATACATCAGTACAGACATAAAACACGATGTACAGCCTTCATATCTAGTCAATACATCAGTAAAACATAAAACACGATGTACAGCCTTCATATCTAGTCAGTACATCAGTACAAACATAAAATACGATGTACAGCCTTCATATCTAGTCAATACATTCGTACAAACATAAAATATGATGTACAGCCTTCATATCTAGTCAATACATCAGTACAAACATAAAACACGATGTACAGCCTTCATATCTAGTCAATACATCAGTACAGACATAAAATACGATGTACAGCCTTCATATCTAGTCAATACATCCATACAAACATAAAACACGATGTACAGCCTTCATATCTAGTCAATACATCAGTACAAACATAAAATACGATGTACAGCCTTCATATCTAGTCAATACATCAGTACAAACATAAAATACGATGTACAGCCTTCATATCGAGTCAATACATTCGTACAAACATAAAACACGATGTACAGCCTTCATATCTAGTCAATACATCAGTACAAACATAAAACACGATGTACAGCCTTCATATCGAGTCAATACATTCGTACAAACATAAAATACGATGTAAAGCCTTGATATTAATGTCAAGTCAATATGACAGTTCAAGGATAAAAGCACTGTACATACACTACGAATCTTATATAAGATTTCAGATTAGAATACATTTTTTTCAGTTAAAAAACAATTACATACCTACATTTAAGGAGAAAAAACATTGTAAATATTACAAAAAAGGCTAGGAAATGTAACACAAATGTATTACATCAATGTTGGTATGAAACATTTGACAGGATATATCACAATTACCAAACACTTACTAGTTATTCAGTTTTTTTAATGATGGCAATGTATATGTGTTCAATGTGAATTTAAAATTCAAACTTATAACAACTTCACTAGCTACAATATCAATGACTTAGTCGAAATATCAACATACTGTAGAGCTTGGGCGTCGCCGTGATGTCACTTTCATTCCCATCATGGCTGCCCGAACACTTAAAGTCAAAGTAGAACCAAGACACAGCTTGGTGGGAACTGTTGGGCCACCAGGCATCTGGAACATAGCTGTCCTGACAGCCGATATCCCATCATCCGTAGGTTCAATGGCCATGGCCACAACATCAAATGGATGTTCATCCTTTGCCATGGGTTGAAAAGGAAGTTGTAAAGTCTCTACAGGAGTCAGGACCATCCCTGATGTGTTACGATTGGACAACTTCATATACTTTGTCCGCCTTGGTAATGGCGTCGATACAAAAGGCAGAGGCTCAGGTTCAATAAGAATAAGAACACGTGCAAAAGGACGTGACGCCATATGCATCATCTCTTTAGCACGTTCACGTCTGCTTCTCTGAGCATCGACAGCTTGCTTAAGTTTCCATAGTAACACACACATGGCAAGAAATAGGAAAAAACTGGAGAAAAATACAGAGAAAAACACAAACAGATCTATATGTGTCTGATCTTGTCTGAAGTAGAGGTTTCCGTATGTCTCATTGGATGTAGGACCTCCACGTCCGTACATTACCACATAAAACTTTGAAGTCTTGAGTCCCAATTCGAGGGGCAGCGTTATAACCACTCGTGACTGAACATTCTGGATGATAAGGATAGTGTGGGTCATTTTGACAGTATGGTAGGTGTGGAAGTCATTAGCTTTCAGTTCTATCAGTTCATGCCACTTGTGTGATGAGCTATTCTGTACACTACGTCTGTGACGACTACCATGCTGAATTTCCTGTGGATGGGGAAATATCAGGTCAGAGGCCAGAGAAGGGTCAAGCTTGATGCTGTGGTAACCATTGGCCTTGCTCACATCAACAATAAAGGTCTGGTCACTTGACGAGAAGTAGATATCAACACCTATACAAAATACAGAAAATTACGTCCTCACTCAAATCAAAATCTGGAGACAATCAAAAAACGTTTTGGGGTTTCACAGAGACATACCTACATACAGTTTCACTTGATTGTTCTTAGAACTATAGAAATCAGTGTAATTTTATGTAAATCTAAGAAAAAATCTGAATGATGAACACTACAACCAGCCCCAGTCTAAAGAAAAACACTACAACCAGCCCCAGTCTAAAGAAATATTAGTACACTACAACCAGCCCCCAGTCTAAAGAAAAACACTACAACCAGCCCCAGTCTAAAGAAAAACACTACAACCAGCCCCAGTCTAAAGAAAAACACTACAACCAGCCCCAGTCTCTACAACCAGCCCCAGTCTAAAGAAAAACACTACAACCAGTCCCAGTCTAAAGAAAAACACTACAACCAGCCCCAGTCTAAAGAAAAACACTACAACCAGCCCCAGTCTAAAGAAAAACACTACAACCAGCCCCCAGTCTAAAGAAATACACTACAACCAGCCCCAGTCTAAAGAAAAACACTACAACCAGCCCCAGTCTAAAGAAAAACAATACAACCAGCCCCAGTCTAAAGAAAAACACTACAACCAGCCCCAGTCTAAAGAAAAACAATACAACCAGCCCCCAGTCTAAAGAAAAACACTACAACCAGCCCCAGTCTAAAGAAAAACACTACAACCAGCCCCAGTCTAAAGAAAAACACTACAACCAGCCCCCAGTCTAAAGAAAAACACTACAAACAGTCCCAGAAAAACACTACAACCAGACCCCAGTCTAAAGAAAAACACTACAACCAGCCCCAGTCTAAAGTCAAACACTACAACCAGCCCCCAGTCTAAAGAAAACACTACAACCAGCCCCAGTCTAAAGAAAAACACTACAAACAGCCCCAGTCTAAAGAAAAACACTACAACCAGCCCCAGTCTAAAGAAAAACACTACAACCAGCCCCAGTCTAAAGAAAAACACTACAACCAGCCCCAGTCTAAAGAAAAACACTAAAGAAAAACACTACAACCAGCCCCAGTCTAAAGAAAAACACTACAACCAGCCCCAGTCTAAAGAAAAACACTACAACCAGCCCCAGTCTAAAGAAAAACACTACAACCAGCCCCAGTCTAAAGAAAAACACTACAACCAGCCCCAGTCTAAAGAAAAACACTACAACCAGCCCCAGTCTAAAGAAAAACACTACAACCAGCCCCAATCTAAAGAAAAACACTACAACCAGCCCCAGTCTAAAGAAAAACACTACAACCAGCCCCAGTCTAAAGAAAAACACTACAACCAGCCCCAGTCTAAAGAAAAACACTACAACCAGCCCCAGTCTAAAGAAAAACAATACAACCACCCCCAGATTAAAGAAAGACACTACAATTAGGAATAATGTTGTATGTTACAGTACATAGAAGTGGATAGTTATGAGAAGTTTTGGTGATAGGAGGAGAAAGTATTTAATAAGAAAATCTAGATAAATTTGTCATAAAATGTGGATACCTCCTTTTGTGATGTCTATGGTAACTCGGATGTCTACATTGAGGTAGCGTGGTTGGACGGCAAAGAAGACAGTGCGCCCTCTCAACAGTGGTCCAGGATTTTGGTTACAATTCTTCTGTGTGTCTGGATCTAGACAGTAATCTCGATCTACTGTCATCTGACGGTAACAATGGTGACCATTCGTAGGTGTTCCTAAGAAGTACTCCTTACAGGCAGAGCACTATGAAACAGGAAATAACATTTTGAATTAAGATCTTCCAAAACAAGAGGCTAAACAGGCTAAAAGGCCTGTGTTACTCACCTGCTCTATAGCTCATGAAGAGAAGACATTCTTGATAGAGAGTATCAGGGAACTTTCATGTTTAGTCTATAATTGATACCTTATTGCCTGTAGGTTCCAGGTAAAATTGAACACAACTGATGCCTGTGACCTTAAAAATGGTCAATGTGATTAATTGATTAATAATTGATTAGTTTGATTACCCTTCATCCCAGCTTACTAATGACTAAATGAATCTGTACCTTTTGGTTTATGAGCGGAAGTCGTTTGGAAAATTGAACACATTTGACCCCTATGACCTCAAAAGTAGGCCAATATAATTCATTTTATCAAACTTTATCCTTCATACCAGTATGCTGACCCAATATCTTGAGTATCAGATAAAGAGAAAAGTTAACTAAAACCAAACAATGTGCCATGACACAACCTTATTTATTCTTCAGACAGATGAGCTAAAAATAAACGCTTTTTCAATGAAGAACACTACACAGCAGACAAGACTTATTCAGAAGAGGAAATGTCATTTTGTTGCGGAACATCATCATAAGAAAAGTTTACCTGTTTCTGCCAGCACTTCTCCGCAGACTCCTTGTCTATCTTCTGACTCTGACAGGGACTCTCAGTGTTATTGGCACAGCGACAGTTCAGGCCAGACTTACTGTCACACATGTCACTGTGGCCGTGACACTGGCACCTGTAAATATGGATGTGAAAGTATGTCTCTTACTAAACCCAGGTCATTTATGTCTCTGACTTTTACATAAACATGTACACCAAGGTCATTTATGTCTCTGACTTTTACATAAACATGTACACCAAGGTCATTTATGTCTCTGACTTTTACATAAACATGTACAAACATGTCTCTGACTTTTACATAAACATGTACACCAAGGTCATTTATGTCTCTGACCTTTACATAAACATGTACACCAAGGTCATTTATGTCTCTGACTTTTACATAAACATGTACATAAAGGTCGTTTATGTCTCTGACTTTTACATAAACATGTACACCAAGGTCATTTATGTCTCTGACCTTTACATAAACATGTACACCAAGGTCATTTATGTCTCTGACCTTTACATAAACATGTACACCAAGGTCATTTATGTCTCTGACCTTTACATAAACATGTACACCAAGGTCATTTATGTCTCTGACTTTTACATAACATGTACACCAAGGTCATTTATGTCTCTGACTTTTACATAACATGTACACCAAGGTCATTTATGTCTCTGACTTTTACATAAACATGTACACCAAGGTCATTTATGTCTCTGACTTTTACATAAACATGTACACCAAGGTCATTTATGTCTCTGACTTTTACATAAACATGTACACCAAGGTCATTTATGTCTCTGACTTTTACATAAACATGTACACCAAGGTCATCTATGTTTCTGACTTTTATAATGTGAGTGTTAACATACTTGATACACTTATCAAAGGCTGTTTTTCCCTCTTTCTCTACCCTGAAGTAGCCCTCTAGACAATTCTCACAACGCCGTCCTTCAGTGTTGTACATACAGTTGACACACATTGCCTCATCTTCTTTTGGGCCACGTGATCCAAAGCTATTGTCTTTACTCTGAAGTTCAAATTAAACAAACAATGTTCATATCTGTATGGGAATATATTCCAATTTGAAAACTTCACAATGAAGTAAACTTCTCGAAATGAAATGACTTACAGTAAGGTATGTTATTCTGGCAAGAGGTCAAACTCACATTCAAGGTCTAGGGGAATTACGTACATACCAGAATCATTGGGAAACTTACATCACAGAAGTATGGGGAATAATTACATCCCAGAAGTATGGGGAATAATTACATCACAGAAGTATGGGGAATATTTACATCCCAGAAGTATGTGGAAATACTTACATCACAGAAGTATGGGGAATACTTACATCACAGAAGTATGGGGAATAATTACATCCCAGAAGTATGGGGAATACTTATATCACAGAAGTATGGGGAAGACTTACATCACAGAAGTATGGGGAATATTTATATCACAGAAGTATGGGGAAACTTACATCACAGAAGTATGGGGAATACTTATATCACAGAAGTATGGGGAATACTTATATCACAGAAGTCTGGGGAATAATTACATCACAGAAGTATGGGGAATATTTACATCAAAGAAGTATAGGGAATACTTATATCACAGAAGTATGGGGAATACTTACATCACAGAAGTATGGGGAATACTTACATCAAAGAAGTATGGGGAATAATTACATCCCAGAAGTATGGGGAATAATTACATCACAGAAGTATGGGGAATAATTACATCCCAGAAGTATGGGGAATACTTATATCACAGAAGTATGGGGAATACTTATATCACAGAAGTATGGGGAATAATTACATCCCAGAAGTATGGGGAATAATTACATCACAGAAGTATGGAGAATAATTACATCACAGAAGTATGGGGAAGACTTACATCCCAGAAGTATGGGGAATAATTACATCCCAGAAGTATGGGGAATACTTATATCACAGAAGTATGGGGAATACTTATATCACAGAAGTATGGGGAATAATTACATCCCAGAAGTATGGGGAATAATTACATCACAGAAGTATGGGGAAGACTTACATCACAGAAGTATGGGGAATAATTACATCACAGAAGTATGGGGAAGACTTACATCCCAGAAGTATGGGGAATAATTACATCCCAGAAGTATGGGGAATACTTATATCACAGAAGTATGGGGAATACTTATATCACAGAAGTATGGGGAATACTTATATCACAGAAGTATGGGGAAGACTTACATCACAGAAGTATGGGGAATATTTATATCACAGAAGTATGGGGAATAATTACATCCCAGAAGTATGGGGAATATTTATATCACAGAAGTATGTGGAAATACTTACATCACAGAAGTATGGGGAATACTTATATCACAGAAGTATCGGGAATAATTACATCACAGAAGTACGGGGAATACTTACATCCCAGAAGTATGGGGAATATTTACATCCCAGAAGTATGGGGAATACTTAATCCTAGAATTTGAGGGAATACTTACATCCCAAAAAATTGAATGGTTGTTCATGCCGTCTCGAAATGTACAATTTGGTGTGTGGTTGTGGCAGTGTTCCAGACAAGGCACACAGGGTTTCTTGTCCTGAGGTGATCCTACATATAACTTCTGACAGTGTTCACAGTGTGGACCCTGAAACATAAAACTCTCCATACAACAAATCTTACTTTTTTGCAATTTATGAGGAAAATATGACACTAAGCAGAATGTGACATTAACAAATGAAATTATCATTACATTAAAATCATTTTTACAAAGTTTCAATTCAGTAGGGTATCTATTCATAGAAAAGTGTAAGACACAGACTGATGGACTGACTGACAAACAGACAAGGGAGGTAATAATAGTCTCCTCCAGATGGACTGGAAGGGAACTAGTAAAAAAGGCCTCACTCCTGAGAGTACAGCTACTTGGGTTCTGATCAGGTACATAAGTTCAGCATGACAAAATCCCAGCAAGTCGTACAGCTAGTTGGGGCCTAATCAATGTGACATACTTAATCATGAAAGAAATTATGATGTGAATCCAGTTAAACTATGAAAAGAGAAAGGTAAACTCTAACACTATACGAAGGCTCACCTGTGTATTGTTGATGCAGTCAAGACAATTTTCTTTCTCCATAGCACTGAGACACTTGCTGTAACCGTTACACTTACACTTGGTGCTGCAGTCATTGCCTACCCAGCCAAAGTCACATGTACAATGATCAGGTGCATCACACACCCCATGTACACAGCCTTGATGGCATACAGGCTCACAGATGTCCTTACTGTAAGTAATAATTATATATGTACACAGATCTCCTTACTGTAAATAATAATTATATATGTACACAGATCTCCTTACTGTAAATAATTATTATATATGTACACAGATCTCCTTACTGTAAATAATAATTATATATTTACACAGGTCTCCTTACTGTAAATAATTATTATATATGTACACAGATCTCCTTACTGTAAATAATAATTATATATTTACACAGATCTCCTTACTGTAAATAATTATTATATATGTACACAAATGTCCTTTCTGTTTAGTATAATTATCCATGTACATAGATTTCCGAACTGTAAATTATAATTTTTAACGTGTCCACACTGATCTCTTTAATATACAAAAACACAGTAAATCAGAGATTACACCCAGTATACATATAATATCAGACACACATAAACAATGGACACAATTCTATAAATACTGGACACAGTGAGTCAGAGATTACACCCAGTATACACATAATATCAGACACACATAAACAATGGACACAATTCTATAAATACTGGACACAGTGAGTCAGAGATTACACCCAGTATACACATAATATCAGACACACATAAACAATGGACACAATTCTATAAATACTGGACACAGTGAGTCAGAGATTACACCCAGTATACACATAATATCAGACACACATAAACAATGGACACAATCCTATTAATTACGGAGTTTTACACAGTAGAAATGAAACATATGCCTTTAAAACCATATATAGAATTAGATGGTACATACCGTTCTTTCCACAGATAACCCTTCTTACATTCACACATGAAGCCTTCAGGTTTGTCTATACAACGCTGCCTCTCCCTGTTACAGCTGTGATGGTTATTCAAACACTCATTCTCAGTGACGCATTTGGTGAACACCCACTGTGGGGGACCCATCGATAGGCGTAGATAGGGATTTTCCTGTGCTAGAAGTAACACACCTAACAGAATGTTAATAACAGGAGTCAGATCTTTAACATCCGCTTTCCGGTACCCATAAATAGGTAAAGAAAGGGTTTGTCCTCTACACAAAACTATATAAAAAAACTAAAAAAACACAGCTGCCTTAATCCTCAATAACTTTCAACTTTCTTTACTCTAATCCACTCTAATAAACTCAAAGGTAAAGTGTTAACAAGATAAAATAATGGTTAATGTTCTAAAAGTTTTAAAGGATTTGGCTGAGCTATTAAGTTTGATACAATAAATCACAGAAGGGAGGTAGCTCCTACGAAAAACATCAAAATACCAAATACATTGTATTATTGGTAACGTACAGCAGTTACTTTCAGAGAATATGATTAAAGCTTATGCTGAGAAAGCACAAAAGCATTCAGTCATTCTCAAGGAAATACCTCCAATGAACAAGAGGCCCATAGGGCCTTAACGGCCATTTGACTTTAATGAGATTTATGTGAAAGTGGCTAAATATGCCTAAACAAGACCACTTTGTCGGTTCATAGAAACATTTTCTGCAAACCTGAAATCCTATTTGCAACTACATAAATATGGCTCTGGACCAATTGATTTGAAACCTCAACTCATTTGACCCCTGTGACCTTGAAAGTGGGGTAAAGGTCATTTATTTCAACACACTTGGTAGCCATTCATCTCATCATGCTACAGAACCACTATCAGCACCCTAGGCCATTTGGGTACCGAGAAGAAGTTATTTGAATGGAAACATGATAGCTATAGGTCATCCTGACCCTTTTGGTCAAATGACCTAAAAATAACTTACAGCATATCTTGAGTACTGATCCCATTATTAGTGCCCATCAGAATTGTTTGAGACAATTACCAGCTCCAAACTTTCATAAACAGTTGAAAAAAAAGCATTTTACCCCTCTTTCCAGCAAAGAAACCTTACCTGGCTCTTCTCCTTCACCTGGCACTTCTCCTTCACCTTGCACCTCTCCTTCATCTGGCTCCACCACATGTTCATCACATCGACCCCCTATGGGGCTATTCACACCTCCCTTCATACAAACTCCCAAGCCATTGAGTCCTAAGAAAGCACACCAGCCACAGCCTGGAGCCTGAAGGCACTCTGAGCACCAGCCATACTCCTTACATGGGCGTGGACATTTGCTTCTTGCTGCTTGGATAATGAGGCCGCATTCTCCACCAGCACAGTGGAGATGGTGGTAGGCAGGTGGCATGCACTGCAATTAACAAGTAACAGTTCCTATAGATAAACATTATTTACCCCAGTTTATCAATAAAACTTAAGTTATATCCTAAACTTGGCAATAATGGATCGAAAGAATGTGATTGGTGGGCACTGAAGAGGGAGAGAGAGAGAGAGAGAGAGAGAGAGAGAGAGAGAGGGAGAGAGAGAGAGAAACAAAGTTATACTATTGTAGAATATGACTGGCCAGTAATGAAGAGGTAGAGAAGCAAAGTAATAATCCTGTGGTGACATTACTTAAAAATCACAAACCTCCTGTAACATCTCACTCCAGATACATTCCTTAGAACCTCCTTCACTTCCCGTTGACTTGAGACAGGAGGTACAGGTACGATAGGTGTGACATCGGGCTGGACAGATATCCTGGGACTGTGAGCGCTCGAGAGGTCCTTCTGTCACCGTCCTCAACAGGAAACATCCCCACTCAAATGGCTGATTTCCTGTTAGGATCAGGGTCTTTTCAGCTGAAATTCAAGTAGTTTGTATTAAAATAAAACTGTGGCATTTCATGGAACAAAATATTACCTTAAAGTAGCAGTTTGTGTTTAACTTAGCATACCTAATGGTTGACTTGCAGTATAAATTTTGCATTAAATGGCTGACTTATTTAAACTCACCTTTTCGTTTGATGTTATTGGCCCAAAGACAGCTATTAGCATGGCACTTATCACAGTCTGAGGCTGTACAGGAGAACTCTTCACACTGCCCTGCCTCCAGCTTCACTTGGTTCAGAGTGTTTGCGTCACACTCATTTTCTAGCTTACATTCACCATCAAAAGGGATGCACTTACCCTTGGGACAGTTGGTGCACCATTTACACGCCTAAAATACAAAGCAGTGCATCATTTTTGTTTCATATAACATGAAAACATTTGCAAGATATCAACTTAATATTGGTATATGGGCAATGCGATTCTTTGTCCCCTCATCAACACTTATCAAGATGAAAACCTTTGTCCCCTCATCAGCTCTCATCAATGTATTGTATACAAAATGAAAACTTTTGTCCCCTCATCAGCTTTCATCAATACACTTTATACAAAATGAAAACTTTTGTCCCCTCACCAGCTCTTATCAATATATTGTATAAAAGATGAAAACCTTTCCCGCCTCGTCAGCACTCATCACTGTGTTATTAAAAAAGATGCAATATTTTGTCCCCTCATCACCAATGTTAAATATACTGTATACAAGAGGTAAATCTTTAACCTGACATCAGCACTTATCAATATATTGTGTATGAGATTAGGCAGAAAGGGTGAAGTTACCTTGGAATAATTCTGTTTGAAGTGAGGAAAGGTAGCAAGGCAATGGGAGCAGTCTTTGTATTGGTAACAGGAACGCTCAAGGTGCCACTGTAGACTACACTGCTCTCCAGTAATTACTGTCACATGGGGTGCCTCACAGCTATAATAGACATATACACTGGATTTTTTAAACAGTGTGGCCATTGTATAAAATGAACATGCCATCATAAACAAAGTAGAAATGTTAATCAATCAAATTATTATAGATTACATACACTAAAATGTGAATCAATCAAATTATTATAGATTGCATACACTAAAATGTGAATCAATCAAATTATTATAGATTGCATACACTAAAATGTGAATCAATCAAATTTGTGAATCAATCAAATTATTATAGATTGCATACACTAAAATGTGAATCAATCAAATTATTATAGATTGCATACTCTAAACTGTGAATCAATCAAATTATTATAGATTGCATACACTAAAATGTGAATCAATCAAATTATTATAGATTGCATACACTAAAATGTGAATCAATCAAATTTGTGAATCAATCAAATTATTATAGATTGCATACACTAAAATGTGAATCAATCAAATTATTATAGATTGCATACACTAAAATGTGAATCAATCAAATTATTATAGATTGCATACTCTAAACTGTGAATCAATCAAATTATTATAGATTGCATACACTAAAATGTGAATCGATTAAATTATCATAGATTGCATTAATTTGATACCTTATTACTGTAACCAAGACAAAGAAAACTGACAAGAAAACAAATACAGAGTTAGTATAAGGCCTGTACCTTTTCAAGTATCTTTACCTTGTGATACTAACAAAGCATCCTTAAATAGACAGGTCCAGGCTGATATTTTGCATCATCTCATTCTCATTAACACACTGAATGAGATTTTGTTACAGTATGTCAGCCGGTGATCAAGGTAAAAATGCATATTTCATTAATCTGTTTGCATACTTTACGTACAATGCAGGCTCTGGCCGACTGTTGGAGTAACAGTACGTCCTGTTCTGGGCCCCAGGAGTGGACATGATACAGGCAGAACAGCCTGAGGAGTTGACACAGCGGTTGAGGTCTCCAATCAGGCTACACACATCACTGGGCAGGTCAAGCTTGATAATCTCACTGTGAACAAAGTGGTCCAGACCTCCCATCACATATATACTATTGTTTACCACAGCAGAGCTTGGTGCCAACACAGAGTGTAGAGGTCGACTGAAGGACACATCTGCAATAAATATGTACTAGTTTAACATACTACTCGACCCATTAACGACTACAAAAGTGAAGCCTATTGTAAAATTTCAATATTTTGTTTTTGTATCTATATCATATTTACTGGGTGTAATTTCACAAACAATATGAGGGAAAATCCCAGTCAGATACAAGCAACATACAAGCTAAGATCAGAGCTGTAATGTACACGCATATTCTATAAATGTACAAGGACATTTAAACAGTCTATTTATGTTATTATCACTTGACTTGACTGATGATAATGGATTGTATGGAAATATCTAAAACATTCATATGATATAAAATTTAGATGCATTTGCAAACTTCGATTAAATAAATGCCTTGGAGTAATATCAATCCTACAGTAGATCACAGTTACAATGGTAAATTCAACATCTTCTATACACACCTCCTAAATCAAATTTGTGCCAATAGTTACAGAGGTATCGATAGATGAGGATGCTGTTAGAGAAGTTGGAGTTGTCTGTTCGTCCTCCCATCACTACCATGTAGTCTCCCATGTCTACTGCTGTGTGAAGAAAGCGGGCATCCTTCTACAAAATAAACACATCTATCATGACATAAATTATAATTCAATCAAATATAGACCAGAGGAAAGACTTACCTGACTAACTCTCCTAAGCTTATAGGACCTGCCTTACCTGACTAACTCTCCTAAGCTTATAGGACTTGCCTTACCTGACTAACTCTCCTTAGCTTATAGGACTTGCCTTACCTGACTAACTCTCCTAAGCTTATAGGACTTGCCTTACCTGACCAACTCTCCTTAGCTTATAGGACCTGCCTTACCTGACTAACTCTCCTAAGCTTATAGGACCTGCCTTACCTGACTAACTCTCCTAAGCTTATAGGACCTGCCTTACCTGACTAACTCTCCTTAGCTTATAGGACTTGCCTTACCTGACTAACTCTCCTAAGCTTATAGGACTTGCCTTACCTGACTAACTCTCCTAAGCTTATAGGACCTGCCTTACCTGACTAACTCTCCTTAGCTTATAGGACTTGCCTCACCTGACTAACTCTCCTAAGCTTATAGGACTTGCCTTACCTGACTAACTCTCCTTAGCTTATAGGACTTGCCTCACCTGACTAACTCTCCTTAGCTTATAGGACTTGCCTCACCTGACTAACTCTCCTTAGCTTATAGGACTTGCCTCACCTGACTAACTCTCCTTAGCTTATAGGACCTGCCTTACCTGACCAACTCTCCTTAGCTTACAGGACTTGCCTTACCTAACTACACTCCTCAGCCTGTAGGACCTGCCTTACCTGACTACCCTCCTCAGTCTATAGGACTTGAGTACAGACTTGCTGTAACTACCCTCTACTGCTATAGGATTTGAATAAGACTTACCTAACTACCCTCTGCTGTCTGTAGGATTTGAGTACAGACTTACTGTAACTACCCTCTACTGCTATAGGATTTGAATAAGACTTACCTAACTACCCTCTGCTGTCTGTAGGATTTGAGTACAGACTTACCTAACTACCCTCTGCTGTCTGTAGGATTTGAGTACAGACTTACTGTAACTACCCTCTACTGCTACAGGATTTGAATAAGACTTACCTAACTACCCTCTGCTGTCTGTAGGATTTGAGTACAGACTTACTGTAACTACCCTCTGCTGTCTGTAGGATTTAAATACGACTTACCTGACTACCCTCCTCAGCCTGGAGGACATTCCATTCTTTCTTGTCATTCTCTAGATTCAAAACATACAGCTGGTCTGATACTGAGAATTTATCAATATGAAACAACATCCCTCCGTAGACAAAGATGGCATTTGTTTGTTCATGATAAACTGCGGTATGTCCATACAATCCTGTTAACAAAGAAAAAAAATGTTGAAATTACTGCTTTTCTAAAATATAAAACAACCTTCACTAAAATTTTTTCTATCTGTAAAACTTTTCACATTATCTATCAAATTTTCTATTGCTATTCAGAATGGATACCTTTCTTAAGGTGAAAGCCCTTTTTTGACTTAAAATCTTACCTAAAGGAACAGCTCCATCCAAACTACCCCGATCATACTCTGACCATGCCTTTCCATGCTCCACGTTGGTATCAAACATGTAGATCATGTTGGAGAAGTAGTTTTCTGTTGAGAATCCCCCAATGATAAGTAGCTTAGTTTCCTCTATTCGTGTCATAGTGTGTCCAGCCACAGGTTTTACCAGGGCTGGTACCTGTATAACAGTCACATACCATGTCATTGTCATAATATAGAACTTCATTCATATAAGGACAACTACAATCACTCAATGACATGTCTGTCTACTTGTACAGTATAACTACAATCACTCAATGACATGTCTGTCTACTTGTACAGTATAACTACAATCACTCAATGACATGTCTGTCTACTTGTACAGTATAACTACAGTCACTCCATGACATGTCTGTCTACTTGTACAGTATAACTACAATCACTCAATGACATGTCTGTCTACTTGTACAGTAAAACTACAATCACTCAATGACATGTCTGTCTACTTGTACAGTATAACTACAATCACTCAATGACATGTCTGTCTACTTGTACAGTATAACTACAGTCACTCCATGACATGTCTGTCTACTTGTACAGTATAACTACAATCACTCAATGACATGTCTGTCTACTTGTACAGTAAAACTACAGTCACTCCATGACATGTCTGTCTACTTGTACAGTATAACTACAATCACTCAATGACATGTCTGTCTACTTGTACAGTAAAACTACAATCACTCAATGACATGTCTGTCTACTTGTACAGTATAACTACAGTCACTCCATGACATGTCTGTCTACTTGTACAGTAAAACTACAATCACTCAATGACATGTCTGTCTACTTGTACAGTAAAACTACAATCACTCAATGACATGTCTGTCTACTTGTACAGTATAACTACAATCACTCAATGACATGTCTGTCTACTTGTACAGTAAAACTACAATCACTCAATGACATGTCTGTCTACTTGTACAGTATAACTACAGTCACTCCATGACATGTCTGTCTACTTGTACAGTATAACTACAATCACTCAATGACATGTCTGTCTACTTGTACAGTATAACTACAATCACTCAATGACATGTCTGTCTACTTGTACAGTATAACTACAATCACTCAATGACATGTCTGTCTACTTGTACAGTATAACTACAGTCACTCCATGACATGTCTGTCTACTTGTACAGTATAACTACAATCACTCAATGACATGTCTGTCTACTTGTACAGTATAACTACAATCACTCAATGACATGTCTGTCTACTTGTACAGTATAACTACAATCACTCAATGACATGTCTGTCTACTTGTACAGTATAACTACAGTCACTCAATGACATGTCTGTCTACTTGTACAGTATAACTACAATCACTCAATGACATGTCTGTCTACTTGTACAGTATAACTACAATCACTCAATGACATGTCTGTCTACTTGTACAGTACAACTACAATCACTCAATGACATGTCTGTCTACTTGTACAATGTGATAAACGGAGTTTCATTTATCATTATATAAGGGCAGTATACCTGCAATCTCCATGTTTACTAACCGACATACGTGTCCACTTGCGCCCACCAATAGAGAAGCTCCAGAGCTCATTGGAAGCCTTGTATTTCTGGTTACCAGTCCTGTCTTTGATGAATCCTCCATATATAAACAGCTGTCTCTTTATAGGAATACAGGCAGCAGCGTGGTAATACCTGGGTAACAATGATACAAGGTAAAATCATCAGTGCATGTTGGATAACGTGTAAAATCATAATTGAAAGGGGATCTAGCAACAGACGTAGACAGCAATTATGAGATACTATGGAGTGAATACAAATTAGGAATGTTGAAGGATCCAGGAGATATCTTATATACAAGTTTTGAGCTACAGACACACAGACAAACATACTAAGTGATAAATACATCCCTCTCTTTACTAACAGGTGGTAATGTTACAATATAGTGAAACCTGAATTAAGACCAATCTCATTACTAAGACCACCTTACAATTAAGACCATCTCATTACTGAGACCACCTTGCAATTAGGACCATCTCATTACTAAGACCACCTTGCAATTAGGACCATCTCATTACTGAGACCACCTTGCAATTAGGACCATCTCATTACTAAGACCACCTTGCAATTAAGACATCTCATTACTAAGACCACCTTGCAATTATACCATCTCATTACTAAGACCACCTTACAATTAAGACCATCTCATTACTAAGACCACCTTGCAATTAGGACCATCTCATTACTAAGACCACCTTGCAATTAAGACCATCTCATTACTAAGACCACCTTGCAATTAAGACCATCTCATTACTAAGACCACCTTGCAATTAAGACCATCTCATTACTAAGACCACCTTGCAATTAAGACCATCTCATTACTAAGACCACCTTACAATTAAGACCATCTCATTACTGAGACCACCTTGCAATTAGGACCATCTCATTACTAAGACCACCTTGCAATTAGGACCATCTCATTACTGAGACCACCTTGCAATTAGGACCATCTCATTACTAAGACCACCTTGCAATTAAGACATCTCATTACTAAGACCACCTTGCAATTATACCATCTCATTACTAAGACCACCTTACAATTAAGACCATCTCATTACTAAGACCACCTTGCAATTAGGACCATCTCATTACTAAGACCACCTTGCAATTAAGACCATCTCATTACTAAGACCACCTTGCAATTAAGACCATCTCATTACTAAGACCACCTTGCAATTAAGACCATCTCATTACTAAGACCACCTTGCAATTAAGACCATCTCATTACTAAGACCACCTTGCAATTAAGACCATCTCATTACTAAGACCACCTTGCAATTAAGACCAGTTTTAGAAAGTCTTAAAAGGCCAGTTTTACATTGAAATTCATCTCACTAATCTGACCACAGACCAGTCACAAAGTTGCCTGATGTGTATCCCACTGTTATGTTAGATATGAGATAACTTAGGTTTATTCAAGATTCAAACCTGGACATTAGTTTATTTAATGGTATAATCTGGTTAAATGACGGAGAAAATAGGGACAAATGTAACCATAAGGGTAATCTGTATGCTTGGTCACACTCACTATTCAGACCATCCCAATATTTAAGACCATCGGTGTTCAGTCTCAGAGGTAGTCTTAATAGTAAGGTCTCACTGTATTTTGTTAAGATTTCATTATGTTTACAACATAAAAATATGACTTGAGGTTTAGTAATACACTAGTTTTATACAAGTACATTACCTGCTCTCTGGTTCATCGATGGTAATCGGCATGATTTGGTTCCACTTGTTTCGGGTGATGTTAAATACCCACAGATCATTGAGTAGCCCCTTCTCTAGAGAATGACCTCCGAACATGTAGAGCAGCTCATCTCCACAGGCTGTAAGGGTGTGGCCATACCTGTTCCACTGACCAAACAGGCCCCTAAGACGTGGTACTGCTTGGTAGAACCAGGGTAACAGCTCAATACTGTAGTTAGCTCCCCCCTGGAAGTTACCTTGACATCTACATGAATATCTCTCCTGAAAAAAGATTCAAACAATAAATATAAGAAGGGCCCACTGATTCTACATTTGCTGTTGTTAAATAACACTTGGGGGGGGTGGGATGGGAGAGAGAATTACGTCCTTCAAACCAAGGGACATAAAACTCCAAAGATGTCGAAGAAACACATTAGAATCACTATGTTAACCCATTTATCACTCACCTGTATAAAGGTACAGTTGTCTGTACAGATGTAGTTGTCACAGTCAGGACCATCATGGCCACTCTCACAGATACAGCGGTCACCCTCACACACTTTGTTTGTGGAGCACACAGAGGGACATTTGTTCATGTGATAGCTGGCATTAAATCCAGGTATACGATGGTCTGATTGAGAAAATACTGTTCATATCAGCAAACAATCACTTTCACAAAATAGTAAAATAAAATTGATTTAGAGAACATGTATATGAAGTTAATGGCATGCTTCATCAATATGATTAGAATAATTCAGCCTCTAACCTTTGATAATTAAAAAATAATCTCAACACAGTGATCACAATAATTTATACTTCAGCCTTTGGTGATTACAATAATTTATACTTCAGCCTTTGGTGATTACAATAATTTATACTTCAGCCTTTGGTGATTACAATAATTTATACTTCAGCCTTTGGTGATTACAATAATTTATACTTCAGCCTTTGGTGATTACAATAATTTATACTTCAGCCTTTGGTGATTACAATAATTTATACTTCAGCCTTTGGTGATTACAATAATTTATACTTCAGCCTTTGGTGATTACAATAATTTATACTTCAGCCTTTGGTGATTACAATAATTTATACTTCAGCCTTTGGTGATTACAATAATTTATACTTCAGCCTTTGGTGATTACAATAATTTATACTTCAGCCTTTGGTGATTACAATAATTTATACTTCAGCCTTTGGTGATTACAATAATTTATACTTCAGCCTTTGGTGATTACAATAATTTATACTTCAGCCTTTGGTGATTACAATAATTTATACTTCAGCCTTTGGTGATTACAATAATTTATACTTCAGCCTTTGGTGATTACAATAATTTATACTTCAGCCTTTGGTGATTACAATAATTTATACTTCAGCCTTTGGTGATTACAATAATTTATACTTCAGCCTTTGGTGATTACAATAATTTATACTTCAGCCTTTGGTGATTACAATAATTTATACTTCAGCCTTTGGTGATTACAATAATTTATACTTCAGCCTTTGGTGATTACAATAATTTATACTTCAGCCTTTGGTGATCACAATAATTTATACTTCAGCCTTTGGTGATTACAATAATTTATACTTCAGCCTTTGGTGATTACAATAATTTATACTTCAGCCTTTGGTGATTACAATAATTTATACTTCAGCCTTTGGTGATCACAATAATTTATACTTCAGCCTTTGGTGATTACAATAATTTATACTTCAGCCTTTGGTGATTACAATAATTTATACTTCAGCCTTTGGTGATTACAATAATTTATACTTCAGCCTTTGGTGATTACAATAATTTATACTTCAGCCTTTGGTGATTACAATAATTTATACTTCAGCCTTTGGTGATTACAATAATTTATACTTCAGCCTTTGGTGATCACAATAATTTATACTTCAGCCTTTGGTGATTACAATAATTTATACTTCAGCCTTTGGTGATTACAATAATTTATACTTCAGCCTTTGGTGATCACAATAATTTATACTTCAGCCTTTGGTGATTACAATAATTTATACTTCAGCCTTTGGTGATTACAATAATTTATACTTCAGCCTTTGGTGATTACAATAATTTATACTTCAGCCTTTGGTGATTACAATAATTTATACTTCAGCCTTTGGTGATTACAATAATTTATACTTCAGCCTTTGGTGATTACAATAATTTATACTTCAGCCTTTGGTGATTACAATAATTTATACTTCAGCCTTTGGTGATTACAATAATTTATACTTCAGCCTTTGGTGATTACAATAATTTATACTTCAGCCTTTGGTGATTACAATAATTTATACTTCAGCCTTTGGTGATTACAATAATTTATACTTCAGCCTTTGGTGATTACAATAATTTATACTTCAGCCTTTGGTGATTACAATAATTTATACTTCAGCCTTTGGTGATTACAATAATTTATACTTCAGCCTTTGGTGATTACAATAATTTATACTTCAGCCTTTGGTGATTACAATAATTTATACTTCAGCCTTTGGTGATTACAATAATTTATACTTCAGCCTTTGGTGATTACAATAATTTATACTTCAGCCTTTGGTGATTACAATAATTTATACTTCAGCCTTTGGTGATTACAATAATTTATACTTCAGCCTTTGGTGATTACAATAATTTATACTTCAGCCTTTGGTGATTACAATAATTTATACTTCAGCCTTTGGTGATTACAATAATTTATACTTCAGCCTTTGGTGATTACAATAATTTATACTTCAGCCTTTGGTGATCACAATAATTTATACTTCAGCCTTTGGTGATCACAATAATTTATACTTCAGCCTTTGGTGATCACAATAATTTATACTTCAGCCTTTGGTGATTACAATAATTTATACTTCAGCCTTTGGTGATTACAATAATTTATACTTCAGCCTTTGGTGATTACAATAATTTATACTTCAGCCTTTGGTGATTACAATAATTTATACTTCAGCCTTTGGTGATTACAATAATTTATACTTCAGCCTTTGGTGATTACAATAATTTATACTTCAGCCTTTGGTGATTACAATAATTTATACTTCAGCCTTTGGTGATCACAATAATTTATACTTCAGCCTTTGGTGATTACAATAATTTATACTTCAGCCTTTGGTGATTACAATAATTTATACTTCAGCCTTTGGTGATTACAATAATTTATACTTCAGCCTTTGGTGATCACAATAATTTATACTTCAGCCTTTGGTGATCACAATAATTTATACTTCAGCCTTTGGTGATTACAATAATTTATACTTCAGCCTTTGGTGATTACAATAATTTATACTTCAGCCTTTGGTGATTACAATAATTTATACTTCAGCCTTTGGTGATTACAATAATTTATACTTCAGCCTTTGGTGATTACAATAATTTATACTTCAGCCTTTGGTGATCACAATAATTTATACTTCAGCCTTTGGTGATTACAATAATTTATACTTCAGCCTTTGGTGATTACAATAATTTATACTTCAGCCTTTGGTGATTACAATAATTTATACTTCAGCCTTTGGTGATCACAATAATTTATACTTCAGCCTTTGGTGATTACAATAATTTATACTTCAGCCTTTGGTGATTACAATAATTTATACTTCAGCCTTTGGTGATTACAATAATTTATACTTCAGCCTTTGGTGATTACAATAATTTATACTTCAGCCTTTGGTGATTACAATAATTTATACTTCAGCCTTTGGTGATTACAATAATTTATACTTCAGCCTTTGGTGATTACAATAATTTATACTTCAGCCTTTGGTGATTACAATAATTTATACTTCAGCCTTTGGTGATTACAATAATTTATACTTCAGCCTTTGGTGATTACAATAATTTATACTTCAGCCTTTGGTGATTACAATAATTTATACTTCAGCCTTTGGTGATTACAATAATTTATACTTCAGCCTTTGGTGATTACAATAATTTATACTTCAGCCTTTGGTGATTACAATAATTTATACTTCAGCCTTTGGTGATTACAATAATTTATACTTCAGCCTTTGGTGATTACAATAATTTATACTTCAGCCTTTGGTGATTACAATAATTTATACTTCAGCCTTTGGTGATTACAATAATTTATACTTCAGCCTTTGGTGATTACAATAATTTATACTTCAGCCTTTGGTGATTACAATAATTTATACTTCAGCCTTTGGTGATTACAATAATTTATACTTCAGCCTTTGGTGATTACAATAATTTATACTTCAGCCTTTGGTGATTACAATAATTTATACTTCAGCCTTTGGTGATTACAATAATTTATACTTCAGCCTTTGGTGATTACAATAATTTATACTTCAGCCTTTGGTGATTACAATAATTTATACTTCAGCCTTTGGTGATTACAATAATTTATACTTCAGCCTTTGGTGATTACAATAATTTATACTTCAGCCTTTGGTGATTACAATAATTTATACTTCAGCCTTTGGTGATTACAATAATTTATACTTCAGCCTTTGGTGATTACAATAATTTATACTTCAGCCTTTGGTGATTACAATAATTTATACTTCAGCCTTTGGTGATTACAATAATTTATACTTCAGCCTTTGGTGATTACAATAATTTATACTTCAGCCTTTGGTGATCACAATAATTTATACTTCAGCCTTTGGTGATCACAATAATTTATACTTCAGCCTTTGGTGATCACAATAATTTATACTTCAGCCTTTGGTGATTACAATAATTCAACCTTTGACATAAGCTGATTAGGTGATAATAATTCAACCTTCAGCCTCACACTGAACTTCTGGCTTTGGATGAAGAAATACAATCATTTAACCTCTGACCTTGGATAACATTGATTTAACCTCTGACCTTATAATTTGGTGACTAAAATAATTCAACCTTTAGCCCTACACTTAACTTCTGGCTTTGGATGAAGAAATACAATCATTTAACCTCTGACCTTATAATTTGGTGACTAAAATAATTCAACCTTTGGCCCTACACTTAACTTCTGGCTTTGGATGAAGAAATACAATCATTTAACCTCTGACCTTATAATTTGGTGACTAAAATAATTCAACCTTTGGCCCTACACTTAACTTCTGGCTTTGGATGAAGAAATACAATCATTTAACCTCTGACCTTATAATTTGGTGACTAAAATAATTCAACCTTTGGCCCTACACTTAACTTCTGGCTTTGGATGAAGAAATACAATCATTTAACCTCTGACCTTATAATTTGGTGACTAAAATAATTCAACCTTTGGCCCTACACTTAACTTCTGGCTTTGGATGAAGAAATACAATCATTTAACCTCTGACCTAATAATTTGGTGACTAAAATAATTCAACCTTTGGCCCTACACTTAACTTCTGGCTTTGGATGAAGAAATACAATCATTTAACCTCTGACCTTATAATTTGGTGACTAAAATAATTCAACCTTTGGCCCTACACTTAACTTCTGGCTTTGGATGAAGAAATACAATCATTTAACCTCTGACCTAATAATTTGGTGACTAAAATAATTCAACCTTTGGCCCTACACTTAACTTCTGGCTTTGGATGAAGAAATACAATCATTTAACCTCTGACCTTATAATTTGGTGACTAAAATAATTCAACCTTTGGCCCTACACTTAACTTCTGGCTTTGGATGAAGAAATACAATCATTTAACCTCTGACCTTATAATTTGGTGACTAAAATAATTCAACCTTTGGCCCTACACTTAACTTCTGGCTTTGGATGAAGAAATACAATCATTTAACCTCTGACCTAATAATTTGGTGACTAAAATAATTCAACCTTTGGCCCTACACTTAACTTCTGGCTTTGGATGAAGAAATACAATCATTTAACCTCTGACCTTGGATAACTAATGGTATCAATGATTTCCAAGCACACAGTCAGCAGCCATTGCAGAGCGCTAAATAAGTTCTATGACAAATAGGAGGGTTGTATGATGAATACATATGGACTCAGAACCAACATCATTGTTACCAGTATCTAGAAACTGAATTGTTAGAAAAACCCAACTACACCATTGATACCAGTAACTAGAGCCTGAATCAGTAGAACAACCCCAGCTACACCATTAATGCCAGTATCTAGAGCCTGAATCAGCAGCGCAACCCCAGCTACACCACTGATGCCAGTATCTAGAGCCTGAATCAGTAGCGCAACCCCAGCTACACCACTGATGCCAGTATCTAGAGCCTGAATCAGTAGCGCAACCCCAGCTACACCATTGATGCCAGTATCTAGAGCCTGAATCAGTAGCGCAACCACAGCTACATCATTGATGCCAGTATCTAGAACCTGAATCAGTAGTCAGTAGCGCAATCCTAGCTACACCATTGATGACATAATCTAGAGCCTGAATCAGTAGCGCAATCCCAGCTTCATCATTGATGCCAGTATCTAGAGCCTGAATCAGTAGCGCAATCCCAGCTACACCATTGATGCCAGTATCTAGAGCCTGAATCAGTAGCGCAACCCCAGCTACACCATTGATGCCAGTATCTAGAGCCTGAATCAGTAGAACAACCCCAGCTACACCATTGATGCCAGTATCTAGAGCCTGAATCAGTAGCGCAATCCCAGCTACACCATTGATGCCAGTATCTAGAGCCTCAATTTTTACCTGCATATAGTAGGTGAAACAAAAGTTAAAGGGTTCAGCAGTGAAGCATGCTAAAGGAAAAGAAATAAAAAAACAATGAAAAGTTTACCTTTACGATCGTTGAATTCTAAGTTACTATAGACAGTGGGTAGGAAAAAATTGTCAGACATATCTGGAATGGAAAAAAGGGTGATTACTATAAATAGTGCCTGTCATGGGAATTTAACCAGTACAAATAAATGTATTGTACAATAATGAAAAGTAGTATCAAAACAAATGTAAACATAACAGGTGGAAGAGATTTTGTGTGACAATGGCAAGTAGGGAAAAGAAAAGAAAAGTGAGGATTACAGGATTGAGACTAGTCAAATGGAAAGGACTCTACATAAGCCTAAACATCCAGTTGCACAGTGGTCCTGCCCTCAACACAAATCATCTTTCAAACAGGGAAGTGCTATCCAGTTTTATAAATAACTTCCTTGTTCCAATTCTATTATTTCAAATTTGGACATTTCTTGTGACATCACCATGGTAACAACACAAATCCTACCCCAATTTTTGTCATCCAGTTCACACAAGTTAAATGTATCTCTGATATGTAATTTGTAATGTAGTTTACAACAAAGCTAATGACACTCAATGTAGAAATGTTAGTAAAATATGACAACGATAGAGAGAGGTTCATAAGGTTACAAGACAGGAATCTGATTGGTCAAATAATACCAACTTAATATTTTGTTTTAAAGTATAAAAAATCCATAAGATACAAGTGCATTAGGGGGGGGGAGCATATAGTAATAATAGTATGTTATACTTGCAAGAGGGTGATGCAGTTTCACTAGATAGATTTACAGATACAATCAATCTGTCACCAAGACAGCATGTACTAGCATGTATCTACAATATATATAAAACAATGGCATGATAACCTGTTTGTTGTCATTAAACAGTAAACCTCGGATGTTTCCAGTCCATTTATATTATTATTCGAGGATCTACGTATACCAGGACAACACGTGATGACCATCACATTCAACCAGGACAACACCGCAGCTAATATAGGTGTATGAACAAGAGATAGAGCTGATTTATAACAAATATCTAAAACTTACGTTTGGAGATGTCCGTTTCAAAGTAGATGGTAACAATCCGAGACTTAGCAAGGACAGAGTATCCCGCTTTCTTTCCACAAAATACACCCAGGAGTGTCCCAAATGCATCTTTATTGCCGTCAATGAAGTCTGGGATACCGTCATACACATACACATAATCCTGAAACAATGATATCTAATTAGCTTAGTGTAACCATGATTATCACTCTCAAAATGGCAGGTAGGGCTTACAGGAATACTAGAGCAAAAACAAAATGGCCAATTCAAAATGGCCAATTCACCTGTTTAATATCCTCTCATATAAATTCAACTTTCAGCTAGCCTTGGTAAAAAGATAGCATTAATGGTCTCCCCTAGCCTTGGTCTAGGACTGTGATCTCCCCTTGCCTTGATCTATGATAGTGATCTCCCCTAGTCTTGGTCTAGGACTGTGATCTCCCCTAGCCTTGATCTATGACAGTGATCTCCCCTAGCCTTGGTCTAGGACAGTGATCTCCCCTAGCCTTGGTCTATGACAGTGATCTCCCCTAGCCTTGATTAAGGACAGTGGTCTCCCCTAGCCTTGGTCTAGGACAGTGATCTCCCCTTGCCTTGATCCAGGACAGTGATCTTCCCTAGCCTTGATCTAGGACAGTGATCTCCCCTAGCCTTGGTCTAGGACCGTCATCTCCTCTAGCCTTGATCAAGGACAGTCATCTCCTCTAGCCTTGGTCTAAGATCTCCCCTAGCCTTGGTCTATGGCAATGATCTTTCCCAACCTTGGTCAATGAAAATGATCTCCCCCAGCATTGGTCTATATGACAACGATCTTACTCAGCCTCAAGTCAATGTCAATGATATCCCTCCCAGTCTCAGTCTGTGTCAATGATCTCACTCAGTCACAATCTGTGTCAATGACCTTATCCTGTTTAATTCTTTGTCAATGACTACCAAGTCTCAATCCATGTAAACTACATTACCCAGTCTATGTCTGTGTCAATGACCCTACCCAACCTCAGTTGGTATTTTTAACCTTACCCAGCCTCAGTTTGTGTCAATAACCTTACCCAGTCTAAGTTGGTGTCAAAGAACCTACCCAGCCTCAGTTGGTATCAATCACCTTACCCAGCCTCAGTCTGTGCCAATGACCTTACCCAGCCTCAGTTGGTGTCAATGACCCTACCCAGCCTCAGTCGGTACCAATGACCTTACCCAGCCTCAGTTGGTGTCAATGACCTTACCCAGTCAAAGCCGGTGTCAATGACCATACCCAGCCACAATCTGTGTCAATGACCTACCCAGTTTGTGTCAATGACCTTACCCAGCCTCAGTCTGTGTCACTGACCCTACCCAGCCTCAGTCTGTGTCACTGACCCTACCCAGCCTGAGTTGGTGTCAAAGACCTTACCCACCCTCAGTTGGTGTCAATGACCTTACCCAACCTCAGTTGGTGTCAATGACCTTACCCAGCCTCAGTTGGTGTCAATGACCTTACCCAGCCTCAGTTGGTGTCAATGACCTTACCCAGCCTCAGTTGGTGTCAATGACCTTACCCAGCCTCAGTTGGTGTCAATGACCTTACCCAACCTCAGTTGGTGTCAATGACCTTACCCACCCTCAGTTGGTGTCAATGACCGTACCCACCCTCAGTTGGTGTCAATGACCTTACCCAGCCTCAGTTGGTGTCAATGACCTTACCCAGCCTCAGTTGGTGTCAATGACCTTACCCACCCTCAGTTGGTGTCAATGACCTTACCCAGCCACAATCAGTGTCAATGTCCTCAATGGTGATGTTGATTGCAGGTGTGTCGTATTGTGAGTCCCCACGGACCGGCTCCAGTTTATCCCCACTGAGAGGGGCAATAATCCAAATACAGTAAGCATGCCATTTCTTCAGTCCGGTGCCCCTGTATGACCCAATATATCCACTAGTGCTATTTAGTACAGTGGGCGTGTCACAAGATCTGTAGCATCTACCTCCATTCCTGAAACATATACAGCAACATCAACCTTAAATCCTATAACATATTACACAGCAATATCTACCTCTTTTCCTGAAACATATACAGCAAAATCAACCTTAAATCCTACAACATATCACACAGTACCAACAACCATAATACATCATCATACTCCAACATCAGCCTTGAACCCTATAATATATTATAGAGCAATATCAATCTTGAATCCTATAACACAGCAACATCTACCTTCATTCCTGAAACATATTATACAGCAACATTAACCTTAAACCGTATAATATATTATAGAGCAACATTAACCTTAAACCCTTAAATATTATATCGCACCATCAACCTCAAATCCTATAATATATGGCTTATTTACCTGATATTAATTTTCTTCAACAACCTCAGCTTATATATTACATAATTAACATTGACCTTAGGTTTTTCTAGAAGGTTTGCTTTATTCTATAAAAACTTCACTTGGCTCTTTACTAGAAGTGAGCAGAAAAACAAAAACTCAACTTTGTTGTCTTCAGACGTATACTTACTCTGGGTTGCCATAGTGACCTTCTTCACAGACCTCACAGTGATCTCCAGTGGTGTGATCCACACAATGGCACTGACCAGTCGCAGAACACAGACCCAGTTCAACATCACCATGACCATTACACTTACATGGTTCACAGCCTGTCAAAAACAGAATAGAATGGAGAGATATGTCACACTAACATAATAATATCCTGATTATTTCCTGGAAATTTTTAATGTCAATGGGTAGAGCCTATTCGTTTATATCAATGATGACAGAACAAATATCAAACTAGCTTACCTATTTTGTCCATAAAATCTTGTCAAAATTCTGTCATAGAATTTGTCTATCAGTCGGTTTGCATGCTACACACCCTAAATTTGTCTATAGGTCAGCTTGTATGCTACACACCCTAAATTTGTCTATAAGTCAGCTTGTATGCTACATATCCTAAATTTGTCTATCAGTCGGTTTGCATGCTACACACCCTAAATTTGTCTATCAGGCAGTTTGTATGCTACACCTAAATTTGTCTATAAGTCAGCTTGCATGCTACACACCCTAAATTTGTCTATCAGTCGGTTTGCATGCTACACACCCTAAATTTGTCTATAAGTCAGTTTGTATGCTACATACCCTAAATTTGTCTATAAGTCAGCTTGTATGCTACATACCCTAAATTTGTCTATAAGTCAGCTTGTATGCTACACACCCTAAATTTGTCTATAAGTCAGCTTGTATGCTACATACCCTAAATTTTTCTATAAGTCAGCTTGTATGCTACACACCCTAAATTTGTCTATAAGTCAGCTTGTATGCTACACACCCTAAATTTGTCTATAAGTCAGTTTGTATGCTACATACCCTGAATTTGTCTATAAGTCAGCTTGTATGCTACACACCCTAAATTTGTCTATAAGTCAGTTTGTATGCTACACACCCTAAATTTGTCTATAAGTCAGCTTGTATGCTACATACCCTAAATTTTTCTATAAGTCAGTTTGTATGCTACATACCCTAAATTTGTCTATAAGTCAGTTTGTATGCTACATACCCTGAATTTGTCTATAAGTCAGCTTGTATGCTACACACCCTAAATTTGTCTATAAGTCAGCTTGTATGCTACACACCCTAAATTTGTCTATAAGTCAGTTTGTATGCTACACACCCTAAATTTGTCTATAAGTCAGTTTGTATGCTACACACCCTAAATTTGTCTATAAGTCAGCTTGTATGCTACATACCCTAAATTTGTCTATAAGTCAGCTTGTATGCTACATACCCTAAATTTTTCTATAAGTCAGTTTGTATGCTACACACCCTAAATTTGTCTATAAGTCAGTTTGTATGCTACACACCCTAAATTTGTCTATAAGTCAGCTTGTATGCTACATACCCTAAATTTGTCTATCAGGCAGTTTGTATGCTACATACCCATAAGGTTAGCAGGATCTCCATGGAAGCCAGGCACACACTTTTCACAGTGATGTCCAGTAGTGTTATGTTGACATTCGTCACACAAACCAACACCCTGACTACAGGTGCTGCGAAGATTACAATGGCAGCTCGTGTTACAGTCAGGTCCTGTGTAGCCGAGTCTACAGTGACACTCATAGTCTGGTGCTTCAGAACAATTCCCATGTACACATGTATAGTGACACCTGTAAACAAAAGGAATCATCAGGAAAGGGGAGATAATAGGAAAAAAAAATTATCATATATAATTAAGTACATCAGTAGAAAATGGAGACACTCAAGCAGATATTATGAAATAAAAAATTAATAGTTACAACAAAAGAGAGGGGAGACAATTTATTTATAATTCCTTGATTAACACATTACCTAATGTGCCTCTTCATTTTTCCTATTGTATCTGGTGCATTTAAAAAATCAGGTAAAGAAACAAAACGTTATGGAAACCCTGTCAGCTTGCAACAAATTGAAAGTACAGGCATTAGGATGTGTAAAATATAAGTAGAAGATTATGGTATCAGAATGTCCTACGTTTTCAGGCAGTGCTGACCATCCCCTTTGAAGCCTCGGTTACAATGACACAAGTAGCTGCCGTCGATGTTCTCACAAGTTGCATTGTCATGGCAGTTATGGAACCCAAGGATACACTCGTTAACTTCGGGGCAACGCTGATATGACCAGTCAGCCAACTGCACTTCTGTTCTGTTCTGTATGTCATGCATGATGACGGAACAGTTCTGTCCGTAATATGGTCCTGATAGCAGAAAAATTTCCAAAATAACACTTCAATACTATATATATCATGTCACTTTAGTATCAAATATCATGTCACTACCCTATCAAATATTATGTCACTATACTATCAAATATTATGTCACTCTACTATCATCAAATATATCATGTCACTTCACTCTCATATATCATTTCACTATACTATAAAATATATATCATATCACTAAAATATCAACTTTATCATGTTTCCATACTATCAGTGTTATCACATCATCATAAAATCAATTATATCATATTCTTATACTATCAAGTAAACCATATCACTGTCCTATGTTGAAGTGTACCTGCAAAGTCTCCGTCAACACAGCGACCTATAGAGGGATTATCGGAGTCACTACACCAGCCACATCCATACATGTCTAGACATGTCTCACAAACTGTGTGAGATGAACAGTTCTTACAGCTATAGGACTCAATTCCTTCACTGTCCATCCACTCACGACATTGACCATTGACAAAGCGTGAGATGTAGTGGGCAAAAGGAAGACAAGTCCCTGTATTCTCACACCAGAAACATTCACTGTTGGGTAGTATACAGGAACTGCATGACCTTCGTCTGGAGAACAGAAAACTCAATCATATATCATAACAATACACATATACAAACATTTTTACTTCTAGAATAAGATATGCATACACCAAAGTTCCAGTTTGTTTTTGAGCAATGGGGTGGGGAAAGGGTATATAGTAAGGAGTAAGGTGTGACAGAACTTACTGGTGACATTCAATAGGACAGTTGTGGGATGATTTAACTGGGAGATGTGACAGAGCTTACTGGTGACATTCAATGGGACAGTTGTTGGGGGGATTTATCTAGATGTGACAGAACTTACTGGTGACATTCAATAGGACAGTTGTTGGGGGGATTTATCTTGGAGATGTGACAGAACTTACTGGTAACATTCAATAGGACAGTTGTGGGAGTGGGGATTTATCTAGATGTGACAGAACTTACTGGTGACATTCAATAGGACAGTTGTGGGAGGGGGGATTTATCTAGGAGATGTGACAGAACTTACTGGTAACATTCAATAGGACAGTTGTGGGAGGGGGGATTTATCTAGGAGATGTGACAGAACTTACTGGTAACATTCAATAGGACAGTTGTGGGAGTGGGGATTTATCTAGATGTGACAGAACTTACTGGTGACATTCAATAGGACAGTTGTGGGAGGGGGGATTTATCTAGGAGATGTGACAGAACTTACTGGTAACATTCAATAGGACAGTTGTGGGAGGGGGGATTTATCTAGGAGATGTGACAAAACTTACTGGTAACATTCAATAGGACAGTTGTGGGAGGGGGGATTTATCTAGGAGATGTGACAGAACTTACTGGTAACATTCAATAGGACAGTTGTGGGAGGGGGGATTTATCTAGGAGATGTGACAGAACTTACTGGTAACATTCAATAGGACAGTTGTGGGAATGGGGATTTATCTAGGAGATGTGACAGAACTTACTGGTGACATTCGATGGGACATTTTGCAGGATCCTTGATCATTGTATGGGTCCTCCATCTCCTAGTACATCTCACATCTTTAGTGATCCATTCACAGAGCTCATCCTACAACATACAACACTCCATAATTATTTTTTCAAAAACATTTACAGAAATCTCCTCTGAGGAAATTCCAGTACAGAATAATCTGTCAGCAATTATTTGTGAAACAAATTCCATCAGAAATACAACAGAAAGGGCGTTTGGGAATTTGATTGATGCAGGCAGAAATAAGTCCAAACCTTGACCATGTAAGTTATAAATGCTTTGTTTATCACACATAAGCCTGAATTCCATGACTCTGATATTTGACTAGATCAATCTAATGAGTGTTGTATTTTTGATATATTTATCACAACTGTACTGAGATGTGAGGTTTCTGTGTTTATGACATATCTGTGCTTCCTTTAGTGCAGTGTATAAATACATACCGAAGCACAGCTGTGACAGTCTACATAGTCAGAGCACTGCACACAGTCATTTGGCTGGGTAATGAGGTAAGCTTGGAGATCAGGGCCAATACAGGAAGAAAGACTGGAGTTGCTGCCCTTGTGGTCGCAAGTTTCTGTGTAGGGACACCAGCCACATTCAGCGTTTGACATACAGGCCAAACAGTTATGGTGATGGCCACAGTGTGGTGAATGATACTGCTCCAAGAACTCCAAAGTGAACGGTCGGATCTGCTTACCCCTATTAAACTCACTGCTAGCTATATTCCATTCAAGTGACACAGTTGAGTTCTGCTTCTCTTTCATATCACTTGTGCCGCTGATAATAAATAAGTACTTGTAGCCCCTAGCTGTATGGGGAAAAAGTGGTCTGCTTGCATTCCTGATTGACTCAACACTGCGGGCACCAGGAGAGTTTGTCTTGTTGATCATAGCAACAACCTCCTACAAATAATTATGTATCTATGAATTTTAAGCAAAATTAATTTACAATCAAATCCAATAACACAATATAACAAGAGGCCCATGGGCCTTAATGGTCATCTCACTATAAAGATCTATATATGAAAGAGGCAAAATAGGCCTAAAATAAATTTCTAAACAGCTTACATAGAATACATTGATGGTTATTCAAGACATTTTCTACAAACTTGAAATCATATTCTTTATACATGCACTACACAACTACCATTACTCCTGACATATTGCTTGTTGAAAAAGTAAGTTACATGCCCAATATCAAGACCCTTGGCATTTCAGTTATTGAAAAGAAGTTGCTTAACATTTTAACACATTTGACCCCTGTGACCTTAAAAGTTGGTCCAATATCAGCACCCTGGGGCTTCTGGTTATTGACCAGAAGTCATCTAAACATTTTAACACATTGGAAACCTGTGACTTGAAAGTGAGTCAATGTCATTCATATTAACAAAGTTGGTAGCGCTACATTCTAGAATGCTACAGGATTAATATCATCATCCTTGGCCATTCGGTTATTGAAAAGATGTTGCTTAAGCATTTCAACTTATTTGATCCATGTGACCTTTCAAGCAGCCCACAAGTCCCTATGGGTCGAATCAAATTTCAGAATTTAAGAAATAATTGCCTACCCTAAGTGATGAATCAGGCTAAAACTTGTTGAAATCCGCCCAGGAAGAAATGAGGAGTAACGTTTTAAAAATTTAATTTCAGCACCACCCCCTTTGGGGCCTCATCTCTCAATCCCTATGGGTCAAAATGATTACCATCACCCAATGATGTATCAGACCAAATTTGGTTGAAAACCACCCAGGTATAAAAGAAGAGTAGGGTTTTAAAAAAAGTTTACGCATGAAGCACTTTGCATGACGACGGACAAAGCATGATGGCTATAGGTCATCTTGACCTTTCGGGTCAGATGACCTTAAAACTCGGTTCAATGATGTGATGAAATACTTCAACATTTTTATCAAACAAAGTATCATTAAATGTAAGAGTACATAATTTGGTGCAGTCCAATTTCAACTCCATATCAATCAGCCACTGATATATTCCCACATCCACAACAAGACTGAAACTGTAATCTGCAGATAATTGGCAAAATTTGTACATGTACAGTATTGAGAAAATCAACAAACTTACCAGTTTTTCTGCTGTACTGTCATTGCTAAGTTGGAGGACAGTCGGAAGACTGGAGGTCATGAGAAACACACGTAGTTTGTCTGTGCCATATACAGGTGTTGCAGCCAGGGGATGAATGTAGCCTTTCATTGTCATTTGTAGGTGGCCATCTGTCTTACCCTTATACGACTCAAAGTCCAGCAACTCCTCCGTGGAGTGTAGGATCTTCACCTATACAACAGTGGTGGATTAATGTTATTCATAGTCCAACAACTAAAAACAAGGCCTAGGCCTGTTGATATATAATAGCACATTTATAAACGTCAATTATATATTTTATTGTTTTCTCTTAATTTATTATCCAGTATGATTTAACTAACAGATTTTCAAATATCAAGAGATTCACAATGATGGATAGTGAGACACTATCAAGCCTTATGTTACGGACTGTCCAGGAAATACAAACCTCATCAGGTTGGTCACTACTAGCGTGATTGTAATGAATGATCATCTGTATCCCTGCTGGGATCTCATCAAGTGAACATTGGTCCACTTCCTCCCACTTAGTGTTGGAGCCATTCCACCAGCCACTGATCCCAGAGATGGACGAACTGGGAGAGCTACTACAGGCTGTCACTGTAAACAGTCAATCACACATATACACTAACACTTGATTAGGAAACAGAAGAACTGAGAGAGCTGCTACACACTGTCACTGTAAACAGTCCATCACATATCTACAGTATCACTTTATGAAACAGAAGAACTTTTTACACAAGAGGCCCAAGGGGCCTTAACGGTCACCTGAGGAATATATGTCAATAATCTGGGGATTTTAAAATGTTGCAAATACGTAACAACACTTGTGCAGGACCATGTGTAAAACATCTGTACCAAGTCTGAACATGACCCACCCAATGGTTCTTGAGAGGAAGTCCATAATGTCTTAGCCAAACAGAGGCCAGGGTGGCCATCTTGGATTTTGAATCGCCCCAAAAAGTTAAAACATTTGCCAGGACCATGTGTAGAACATTCGTATCAAGTTTCCCCTTTTCCCCCCTCCTGGGGCCCCTATTGGGGCCACGCCCTTTTTCTTCGCAAACTTAAAGCCGCTTCCCATGGAGATGCTTTGTGCCAAGTTTGGTCAATATCCATCCACTGGTTCTTGAGAAGTAGTCATTTAATGAAGGTTTTTACATATGGCCCCTTTTACACCCCTTATGGGCCCCAAAGGCTACATTATCACTTTTTTCAACATAATTCCATATGTCCTTCACAAAGGGATGCTGTCTACCAAATTTGGTTGAGATCGATCAAAGCTGAATTTTTGACCCTTTTGAGCGCCCCCTAGTGGGGCCGTTTTTGACCCGGTTTTTTATTTCATTCACAAACTTTGTAGACCTTGCCATGAGGACCCTAAATATCAAATATGAATTCAGGCGACCTAACAAAAACCTTTTGATTTGGTAATGAATCAAACGTGTAAGTAAGGGGCAGTAACTCTGTATCATAGTTTTAATGGATTATCTGATTACTGAGGAATAAAATGTTTTTTCGTTTCTGTGACCACTACTTGAAACTCTGGTTTGGCTAGAGTATATTTAGATTGATAGTAACTTCTGCTCATTTGCTAAATCTGAAATTAGAAAAAATGAGCTTCTGTCTGGAGCAAGATTTATTCTAAGAACAGTCAAAACTTTTATAATCACAAAGTACAGATTCTGTAGCTGGGACCCTAATCTGCCTGATAAGAACCTGCTTAAAGAGTCAGGTATATCAGGGCTCTCACACCCCATTTTGGGACTGGGGCCCAGGGCCCTTAAAATTGGGAAAAATAACGGTGTTTTCCTTAGAATTGTCATCTGACCATATTCTTTACTGTATCTAACCTAGCACTGGAGAAATGACATTAATGAATGCATCATAAACAAGTAGAATATTGCCAAACAGAACAATGGATGATAACAAATGAATACAAACGGATGGACAGGGCAAAAATTCCACATAATCTTATTGGATATAGGGTATTATCAATAACTGACTTGAGTGGTGATTCCCTTAGGATTATTGACTGAGGACGAGTGTACTTACCTGACTTTCGGGAACATGTTGAATTTCTGATACACCACACACACTCATGCTGGTAGAAGCGATGTTTGGGTGACTTGTCCGTGAGTCTGACTTGATGACCGTGGGTTAGACATGACTGACATGTATGTAGAGCGTGACACAGGCCTGAACAGTTATACATCTTGGCATTCCTTGAATCAGCACATTTCTACAAAACAATATGAGAAACTTGTTAAAGACAAGAAATAGCCAATAGTTATAATAAGGTTACATCTCATTATCTCAGGAATATGTGCAATTATAGTTTGGTAGTGAATTGTTCAAACTTACATCTAACCGTGTACGGTGAACACAGCCAGGCATGCGTGTGTCACGCTTCTCTGAACAGAAAGCACATTCAGGATCCTGGGGACAGCGTTCATGTTGGGGGTCAGCATAGTTCTCACAGTGGTCAAGGTCCTTGTCATCTTCATTCTGTAGATAGAAGCAAGTCATCTTACTTATATGTAAAATCATTCAAATAGTACACAAAACTTTTGAAATGTGATGATATTTAGGGCCAATATACTGTGAGGAAAGGATTGGATTGGCGAGACACAAGAGTTTTGTTGTACCGGAGATGTAAGACAGGTGGGACACTAAATAAGGACTACTGTACAGGTGTTGTCAAGCAGGTGAGACACCTGAGGACTGCTGTGATGTTAGATATGTGAGACATTAGAGAAAGAATGTGGTACAGGTGATGAAAGACAGATGAGGTACTAAAAAAGGACTTCTGTAGAGGTGATGAAGAACAGATGAGACACAAGAGAAACTTTTCTCTACAGGTGTTGTTAGACAAGTAAGACACCAGAGAAGGAAGGATTGTTAAAGATGTTAGACAGCTGAGGCACTAGAGAAGGAATGGTGAACAGACAATGTTGGAAAGGTGAGACACTCAAAAAGTATTAATGTACAGGTGATGATCGACAGGTGAAACACTAAAGAAAGATTGCTGTACAGGTGATGATAGACAGATGAGACACTTAAGAAACATTGCTGTACAGGTAATGATAGACAGATGAGACACTTAAGAAACATTGCTGTACAGGTGATGATAGACAGATGAGACACTTAAGAAACATTGCTGTACAGGTAATGATAGACAGATGAGACACTTAAGAAACATTGCTGTACAGGTAATGATAGACAGGGGAAACACTTCAGAATGATTCTATACAGGTTAGACAGGTGTTGATCTCGGTCATTATCCCAGATACTACAGTGGGTGAGTACAGGTAAGTATCATTGCATTCAGGTAAGTATAGGAGTATATAAAGTACAGGTGAGTTTAAGTAAGTACAGCTGTTGTAGACAGAAACCCCTAGAGTAACAAATGAAATATTGATGAGATACCGATTTCTTATGTTGGCTACACGACATCTTGTCATTAATGTTACCAAGACTCCCCTGTAAACAGGACAATGTCCACAACCCACTGATCACTATCGCTGGCCTACATATGTAATACCATTACAAATAAATAATACAGCTAAAACAATTTTACTACCTTAAACTGACCAAACTGACCACCAACTTTACCAGTACCTTAAACTGACCACCAACTTTACCAGCACCTTAAACTGACCACCAATTTTACCAGTACCTAAAACTGACCACCAATTTCAACAGTACCTTAAACTGACCACCAACTTTACCAATTCCTTATACTGACCACTAATTTTACCAGTAACTTATACTGACCACCAACTTTACCAGTACCTTAAACTGACCACTAATTTAACCAGTACCTTAAACTGACCACCAACTTTACCAGTACCTTAAACTGACCACCAATTTCACCAGTACCTTAAACTGACCACCAACTTTACCAGTTCCTTAAACAGACCACCAGCTTTACCAGCACCTTAAACTGACCACCCACTTTACCGGTACCTTAAAATGACCACCAACTTCACCAGTACCTTAAACTGACCACCAACTTTACCAGTACCTTAAACTGACTGTAAACTTCTTATTGAATAAACCTTTAAAATTATTGCTATCAATTTTGAATATCAAAGTATGCCAGGTTTCAGATCTGTCCAAAAATGCAGTCATATGTAGAGGGATTGTGGTGAGCTTCATATGCAAAATTGTATTATCACTGCAGCACTTTCTGAGAAATAGCACTTACAAGAATCATTCACAGAACAAACACTAAGGACTTAATATTGATAAAAAAAATCCCTTTTATTTTTCTATATTAATAAAAACATTCATCCCCAAGGTCTAATGGATGAGTATCAACATCTAAATCTTAAACACCTTATATAGTTATATCAATGAAAAGTACATAAATGTATTTGATTTTCATGTTTTATCCAAGTCAGAAGATTTTAGTAACTAAACTGTAAAGGCTTTGGAGGGGCTCAGAACCAACCATAGTGGGAGAGAAGGTACTCTGTAATTCTGTGCGAGTGCAGAGGTAGTTACCAATAATGAATGATAATAGGTCTTGTAGTACCGCGTTTACATACCAACAAAACAACCATAACATGCATGTCTTCAGCACCAATGAAGACGACATCGTTTTATGTAATAGTCGCATGCTGTGTACACAAAATCTGAAGGGACGTAACAGCCCTAAAAATCAATACCCTGCACTATTCAAGGCCGGGCTGCTCCTCTACCAGGCTTGTGCTGCAGATGTGTCATTCTATACGCCATACTGTGATGTCATCTGAGAATGGAGTCTTGTACAATGTCTTAGGCTGTCTATCAACATTTGGTCTATATGCACTGATGTCCTATACAGTCTGTCTGACACAGGGACTATACACATTTTTATCTTATAGTCTGTCTGACACTGGAATTATACCCATTAATATCATACACAGTCTGTCTGACACAGGGACTATACACATTAATATCTTACACAGTCTGTCAGACACTGCGACTTTACACATTAATATCATACATTGTCTGTCAGACACTGGGACTATACACATTAAAATCTTACACAGTCTGTCGGACACTGGGACTATACACATTAATATCTACACAGTGTGTCAGACACAGCGACTTTACACATTAATATCATACATTGTCTGTCTGACACTGGGACTATGCACATTAATATCATACATTGTCTGTCGGACACTGGGACTATACACATTAAAATCTTACACAGTCTGTCGGACACTGGGACTATACACATTAATATCTTACACAGTCTGTCAGACACAGCGACTTTACACATTAATATCATACATTGTCTGTCTGACACTGGGACTATGCACATTAATATCATACACAGTCTGTCTGACACAGGAATAGTCTCTGACAGTGGGACTGTACACATTAATATCTTACACAGTCTGTCTGACACTAGGACTATACACATCAATATCTTACACAGTCTGTCAGACACTGCGACTATACACATTAATACCGAACATTGTCTGACACGGGGACTATACACATTAATATCATACACTGTCTGTCTGACACAGGGACTATACACATTAATACCTTACACAGTCTGTCTGACACGGGGACTATACACATTAATACCTTACACAGTCTGTCTGACACGGGGACTATACACATTAAAATCTTACACAGTCTGTCTGACACGGGGACTACACATTAAAATCTTACACAGTCTGTCTGACACAGGAATAGTCTGTCTGACAGCGGGACTGTACACATTAATATCATACACAGTCTGTCTGACACAGGAATAGTCTGTCTGACACTGGAACTATACACATCAATATCATACAATCTGATACACTGACATTTGGGATATACACACTGATGTCTTATACAATCTGATACACTGACACTTGGGATATACACACTGATGTCATACAATCTGATACACTGACACTTGGGATATACACACTGATGTCTTATACAATCTGATACACTGACACTTGGGATATACACACTGATGTCTTATACAATCTGATACACTGACACTTGGGATATACACACTGATGTCTTATACAATCTGATACACTGACACTTGGGATATACACACTGATGTCTTATACAATCTGATACACTGACACTTGGGATATACACACTGATGTCATACAATCTGATACACTGACACTTGGGATATACACACTGATGTCATACATAATCGGTCTGACATTGGTACTTCAAAAGCTAATGTCATACACCATCTGTCTCACATTGGTGCTCTATACTGTAATGTTTGTCTGACACTGGGGCTGTGCACACTGTCTTACAATGCCTGACTCACCTTGGACATACAGAGGAATGCAAGATCTCTGATGGTGAAGTAATATCGTTAAACTTTTAAGCCTCAAGGTCATCAAGGACAGCCATTTTGACAGCTGGATGATATACCATTTGCTTTATATACCTCTAGAGGTGAAACACCCTGAAAGTTGCAGGTTACAAGGCAATCATGAACTTGCCCACTTTGACCAGTGATTGTAATACCATGGGTATATACAAAGCTCTGCATCACTACAAACATGGCCACTGTGACATGTGATAGTAATACCATGGGTATATACAAAGCTCTGCATCACTACAAACATGGCCACTGTGACATGTGATAGTAATACCATGGGTATATACAAAGCTCTGCATCACTACAACCATGGCCACTGTGACATGTGATAGTAATACCATGGGTATATACAAAGCTCTGCATCACTACAAACATGGCCACTGTGACATGTGATAGTAATACCATGGGTATATACAAAGCTCTGCATCACTACAAACATGGCCACTGTGACATGTGATAGTAATACCATGGGTATATACAAAGCTCTGCATCACTACAAACATGGCCACTGTGACATGTGATAGTAATACCATGGGTATATACAAAGCTCTGCATCACTACAAACATGGCCACTGTGACATGTGATAGTTATACCATGGGTATATACAAAGCTCTGCATCACTACAAACATGGCCACTGTGACATGTGATAGTAATACCATGGGTATATACAAAGCTCTGCATCACTACAAACATGGCCACTGTGACATGTGACAGTAATACCATGGGTATATACAAAGCTCTGCATCACTACAAACATGGCCACTGTGACATGTGATAGTAATACCATGGGTATATACATACCTCTGGAGGTGAAACAACACCCTGAAACTTGTATGCCACAAGGTCATCACAAACATGGCCACTGTGACATGTGATAGTAATACCATGGGTATATACATACCTCTGGAGGTGAAACAACACCCTGAAACTTGTATGCCACAAGGTCATCACAAACATGGCCACTGTGACATGTGATAGTAATACCATGGGTATATACATACCTCTGGAGGTGAAACAACACCCTGAAACTTGTATGCCACAAGGTCATCACAAACATGGCCACTGTGACATGTGATAGTAATACCATGGGTATATACATACCTCTGGAGGTGAAACAACACCCTGAAACTTGTATGCCACAAGGTCATCACAAACATGGCCACTGTGACATGTGATAGTAATACCATGGGTATATACATACCTCTGGAGGTGAAACAACACCCTGAAACTTGTATGCCACAAGGTCATCACAAACATGGCCACTGTGACATGTGATAGTAATACCATGGGTATATACATACCTCTGGAGGTGAAACAACACCCTGAAACTTGTATGCCACAAGGTCATCACAAACATGGCCACTGTGACATGTGATAGTAATACCATGGGTATATACATACCTCTGGAGGTGAAACAACACCCTGAAACTTGTATGCCACAAGGTCACCAAGAACATAACCACTGTAACCGCCAACAATTAGCAAAATGTTGTTATAGGCTGGCACTGCAACATGTCCAAACCGACCTTTCTTTGGTTCACCATTTGAAGCAGCTGTAGAAAAACAGAGCAAAGTACACATTAGCAAAATAAGTAATTAAATAATTATGATATTCAGTTCTGATAATGATGTTTGTTTGATAATTTAACATACACATTTACTATGTAATCAACATGTTACCTATATCATACTGTTAGTCTGATTAATATTAATTATATATCAACATAAGTGTTTGTAAACATGTGTGATACATAGCTGATCTGTACTGTATTTTCCTGATTATAAGCTGCATTTATTTACCTCATGAGTAGGGCATGGGGCTTATATACCAGTGCAGCTTATATGTGGATGAAAATAATCGGCAGGATGATAGAATGTCTTTGTGTAAGTTATGAGAGGAAATCATATAAGGTACTATGAAAATTTGGTTAGCATGCATAGGCCTTTGTTACTATTTAACAGTACACACACTGATGTGTACTGGAGAGATTGTCAGTAAACTGTATGTAACGTCAGGCCCTATACCCGCACGTAGATAATCTGCAAGCCAAACAAGTTAAATATTTGCTATTTTTCATGTTTTTAAAGACATCAATAAAATAAAGGATTCTCTGTGTACAAGTCATTTACAAACTTTATTAAATGTTTCACTGGCAATCTTGATAAATTGTCTTCCATTGTCTGTTATATCGATGGATTTTGGTCCACGTAACGGTTATCACTTTGTAAGAACTGCCTTCCATTATCTGTTACCAGTATATCAAATGTCAACAATAGTGGTCACCATATCATAAGAAATGGTGTGGCTTATATACCAGTGTGACTTAAAACCCAGAAAATATAGTATCCATATACACAAGGGTATGCATCTGTGATACAAATCTGATCAGTATATTAAACACAAGTGTTTGCAGATGTCTGTGATAAAAATCTGATCAGTATATTAAACACAAGTGTTTGTAGATGTGTGATACAAATCTGATCAGTATATTAAACACAAGTGTTTGTAGATGTGTGATACAAATCTGATAGTATACCTAAACAAAAGTGTTTGTAGATGTGGGATACAAATCTGATCAGTATATTAAACACAAGTGTTTGTAGACATCTGTAATACAAATCTGATCAGTATATTAAACACAAGTGTTTGTAGACATCTGGGATACAAATCTGATCAGTATATTAAACACAAGTGTTTGTAGATGTGTATGATACAAATCTGATCAGTATACCTAAACAAAAGTGTTTGTAGATGTGGGATACAAATCTGATCAATATATTAAACACAAGTGTTTGTAGATGTGTATGATACAAATCTGATCAGTATACCTAAACAAAAGTGTTTGTAGATGTGTGATACAAATCTGATCAGTATATTAAACACAAGTGTTTGTAGATGTGTGATACAAATCTGATCAGTATATTAAACACAAGTGTTTGTAGATGTGTGATACAAATCTGATCAGTATACCTAAACAAAAGTGTTTGTAGATGTGGGATACAAATCTGATCAGTATATTAAACACAAGTGTTTGTAGATGTGTGATACAAATCTGATCAGTATATTAAACACAAGTGTTTTTTTGTAGACGTCTGTGATACAAATCTGATCAGTATATTAAACACAAGTGTTTGTAGATGTGTATGATACAAATCTGATCAGTATATTAAACACAAGTGTTTGTAGATGTCTGTGATACAAATCTGATCAGTATACCTAAACACAAGAGACTGTAGACGTTTGTGATACAAATTTGATCAGTATCGGATCAGGATCAAATAAATTGTATACAACACCTATATGAGTGTGCAAATGTACACCTGGTTATACAACACCTTCACTAACACCGGTGTGAGTGTATACAATACCAACTGGAATGAAAGTGCATATCTGGGTATATACAATACATACCTGAGTGAGAGTGTACTCCTGGGTGTCTAATCCATTGGTGACAGCCGAGATGGTACAAGTGGATCTTGTGATCATAACATGTTTCTATGGAGTTATGCATGTGTACATTGCCTCCATAAATCACCATGTAGTTTCCCATGATAGAGGCAGTATGATAGGCCCGCTGAATGCTGGAGGATGAATAGACACGTTGTTTCTCTGGGTATTCCACCTCGCCCCAAAACAGTGTCTCTACATTAAACATAAACAGTCGACTGGACAGTTTTGCAAATCGAGCCTGCAAGGCTGAATATCCGCCAAAGACTATAATTGAGCGAGATTCTTTATGGTAGACAGCTGTATGTCCTACAAGTAACTGCTGAACCGGACGACCTCCTTTTAAGTAAACTTCTTCCCACTGGTCCTCACTACTATTTAGATCATATCTATATATAGAGGAGGAGAATAATCCCTGCTCCACCTTGCCACCAATTACGTAAATCCAATGGTTGACTAAAGTCAGAGAGTGTCCAGTGAGTTTTTGTGGCTTTATAGAACTGTTGAGTGCCTTCTGTGTCCAAGTTTGTGATGTAAGATTATAAAACAGTAACTCATTACAATGCGATCCATCTGAATGCATCCCACCAAAAATGTAGAGTCCATCACCATATTTCACCATTCTGTGTTCCTTACGAGCTACTGGCCAAAAGTCACTTTGATTGTTCCTCTCCACCGCCTCCCACTGACTATTGCGGACACAGAATCTCACTAAATCCCCCAGGACCATGTTTAGTGTATAGCCGCCATATATATACAGACACTCTTCCTCCCGTACAAACACGCCAGCGTGTGATGTACGTGGGGTAAAACTCCTTGTCGAGGGTGCCAGTCTATACCACATGCCTGTTCCGTTACGACCATGGATAGGTAAATCACATCCCTCCCCCATCACTCCACCATTACACTTACATATCTTCTCATCATTGATAGTTTTACAGTCACCAAATCCACAGGAGTTGGGACAGATGCGGAGCTCACAGTCCACACCAGTATAGTAACTGTTACAAACACATCGATTGTTTATACATGAACCTCGGAGATGACAGTTGAAAGCACAATCCTGCACCTTATAGTCAGCTTGGAAACCCTCCAGGTTGTAGTTCCTATCCGTAAACAGATAGATCAGCATCTACAAAGCAAAATACCCACATGTAAATGTTAATGACCTTTATCTGGTATCTGTGTGAAATTTTCTTGTGTAACTTGTCTGATTATGAAACAATTGTATTAATGTAAAAATTTATTTGTATCATATTTTTTATGCATACAGCATTTTGGGGTATTTCTGAAGACTGTTGTTGCTACTATAGCCCATTTACCAAGTCTGTTGGGGCTAATATAGCATGGTCTGGATATGTAAAGGTACTTACCTAGCCTCTGGTTGGGTACTTTCAAAGCCTGTTGGTGCTGCTATAGGTTATGATTAGGAAGTGTATGGTATGATATGGTTTGGTAATCAAAGAATCTGTCTGAGCTACTATGGTCTGGTGGCGTATGGTCAGGATATGTTAGGGTATGTACAAAGGCTATCTGAGCCATTATAGGTTCTGATTGGGTACTTACAAAGTCTGTCCATGCCACTATAGGTTATGGTTGGGTATTTACAAAGCCTGTCCATGTCACTATAGGTTCTAGACAGGTACTTACAAAGCCTGTCATTGCCACTATAGATTCTGGTCGACTACTTACAAAGCCTGTCTCTGCCACTATGGGTTCTGGTCTGACACTTAAAAAGCCTGTCTGTGCCACTATGGGGTCTGGTCTGACACTTACAAAGCCTGTCTGTGCCACTATGGGGTCTGGTCTGACAGTTACAAAGCCTGTCTGTGCCACTATGGGGTCTGGTCTGACACTTACAAAGCCTGTCTGTGCCACTATGGGTTCCTGTCAGGTACTTACATAACCTGTCCGAGCCACTATGGGTTCCTGCCAGGTACTTACATAGCCTGTCCAAGCCACTATGGGTTCCTGTCAGGTACTTACATAGCCTGTCCGAGCCACTATGGGGTCTGGTCAGGTACTTACATAGCCTGTCCGAGCCACTATGGGTTCGTGTCAGGTACTTACATAGCCTGTCCGAGCCACTATGGGGTCTGATCGGGTACTTACATAGCCTGTCCGAGCCACTATGGGGTCTGGTCGGGTACTTACATAGCCTGTCCGAGCCACTATGGGGTCTGGTCGGGTACTTACATAGCCTGTCCGAGCCACTATGGGGTCTGGTCGGGTACTTACATAGCCTGTCCGAGCCACTATGGGGTCTGGTCGGGTACTTACATAGCCTGTCCGAGCCACTATGGGGTCTGGTCGGGTGTTGCCGCTTACACTTGCCAGCAGTTTACTATTGTAAGATTGGCCATCAAAAATGAAGAGGAAGTCATAGGAGCACTCTGTATCCATCTTTTTAAATGTCAGCAGAATGGACTTGTTGGAGCCTCCTGCTGTAGAAAATAAACAAAAATTTATGTTAGACTGTTTCTCATTATCATTTGTGGTAGTTGATAGATGATAAGTGTGTCTGTTTCAAATGTGAATTTATCCCTCCATTGCTGCAATGGTTACCTTGAGTTTTGATGGAGTAGTCTGTGACACGGTGTGGACAAAATATACATTATAACAAAATGTGCTGTCATTCATTAAGTGTTGATCAGTTTAAACAGACAGTACAGAGAGAATATATAATAAGTTATATAGCATGTTTATGAATATTCACATTTATGAATTGTTCTTTACTTTATAATTTTGACAATTGAAGTTTGATATTCATGACCAACCTAAATAAAAACAATGCACTACTTAGCAATTCATTCATAGACAAAATTAAAAATTTAATAGCAGAGGCAATCTGTTTCTGATTAGATAGGACACTTTAAGTTTTTGTATCACACTGTCAGCTGAGATTACAATGACAAACAAAAGTGCCAATCAGATAAGTGTAGTGTTGGGACAGTGTAGTGACTGCTGTGTTACATATAAACAAATCAAATATATTATAAAAAACTGAGTATCATTTCAAGCTACAATACTATTAGAGACACCTGATATCCCACTCGCCCCTCAATCTACATGTCTTTTTGTCACCTAGTATACATGTATCTTTTAAGTTGTACCCTTAAGTATAATGTGGATATATATGACAAGTATATTTTGTACATGGATTGTTGTAATGTATTTGAATTCTGAGACTTTAGATAGAAAAAATTATCAGACATCAACAAATACCCTTTTTAAGCATGTTACATGTACTTATACAAGTACCACATGGTTCACTGTTCACATACTGTAAGAATTATAAAGAGAAGATACAGTGAGCACCATCATAAAAAGTAGCCAAGGCAACAGCGCCTAATACATGCAATGTATATTGTGTATCATACAGCTTTGTTGATAAATTAGGCTCAGTTTGAACAAATCAATGAAGTTGTCCATCTCTACAATATACACAGCAATAAAGTTCCCATAAAAACATAAATAAGTAAAACACTCCAAAAAATCTCCATAAAGAAACTTGTACTCTGAAAATGACATTCTACAAGAAGTTACAATGAATATTTGATTAATAGTAAGTATATCTAAAATTTTCTTTCATTTCTTTCAATTCAACAGACCCAAAGGTCTATTGTAATTGGATATATCTATATACTTACATTTTATCTAAAGAGCCATATACATCTGCCCTTGCCATAATACATTTGTCTATCTGTGCATTTTTACAAGAGTAATGTCAAAAGTATCATTTACTTGTACTTCAAAGCACCTAAATTCAATACCACCTACTTTATTCAATGATAAACACCACTTGGTTCATATTCATTCCAATATTGAACCTTTACCCAAGTGGTTGAAAAATGATAGCACAATCTGGTTCATTTAAGGGAAAAAACAAGTGAATGGCATATAAGGCAAATTATATAACTACTGCTTATGATCATAACTTATGTTTGTAAAAGGAGCCAATCTGTATGGCTTGCAAGTAGTGTTAAATACAATCTAGATCTCTTATACACAACAGACAGTGCATGCTTGTTCCCTTAGTTAGTAATCTCAAGATGTGTACTGATACCAGAAACTTTATCAAGATGATAGACAACACAGAATTATCATATCAAAATTGAAATAATATGTCATTACAATCCATGACACATGGTAGAAACTATTCATGTGGTTATCCTGTGCAATTGATCTTTTATATTGTGTGTTCGTGTTGTTGAGTTTCCTTTATATTTATCATGATACAATTTATATAATTTCAGAAAAAATCCTTTGCAAAACTTTCATCACAGCCTTTTCTGCTGCGAAAAAGGTTATGTATCTATATTGATACCTGTACTAAATTTCACCTAAGTGATGATAAAACCTTATCAGACTAAAGAAATTTTCTGTGACATTTTAAACTAATCAATTATAATTTTAATTTAACATCAATACATATTGACATGGCTATCACATAGTTGTGCTTCTTGCTGCAATTACCCTATTGATAAGGGTTCCTAAAATTCATCACCATACAGCCATTATCTTCATGAAATTTAGGGGTATCTTGTAATGGTGTATATGCATTAATCGTTGTCTCAAAAGGAAAATTTCCAAAAGTATTTTAAATTTACTGAGAACACTGCAGTATCACCAACAATAAGCCTTTATATGGCTTTTCCAAATGCGTGTACCTGAAAAGATGTTCTAAAATTTTGATTTTTACACTTCAAGTGACAAAATAAAGTTTGAAACATGAATTTTAGTCACTGCATACTGATTGGCAAGCCGAAATACAACAAACAAACAAAAACACAAAACAATTCTGCAAGTGGTTCAATGGAATGTAAATTTCAAGTAATAGGAAGGAACTTACATGTGATGTTTCACAGACTAGCACATGTATTGAAATAACATTGATGCTGCCATTATGTGTACAATGTATATCAATAAACAAACTGTAATATAGATGACCTAATTAAATAATAGCTTTGATAAAGGTGCTACTTTTCCATAAATTTGAATATGTTTATACAGTATCATTCAATTTTGCATTAATCGTATGTAAACATAGTGTACTCGGGTAACATAGAAGTACACTATATCCTGACCGCTACAGCGGCAGCACTCAGCATCCTTACCATCAATAAGCCATTCACATCGGGAGAAATTTGTGTAAGTGCCATCAGTCCCGACCCCGCTGGCCACTGTGCCCTCGGGGGCTGTATAAATAGTACGTTTACCCTTGCATGAAGACTGGGGCCACGCGCACTGGACGATAACAAATAAATTGATTAGAAGTAAGAAAGTCCATATTCCTCTGCCGTTCCCCATCCTCGAAATTACATCTCCGACCCATTCAACCACGGGTATTTAATTTGAGGGCATGCGGGGCCCTCTGCACCGTATATATATCCGAGGTACTACCTCGTCCCCAACTCAACATGCTTAGTTCATACGTAAATCACTCCTGTCACATTTTGTCTACATCTGTCAAAATCTATCGATGTTTTCCGATCTCCGATCAGATGGTCGCCTATTGTTAATCGTCTAGGATAGACTCGGTCTGTCTGGAAAGCTCCAATCTCATTGGTCAATATTGCCTTAATGTTTATTTGGTAAAATATTAAAACAAAGATTATGAAGTGCATAACAGTCACATAATATATATTGTTTTTATAGTCTCGTGTAAGGAGTGATATGGATTGGCTCATAACATTTTCATAAATAGTTGAATTATTAAAGCCGTTCTTGGTCCCGTTAGCATCGGTTAGGACTGGTGCATTTTCCGTTTGGGGAGGGTCGGTTGCGTAGAGGGGCATGGGGTACCGCGCACTTTGTGGGGTCGACAGTGTTTACGTCCATACGTTTACGCTATTTTTTTTCTTTCATTGTTTTTGTCTGCGTCGATGGAAGGGAAGGGGTTTATGTATGTGTATTATTTTGCCACGGGCTTCATGGCTTTGGTCGTCCGTCTTTATGTCCATCCATCCGTCCGACATGCGAACATCGGTCGGCGGAGACTTCTTTTGTAACTATATCTGTTTGTGTTTTCTATATATTTTCAGTATGTGCACGGTAAAAAAGACCAAGTCGCAATTTCGATAAAAGTCAACAGCTACGGTATCATCACAGGTTCATCGTATTTCATTGGTTACATTACTGTCGCAGAGTCGGAATTTCGGCTTTTTGAACTATGCGGGCTAGTGAGGTTAAGAGAGAGAGAGAAAAAAACAGTGAAACTTGTGTATTTCTATTGACCATCTTGATTAGTGGATACTAGGACTGTCTTGCTGCATGATCATCTCGTACACTCGTTACTCTGCAAAACCGAGGACGTACATACGTAAACTACAGGTCCCAGTAACCCACTTATTATGGCCGTTATTTAAAAATACCGATTGACTTTTCTTTTTTTTTAAGCGACACTCCCCTCTAATTATGGTATACAGTGCAGTTAATTCAGTGTCGGTAAAACACAGCATGGTTCCCCAGTAGTTATTGATTTAGGTCTTGAGAATATTGTGTTACCTGCTTTTACAGCCGCTATTGGTACATCCTTCTAATCATTCATTACTCTGATTGAAAAACATTTTTTCCTACAATTTGCCTTGCTTCTTTTCTACATGCGATTCCACGTGTTCTCCTGTCCTTGTTTTATCATCCCCTATTTCAAGAATGTGTATTTGTTAACTTGATTTATTTCCTTCGAAATTGTAGTCTTTGGTCCATCTGAACGTTTCCTCTGTTATACATTAATCTTGCAGTTTTGTTAGTAATCGTTTGTGTGGTACTGTGTCGATAGACTTATATATAAAACACCCAATGGTTGTTTTTCATCCACAAAATTTGTGATGATATCCATTACCCCTAGCAGATGTTTTGTTGGAGACACTCATCTCCTAAGCGCGTGTCGCTTTTTTAAAATCTGTTTCTTAATTCTAACTTTTCTGTGGCTATGATTTAAATCTCTCTCGTCTTACTGTTCCCGACCACCTTGCGCATTGGTACATACTTGCTAGTCATCAAATTTATTTCAATTGCATAGTGATCTTTGTCTCGGAAAGTCTTAGCTCCCGAAACGTTCCGCATTCTATTTCCTCAAATTGTCGGAAATGGATGTCTTCAGTGACAAAACGTTGTCATAGGTATCTGGACATACCACTTCCAAACTGGTGTTCTTTGTGTTTTTGAACGAATATGTTGAAACTGTGATGATTTTGTGCCGTCGAGATCAACCTCTTGCCCATCTGATGTATGCCTTGGTCCAATGACACCCGGGTCTGCTCCTGTTCTCCATCCTTGTTTCAGCTGATCTTTTTTCTTCTGGTCCACGACACGTGACGCTATAGTCGTGTTTGTCTTTGAAACTTCAGCCTTCTTCTTGGTTTCTTTTCCAATTCCATTGTTCTTATTTTGACTGCTACCGTTGGATTTTCTTTCTGGAACGGTTTTTTTTTTACAATATTTTCATTTTTCCATTCTTGTGCAAACATAATGTACTCTTCCTCTGATTAGGACGTTTTCACATAGCTTTTTTCGATCTTTCACTGCTTTCCAAGGTTTTTTTTTTATGTTTTCTCTTTCATCCTCAATGTAATCTATAGTTAATACATTTTATAAAATCCTCTTTTTTATTTATTTTTGATTCCTTTACAGATGTCCAGTGTCTTTTCTCTTCTGTTTTCCAGTACCACTTCGTCTGGTCTTTTTGTTTCTGCAGAAGGTTTTTATTAGCCTTATCATCCTAAGGCTCATTTACCCAAACTTGCAAGCAAAGGTCGGTCAGGTGTGTTATGTCCCCTTTTGTTGGGAGTTTTCTCTCTCAAACTTGGCAAGTTAAAAGCACCAATGTTCGTTAGTCCCCTTCTTCATTTGTTCGTTTCAGTGTTATGTCGTCTATCCCCGTTTCTATACTTCCCAATATCTCGCTCTTCATAGCTTGTGCAGCTTCTGTGAAATTCTATAAAATCTAAGTTTCCAAACTGTCCACTCTGACTTAGACGGTATAACTTTTTAACTAATGTTTGTTTGAGTGTACTCAAAGAATCCTTCGTGGAATGTTCTTTCTGCAAATATTGCAAGTCCTTTTAAAGATATCTAAGAGACGCTTGTCTTGAGGCATAAAGAACGTTTGGTACTTCGTTACATGCAGACAATACAAGCATTCATACACATCGCACAAAATTAACTCCATTTCATTGGAGATGAAAGTTTAACGAACTGAACATTTACCGTTTTCAATGCACGTGCTCTTTCTTGGAGTTTCCACCGATTGCCTTCCTCCGATGGAGTGCATTTTCTTGTAGCAGCCGCTGAGTTAGTTCTATGCGCCACTGTGCTAGCGGGACAGACCCACGAAGCTGGAGACAGTCTTAATTACCTCCCCTTGTATATGTCAGCAGATTCCAATTCTTTGTCTACATGGTAGTTTTTCCACTCTTCTTTCTTTCACGAGATGACGTTGGTTTGAAGTCTTGTTTACCATCTGACTGTGTACTTGATTATCTATAGTATGTATGACAAACCATTAAACTGTAGCTTGACATGTCAAGAAATTTTCAATAAACTACAATTATCACTTCTTGAATTGTTAAAACAAATTCAGTTAGGGTGTGTTGTATATATCGGCTTTTAGTTTAATAAACTAGCAACCATGAAGTCAATCTATTCACAGTTTGAGCTGTTTCCAGTAGTTTGATGTTATCAATATTATCCTCCCGGTACATCTACAGAGATGTTTCCTGGTACATCTACAGGAATGTTTCCAGTAGTTTGATGTTATCAATATTATCGTCCTGGTACATCCAAAGGGATGTTTCCAGTAGTTTGATGTTATCAATATTATCGTCCTGGTACATCAACAGGGATGTTTCCTGGTACATCCACAGGGATGTTTCCAGTAGTTTGATGTTATCAATATTATCGTCCTGGTACATCTACAGGGATGTTTCCAGTAGTTTGATGTTATCAATAGTATCGTCCCGGTAGATCCACAGGGATGTTTCCAGTAGTTTGATGTTATCAATATTATCATCCTGGTACATCCACACGGATGTTTCCAGTTGTCTAATGTTATAAATATTATCGTCCTGGTACATCCACAGGGATGCGTATGCAACACCCTGTGGACAAGATGATAATACTTTAATGTACAATGATCAAACGAATCTCGAGTTGGTTTAACGGTATATAGAAATTGCTTTTGAGTTGGGTGTCGCTCCTTTGTATTTTTTCATTTTTAACAAGCTGAATATAAATTAAAAATAAAGGCGTTAAGGGGAGGGAGGGGGACCTACCACCTGTAAAAATTCTAATTCTACACAAGTCTTGTATTTCTTTGTAATTATCCATGTTCTATAACATCAGTCTTACTTTTCTTTGTAAAAAAATATCCCAATTCTATATTCACCAGTAGTATTATCTTCCTTTGTAGCAATCTCCATTCTACTATAACACCATCCTTACCTAACTTTGTTAAAAAAATAAGAGTGAAAATCCCCATTCTATATTGCCAGTATCATCTCCATTCATAGCAATCTTCATTCTTACCTAACTTTGTTAAAAAAAAAAAATGTGAAAATCCCCATTCTATAACACCAAGTTAAAAAAGAAGGCAATTCTATAACACCAGTCTTACCTTCCATTGTGAAAATCCAAATTCTATGTCACCAGTATTACCTCTCTGTGTAGTAATCTCCATTCTGTAACACCAATCTTACTTCTGTTTATAAGAATCCCTTATTCTGCAATGCTAAGTCTTACCTCACATTGTAGAAACATACATTTGAAAAAACTTTCTCGTTTTATAATGTAAGCAATGTCATTACCATAGCACTAATCAAACCCTTTATTTGTTGGGATCAGACTAGTGGTATGTCCTTTAGAAGGGATCCTCCCCCTTGTGAAAACACAGCACCAGACACCAACCATTGTTTGACAGATTTATTTACAATTTAATGTCAAAAACACAATACATTTGTACACACTCGTGTCCATGCTGTCAAATATATTAACACTTTAGCTGTCCTTATAAAACAGTAATTTTTAAAACTTCAGAGTTTATCCTGACAGTAAACGACCTGATTATTTATCATCAAGTGGAGGTATATTTACATGATAGCAATGCCCTTTTAGGTTATCAGTTTGATATTAAAATCATGATTACTTGTTTCCATGGCAACCATACCATAGGTCTATCATTCCCTGACAATAATGACATATCAGCTGTCAACAACGGAATAATTTAGTTGTTTGTATATATGTTATTTACACATTTCCAGACATATGTACAATAGCTTGAATCAATTAGTTGATTTATTACACTATCATTAATGCTAGTAATAACATTAACAGGTATTCCTAGCTCTGATATAAAAATACATTTCAATTCATATTTGGTATAATTTTTCAACTGTTAACAAACTTAATATCACACATACTCTCTGGGCCCTATATGACGTTCGTTAAGTACTAATCACAATTCCTGGATTAACATCTGAAATGTATAGGATTTGAGGATAAGTGATCTTGTATTCTAGTAAATGTACTTGAATCAATGTCTAGAGGTTTTATATGAGATCTATTAACTTATTTGTTATGTTTCCACATTTAGCTATCAAAACCGTCCCACACTTAAGAGAATAAAATCATTTACTTTAAAAGAAAGTGGTTAAAAATTAAAAGATCCCCAGAAAAGATTTACATCATAAAAACAATGTGCAATAACTCTTCTAAAGACTAATGATTCATATTGCCATTTACGAAAACACAACTTCCTATCATGATGAAAAAATCAGTGGATCTCTGAATACAAAAGAATTTCACTTTTGATGTGTATTTGAAAATAGTGTTGTAGTTAAGTCAATTCTAATCTCAATAACAAGGAGTTACATTCTACTGTACACAAGATGAAAACGTATAATGAGCCAAATCATGTTTGCCAATGTTCCTTCAATTATATCATGAGTTACTCAGGTAAAATATGTTTCAATGTTAAATTTGAAAAGTAATCTTCTGTGTCTCCTTAGTTATGTAATTTTCAACAGAGAACAATACAATCCCTAGCTGTATATTGATAAATTACATTTCTTCCATCAATAAGAGAAACACACGCTGGATCTTAATCAAGTTTCTACTAGGCAGCAAGTCCCTCAAGTTTATTGAACCAGATATCGAAGTGACTGTCAGACTGAAAGTTAAATAAATTGTAGTTGAAGGCAGACACAACTGATACATCTGCCAGACTGAAAATAGATTGAGAATTTTTTCTTATACAACAGGTTGCTTGTAAATTAAGATTGAGAATTTTTCCCTGATACACCAGATTACTTATAAACTAAGATTGAGAATTTTTCCTGATAAACCAGTTTACTTATAAATTAAGTTTTTCCTGATACACCAAGTTACTTATAAATTAAGATTGAGAATTTTTCCTGATTCACCAGGTTACTTATAAATTAAGATTGAGAATTTTTCCTGATACACCAGGTTACTTATAAATTAAGATTGAGAATTTTTCCTGATTCACCAGGTTACTTATAAATTAAGATTGAGAATTTTTCCTGATACACCAGGTTACTTCTAATTTAAGATTGAGAATTTTTCCTGATACACCAGGTTACTTGTAAACAATCAATAACATTAGTCTGAATCCGATAACACAATGATAACTTCTTCAGGACTAGGGGGCGCCACCTGCTGTTTCTGGGACAAAGAGCAAGACTGTGTATCATCTTCACCTGCTAAGTCAATTACTGTTGTGCCTAAAGTCAGGGGTTTAAGATTTACAGTTCTACTTGAGTTCCTGAACATGATCGAGCGTTTCACAGGACTTGGACTAGGAGGGTTTGAGGAATCTTTCTCTTCTTCCAATCTATCAATGTTAGCATCAGACCGACATGGATTGTGTTTTTCATGTTCCGTACTTTCACTAGTGCCATTTTCTAAAGGCCACTTGAGATGGCGTCTAGCTTTTTCCTTGGGACTATTTTCAACAGAATTCATCTGTTCATCCTTTCCAGCACTCACCTCCCCACCCTTCCCAGAATTCATCTGCCCATCGTTTGTGGAAGAGCTATCTTCAGCTATGGATTGTACATTTGATATTTTAAGTGTACACTGATCAGACAGTGATTCATCATTTGTTTCAGAGTTGAAGAGATTGGGAAAGGTTTGTACTTTTGGTAACACAGGCATATGATCCATGTAATCTTCTATACTAACCAGTGTGCCAGACTTTTTTGGCCTGTTTAAGCAATGTATATGATCACTGATGTCACTCCCATTAGGTGAACCCGGGGGTGAATTAGCCACATAAGGTGATCTAGGTTTGGGTGAACTGTCTGAGCATAGTGAACTGGAAGACGAAGGCAGTTTTGGCGAGACACACGGGCTGTCCTTTCTACACACTTGTGGAGAACATTGTGAGGAAAGTGGGGATGCTGCCATCCTGTCTTTACCTAAATGCTTCTGTGCTGATACTGAAACATTTGGAGAATTCAACTCTCTGGTAATTTTAGACGGAGTTGAGGAACGTCCATTGTCAGACAGGAAAGATATTGATGAAGAGCTGCCATCTGTTGCTGCCTTTGTTGGTGAGGTAGAGATTGTCTCCTCATCATCCTCAGAGTCATCATTGAGAACTGAAACATCAAATGGACTTTTTTATTTCATGGGAATATTTATTACATATCGAAATGTTTTCATCCTGAATAACCTGAAACTGAAAACCCGGGCAAGATATATAGTCCTTAAATAAGTGAGGTCTATCATCACAGTTAGTCAATGTGAGCCCAGATACACAGGTGACCAATAAGTCTATCATCATGGTTAGTCATTGTGAGCCCAGATACACAGGTGACAATATGTCTATCATCATGGTTAGTCACTGAGAGTTCAGTAACACAGGTGACAATATGTCTATCATCATGGTTAGTCACTGTGAGTCCAGATACACAGGTGACCAATAGGTTTATCATCACAGTTAGTCACTGTGAGCCCAGATACACAGGTGACCAATAGGTTTATCATCATGGTTAGTCACTGTGAGCCCAGATACACAGGTGACAATATGTCTATCATCATGGTTAGTCACTGTGAGTCCAGATACACAGGTGACCAATAGGTTTATCATCACAGTTAGTCACTGTGAGCCCAGATACACAGGTGACAATATGTCTATCGTCATGGTTAGTCACTGAGAGTCCAGTAACACAGGTGACCAATAGGTTTATCATCACAGTTAGTCACTGTGAGCCCAGATACACAGGTGACCAATATGTCTATCATCACAGTTAGTCACTGTGAGCCCAGATACACAGGTGACCAATAGGTTTATCATCACAGTTAGTCACTGTGAGCCCAGATACACAGGTGACAATAGGTCTATCATCATGGTTAGTCACTGTGAGCCCAGATACACAGGTGACCAATATGTCTATCATCATGGTTAGTCACTGTGAGCCCAGATACACAGGTGACCAATAGGTTTATCATCATGGTTAGTCACTGTGAGCCCAGATACACAGGTGACCAATAAGTCTATCATCATGGTTAGTCACTGTGAGCCCAGATACACAGGTGACCAATAAGTCTATCATCATGGTTAGTCACTGTGAGCCCAGATACACAGGTGACAATAGGTCTATCATCATGGTTAGTCACTGTGAGCCCAGATACACAGGTGACAATAGGTCCATCATCATGGTTAGTCACTGTGAGCCCAGATACACAGGTGACAATGGGTCCATCATCATGGTTAGTCAATGTGAGCCCAGATACACAGGTGACCAATAGGTCTATCATCATGGTTAGTCACTGTGAGCCCAGATACACAGGTGACCAATAGGTCTATCATCATGGTTAGTCACTGTGAGCCCAGATACACAGGTGACAATATGTCTATCGTCATGGTTAGTCACTGAGAGTCCAGTAACACAGGTGACCAATAGGTTTATCATCACAGTTAGTCACTGTGAGCCCAGATACACAGGTGACCAATAGGTTTATCATCATGGTTAGTCACTGTGAGCCCAGATACACAGGTGACAATGTCTATCATCATGGTTAGTCACTGTGAGCCCAGATACACAGGTGACAATATGTCTATCATCATGGTTAGTCACTGAGAGTCCAGTAACACAGGTGACCAATAGGTTTATCATCACAGTTAGTCACTGTGAGCCCAGATACACAGGTGACAATAGGTCTATCATCATGGTTAGTCACTGTGAGCCCAGATACACAGGTGACCAATAAGTCTATCATCATGGTTAGTCACTGTGAGCCCAGATACACAGGTGACAATATGTCTATCATCATGATTAGTCACTGTGAGCCCAGATACACAGGTGACCAATAGGTCCATCATCATGGTTAGTCACTGTGAGCCCAGATACACAGGTGACAATAGGTCTATCATCATGGTTAGTCACTGTGAGCCCAGATACACAGGTGACCAATAGGTCTATCATCATGGTTAGTCACTGTGAGCCCAGATACACAGATGACAATAAGTCTATCATCATGGTTAGTCACTGTGAGCCCAGATACACAGGTGACCAATAGGTCTATCATCATGGTTAGTCACTGTGAGCCCAGATACACAGGTGACAATAAGTCTATCATCATGGTTAGTCACTGTGAGCCCAGATACACAGGTGACCAATAGGTCTATCATCATGGTTAGTCACTGTGAGCCCAGATACACAGGTGACAATAGGTCTATCATCATGGTTAGTCAATGTGAGCCCAGATACACAAGTGACAATATGTCTATCACCATGGTTAGTCACAGTGAGCCCAGATACACAGGTGACAATAGGTCCATCATCATGGTTAGTCACTTTGAGCCCAGATACACAGGTAACAATAGGTCCATCATAATGGTTAGTCACTGTGAGCCCAGATACACAGGTGACCAATAGGTCTATCATCATGGTTAGTCACTGTGAGCCCAGATACACAGGTGACAATAGGTCTATCATCATGGTTAGTCACTGTGAGCCCAGATACACAGGTGACCAATAAGTCTATCATCATGGTTAGTCACTGTGAGTTAAGATATACAGGTGACGATAGGTCCATCATCATGTTTAGTAACTGTGAGCCCAGATACACAGGTGACAATAGGTCTATCATAATGGTTAGTCACTGTGAGCCCAGATACACAGGTGACCAATAGGTCTATCATCATGGTTAGTCACTGTGAGCCCAGATACACAGGTGACAATAGGTCTATCATCATGGTTAGTCACTGTGAGCCCAGATACACAGGTGACCAATAAGTCTATCATCATGGTTAGTCACTGTGAGTTTAGATATACATGTGACAATAGGTCCATCATCATGTTTAGTCACTGTGAGCCCAGATACACAGGTGACAATAGGTCTATCATCATGGTTAGTCACTGTGAGCCCAGATACACAGGTGACCAATAGGTCTATCATCATGGTTAGTCACTGTGAGCCCAGATACACAGACGACAAATTACTCTATTATTAAGGTTAGTCATTGTGAGCCCAGATACACAGGTGACCAATAGGTCTATCATCATGGTTAGTCACTGTGAGCCCAGATACACAGGTGACCAATAGGTCTATCATCATGGTTAGTCACTGTGAGCCCAGATACACAGGTGACCAATAGGTCTATCATCATGGTTAGTCACTGTGAGCCCAGATACACAGGTGACCAATAGGTCTATCATCATGGTTAGTCACTGTGAGCCCAGATACACAGGTGACCAATAGGTCTATCATCATGATTAGTCACTGTGAGCCCAGATACACAGGTGACCAATAGGTCCATCATCATGGTTAGTCACTGTGAGCCCAGATACACAGGTGAAAAATTGCTCTATTATCAAGGTTATTATTGTAATTCAGTTTTAAAATCCTGTAAATAAAGTAGGAAATTTTCTAATATTTTGAACTTATACTACAGAGTTAGAAAGAGATTAGTGGTTGGTAGAAAGCATTTTGAAAGCTTGAGGACTAAAAAAAAAAGAAGCACATAGCCATGCAAATCTCTTATTACATCATGTCCCCTAACACAGAACAACACAAATCACAACAAGACAACAGGTCATGGTCTTTCTCAGAAAACAGTCCCTCTCAGTCATGTTTGATTCAATGGCATCACAAAGCAAATGACTCTGAAGGTAATTGCTCTACATAACTTATATCCCACTGACAGGCCATCCCCTACATCATTCCCATTATAAGGCTACAATGCATGATTCCTTAGAGTTCTCCATTGTTCCCCTTACAAGACTAAATAGGCCTAGAGAGAAGATCCCCGATATATTTCGGAAATAAGACAAGAGTCCCACCCATTCAGAGTATATAACCCCACAAGTCCTAACACAACATATGAGTCTGATAGAAGGTATATACCCACCATAGTCTCAATGCAATGCATGCATTCCCTGGGGGGTATACACCCTTAATTATCCCAATAAAACACATGAGTTCTCAAGGATATATATCCTACAATGTCCCAGCACAACACAGGAGTTCCCCAGGTGTATATATCCTACAATGTCCCAACACAACACAGGAGTTCCCCAGGTGTATATACCCTACAATGTCCCAACACAACACAGAAGTCACCCAGGGGTATATACCCTACAATGTCCCAACACAACACAGAAGTTACCAAGGGATATATACCCTACAATGTCCCAACACAACACAGAAGTTACCCAGGGATATATACCCTACAATGTACCAACACAACACAGAAGTCCCCAGGGATATATACCCTACAATGTACCAACACAACACAGAAGTCCCCAGGGATATATACCCTACAATGTCCCAACACAACACAACACAGAAGTCCCAACACAACACAGAGGTATATACCCTACAATGTCCCAACACAACACAGAAGTCCCAACACAACACAGAAGTCCCCAGGGATATATACCCTACAATGTCCCAACACAACACAGAAGTTACCCAGGGATATATACCCTACAATGTACCAACACAACACAGAAGTTACCCAGGGTTACATACCCTACAATGTACCAACACAACACAGAAGTCCCCAGGGATATATACCCTACAATGTTCCAACACAACACAGAAGTCAACCAGTGATATATACCCTACAATGTCCCAACACAACACAGGAGTTCACCAGGTGTATATACCCTACAATGTACCAACACAACACAGAAGTCCCCAGGGATATATACCCTACAATGTTCCAACACAACACAGGAGTTCCCCAGGTGTATATACCCTACAATGTCCCAACACAACACAGAAGTCCCCAGGGATATATACCCTACAATGTCCCAACACAACACAGAAGTCCCCAGGGATATATACCCTACAGTATCCCAACACAACACAGAAGTCACCCAGTGATATATACCCTACAATGTCCCAAAACAACACAGAAGTCACCCAACACAACACAGAAGTCACCCAGTGATATATACCCTACAATTTACCAACACAACACAGAAGTCCCCAGAGATATATACCCTACAATGTCCCAACACAACACAAAAGTCACCCAGGAGTATATATCCTGCATTGTCCCAACACAACATATAAGTCACCCAGGAGTATATACCCTGCATTGTCCAAACACAACACAGAAGTCACCCAGAGGTATATACCCTACAATGTCCCAACACAACACAGAAGTCCCCAAGGATATATACCCTACAATGTCCCAACACAACACAGAATTCTTCCAGGTGTAAATACCCTACATTATCCAAACACAACACAGATGTCCCCCCAATATAACACAAAAGTCCTCTTAGGAATCATACCCTAAATTGTGGCTCAGACCAGTACAAAGAAAACTTACATCAGTACTCTGATCAGGTGTCAGCTTTAGCAGGTCGAAGGGGATGGTCTGTAGATACAACTAAAGGCCCATGGAGCTTCTTTTGCTCTACTGCTTTTTTGTATTTGACTTCTGGCAAGAAAAATGGTTTTCATACCTTCATGAGCATTTTATAGTTCCATTATTATGGGAAAACTCCTTTACCATAACAATGATTTGATTTTAGCACCAATAACTTGTTTCCAACCTATTCACAACAGTCACAACACAATACAGTAAATACAGAAAGAAAACCTAGAGAAATCACCTTTCTACCAGTCTGACCAGAATCACCTATTGTGTTGAACCTGGAATGATGATTCGAAAAATTGAGAATTAAAATCATTCTTAGGTAAACCTACTTGTTAACCGCAAAAAAGTTTAAGAGTGCAATGTACAGAGAAATTTACCAATTTTTCAGTTATCTTTACAATCATTAAAGGTGAACATGACAGGTCATTCTGGTTGGACTGTGAACAGGTACAGCAAATAAAGATAGCTAACCTAGTGACAACATTTACAGCAAACATGGTGCCAACTATAGGTAAATGACAACATTTACAGCAATCAACTAAAGTTTACTGACAACATATACCACAGACATGGATAAATTGCAAATAAATGGGATTATAGCAAAAAAGGATACCAGTTACAGATAGCAACAGTAACACCAAGGATGAACATCAATTACAGATAACCATAGCAACAAGTAGAACAAACATGGACACCAGATAACAATGGCAAGACATAGACACCAATTACGGATAACAATGACATCAGGTACAGCAAACATGGACACCAATTATGGATAATAATGACATCAGGTACAGCAAACATGGACACCAATTACAGATAACCATAGCAACAGACACAGCACACATGGATACCAAATACAGATAACCATAGCAACAGGTACAGCAAACATGGACACCAATTACAGATTACCATAGCAACAGGCACAGCACACATGGATACCAAATACAGATAACCATAGCAACAGGTACCACAAACATGGACACCAATTATAGATAACCATAGCAACAGGTACAGCCAACATGGATACCAAGACAGTTCCGACAAGACATAAAGCAAACATGGACACCATCATGACACTAATTAAAACAAGAGATCCCAAGGGGACTTTGGCAACCACCCTTTTTTGGCCTTATTTGTTCTTAAAAAATGTTGGATCTTTTCCCTTTTCCTCCTCTTTCCTATATTATGGTTCTTAATTACATGTATATAAAATTTGAAAATAAACATTGATAATAATCTGTAATTGTCAAATCCAAGATGGTAAAATGATGGCCAGTTGTTTTTGTGATCAGCCCAAAATCAAAAGGGCAGAAATATGGACCAAGTGTAAATTTGAGAAAGATCCCCCAGTACTTCTCAAGGAATTGTGATAACAATGACAAACAACAAATGGACAGTGGATTAGGGCAATTTCAATTGTCTTCAATCTGATAACCATGACAACAGTTGCAGCAGACATGCAAACCATCCACAAATGATTTTGTAAATGCAGCAGCAGTTAGAGCAAATACATGTACTGGAACAGTAAAACCCAAGTGAGGGTGTATGTTACATTTGAATGGATGTATGACAGGATTCACTATTTCATCAATACGACTATCAAATCAATAGTTAACACTATCAAATGATTTTAATAAGTGGGAACTGCTGCAGGTTTTGATCTCAACCATAAAATCAAAATTTTACCCAACAATAAAAAGGAATAACAATAACTTAGCAAATAGCAGAGAAAAAAACCAGAAGACTTTTTGATTGACTACCGACCAGGAATATAGGGATCCTAGGGATTTAACAGTATGAGTAACACTCAACTTAGATTAACTTGGTTTATCGACGGATCCCATTATTCCTGAAAAATGTCCTTTTTTGTAAATTATTGAAAAAAATCAACAAACTATTATTAAACTATTAAGGTTTATAAGGTAGTACCAGAACCAGTGGGGAGACATTCAGGTAAACCTACAGGTCCAGTAATACCAGTAGGATTTGTAGGTAAACCTATAGATCTATTGGTAGTACCAGTGGGGAGACTTGTAGGTAAACCTATAGACCTATTGGTAGTACCAGTGAAGAGACTTGTAGGTAAATCTTTAAGCCCAGAAATAGACTTGAAGGTGAACCTATAGGCCTATTGGTATTTCTTTGGGCAGAATATGGGTAAGATCATGTCCATCGGTAATACCATTGGCAGGTTATGGATAAACCTATAACCCTATCGGTATAACCAGTGGGCAGTTTATGGGTAAACATATAGCCCAATCAGTATTACCAGTGGGCAGATTATGGGTAAACATAAAACATATAACCCTATTGGTAATACCAGTGGGCAGATTATGGGTAAACATATAGCCCAACCAACTGATGTGTGATAAACTTCAGATCATATAGAGTATAGGGTACAAACTTACTAACAAAGTACATCCATTAAGCTCTATTTAAGCCTAATGAATATGAAAAATGCAGTTCTGCATACTGTTCACTCAAATCTATGTAACTCAATATGGACAACAAGGCTTTCCAATTCAGTCTCATTCATCCCTGTAACAGGTTCTGTAAGGAAACTATCTATTTAAAATCACATTCTCTCTCTGTAACTTTCCTGAATATGTGTAAACTTGACCATAGATTTGACGTATCACTTCAGATCTAGTGATGAACACTCAAGATTCAGTTGGAAATTCACACAATATTTAACCTATACTGCATAACTTGTTCTAAGTACCAACACTGGACTTGTTTACACTTCCTGAGTGAAATTCATTATGAATGTTTACACAGAATATATTGAAAAGTTTATTTCTGTGAGAAGAACAGTTTTAATACTCATGAAATCCTACTTTCGATCATTTCTGGAACATCCTCCTTGTCCATCATTTCCATTTCTTCTTTGTCTTCTTCTTCCTCTTCCTCTGCCTTTTCATCTACATCCACATCTTCAGGAGATTCCTCTTGCCGTCGACAGAATTTCTCCAAGACCTATCAAACAGTAAGTCTATATCTCATCTCAATTTACAAAATTTGAGATGTTAAATTCTATCATCAAACACAAAATACAGCATTTTAACTCTGATGCTAGGAGACAACCATCATCCATTCAAATAATTTTGACCTTTTCCAACAAATGCCCAAATGTTTACAAATAACCTATAATACAGGTTATTTTTTTGTTCTATGTTTACTCCATTTGTCAAAAATCGATTTTGGGTTCATGGTAATCGTAACAATCCTTATATTAGGTGAGGATTGGTCTGCTATGTCCTAGGTAAGAAGACTATATTAAAATATTGGTGGGTGTTGGCTTGGTGATAAATGATAAGTTGTTATATCTTGGCAATATGACTCCACTTCTGTAAGATTTGATTATCAATCTTAGATTATGAAAGAAGAATAGCTTGTTGTGTGTGCACAATAGGTTACTATAATCAAACTTAACCAAGAATAACATAATAGCATATTACTTACGTCATCAAGTTTGCCTTTCGCAGCTTTCCTGTTCTCATCTAGCTTCTTCTTAAGTTCTGGGTCTCTTAAAGCTGGATCTTCCCTCGACCTAATAGCAAGTAAAAGTTTATTTCACAAATGTACTTGACTATCAATGCTTGCATGTCTGATCATATAAAATTCACAAGGTCATTTTCAAGTCAATGGAATTTTATTTTGAGTTAGAAGTATATGTTTTTATTATAGATGGCAGTAGGGTTTCTAACTCAGAGCTTAAGTAAAGATTTTTTAGTGTCTTTTAGCTAGGATTACAAATGATTCCTAAAGTACAATAAGTTAGGCTTGTAACTATGATTCCTCCCGTAGAGAAACAGTGAGCCTGGTAATTACAACAATTTTTACATTACAGCAACTGTCAAGACTTGTAATTACAGCAATTCCTATGGTAGAACAACTGTAATACCTGTAATTACAGCAATTCCAATAGTAGAACAATTGTAAGACTCGTAATTACAGTAATTCCAAGAGTAGAACAACTGTAAGATTCGTAATTACATCGATTCCCTTGGTAGAACAACTGTCAAACTCGTAATTACAGCAATTCCTTTGGTAGAACTATTGTAAGATTCGTAATTACATCAATTCCCTTGGTAGAACAACTGTAAGACTCGTAATTACAGCAATTCCTATGGTAGAACAATTGTAAGATTCGTAATTACAGCAATTCCTATGGTAGAACAATTGTAAGATTCGTAATTACAGCAATTCCTATGATAGACCAACTGTAAGACTTATAATTACAGCAATTCCTACACCAAAGCATTATTTTGTCTCATGCTTACTGCAAACGTTTAGATTACTACAGTAAAGTGTCAGCGAGTGTTTCTAAATTTTAAGCAACAATTTGAAAGTCTCTTCATTAAATTTTAGAAGTTATAATGGTTTACACCAAATAGATTTCCTATTGTATTAATCAAGTTCCTTTCAGCAAAAGTGTTGTATTTCTCCAAGAGAAAGCCTTCCTATAATTCATGGCAGATATTTTCTCTTTACAGAGGAGTGTTGCTGGCGTTAGATTTGTGGGCTTGATGGAATAATAAAGTGTAGAACTAGTGTTAAACTGAGGGACAGAGAGTTGATGGAATGAAATGATACATGTGAATAATTTTGGACTTATATGTTCACCCTTGTTCATCTTGGAGATGTCCCGGAGACGTCTTCCTTAGATCACTGATTCGCCGTTTCTGCAGAAGGTCACCAATATCCTGAAAAGCCTCCCTTGCTAAGCGGTCTATAGCGGGCCCACTGCAAATGAATATTCATACAGCTTACATATTTTGATACACTAGGTCTATTTCCATACAGCTGTGGATATCATTTCAAGTCAATGTATGCCATTTTTTGCATATCTAACCTCACAAATATAACCACAGTTATCACAGAATACGTTTTTACTATGGACTTACAGACACACTACAAGAGGTAACAGGTATATATTCAACACCTTTGCAACAAGTTCATTAAACAATAAATCAATTTTTACCTTAATCCTAGCTTTTTTTGTTTGCTGGTGTCTCTGATGACCTTCTGGACATCATGGAAATCTGGGAAGATCTTGTGTTTGTTAACAAACTTCTCAAGCTTCCTGTTGACTTCTGGATACCTTGTCCCTACAGTGTATAGTAAGGCATTATAATCCTTGTAATTACAACTTGTAATTACAACATGTGTATAATCCTTGTAATTACAACATTTGTATAATCCTTGTAATTACAACATGTGTATAATCCTTGTAATTACAACATTTGTATAATCCTTGTAATTACAACATGTGTATAATCCTTGTAATTACAACATTTGTATAATCCTTGTAATTACAACATGTGTATAATCCTTGTAACTACAGCATTTGTATAATCCTTGTAATTACAACATTTGTATAATCCTTGTAATTACAACATTTGTATAATCCTTGTAACTACAACATGTGTATAATCCTTGTAATTACAACATGTGTATAACCCTTGTAACTACAACATTTGTATAATCCTTGTAATTACAACATGTGTATAACCCTTGTAATTACAACATGTGTATAACCCTTGTAACTACAGCATTTGTATAATCCTTGTAATTACAACATGTGTATAATCCTTGTAATTACAACATTTGTATAATCCTTGTAATTACAACATTTGTATAATCCTTGTAATTACAACATGTGTATAATCCTTGTAATTACAACATTTGTATAATCCTAGTAATTACAACATTTGTATAATCCTTGTAATTACAACATGTGTATAATCCTTGTAATTACAACATGTGTATAATCCTTGTAATTACAACATTTGTATAATCCTTGTAACTACAACATTTGTATAATCCTTGTAATTACAACATTTGTATAATCCTTGTAATTACAACATTTGTATAATCCTTGTAATTACAACACATGTATAATCCTTGTAATTACAACATTTGTATAATCCTTGTAATTACAACATGTGTATAATCCTTGTAATTACAGCATTTGTATAATCCTTGCTCAAACAACATATTTAATACAATGTGCTATAAACTAGTGGAGGGACATCAGTTGCAGACATGATCAATTAATCTGTTGGAATCCATTGATAAATCAGTCCAATAATTCTCAATTTCAGTATTCTTGTCTTTAATACTGATATTCTACTTGCATGTGGTGTATCATAGCTTCATACCTTTCTAGTGTCAAAGCAATCAATTGTTGTTAACCATGTTTTTCCACTCTCGATTATCAACAACTAAACTTTCCACCATATTTACAATGGCCGCCTCTAAACAGAATCTCTCTGGAATCGTGGTTGTAAATCTTTATTTACCGCCAAGCTCACAACCTTATTTCTTGGAAGGTTTACAGCTAGAACTCTAGAGAGATACCACATAGTGGATGTCATTGTAAATATTCTGGTAAGTAAAGCTGTTGGGGAAATGAGAGGAAAATACTTTGTTTACAATATCTAATTGCTTTGACACATATCAAAGTACATACCTATATCTGTATATATATATGCTATGCTATTATGTTTACAGACATATACTACATCATTTAAAATTTATCAGAGCAATAAAATATACCCTTGTAGTAAAACCGTCTCTCCACCGGACGACCTGTGGTGGACTCTGCACCTTTCAGCTCACAAAGCTTCCTCCACACCTTGACAAACTTATGTTGGTAGCGATCCTCTTGTATGTAAACAGAATCCTCTTCTCCAAGGGCATCCAAAGACAAATCTGCATTTTTCAACTCCTCGATCTTGTTACGAATGTCCTGTAATTAAACATTGTAGCTGGTATGTAAAACAGAGCAAAAGACCATCACATTTTTTAATTTCAGCAACTTCTGACTTGTTTTCATTATGTTTCAAACACACTTCTATTCTGCCTTACATATATATTTTGAAACATTTCATTTGTTACATGTTTAAGAGTTTCAATCATACTTTAACATATATTTTACAATTTTGAGTCAATTGATCCACAAACTGTGTTGTCAGGTTTCTTTTACCAGACTTGTAACTTATTATCTAACCTCCAGCAACTTTTCCAGACGGCGGATCTGACGTTGTGATCCCTTTTTCGCAGTTTCTTCAGAGGAATTCATTGTTACTGGCTGTGCTAATTCTGGTTGAGTTCCTTCATTAATTTCAGTATAATCAACTTCATTTTCATTGTCTTCTTGTTCAGCCACTGATGAAAACTTTGTGTTGTTACCTTTTATAACATGATTTTCTACTTGCTTAGTTTCAACACGTTTTATATCTTTTGTTTTTTCTTCACTTACAGGTTCAGAGGTCTTATCAACACTTTTGTTTTTAAGTGTAACACCAATTTCTTTTTCATTCTCAGAACAGCTTTCTTTTTCTTTCAATGGGAAATAATTTTCCTTTTCATTCTCATCTGAATGTTCTGATTTCAGTGGTGTTGAGCTATCCATTGGAGCGGTTTCCTTAAGGCGTTCACAGATATCTTCCGTTTTAATTTCAAGCTTTTCTAAAACAGGATCATCCTCATTATCTTCCTCATCATCAATTGTGATGCAATCATTATCCAAAACACCAGAAAATAACTCTGGAGAGTTAACAAAACCACCATTGATACCTGAACACCCTTTAGACTTCTCTGTTGTTTCTGTTTTTGCTAAATCACTGGAATCATCTACAGTCATACACAGGTCTCCAACACTGTCTCTGGATACCTGATTTCCCTGAAAATCCTGATCTTTACCTGGTTCTGATGATTCACAATCCCCATTCTTTATTGATCCTGTTTCACAGTTGTTCTCTATATCTTTCGTTTCAGCTTTATCTGTGACCTGATCACAAGTTTTGTTGATATCCTTTTCTCTATCACTAGATTCATCAACACATGATTTTGTTGACTTGTTTTTCGGAGATATTTTACTTAAACTGTTTGATTTTGGAGGGACCTTATATAGGGCTTCACAGAAAGCTGAGCTGTTTTCCGTCTCACTGCAGTCTGTGTCGGTAGAGTTCTCTCGTAAAGATTTTGGACTAGGGGTTTCTGATATATCAGAACCACTTTCTTTACGTTTACGTTTCTTAGAAATCTTTTTATCTGCCTTATTGGATTTTAATTCATTCAAAAAGTCCCTGAGATGAACAAATACTCTACTGTTGTCACTGTCGATTTTGGCTTGTGTTATTTGTAAAACATCTTCAAATTTAGTTGAATTTCTGTAGGCTTGGGAACATTCTTTGTATCTCTTTCTTATCAGAATGGACAAATCTGGTGTCTTCTCAATGAAGCCTTGAATATCTTTCAAAAACTGAAAGAAATTGAGCATCATATATTGTGGTGATCAGACAAAATGTTCAAATATTAATAATACATAATCAGAGATTTTTAGGATTCAAAAAGGTATCTTTTTGTAACCAGGGTAATGAAAATTTTAAAACAACAACTTGGCCTCACCAGTGAAATTCCTACAAAAATTACTGATCATTATACATTGAAAATCAATATTCCATAATAATGTATCATAATATGCAATAAATTGGTATACATTAATGCCAAGTTTGTTCATTGTCACAGGCTTAAATTAGACAACCCACATGACTGCTTTACTATGAAAATACATGTCTATGTGATATTCTGACAACCCCCACCTACCCATTTTCTTGGTAGTCAAGGGCTAAGAGAAGCCCTCTTTTCATGTAATAAATTAATCAATATTAATATGGTCACAAGTTAGGTATACATATACCATAATTTTTTCTTGTCTATCTGGTGATTGCATCTGTTATATTTAGAGAAAACCCAGTGGTTAAAAGTTAACCTCTAACAAACTTAAAAGTTAGTAATACTTACATCAACAACAAAATATCAATACCAAATATACAAGATGAATAGTCACTTCTGATCACAAAATAGATCTAATAGGATCTTCATACACCAATTTTATATTGACAGAAAATACTTACTTTATCAAAGGCTGACTCAGACATATTTTACACTTTTCAAACCTGAAATAAAATTTGAAGAGTAACTGATACAATAAACAATAATGTATGTTTTTGATGGAAAAACCTGTATTCTAGCATAAGCATCAATTTGAAAGAATTACTTTCTGATTTACTTAAACTTAAAGCCATCTAATAAGTTGTAACCAACACATTTATTAATGAAAATTCATAAATATGCTTTTCATAGATATTTAAGTGTGAAACTATATTTCCATGCAGAGCAATTATCTTGATGTGTGTCACTGGCCTAAAACTGTCTCAATTTTCAATAAATGTTGTAGAACAGGAAGCTTGACACTTTCTTTCTTTCTTCACTCTTGCCCAAATATGGCTTATATTTTAAGACACAAGCCATGTATTCTCTATGTATGGTCATTCAAGTATAAATGACACCGAAGTAAACATCTTCATTCATTTAAATAACAAATACTAAACCAATTGGTATTCAATAGGTTAATTTGCCTATTATATGAAAAGTTGTGGTTTACCCCGGCCATCTGCCTATTGTTCTATTTGAGATAAATTTCGTGAAAACCAGTAAACCACATCCCATGTCATATAACACCGAATGAACTTTGACATATTTTATGACTAGAACAATGTGAAAACTGTACCACTTTGGGTAGCTCTAATGTTTCGTGTCATCGGATCACGGTAGCTTTCGATATTCCATGTCAATTTAAAATTTATCAACAGCCTGAAAACTGACAGCACAATATCACGTGAAACAAATTTATAAGCATGACTATGTTACCAGGAGGTGATCGAACACATGTTAAATATATCTGTGTGAAAATATAATTCAATGTATTAACGAAAACTAGAATATTACCATATACGTGCTAATTAAAGTTGAAGCTGCTAATAATTGCTAACATCGCCTACTTGTCTTGGCGCTGAATCGTACAGGAAGTTGGTAGATATGGTAAATAATTTTTAGAACTTTAGAATCTCATAATACAACGAAACAAATTCAGTAGTATTTCTTTATTTCTAAATAGAGAAATTGCTATAAAGCCACAACGTATAACATTTACATATTTGATGAAATTATTTGTAAGATACCGTATATTTACAAAACTAAGTAGCCCAAATGCTATTGCTAAACGTAAACATTTCGTTTCATTCTTAATGCTGATGCTAATATTCAAACATGGCGGCCGCCATTGAAAGTACGGGACGTTCGTCGTCGGAGGTTTGCATTTTTTCAAGTATTTTTACCCATAGAGTTCCAGTTGATATCAACCATATCGTATTATCAAAACTTATAACAAAAGTAAACTCATATAAGTTAGAGTTATATATGATATTATAAAAAGACTAACCATTGGAACATTTTTTACCTGATACTGGAGCACCGGCAAATCAGGCTGTATAGACCTAGTCAGATTTTTCTAAACTGTAAAATGTGACTATACGTAAATAGGGCAAATGTAAACGTAAAGGGACGGTCCGGTCACATTTTTTCGTGCAGATTGAAAACAAAAAGATGACGAATCATGTAATTCATTGAAGTAAATGTTTTTGGCATATTTGCTCAATTTCGGTCATTTAAAAAAATTATAGTTGCATATTTTTAGTATGCACATACACACACCATTTGATAAACTCCATAGTGGGTCCATCCAATATAGCGTTATTCACTCCTTGTATCGTTGAGATAAGCATCCATTTGATGCAGATTCTGGCCACAGGTACAAAAAATAACCTGCAAAAATGTGAATTTTGTGTTGGAAGCCAAAAAGATATGAAGTGTATTAATTATGAACAATATGTGTTTGTGAAACACTAAACCCTCGGTTGCAACAAAATTCTGAAGTGGGACATTTAACATGTACTGTGTAAGGCATGTGCTAATTGCAAGTAGACATTGTGAAACACTTATCTTCATTGTGCACTTGTTAAGGTTGATGTTTAAGTTTTACAAATATATGTCAAAGGTCACAGTCAAGGTCACATGGTTAAAAAATTCAGTACCCACCAGAAAAGTTTTGTCACAAGGAATGCACATGCCAAATATAAATTTCCTACCTCTTGTGGTGCAAGTTACGGCCAATGTTAAAATTTTTCAGATGTAGGTCAAAGGTCAAGATCACATGGTCAAAATTTTGGTACTACCAGAAAATGTCTTGTCACGAGGAAGTAAAAGAACACACATGTCAAATATGAAAGCCTTACCACTTACAATGCAATAGTTATGAGCAAGGGTAATGTTGACAACAGACAAGGGGAATAATTAAGAATATTGAAGTTTCACCTTCAGAGCTTGTGGATAAAGGGTGGTGCAGTGGTAACACACTTGTCTTTTACCTAGCAGTGTGGGGTTTGATTCCTGAAACGGACCTGAAAAGGAAGGGAGTCGCCTGTCTGACCATGTGGGTTTCCCCTGGGTACTCCCGTTTTCTCCCACAGTAAGGCCCCTGGCACGCTTATAAATGGGCAAACAAGAGTGATTAGTATAAGTAGCTATAACATGTTTTTTGCAATTGTTGTAAAAGAAATAAAGTATATATAAGTACTAGAAAATGCAACAACGAAATTCAACCAACTCACTGGAAATAGAGTTCTATGTCTCACTAGATTTGTCGTCCAATTTTTTTTTTTTTTTTTGTGAAATTGATTAGTTCATTGTTATCCAAATATTTCACAACTAACCTTCTTTTTACAATAAAGATATTTTCCTGGTTTTGATTGTTCACACAATTATTATGACCAGGTATGGAGCATTTGCTTACATTTGCCCTTTATATGTATAGTCAGAATTGACTTTATAGACAATTGCTAGATTTACCAGTGCTTCAGTACCTGATAAATACATAGACTAAGTGAAAGTCACATTTAACACCACAACCTTTCATACTCACTTGTAACAGTTTGGTCTAATGTTAATTTTAAGAAATGACATTTCACTCCCACCTTCAAAATGACTAAATCCAGGTTGAAATGCTCTCACTTCAACAACTGTAATTTTGTTGAAGTTTAGCAGTTCTATGTACACTCTGACCTCCTTCAATACTTCAGCACTCTGATCCATTTTCAAATTGGTGACTTGGCAACCAAAAGCAACAGTCCTGTCAGTAAAAGCCAATACATCACCTATGGCTCAATTTATGGAAATGGGCTTATTGTGTAAATACAGTACAGCTTAATATGTATTAAGTTATGACACTGTGTATTCTGTTAAACATCATCATTGATATTAAATCAAATTTGTTTGAATATGGTATGTGATACAACTTAATGTGGCTAAAGACAGAATATTGTGTGTTGTGTTTAACACACATTATTATAAAAGATTATTATTAATATAACAGAGAAAATAACAAAGCTGTGATATTCTTCTTTTTCTATCAGAATATCCTGAATGAAGTGAGGAAGTTCCTAAGAGGTGCCAGCAATGAACGTCCTATGGGAAGAGAGAGTCACACCAAATCAGCTTTATTCCTACTGCAAACTTTACCCACTGCTAGATTTGCAGTGTTGGAACATCTTTGTAGTGTCTTTGATGAAGCAGTAAATGAACATTTGATGCAACTTATGTTGAATAACTCTGAAAATCCAGTGGGTAAGAATTCATGCTTCTCAGTGAGAACTTCATTGATATAGATTATGCAATCATCAGAATGCTGGCAAATATAGATGTCGTTAAAAACTGTTTTAGTGGAAAGAATATTTATTTTTTATTTTAGATGAAAATCGTGGCCATTTGGATGGTGTGATACAAGATGCCTGTGGTGTTCTTTTTAACTTCATCAAGACTGGTCCCCAAGCATGGGCTCCTATCATTTCTAGTGTGAGTTTAAATCCTAGACCATTCTAATAATCTTTCAGTTCCCCCAGCCCAAATCCTTACCATCAGTCAGCCCAAATTCTTGTCATCAAAAGTCAGTCAGACAAAATCCCTGCATTTTCTACCAGTGAACCCAAATCTTTTTGGTCTTTTGTTAGTCAGCCCAAATCCTATCTGTCTCCTGTCAGTCAGCCTAAGTCCTTGTTTTCTATCATGTATTTGTATTGAAGAAAAATGGCTTTCTTTGTTTGTAACACAGTGGTCACTGGAGTTGCTCGGTCAGATCAGTCAGAAGTATGCCAGTCACAGAATGGTTCCTCATGCCAACTCATTGAATGAACTTCTTCAACTGTGGATGACATGTACTCCCACAAAATCACTTATGGAGGTAGCCACAGAATGCTTTGCAGCTATGTAAGTGTCTGGAATTAATTATTTGTCTTAACATTTTTTGGCAGAAAAGTAAGAGTCAGGAATAATATTTGTTGAAACACTTCTAAGCTATGTAGGTGTCTGCAGTAAGTTATTTGTTAGATTGTTTTAAACCTGGAGTACATTATTTGGTAGAACATATACAAGCTAAAAGTAAATTATTAGGTAGGATATTTGTAATTTATGTAGGTATCTGGAGTAAATCATTGGGAGGATATTTGTAATTTATGTAGGTATCTGGAGTTCGATAATGAATAACCTATTACTTTCATTAGACCATTTTACAGCTATGTAAAATGCTCTGAATGTAAATGAGATGGAAACAACTTTAGTGGTTCTTTGTGTGACAGGATTCAGGGGGCCCCAGATTCCTGTGTGGATGCCCTTCTGGAGGCTTCTGTCAAGTACAGCCCACACTTTGACTGGGTGGTGGCTCACATAGGGTAAGTATTTAAACTATATGGATGCTCTGCTGGAGACTTCTGACAAGCACAGTCCACACTTTGACTGGGTGATCATTAACATAGAGTAAGTAAAGCAACCATGTGAATGCTCTGCTGGAGACTTCTGAGAAGTACAGTCCACACTTTGACTGGGTGGTAGCTCACATATTGTACTGGAACAAGAAACAATATAATTTAGATTTGCCAAAACCAGTGAAGTGAAGGTGAAATAGAAGATGAATTCAAGATAACAAAATCACAATAGAATAGAATGGTTTTTTGTTCCTGACAAAATCATAAGTGTTGTGAAGCTGGTTTTTTTCTTGATGTTTTAATTAACCTAGCATTGATGTTTTCCAGGTCATGTTTCCCCGATACTATTATTACGCGAGTGTTGATGTGCGGTCTCAAAGACTTCTGTCAAAATGGTGGGAGGTCAGCTGACATGGAAATGATGGCAGAGGAAAGGATACCGAAGATGGCATCTGTTGTAGGGATTCTGGGGCATCTAGCTTCAAAACACAGCCCAGAAATACGTGCAGCTTTAATGAAACTGTTTGATGTAGGTAGACATTCTGGAGATACCATAGTATGGATTTGTAGAGAAAGCATTTCATATCAGTAGTGTACATTTAATCTAGAAAGCAGTCATCAATTTTACTGAAACCTTTCATTATTTCAAAATGTAAAAAATGTGTTTTTTAAACCAGTAGAAACTTTAATGTGTTTTGGAAAAAAATGTAATACCTTAAATGAAAACTCTTCAATAAGATGTGCTTTGATTACAGGACAGTCTACATACACAGAGTGACACCCTCAAGGTCACTACTGTGCCATTCCTCCTTCAGTTGGCCTCCATGTCACCCATGCTGCTCCAAATCCTCACTACTGACCTCATACAAGCCTGTAAGTGTCACTATTTACCTGAGATAGGATTATAGTGTAAAGGTCTGAAGTCTGAGGTCTGACCTCATTCACATCTGTAGCATGTAGGTCTGTAGGTCTGAAGTTTGATTTAATACAGGCCTGTAACATACAGATCATTTAAGTCTGAGGCCTAACCTCATACAGGTCTGTAAGTCTGATGTCTGACCTCATACAGGTCTGTAGCATACAATTTCATATTTCTGAGGTTAATAAGTCTGAGGTCAGACCTCATATTGGTCTGTAGCACTGAGGTCCATCAGTTTGAGGTCAGACTTCATACAGGACTATAATCTGTTTTATATCCACTAAGTGTTCATTCGACTTTAAAAGATACAGAGTATCTTTGCTTGGTTTGATTTCAGTAACTCCTAGCGTCCTGAACAAACTCAGTGACCAGTTTGCCAATTGGAAGGAGTCAAGCTCTCATGAATATGAAAGGTATGTATAATTTATATGTGTGGCAAAGTCTTAATAAAGGTCACAAGGGTCAAATTTGTTCAATTTTTTTGAAAACTTCTTTTGACCAAACAAAAGGCTCCAGAGCATGATATTTGGCTTATAAGTTCCTGAATGCATATCCCAGGTCACAGTGGTTAAAGTTTTCAAAACCTGTAAAAGACTTTTTCTGGTATCTGATGGAAAGGTGTTTCTAGGTCAAAGCCCCACTAATTCTAAGTAATGACATTTGTCTATAACCTTCACTGTATATAGCTTAGGATTAGATGCATATGTTTGTTATGGAAATTAGTTAAAAGTGGATGGGCCCACTTTGAATGCCAGTGGAAGAAGATTGATTGTATTTTTGATTAAAATTGAATACCAGGTAAGTGGTGAAGGCACATTGGGCCTGATGTTTTATTTACACAGGTTACCAAGCAATATCAAGGTTGTGTTCTCATATAGTATTGAGAGAAATCATCTTATTTTGACAGCTTCCTGAGCCTGGTTATTCACCTCATCACCATGATAGATGTTGGTTCCTACCAGGTCCTCCAGTTCTTTCTCAATATAGCCCAGCCTCAGGGTAAGTCACTCCACATGGCCAAGCCCCAAGGTAGGTCACTCCACATGGCCAAGCCCGTGGGTAAGTCATTGAACATGGCGGAGCCTCAGGGTAAGTCATTCAACATGGCGGAGCTTCAGGGTATGTCATTCAACATGGCTGAGCCTTAGAGTAAGTCATTTAACGTGGCCGAGCCTCAGGGTAAGTCACTCCACATGGCCATGCCCCGGGGTAAGTCATTAAACATGGTGGAGCCTCAGGGTAAGTCATTCAACATGGCTGAGCCTTAGAGTAAGTCATTTAACCTGGCCGAGCCTCAGCGTAAGTCACTCAACCTGGCCGAGCCTTAGGGTAAGTCACTCCACATGGCCAAGCCCCGGGGTAAGTCATTAAACATGGTGGAGCCTCAGGGTAAGTCATTCAACATGGCTGTGCCTTAGAGTAATTCACTCAACTTGGCCGAGCCTTAGGGTAATTCACTCAACCTGGGCGAGCCTTAGGGTAAGTCACTCCACATAGCCAAGCCTTAGGGTAAGTCACTCCACATGGCCAAGCCCAAGGGTAGGTCACTCAATATGGCCTAGCCTCAGGGTAAGTCACTCAACCTGGCCGAGCCTTAGGGTAAGTCACTCAACCTGGCCAAGTCTCAGGGTAAGTCACTCCATGTGGCCAAGCCCCAGGGTAGGTCACTCAATATGGCTGAACCTCATGATAAATAACTTTACATGTCTGAGCCTTAGACTAAGTCACTCAACATAAAATCTTTGAAGCAGTTGGGATTCCCACCCCTAAACTATATATATCAATGTTGGGCATCAAGAAAAAAACACATTCATGACATAAGGACTGACTCTAGGGTGTGCCACACCTACCATATTGGGACATATGGTAAACCAATGGACTTAATTTCTAGGTTATATCTTTGAAACAGTTGAAATCTCCACCCCATAACCATATATAGAATTGCTTAGCATCGAGAGATAAACACATTTGTGATGTAAGAATTGACCCTTGGGTATGGCACACCAATGGGGACATATGGTAAACCTTCAGTCAGTTTGAACAAAATTAATTAAACATTGTTGAACCTGTCAAAATTATAAGAAATGATGCTCATGAAAATAAATTAGTTTGAATTTTCGTGGTCGACGTTGCTCAAAACCATGATGAAGTATCAATAAGTGATATTGTCAATGTCAAAATGGCATTTTCTTGGAGGTCAGTTAAACAATTATCATCTTTTGAAACACTGACTGTACTGCAATACATGTTAATCAACTGTTAGGAAATCACAGGTTTCATTTTCATCTTCATGACTTTGAATACTGTGACGAAGAAACCAGCCCATAAAAAGTACAATTCTGTTTGTGTATTGGCAGAAGTTAACATCGACATATCAGTATGTGTAGTGAGGATTGATACTTAATATGACAACAGCATGCACACACTGTAACGGCAAAATGCAAAAACCCTACACATCAATGCTAATAAAGAGACATGTATGTGTACAATCTGACAATATCAATTATTTACAATGGTCATTTACTGCCATATTTGGAAACATTTGAAATACCAAACTTATAGGCATGTAAACCATTGCTGGACTGTAAGATCCAGGTGAGTGATACAGGCCCTATGGGCTTCTTTTTAATGTAGTGTAACCATATTGAAAATTGATAATATCATCAATTTTTGCACACATTTCATGAGACAATGATGAAAGCACGATGACTAGGTTTCACAACAGCTTACATTTTGGCATTTTTTTTTTAATTATGGGAGAAAAATACCATGAGTCTGTTCCATGGACAGGGATAGCACAACCCTTGCGTTGAAGTGTATCTATCCATGGAACAGACTCATGTAAGATTCAGTTAGTCGCAGTGCAGGGTATTGTTTACATATATCACTTTGGGATATTTCAGACCAAATTTACAGTCAATGGAACATGTTTTGTTAGCTATATATGTAAAGGTTTACAAACAGAATGTTTATGTGCATTCTCGACTTTCTGTCCTCAGAGAAAACAGGAGAGGAAGTTCCTAATAAAGAAGTACAAGAAACATGTGCAGTACTCTTGGTAAGTATTTACCTCTGAAAGGAAGGAATAAGTAGGGATGAAGAGGGATAGTTGGATAGTTGCTAATGGGAGGAATTGGTTTAGGTGTAGGGATGAGGAATAATTTGGGACAAAGAACATGCTGATGGGAGGAATTGGTTAAGGTGTAGGGATGAGGAAGGATAATCAAGACACAGAACATGCTGATGGGAGGAATTGGTTAAGATGTTGGGATGAGGAATAATTTGGGACAAAGAACATGCTGATGGGAGGAATTGGTTAAGGTGTAGGGATGAGGAAGGATAGTCAAGACACAGAACATGCTGATGGGAGGAATTGGTTAAGATGTTGGGATGAGGAATAATTTGGGACAAAGAACATGCTGATGGGAGAAATTGGTTAAGGTGTAGGGATGAGGAAGGATAGTCAAGACACAGAACATGCTGATGGGAGGAATTGGTTAAGATGTTGGGATGAGGAATAATTTGGGACAAAGAACATGCTGATGGGAGGAATTGGTTAAGGTGTAGGGATGAGGAAGGATAGTCAAGACACAGAACATGCTGATGGGAGGAATTGGTTAAGATGTTGGGATGAGGAATAATTTGGGACAAAGAACATGCTGATGGGAGGAATTGGTTAAGATGTAGGGATGAGGAAGGATAGTTTGAGACACAGAACATGCTGATGGGAGGAATTGATTAAGATGTTGGGATGAGGAATAATTTGGGACTAAGAACATGTTGGTGGGAGGAATTGGTTCAGACAAAGGGAGATGATGATGGATTAGTATAGTTTGGAGCTGCGATGGGAGTTTCATGTGAAGTGTATTTATGTTAACAAATTAGTGGTCATTTTGAGAAAAAAATTTATTTTGTTTCATTCAGAAAAGATTTTTGAATTTGAAAGGATCATTTTGAAGAAATATGAATGTTGGTAGAAAGTGCATTTTGCTTCAAAGTCACAGATGATTGTTTAAATATCAATGATGTTTTCGTTCAGAATCGCTTAGTAACTGAACTTCAGAGAGCAGTTTTTCATCGCCATAGAGAAGGCAAGAGTGATGTCCCTTTGCTGGCATCTCTTACCCCCGAGGCTATCCACATCACAGAGATGCTGCTCAACAGTAAGGGACAAAAGTAGGTTTTCTTAAAACTCTACCACTTGAAATATATTGAGTTCATTTTATTTCCTTTCAATATTGTTTTGCAACTTGAATATTGGATTCAAAGAGACAACCCATCCAAGCAAACTAATTTTTATGTGAAGAAAAGAGATTTTCAGGATTTTGTTTAAATATGATTTAAGATGAAATATTTACTTTGTTGTAGGGCGGAATGCTTGGTGAAGCTTTTATCTTTTGTTGGTCTTTATAATGGAGAAGACTGCACAGCAGAGATATTAGCTTACATTATTACTGAGTCACGGGAATGGCACCAGGTATTGTATAAATTTATCCTTCAGAAATATTAACCTCAGGAAAACTTATAAGTAACCACTAGGCAGGTCATGTTGGTCAGGTGACTTTTAAGTTTGGTCTGATGGTCAGGGTGACATGTTATTTTGGTCTGATGGTCAGGGTGACATGTAAGTTTGGTCTAATGGTCAGAGTGACATGTAAGTTTGGTCTAATGGTCAGAGTGACATGTTAGTTTGGTCTAATGGTCAGGGTGACATGTAAGTTTGGGTCTAATGGTCAGAGTGACATGTAAGTTTGGTCTAATGGTCAGGGTGACATGTAATTTGGGTCTAATGGTCAGAGTGACATGTATGTTTGGTCTAATGGTCAGGGAGACATGTAATTTGGGTCTAATGGTCAGAGTGACATGTAAGTTTGGTCTAATGGTCAGGGTGACATGTAAGTTTGGTCTAATGGTCAGAGTGACATGTTATTTTGGTCTGATGGTTAGGATGACATGTAAGTTTGGTCTAATCATTGTGATTTTACCTTAAACAGCTGAAACGGTTCCTTGAGCTACAGTTGGTGAAGGAAGTAAGATTGGGCGATATCCTTGGTCGTACCACCTCTAAACTCATGGCCTACCTCCAGCCGCCCATTGTCTACTGTCCTCAACGCCTCCTCAAGAATGTCCTCATCCTTCTACAGCAGGAAAATAAGACTGAAAATAACTTAAAAGTTATAAGGTAGGTCACAGACATATTGTGTAATTATCATTAGAAAGCATAGATCTGGTATCCAATGGTTAAATATGCTGTTTCAAACTTGATTTATTTTTTCAGGTCTACATTGCTGTTTTATATGAGGGAGAACTGGGAGTCCCTGATTGCACTCCTTTCTCACACTGATCTCACAGTAATCATGACAACTCTCAAGATTCTTGAGATTGTTGGCCTCTCCAGACCAATATCCAGTGTATCAGCCATTCGGATATCATCAGCCCTTGTTATTGTGTTCTTCAAGTCGCTTGAGTTGACAGGTAAGACTAGTTACTAAGCACTGGTATTGCCTTTGATATATTAATAACAAGCAAAAGGACAATTAATGGCTGTGTGGTATCAGTACCCTTTCTGTTTTATAGATATCCTCCAGTCGCTGTGGTCAGTCTGCTATATGTATGTATACTCTTCTGTATTTTAGATGCCCATAAAGCCCAGCGGTCAGTGCGTGTTTGTAAGCAGTGTCTCCGTCAGCTGTGCCATCATAGCTTCGTCCAGTGTATCGTACTACGCTTTCTTCTAGAAGGACTCACCAACAGAGTAAGGTTAAAATACAGCTGTTCCCTTGAAGGAAAGGATAGAGATAGTTTTGCTGTGTTTAAAGTGTAAAATAAGCATAATATTTCATCATATTTTTGACAAGTACCTACATGTCATGGTGTTAATCCGGTAGCTAAGTTTAGAGTGTCTGTAAGTCTCATGGTCATGCTTAATGTTTGTCTGTGAGTTCCATGGTCATGTCTATAGTGCATGGCAATTCCATGGTCATGTCTATAGTGCATGGCAATGTTTAGAGTGTCTGTGAGTCCCATGGTCATGTTTAGAGTGTCTGTGAATCCCATGGTCATGTTTAGAGTGTCTGTGAATCCCATGGTCATGTTTAGAGTGTCTGTGAGTCCCATGACTATGTTTAGAATGTCTCTGAGTCCCATGGCAATGTTTAGAGTGTCTTTGAGTTCCATGGTCATGTTTAGAGTGTCTGTGAATGCATGGTAATGTTTAGTGTGTCTGTGAGTCCCATGGTCATGTTTAGAGTGTCTGTGAATCCCGTGGTCATGTTTAGAGTGTCTCTGAGTCCTGTGGTCATGTTTAGAGTGTCTCTGAATGCATGGTAATGTTTAGTGTGTCTGTGAGTCCCATTGTCATGTTTAGAGTGTCTCTGAGTGCATGGTAATGTTTAGTGTGTCTGTGAGTTCCATGGTCATGTTTAGAGTGTCTGTGAGTCCCATGGGCATGTTTAGAGTGTCTGTGAGTCCCATGGTCATGTTTAGAGTGTCTGTGAGTCCTATGGTCATGTTTAGAGTGTCTGTGAGTCCTATGGTCAAGTTTAGAGTGTCTGTGAGCCCTATGGTCATGTTTAGAGTGTCTGTGAGTCCTATGGTCATGTTTAGTGTGTCTGTGAGTCCTATGGTCATGTTTAGAGTGTCTGTGAGTCCTATGGTCAAGTTTAGAGTGTCTGTGAGCCCTATGGTCATGTTTAGAGTGTCTGTGAGTCCTATGGTCATGTTTAGAGTGTCTGTGAGTCCCATGGCTATGTTAAGGGTATCTCTGGGTCCTATGGCTACGGCCATGTGTCACTATAAAATGATATTTTGGTGGTGGTGTGACATCATTCTGTGATTGATCGAAGCTGGCATTTATATGAGATTTATATTATTTTCTGTATGTGTTATAGGACACGTCATTTCTATTTGGTGCTAAGAAAGTAATCAGGGACCAAACAGAGCGAAAGGACCAGTATCCTAAAGTCTCACTACTGGAGGAAAATAGCAAACACGGAACAACACTTACCCTGCCACGGTCACAGTCCAGTGTGTTCCACGCAGGAATTATTGGTAGCGGACTGAGGTCAAGGTCATCTGGTACAACACCATTAGTACAGGTGAGAACAATGTTATCTGGTAGTTTTAGTACAGGTGAGAACATTGTTATCTTGTACAGTTTTACTACAGGTGAGAACATTGTTATCTTGTACAGTTTTAGTATAGGTGAGAACAATGTTATCTTGTACAGTTTTAGTACAGGTGAGAACAATGTTATCTGATACAGTTTTACTACAGGTGAGAACAATGTTATCTTGTACAGTTTTAGTACAGGTGAGAACAATGTTATCTTGTACAGTTTTAGTACAGGTGAGAACAATGTTATCTGATACAGTTTTAGTACAGGTGAGAACAATGTTATCTGATACAGTTTTAGTACAGGTGAGAACAATGTTATCTGATACAGTTTTAGTACAGGTGAGAACAATGTTATTACAGGTGAGAACAATGTTATCTGATACAGTTTTAGTACAGGTGAGAACAATGTTATCTGATACAGTTTTAGTACAGGTGAGAACAATGTTATCTGATACAGTTTTAGTACAGGTGAGAACAATGTTATCTTGTACAGTTTTAGTACAGGTGAGAACAATGTTAATGAGAACAATGTTATCTTGTACAGTTTTAGTACAGGTGAGAAAAATGTTATCTGATACAATTTTACTACAGGTGAGAACAATGTTATCTTGTACAGTTTTAGTACAGGTGAGAACAATGTTATCTGATACAGTTTTAGTACAGGTGAGAACAATGTTATCTTGTACAGTTTTAGTACAGGTGAGAACAATGTTATCTGATACAGTTTTACTACAGGTGAGAACACTGTTATCTTTTACAGTTTTAGTACACGTGAGAACAATGTTATCTGATACAGTTATACTACAGGTGAGAACACTGTTATCTTTTACAGTTTTAGTACAGGTGAGAACAATGTGTTCTGGTACAGTTTTACTACAGGTGAGAACAATGTTATCTGATACAGTTATACTACAGGTGAGAACAATGTTATCTGGTACAGTTTTACTACAGGTGAGAACATTGTTATCTGGTACAGTTATACTACAGGTGAGAACATTGTTATCTGGTACAGTTATACTACAGGTGAGAACATTGTTATCTGGTACAGTTTTACTACAGGTGAGAACATTGTTATCTGATACAGTTTTACTACAGGTGAGAACATTGTTATCTGGTACAGTTTTACTACAGGTGAAAACATTGTTATCTGGTACAGTTTTACTACAGGTGAAAACATTGTTATCTGGTACAGTTTTACTACAGGTGAAAACATTGTTATCTGGTACAGTTTTACTACAGGTGAAAACATTGTTATCTGGTACAGTTTTACTACAGGTGAAAACATTGTTATCTGGTACAGTTTTACTACAGGTGAGAACAATGTTTTGTGGTAGTTTTAGTAAAGGTGAGAACAATGTTATCTGATACAGTTATACTACAGGTGAGATCATTTTATCTAATAGTTATACGACAGATGAGAAAAACTCAGAACAAGGTCATGCGTTTCAGCACACACAGGAATGCTTAACTGAAGGCCGTGTCTTGTCATTTTCTAATCATCTGTGTAATTTTATTAACAGGGTCATGTGAGTCGTAACAAGAGATGTCTCCTGGATATTTTACACACCTGCTCCAGGCAGAATGACAATCACAATATAGACAACAACATGGAAACTGATCCCAGCCACTCAGATTCCCCTAAGAACAAAGTCCGCCCTCTGACCTTGTCTGGTGACCTCTGTCGCATGATTGGCAGTCTGATCACAGAACTGACCACACCAGATGTATTGTATAACAATCGGTTCTGGCCAGAAGAGGATTCCTTGCGCTTCACTGTAGAACGGTAACTTACAACTGTTCCTACACAATAATCTACTGTTGAATGTAGCTTATAAGTAACATATATATGCATACAACCAAATTTTATATTAAGCGCTATCAAAGGAGTCAATACATCTTATACCAAACATACAGATTTGAAATACAATGATATGTGTTAAGAAATTTTGGCAGATTTTGAAAATTGTTTACGCATCTTCCTTAAACAGATGAATCTACATGCAGAAAGTATTCTGTCAGGAGTTAGTGTTTTTGAACTTAAATCACTTAAAAGAATCATTGTGTGTTGATATCTTTTTTGCATTTCAGAGATCTCTATGTTTGGAAAGTGTTTGATGAAAACCCTGTCTTATGGGATGTGATAGAGTTATACTCTGGCAGTAAGTATATTATGGGATGTGACAGAGTTATACTCTGGCAGTAAGTATGTTGTGGGATGTGACAGTTATACTCTGGCAGTAAGTATATTATGGGATGTGACAGAGTTATACTCTGGCAGTAAGTATATTATGGGATGTGACAGAGTTATACTCTGGCAGTAAGTATATTATGGGATGTGATAGAGTTATACTCTGGCAGTAAGTATATTATGGGATGTGATAGAGTTATACTCTGGCAGTAAGTATATTATGGGATGTGATAGAGTTATACTCTGGCAGTAAGTATATTATGGGATGTGACAGAGTTATACTCTGGCAGAAAGTATATTATGGGATGTGACAGAGTTATACTCTGGAAGTAAGTATATTATGGGATGTGATAGAGTTATACTCTGGCAGTAAGTATATTATGGGATATGACAGAGTTATACTCTGGCAGAAAGTATATTATGGGATGTGACAGAGTTATACTCTGGCAGTAAGTATATTATGGGATGTGACAGAGTTATACTCTGGCAGAAAGTATATTATGGGATGTGATAGAGTTATACTCTGGCAGTAAGTATATTGTGGGATGTGACAGTTATACTCTGGCAGTAAGTATGTTGTGGGATGTGACAATTATACTCTGGCAGTAAGTATATTATGGGATGTGATAGAGTTATACTCTGGCAGTAAGTATATTATGGGATGTGACAGAGTTATACTCTGGCAGTAAGTATATTATGGGATGTGACAGAGTTATACTCTGGCAGTAAGTATATTATGGGATGTGATAGAGTTATACTCTGGCAGTAAGTATATTATGGGATGTGACAGAGTTATACTCTGGCAGTAAGTATATTGTGGGATGTGATAGAGTTATACTCTGGCAGTAAGTATATTATGGGATGTGATAGAGTTATACTCTGGCAGTAAGTATATTATGGGATGTGATAGAGTTATACTCTGGCAGTAAGTATATTATGGGATGTGATAGAGTTATACTCTGGCAGTAAGTATATTATGGGATGTGATAGAGTTATACTCTGGCAGTAAGTATATTATGGGATGTGATAGAGTTATACTATGGCAGTAAGTATATTATGGGATGTGACAGAGTTATACTCTGGCAGTAAGTATATTATGGGATGTGATAGAGTTATACTCTGGCAGTAAGTATATTATGGGATGTGATAGAGTTATACTCTGGCATAGAGTTATACTCTGGCAGTAAGTATATTGTGGGATGTGACAATTATACTCTGGCAGTAAGTATATTATGGGATGTGATAGAGTTATACTCTGGCAGTAAGTATATTATGGGATGTGACAGAGTTATACTCTGGCAGTAAGTATATTATGGGATGTGACAGAGTTATACTCTGGCAGTACGTATATTATGGGATGTGATAGAGTTATACTCTGGCAGTAAGTATATTGTGGGATGTGACAATTATACTCTGGCAGTAAGTATATTATGGGATGTGATAGAGTTATACTCTGGCAGTATATTATGGGATGTGATAGAAGTATATTATGGGATGTGACAGAGTTATACTCTGGCAGTAAGTATATTATGGGATGTGACAGAGTTATACTCTGGCAGTAAGTATATTATGGGATGTGACAGAGTTATACTCTGGCAGTAAGTATATTATGGGATGTGACAGAGTTATACTCTGGCAGTAAGTATATTATGGGATGTGACAGAGTTATACTCTGGCAGTAAGTATATTATGGGATGTGACAGAGTTATACTCTGGCAGTAAGTATATTATGGGATGTGACAGAGTTATACTCTGGCAGTAAGTATATTATGGGATGTGATAGAGTTATGCTCTGGCAGTAAGTATATTATGGGATGTGATAGAGTTATACTCTGGCAGTAAGTATATTATGGGATGTGATAGAGTTATACTCTGGCAGTAAGTATATTATGGGATGTGACAGAGTTGTGCTCAGGTCGTTAGTAAATTATGGGATTTGATAATTGTACTCAGGTTTTTATGTATATTATAGAAGTGACAAATCTGTACTGCAGCAGTAGGTATATAATGGGATGTGAGAGTGATACTCAAGCAGTATGCAAGTATACACAGGATGTGATAGAATTATACTCGGGCAGTATGCAAGTATATTATGGGATGTGATAGAATTATACTCGGGCAGTATGCAAGTATACACGGGATGTGATAGAATTATACTCGGGCAGTATGCGAGTATATTATGGGATGTGATAGAATTATACTCGGGAAGTATGCAAGTATACATGGGATGTGATAGAATTATACTCCGGCAGTATGCTAGTATACACGGTATGTGATAGAACTATACTCGGGCAGTATGCGAGTATATTATGGGATGTGATAGAATTATACTCGGGAAGTATGCAAGTAAATTATGGGATGTGATAGAATTATACTCGGGCAGTATGCGAGTATATTATGGGATGTGATAGAATTATACTCGGGAAGTATGCAAGTATACATGGGATGTGATAGAATTATACTCCGGCAGTATGCTAGTATACACGGGATGTGATAGAATTATACTCGGGCAGTATGCAAGTATATTATGGGATGTGATATAATTATACTCGGGCAGTATGCAAGTATACACGGGATGTGATAGAATTATACTTGGGCAGTATGCAAGTATACACGGGATGTGATAGAATTATACTCGGGCAGTATGCAAGTATACATGGGATGTGATAGAATTATACTCCGGCAGTATGCTAGTATACACGGTATGTGATAGAACTATACTCGGGCAGTATGCGAGTATATTATGGGATGTGATAGAATTATACTCGGGAAGTATGCAAGTAAATTATGGGATGTGATAGAATTATACTCGGGAAGTATGCAAGTAAATTATGGGATGTGATAGAATTATACTCGGGCAGTATGCAAGTAAATTATGGGATGTGATAGAATTATACTCCGGCAGTATGCTAGTAAACACGGGATGTGATAGAATTATACTCGGGCAGTATGCAAGTAAATTATGGGATGTGATGGAATTATACTCCGGCAGTATGCTAGTATACACGGGATGTGATAGAATTATACTCGGGCAGTATGCAAGTAAATTATGGGATGTGATAGAATTATACTCCGGCAGTATGCTAGTATACACGGGATGTGATAGAATTATACTCGGGCAGTATGCTAGTATACACGAGATGTGATAGAATTATACTCCGGCAGTATGCAAGTATACACGGGATGTGATAGAATTATACTCGGGCAGTATGCAAGTATACACGGGATGTGATAGAATTATACTCCGGCAGTATGCTAGTATACACGGGATGTGATAGAATTATACTCGGGCAGTATGCAAGTATACACGGGATGTGATAGAATTATACTCGGGCAGTATGCAAGTATACACGGGATGTGATAGAATTATACTTGGGCAGTATGCAAGTATACACGGGATGTGATAGAATTATACTCGGGCAGTATGCAAGTATATTATGGGATGTGATAGAACTATACTCGGGCAGTATGCAAGTATATTATGGGATGTGACAAAGTTTAACTCAGACAATAAGTATATAATGGGATGTGACAGAGTTATACACAGGCAATGGGATGTTGTGGGGTGTGACAGAGTTATACACAGGCAAAAGGTATATAGTGGGGTGTGACAGAGTTATACACAGGCAATAGGTATATAGTGGGGTGTGACAGAGTTATACACAGGCAATAGGTATATAGTGGGGTGTGACAGAGTTATACACAGGCAATAGGTATACAGTGGGGTGTGACAGAGTTATACACAGGCAATAGGTATATAGTGGGGTGTGACAGAGTTATACACAGGCAATAGGTATATAGTGGTGTGTGACAGAGTTATACACAGGCAATAGGTATACAGTGGGGTGTGACAGAGTTATACACAGGCAATAGGTATGTAGTGGGGTGTGACAGAGTTATACACAGGCAATAGGTATACAGTGGGGTGTGAAAGCGTTATACACAGGCAATAGGTATATAGTGGTGTGTGACAGTTATATACAGGCAATAGGTATTCAGTGTGACAGAGTTATACACAGGCAATAGGTATACAGTGGGGTGTGAAAGCGTTATACACAGGCAATAGGTATATAGTGGTGTGTGACAGTTATATACAGGCAATAGGTATACAGTGGGGTGTGACAGAGTTATACACAGGCAATAGGTATGTAGTGGGGTGTGACAGAGTTATACACAGGCAATAGGTATACAGTGGGGTGTGACAGAGTTATATGTGGGCATTAAGTATATAATAGAATGTGACACTTTATAAGACTAAGTGACAGGATGTTACTGTTTTTATGCTGTAGATTCCCTTGCCATGTGTCGGTGCTCTCCAGTGCTTAAATCGCTTGTGGCTGCCCTTATGAACCACTTTGAGTGTTCGCGACTTCAGGAAGCCTGCGATACACCAAAACAAAATGAGTCTGCCTGTCGTTTGGTTAACTGTTTGTCCAGGGTGAGAACTTCTAAACATTACCTGTTGATTCTTAACATTAAATAATTACTTATCAAACTGTATTTCAAAATTCAACAAGATAAAATCATGAAATATACAGGCCTTAAAGACCTCTTGTATGTACATTGTTTTTTGTTTTTTTATTTACAGAGCTTGCTTCTTCCTGATCCTCTGAAATATGTGTCAGAGTTATTTCCCCTTGTCTCATCATATGAAGCCTATCTATTACTACTAGCAGTTTGGAAGTACATGAAGGTAAACAAAAAAGGCTTTGTTATCTAATTGTGTTCAAAGCTATATTTTGATAAAGTTAAGTGTAAAATGTGAGTAGAACACATCCAAATATAATGTATGAATAGATGGCATGGTTACCAGCTCAAGAATGATGTGTGGCTCGAAACATCCTTGGAATTCAGCAATCAAATAGATAACACCTGTATCCCCCACAGTGACAGGAAGTCAATGTATGTCAGCATAGAAATCAAAATAAAGCTTATTTTTTGACAAGTTTAAACTTTGCTTTGTAAAGTCCATAATGTGAGCAGAGGATGAATTTAAAAAGACTACTTCTTCATACAGCTGAAAGAATTTTAGCCAAACTGGGAATAGAACAGTATGAATTGATGAGGTTTTGGTGATTAAGTATTTACGACTTATGTTATCATCAGAAAATTGTGAGTGCTGGTCAATCTGTAAAACTGCATGTTTACTGTTACAGGAAAACCCTCCGACAGAGGACCCTGAAGAAGCCAAGCGACGAGGTAGGTGCATGGGGATAGAACAGGGGTAAAGAGGTATACAGGGGCAGTGTTGATGTAAATAGGCACCCAGGGGCAAGACTGGAGGTAAATAGGTATACAGGGGCAGTGTTGATGTAAATAGGCACCCAGGGGCAAGACTGGAGGTAAATAGGTATACAGGGGCAGTGTTGGGATAGATAGGTACCCAGGGGCAGTACATGGGTAGTTAGGTACCCAGGAACAGAACAAGGGGTAAATAGGTATACAGGGGCAAAGCTGGGGTAGATAGGCACCCAGGGGCAGTACATCAGTAGTTAGGTACCCAGGAACAGACCAAGGGGTAAATAGGTATACAGGGGCAAAGCTGGGGTAGATAGGCACCCAGGGGCAGTACATCAGTAGTTAGGTACCCAGGCACAGAACAAGAGGTAAATAGGTATACAGGGGCAATGCTGGGGTAGATAGGTACCTATGGGCAAAGCTGGGGGTAGATACATCGAGGTACCAAGGTATAGTCCAAGGAGTAGATAGATATACAGGAGTAGTACAAAGTAGATAGGTAGGTAGTAAGTAGGTATAAAGGGGTAGTACTGGGTCTAGATAGGCATTCAGGGGCAATGCTAGGGGTAGGTACTCAAGGGAAGTACTGGTGGTAGAGATAGATACCAAAGGGTAGCACTTGGGATATATAGGTACCCAAGGGCAAAACTGGGAGATAGATAGGTAGAGAGGGTATAACATTATGTATGCAGCAACAGTATAGGGGAAAATATACATAGATGGGCAGTACAGATGCAAGTTGATGAAAAGGTATTAGATATTATTGAAAAAGCTGATAATTAAGATATTGTCTACTTGTAAATATTTTTCTGTTGTTTTGAGGCTACACTCTGTATAGATGTTTTTTGTGTTTTTAAGTTTGTGAAACCCGCCATACAGATATAGTCAGAGCAATCCTCCACAGTAACATTGACAAGATGGGCCACCTCTTCTTTAGGTTCTTTAAGGAATGACATAGGTCTGTGTGACTGCAGTAATCCTAGAAACAAGACACTACCACAGACCATGGATGATACAACAGCCTACAAACCGCTGCATACAAACAGACTTGCAGTTGTAGTTAATGAACGATCAGCAAACTTACAGCTGAACTTGATGACAGGTCAGCATAGGCTAACTTAGAGCATTTCTGGACTGGATGGTTGGTCATCATACCTACAGCTGTTGTAACATATCAGCATATTTCTGCTTAACTGCATTAGAGATTGTTACTTATAGCTCTTAAATTCAGCATACTTACAGCTGTTGTGATGATTCAGCATACTTACAGCTGTTGTGATGATTCAGCATAATTACAACTGTTGTGATGAACAGGGCAGCTTACTGGATGTAAAAATCAGTGCACTTTAAGCTGTATAGTATGATCAATTAGCATACTTCCAGCTGTACAGAAGTCATGGTATTGACAACCAAGAAGAAAAGGTCAGCATACATCTAGCTGTACTGGATATATCAGTGTTCTTAAGAGTTGTGCTGGATGAAATGTCAGTGTACTTACAGCTGTGCTGGATGATTAGTCAGTGTACCTACAGCTGTTGTGAAGAAGAGGTCAGCATACTTACAGCTTTACTGGATGATTAGTCAGCATACTTACAGCTGTACTGGATGATATGTCAGTGTACTTACAGCTGTGCTGGATGATTAGTCAGCATACTTACGCCTTCACTGGATCACAGCTAAGTGAGCTGTTTATGATAATGTATGAACAATATACAATGTGATCCCTGAGACACTACTGGTCATATTCACTTCAAAACAATAAAAGACTTACAAACATTCATTTTCATTTTATGTTTTTTTTTTGCTGCATGCAAATCACCTCAATTACTGTCCCATGGTGATAAGATTCCAGGAGGACCTTGGTGCCCACCATTTTATTATCTTTATTTGTTCATTTAAGTTGGATATCCTAATTTCTTTTCCTCTTATTTGCTCTTAATTATATGAAAGATGGAGTTTCAAAATGGCCTAAGAATCAAATACAACAGCTTGTATGTGCTATTGGTAGCCTCTGTAGTTGTACATTTACAAATAGGCATTTATGTCCAATCATGTACATACATTATATACATGTGCTCTATTATGATCCAAGATAACTTGTTTCACAACTGTTGTAAAAAAGATAAAGTTTATTTATAAATAAGACAAATGACAAGACATCAGATTGTGAAAGTATAACAAGATTTAATTACATATCTAAATTATGACAGTGTTATGAGCTCACCTCATTAAACAACAGAGCTCAAGACACACAGACTTATAACCAAGTCAGACACAGACTAGTAATCAAGTAAGACACAAAGATACACTGACTGATTATCAAGTTAGACACACAGAGACAGACTAATTATCACGTCAGACACTCAAAGACACTTACTATATATCAAGTCAGATACTGACTAATAACCAAATCAGGCACACAGAGACACAGACTAATAATAAAGACACACAGAGACACTAACTAATTATCCAGTTAGATACTGACTAATAACCAAATCAGGCACACAGAGACACAGACTAATAATAAAGACACACAGAGACACTAACTAATTATCCAGTTAGATACTGACTAATAACCAAATCAGGCACACAGAGACACAGACTAATAATAAAGACACACAGAGACACTAACTAATTATCAAGTTAGACACACCAAGACACTAACTAATTATCAAGTCAGACAGACTAATAATCAAATCTGACACACAGAGACACTGACTAATAATCAAGACACACAGAGACACTGACTAATAATCAAGACACACAGAGACACTGACTAATTATGAAATTAGACACGCCAAGACATAGACTAATTATCAAGTCAGACACTCAAAGACACGGATTAATAATCAAATACATACATATATATGTTCATGATCGAGACTGATTGTTATGTACAAGTAAAACTTTTCTTACAATAAATATGTCCAAGATCAAAATTGTCAATACTACACAAGTTAAAATAAGTACAATCCGACTTCTAAAAATAAAAAAGTCTGGTTATATTTATATCTTACCAAAATATTTCTTTCTAATTTAGTGACTGTCAACAAGTAATTATGATTGAGGGTCAGCAATGGTATCTTATAATATAAAGTTATAAAAGTGAGGAAAATGTCGTAATAAAATACCATATCTGTTTCTCAGTGTAATAACTAATATTGTATCTGTTTCTCAGTGTGATAACTAATATTGTATCTGTTTCTCAGTGTGATAACTAATATTGTATCTGTTTCTCAGTGTGATAACTTATATTGTATCTGTTTCTCAGTGTGATAACTAATATTGTATCTGTTTCTCAGTGTGATAACTAATATTGTATCTGTTTCTCAGTGTGATAACTAATATTGTATCTATTTCTCAGTGTGATAACTAATATTGTATCTGTTTCTCAGTGTGATAACTAATATTGTATCTGTTTCAGTGTAATAACTAATATTGTATCTGTTTCTCAGTGTTATAACTAATATTGTATCTGTTTCTCAGTGTGATAACTAATATTGTATCTGTTTCTCAGTATAATAACTAATATTGTATCTGTTTCTCAGTGTGATAACTAATATTGTATCTGTTTCTCAGTATAATAACTAATATTGTATCTGTTTCTCAGTATAATAACTAATATTGTATCTGTTTCTCAGTGTGATAACTAATATTGTATCTGTTTCTCGGTGTTATAACTAATATTGTATCTGTTTCTCAGTGTGATAACTATTATCATAAGATCTCATTGTTATAACTACTATCCTATCTGTTTCTAAGTACACACCATATAAGCATTATCACATACCAGTATAAAAGACAGTATCCATTACAGCTAATACATCTCTTTTCTAGGATCTATTACTAGTAGGATGGTCTATATCAGCAGATTTCACTATAGCGAAATCAGAACTGTACAAATGTAATCGGAACCAATTACTTCCATTGTTAAGAAGTAACCATGAAGTATAAACACATATTGTAGATTTAAATAATAACTGAAAAGTAAAACAAAGCCTGTCCCATACTATATCAACTCTAATTCAACACAACAAATCCAGTTAAAATAACTATTGTAGATTTAAATAATAACTGAAAAGTGAATTATAAAGCAAAGCCTGTCCAATACTATATCAACTCTAATTCAACACAACAAATCCAGTTAAAATAACTACGATCTCTAAAAACTCCTCAACTAATATCTACAGTCCACAGATAACCGGGGTTCTTTACAAAAAGCAAACAGATAGTGAAAGGTTCACCTGTGGAATATTAGCAACTTAGGGACGAGTAAAGCAAGATCAGCAATTTGCAGTAATAACAGGACACTTGTATCAGCAACATGGGAGGCCTACAAGTGGAGACAATGATGTATGAACAGGTGGGGTACATAAAGGGAGAATCAGTGAAATTTGACATAATTTAGACATGGAGACCAGAAAAAAACAGTTGTGAATACTATATTTGAAGAAACTGTTTTTACATGATCAACATCTCTTTGGCATTAGGGTGTGAATAAAATGTGAAGTCAAAATGGATTTCTTTTTTTTTTGTTTACAAAATTTAAGATAAACTTCAAGACTTATGCAAGGCTAAATGTTTTCCATATTGAAACATAAAATACATACTGTATGTACTGTGTTGTGAGTCACTTAAAATACATACATGTATTGTGTTTTGAATAACATAAAATACATACTGTATACTATTTTGTGAGACAAAGAAAACTGCATACTGCATTTAATGTCTTGTGAAACAAATGAAATACATACTGTAAGTACTGTGCTATGAGACACATAAAAATATATACTGCTGTACATGTATACTGTATATGTTCTGGTTCTATTTTGTGAGACAAAGAAAAAATACATACTGCATGTACTGTCTTGCGAGACATGAAATATACTGTATGTACTGTTTTGTGAGCCATAAAAATACATTGGTGTTTCGTGAGACACGTTAAATACATACTGTTTGTACTGTCTTGTGAAATATGTTGGTGTACATGCTGTTTATACCAGTGAAATGTACAATCTGAGCAAGGCATTTATTTAAAAGATATACTTAAGACATTGTGACATGGAAAAGAAACTATCAAGCTTCCCTAAGGACACAGAAAATTACATCTCTCTCTACAGAACTACTTATCACCTATATGGACATTTTGACACATGACCCAGATATGTATCACACATTGAATGCTGAGGTGGTATTTACTAAATCAAAACTACATGGTTAACATACTGACATGAACTCTTCAGGTGTCTATCACCCACCAGGTTTTTCTACCTTAGGAGGAGCAAGAATCTAAATAAGAATATTTCTCTGACTTGACAGCATGATTGTCATATCAACGGGAATCAAATCCCAATAACAAAGGACAATGGAAAAGTATCCTACACATAAAAAAACATTTTTACTAATCAAAACAAAATTTAGAATGGGGTAATAGGACAATTTCAAATCAACAGCAATTATTTTGGAGAAGACAGAAACATCTCCTGCGACTGTGAAACAGTGCAGAAGTTTAGAACACAGAGGAGTGAGAAGAATATCAGTATAATTTGTACCAGATAAAAATTAAGAACAAGATGTGTCATGAAGTAGAGGACTAGGTTGACAATCTGGATTTCTACACCAAATACTTTCCTTAGCATTTGAAAAATCTGTGAAAATTTTTTTCACAAAATACCTCTTGTATTTAAATGAAAAAGTTGTTGATTAAAAAAAGTAGCTGTTGCACAATGACATCAATTTGCTAACAATTCAGAGAGTTTATAATCACAGTGCAATCCAGGATGGAGGATTCAAGATGGCATCCGACCGAGCACTCTCAGTACTGTCTTTTTTATGCTTGTAGTAGACCACCTCACCTCGTGCTAACCAAGCTCCCCACCAGGCCAGGGAATCATTCAGTATGATAGAGTGATCTACACCAGCCAGTAGTCCTAATATAACTTCCTCAGCTGACTCCACCAACACTGATACATCCTGTTGATGTTTCAATTCAAAATTCATCCAAGATGTTTGAGTTTCTTGTTTTATCACACAAACGAAGATAACATGTTTATAACGGTCTCTATAAAACTGCATGGCTTTCTGAAGGAAATTTTCGGCATTTGTTCCACTGAATTCTTCCACAGGATGCCCTAAATAAATACTCACTAAAGCAGAATTTTTATCCCTGTTCCTCACTTTTTCCAATTCTTGGCGAACTTTTGACGTAATCCATTTCTTTGGATGGAATCTTGAACGAACCTCATCAACTTGACTTTCAAAGTATTTGTAGCTTCTGTAGTTACCTTCAAAGTTAATGTCCACATTCATTAGTGTTGGGTCAAAGCCATACTTAGTCTCTTTCTCAGTTCTCTTTGGAAAACAGTCACAGTATTGTAGAATAAATTCATTCTGTGGAACAATGTCAAACACTGGAGTGAGTATATTACTGGACTGAAGTGTGATTTCTGTGCTGTGGCGGATGTGCAGAGTCAGTAGGAATGCATACTGAAACATCTGGTCTCCAAGGTTTCCACTGTATTTGATGCAGAAAAAATGAGGGCGAGGACGGTAAAACAGGGTGCCTTGAAGATTGAAGACTGTACAATCTGACACAGTGTCCCGAAACTGTAGTGAGAGCACCATAAACAGGAACAAGAGGAGGTAACCCACCATCTGGTACACACCTGGTAACAGACATTAACATATAAATCTGTGATGCAAGGTCACTATATACACCAAGGAAATTCACACATATTAACATGAAGACTAGTACAATCAACATCAAATTTAATTTAAAGAAAAATTTAAAGAAGATATTTGACTAATTAAGAGAAAAAGAAGATATTTGAACTAAGTTAAAATTCTGAAACACACAGATCAGCAGGTCTTCCAAAAACCATCATGGCTTTTTGCAACCATTATCAAATCTTTAATTTTTCAAAGAAATAATTCAAAACATATTTTTATAAAACCTGGTCATAGATGTGTGAGTCTATGGTAAGTCCCTGTTTAGTACCAGTTTACTGGGTTTCCTTGACCTGCATGCTGATTGAAAACTTCGATTTGAATCTTGAAAATCTACTACTTTAAATATGGAACTGTTCATGTCAATGACATGATATTGCAGTGTGACATGATCTGGTAGTCCTGACTCGAATTGTTCCGACTATGATCCAATGATTTCTTGCCTTCTTGGGTTCTTTTATTTTTAAACAAAGCATTGCCAAATTACCTTCCTTGAGATCGTACATTGTTACCAATCAACCTGTTTTCACTATTATCTCATCAATATCTCACCACACTATGTTCTACCTCATATCACATAAAACTAAACTATCATCAAAAAGTCTTGTGAATTTATGGTCATTTCGTACACTGTTAAAATGCTTCACACTGATCAATTATCTGACAAAGGTATGGGCAAAGACATCCAAACATCACACATAAATTCGGAGGTGGGTGTGATATTCAGTTTCAATTCTATTTACAACTTATTGGATGAGAACATCTGTTCAGCATAGTCAAGTCTATTTCTCACAAACCTGCCATGGGTTGGGTGCATTGAACCATGCAGCTCGGATTTTCACCTGAGGTTATGTGGGCCAAAACCTCAACTAAAAATTTCAGATGTGTGGTTCAAAATTATAATGGAATATCCATGACAGATCATTAAAAGGCCTATATCATAAGTCAGCAGGGACTTCCATAGACTACAGCATCAGCTGTGTGATATCAATGGATTTCAATGTAATATCTACAGACTACAGTATAATATCTACAGACTTCAGTGTAATATCTACAGACTATAATGTAATATCTACAGACTACAGTATGATATCTACAGACTACAATGTAATATCTACAGACTTCAATGTAATATCTACTGGATATAATGTAATATCTACAGACTACAGTATGATATCTACAGACTACAATGTAATATCTACAGACTACAATGTAATATCTACAGACTATAATGTAATATCTAGAGACTTCAGTGTAATATCTACTGGATATAATGACTATCAGACTATAATGTAATATCTACAGACTACAGTGTAATATCTACAGACTACAATGTAATATCTACAGACTACAGTGTAATATCTACAGATATAATGTAATATCTACAGACTACACTATGATATCTACAGACTATAATGTATTATCTACAGACTACAATGTAATATCTACAGACTACTTTATGATATCTACAGACTATAATGTAATATCTACAAACCACAGTATAATATCTACAAAGTACAATGTAAAATCCACAGATCACAGTGTAATATCTAAAGACTACAGCGTAATATCTACAGACAATAATGTAATATCTACAGACTATAATGTAATATCCACAGATTACAATGTAATATCTACAGACTGCAATGTAATATCTAGACTTCAGTGTAATATCTGCAGAATACAGTATAATGTCTACAGACTTCAATGTAATATCCACAGACTAGTGTAATATCTACAGACTACAATGTAATATCTACAGACTTCAGTGTAATATCTACAGACTTCAGTGTAATATCTACAGACTATAATGTAATATCTAAAGACCACAGTGTAATATCCACAGACCACAGTGTAATATCCACAGACTACAATGTAATATATACAGACTTCAGTGTAATATCTACAGACTACAGTGTAATATCTACAGACTACAATGTAATATCTACAGACTACAATGTAATATCTACAGATCTCAGTGTAATATCTTAAAACCACAGTGTAATATCCACAGACCACAATGTAATATCTAAAGACTACAGTGTAATATCTAGACTTCAGTGTAATATCTACAGACTCCTTTGTAATATCTACAGACTACAATATTGATCCTAAAACCACAGTGTAATATCACAATGTAATATCTACAGACTACAATGTTGCCTATGTAATATCACAAGTGTCTCCCCCCCCCAGAGTAGGTCTAGATCAATTCTGTACAACTACAACACCAATACTTACCTCTCACTCGAAAACAGTATCTACAAATGCGAAACCTCATTTTGCTCACTAGTTCATGCAAGCAGATTCCTGACTCTGAATCTGAAAGAGTATACACAAATACATTAATATACACAAATTTTGAAACATCTTATCACAAAATTTTAAGTCCAACCTTTTTAAATCAATATCATATCACCTGCAATAAGTCTTTTATCGTATTGTTCACTACATCTACGACTTAGTCTGTCACTTTCCAGTCCTTTATCTAATAATACCACACCATCCTTTTGTCTAAATATCAATGCTTCCTCAGTGCCACACATACCAATGCCAATATCTTTATCACTAAGTTACTTCCTCATGTGATTCCAGTAAAGTTTCTCTGAAATTAACATGATTTGTACAAACCTGTATCCATTGTTATTCCATTGACACTGGTATCATTACAGTCAGGGGCATCGAATGGCATTCAAAACAGGCACATGTGGTACATAAAATATTCACAAGCATCTTAAACCAATTTGGGCTGGCCTATGTCCAGTCCATAGCCACAGCACTATTTGTATATATAATTTCATCCGTTTGACTGGGGAATAAGGATGAAATGAATTTCTCCGTGTTATGCTTTTCCAATAGGTGGCGTGTTGTGTATTAGCACGTGCGGGTCGTGCTAATACATGTGTCCTGGTACCCGGGTCCGTCATTCAGGCGACTCGGGTAGCGCGGTGCACACGCAAATTTAGGTCCAGCATAGTTCGGGTATATTTTGTTAAATGGAGACAGACAGCCATGAAAATATTGGTGCCCTGACGGGCAGTTCGGGAGAAACTACTCTTGGTGATATATTGGAGCATTTGAAGGAGCAAAAACGAGAGTTGCGGGGTTATTTAGACTCAAGGTTGTCAGTATTGGAAAATTCACGAGATGTGGCCAAACAGATTCAGAAGTTGAGGGAGGATAAAGATACTGTGTGGAAACGTGAAGGAAATAAAGAACAATTTACGTTTAATTTGGAAGTGTTAGAGGATGTACAGCAGGTAGTTTGGGCTTTGAAGGCTGGTAAAGAAGATTATGCAGGAGAGATACTTGATGAACTTATTAGTAAGCTAACAAGGCGGAACAAGCTGATTAGAATAGCCGAGTCGTCAGAGGCAGGTTGGGGCATAGTGAAGGAATATGTCGCTAATCCGTTAGCAAGTGATTCGGATAATGACAGAAAGATTGCGAGAGCTGACAGTAAGGCAGTAAAGAGGCTTAAGGACAGAAAGAAAAAGTCAAAGGAGAAAAGTGTGAGGTGCAGCTATGGAAGGCCTAGTTTTGAGGCGGGTACGGCAAGCCAGGAGTCTTATACTCGTCCTATTATTAATCCTGGGAAGCAGCTTTTTCGTGGCCAATACGGCACTGGAGCACGAGCATGTTTCGCCTGTGGTGAATTCGGGCATTTCCAGAGAGAGTGCCCCAAAACCCCTAAGACCAGAAACCCGTGATAAGGTCGATTCTAAAGAAGGACAGGTGTTAAAAGATAAGTATGATCTTATTTTTAGTGACATCAAAGAGTCAAGTGGAGATATTACATGTAGAGGAGACATTTTATTCACGGATGATTATTTTGAGTATGAACAGGGCCAAAGTGATATTAGAGTGAGAGGCAGATTGAATAAGAATATTGAGTTTTGGAAAGCTATAGGGAGTTCAGAGTTTGTTTTAGATGTTATTGAAAATGGCTACAAATTACCATTCTATTCGGCGCCAAATGAGTCTGAAAAGGTTAATAACCTGTCTGCATTAAGGAACAAAGAATTCGTTGAGAGTGCAATTTTACATTTGGAGAAACGTCAATTAGTAGAAAGGTGTAATACTGTTCCTTTGGTTGTAAATCCATAAACGGTCTCGGTACAGAGTAACGGAAAGAAACGTTTAATATTAGATCTGAGAGAAGTGAATTTGCATCTTTGGAAACAGTCGGTCAAGTACGATGATTTGAGAACGGCTTTAACATTTACAGTAAAGCAAGGCTGGCTTATTAAATTTGATGTTCACTCGGCCTATCACCACATAGACATATTTCCCCCACATACAGAATATCTTGGTTTTTCGTGGACTTTTGGTTCGGACAAAGTGTATTTTACATTCCTGGTTTTACCATTTGGATTGTCGACAGCGCCGTATTGTTTTACCAAAGTTACTAGACCGTTAATAGCAAAATGGAGAGGTGAAGGTCTCAAGATTTTAATGTACTTAGATGACGGTCTTTGTCACAATATTTGTAAGTCAAAATTAGTAGATCAAAGTTCTAAGGTCAAAAGTGATTTGATACAGTCTGGTTTTGTTCCGAAGGTAGATAAATCTATGTGGGATCCTGTGCAGTGTATGGGTTTCTTGGGAGTGGATATAGATACCCTGTTAGGAGTTCTAAGGATACCAGATCGTCGCATAGAAAAAGCACGTGCTTGTGTTTTGGATATCCTGAAGTGTGTTGACAAAGGAAGGCCAGTCCATGTGAAGGCTGTGTCCAGTTTTGTAGGGCAGATAATCTCTATGGGTATCGTGTTTGGTAATATTGTACAGCTTATGACCAGGTGTATTTCGATACGTATGTTACAGGCGCAGTCTTGGAATGATTGAATTACGTTGAACGACGAATGTTTGAGTCAAATGCAGTTTTGGTTGAATCATTTGGACTGTATTAATGGCAGAGAACTTTGCTACACCCCTCACTGTAATAGGATAGTCTATTCAGATGCCAGTAGCATGGGTTACGGTGGCTACTGTGTCGAGTCATCGCTGGGTGTGTCACATGGAACGTGGTCTCCTTATGAGACAGGTCAAAGTTCGACGTTCAGGGAATTGACAGCGGTATATAGGGTCATGTTGTCATTGGTACACGTGCTCCAGGGTTCCAGGGTGAAATGGTTCTCAGATAATCAGGCTGTTGTGAAAATAGTATAAAAAAGGGGAGCATGAGACATGAGACAACTGATTTACTGTCATCAATCTGAAGTAGTTTACTGTCAGGAGGAGACAACTGATTTACTGTCAGGAGGAGACAACAGATTTACTGTCAAGAGGTGACAACTGATTTACTGTCAGGAGGAGACAACTGATTTACTGTCAAGAGAAGACAACAGTACTGTTGTGAGAAACAACAGATTTACTGTCATCAATCTGTAGTAGTTTACTGTTAGGCGTAAACGATATTTTTACCGTCATCAGACACGACAACACAACCCTAACATCTCACAAGCAACTACCCTCTTTTTGCAATCTGTTTCATAAAATGAAACACAACACAGTTATTTTCACCCTATTTCACAGTCAAAAACAGACTTTCCGAAGCCGAAATGAAAAAAATGAAGAATATCTTCCCACTTTCAAAGAAAGCACCATTATTACATTGTATATTTTACCCAATTTGTACATGGACAGGCAGGTGTAAAATTCGGGTAAGCAAAAGCACTGCTTCAGCATGTATACTAGTTAGTCTTTGAAATATGTGATTCTTATAAAGCACAGGGTGAATTATGTTGGTACCAAGACGTTAGTATATGACGTTTCTTTTGTTGACAAGGGGTGTACATGGTAATCGTAAACTCGGTTCTTTACTATGTGCGTCGTTTAATCAGACGTAAATGACAGTTTGGTAGCACGATACTGAAAGGTCTTCAGTAGTGTTTACACAGGTAAGAAACCACTGAAGTATTGACAGTAGGTCAATGAACAGTCACCATGAACAGACCTGTTAACAGTGTCACGTATGTACCTGTTCTCGATCGGCCATCGACCTACTTCCGGAATTCCAACATATAACAGTGCGAATTTTTTGTATAACTCATACAGGGAAATTGGCTTACCATTTCAGACAGCAACATTCAGTATTCAAAACAATAATTCCAACATCCCAAAACAAACAACTTGGACAAGTTAGCTTCCCAGGCTAACTTCTGTCATCGTGTTGTGATCATTCGATACCAAAATACGTCACATCTGCGTTTGATTTGAAAGAGTTTCTTCTTACACGGTGTAAAGCATCATTAAGATACAGATTATCACTCCAAGGGACATTATCGCAGTACTAGGCATCACACCATTGGACCGGTCGGGTTGGATTACAATCAATTGACAACTTTCCATTTCACTTGAAGATAACGGTTATGAAACGAGTAGATTTCTGATTTTACTACGGGTTTAGGTATATGATATCTGTTACACAGCCTTTGGCGAGGTTCGATGAAAACTCTTAGACAATGTCCGTGATAATACTTCCTTATGCAATGGAAACTCGTACAAGATTAGTTATCATGGATATGCTTTTCATTAACATTTATGAAAAAGTATTTTATCACGTGATTGCATTTTTGGTGTCAATGTTAGATAAGGAAATCAATCGACGTCTAACAGATTACACAATGATTAAAAAATCCATACTTTTAAGTGAAAATGTTCGTTTTATACATTGTTTGTCTGACTGCAGCTATGTGATAAAAACGGTCTTCAATTCGTGTCCATTTGGTACATCATTTATGAAAACCGACACAATTTTTCTTTACTTTTTAGGGAGTCTTTATTATACTCGTTTAATAAAGTACATATTAACTAGAAACTCGCGTAAGATCGTATATTTATGAAAGCCGACACAATTTTTCTTTTTTTACTTTTCAGGGAGTCTTTATTATACTCGTTCTATAAAGTACATATTGACTAGAAACTCGCGTAAGATCGTATATTGATCTGACTAATAAGCCAACCCAGACATCGTTGTTGGTTGGTAACAGGTTTTCCGTCTCGGTGACTCGTCCTATCTCCAGGCATTGTCTCACCTATGAATGCCAGTGTTCTGGCGACTTGAACAGTATGCTAATGTTGAATTACTTTGTATTTGAAATTAACACTTGCAACAACGAAACCACTGGACATAATAACAACTATTGAACCACGCATGACTTCACATCGCTACAACGAGATAGAATCCTCAGCCAAAGGAGGTCATAATGGAGACAATGAAACGTTCGAGGAATCTTCACCAAGTTTATAAAAGTAGCCTTCTCACGAATTTTAATGTGTTAACGACTGAGTCTGTAACCAATGAAATTTGCAATACGTCCCCAAGGGCAATTAAACTTTTACATCTCGACAGCAGGTTTTATTCCCGATCCCCATCCGTCCTATTCGAAATGTCATAATTAATGTCCAATTATTAATTTACTATTAAGGAATGATGATACATATGGCATTTTCAAAATTTCATTATTGTTACATTGTTTCAATTACTTCAGAAAACCACGAATTTTCCTTCCCAATCAAACATTTAGTCTCAGTTTCAAAATAATAAACAGGTATTTTGCCCAGGAACATATTCCGGAGGGTAGTGGATGCTCTTCTGGTGTTGGTTTGTGCGTTTGTTAAGTGAACCGTGAAACCCGTCCGTTTGTTATATACCTGTCCCGTAAATTTATAACTTCCTTTTCTTCTTACTTTCTCCATTCCATGCATATACACATAAATAACAACTATATCCCGTCAGATTTATAGCTTCTGTTTAGAAACGGAGACGGAATATATAAGTTGGAAAACTTGTTTCCTGTTGTAAGGATTGTTCTTGTATTGTTAAATATGTATGTATATATAAGAATGAAATAAAGTTTATATTTAACTTGTCGCTAGAGGTCGGTCTTAGTCTTAGTTTCGAAGAAAAATAATATCCGAGCATGATGCGGAGGTTCCGTCTACAATATGTTTAGCTAGAATTTCAAGATTACATCTGATATATCGTAAATATTTCATCACGTCAACATCACATTGGCTACCTGGGTCTGTAATGTTATCAGAGACGTGCGTAATTATGTATTATTTACGTCTGTGATGTTGTGTACCTTAAACATCACTTTTTGTGACCCCAAAAGAAATTTCATTTGAAAAAAAAAACCTAAAAGATCTGAATTCTTTACCCGGTCGATATCTCAAACCACGTCAAGACGAGAACAGAACGTAGCTCGTGACGTCACAATCGGTAATGTATCTACGTATGACGTCATAATTGATATCCTGAACATCAACAAACACACGCACGATTTCGCAAAGGCTTCAAAAATGGGCTGTTTCGCCTTCTTGAAATGTCTGAAACGTCATAGGAAACCAAAAATCCACCCATACATGACCGAGGAAGAAATGGAAGGCATACCACCTCAAGTACCATATGGGAAGAAGTATTACCGACTGAAACTTGCTCCACCTCCACGTGGACTAAAAATCTTATTCACCTTCCCCATCTGCACTCGAGACGTGAGAGGCACTTGTTGGGTCAGGGACAATGACCCAATCTGTGTCCACCACCGCCACCTCCGAGTCCTATTCCGGTTAAAGCCAACCCTGAGCTGTCACCCCTTCCTTCACCTGCTGAAGCCGGTTCTTCAAAATAAGCTGCAATGTAATCAACTTTGAAGACATTTGACTCATTTACTTGTAGAATGTTTGTTTTGCAGCTTGTTCATCATATAACATAGAAGGGTTTATTGGTTTCATTGACGAAAACCTCGTCACCGGAAAATACGTATGTGAGATACACGGACATCAACGTCGACAGATGGTCAATTGAAAAAGGGAAGAAGATATAAGATTTTATTCCAGCGGACATGAACTGATGTCCAATGTGAGATATGATGTCTTCCATCCGAAGAGGATTGTCCCTCTAATGTCCGGAAACAATGCTATTGGTGATAGATTACCATGGACACAATCAGACTTTACTTATACCCATTCTCGCATGTTTATTCAAATTTAAATGTTATATATATATATATATATATATATATATGTATGTCAATAAATATTATATTATCTTTAAAATATGTTGTGTGTTTGTCGTTGTTTGCGTGTATTCATAAGCAATCTTCAGTACGGGACATCTCATGAACCCCAAGACAGGTTTAGTTAATATATGATCTATAACATCACACAATCAAGTTATACACCTCACTGGTGATTATAGGGGAAGGTTAATGGTCAAAATTACAATATCACTTTAAACATATGTTTGTTGGATTTTTAATCACTCCACAGGCGAGTAATCAGGATAACTTGTGGTAGCTAGTGGGTAATCGTCTGTCGTGTGATATTATACCATGACGGAAAGGGCTAACCAAGTCGTCTGTCGTCGTGTGATATTATACCATGACGGAAAGGGCTAACCAAGTCGTCTGTCGTCGTGTGATATTATACCATGACGGAAAGGGCTAACCAAGTCGTCTGTCGTCGTGTGATATTACGACATCAGTATAGGTCGATCGAGTTCGTTTGGAGAGCATAAGTAAATCTCAGTGAAAATAAGAAGCGAGAAATTATGCAGACAAATTCTATACGTAATGATTCTAAATGTGGGCATGTACGTTATGGGTTTTCTATTAAGTAGTTTACAATCTAATTTGAAAGATAATATCATAAAAAAAAATGCATGCATAGCATTTTCTATGCCAGTATGCCGACATATTCAATTTGTATACAGGAAACATACTTCTAATAAAAGATATAAAGGACATCAAAGTTGTCAGTTTTGGTCTAAATCTTACCCAGATTCGTTAAAAACATACCTGAATCGAACGCCGATATTTTGTTATACCGAAAAAGTCACGTGGTATACACACTATGATAATTTTATTGATTATTGTCATATAGGAAGGGTATGTGATGTATATTTATTGTCTTAAAAGCCTTTGAATAAAAACAAAAACAAAAACCCGCCGAGGCCTGGATAATAGAAATATATTGCTTGGTTTCTGTAAGTTGTGTTCGAAATGTACATACAATCACAGAATGTATACGTGTATAGGGTTACGTTTCGAGTGATGATGCCGTTGTTGCAACACTGACATAACAACTGTTTATATTCACTCCACTACTGAAAGTGATCAACTCTAAGGCTTTACCGTGCTCTCCACAAAGCACCATCTGACATTTTTCGAGGCTATTCTCGTTACTATTGCTAGCCATCCCAGCTTCCCTATTGTCTCTGGGAACAATGAGTGACATAACTAGTTTAGAAGGCGACACATTTTACCCCTCTATCGCGGATGACACTAGTGGAGTCGTTATATACTCTTTCAGCTGCCTAGTTGTTATAGAGATCAAGATCCTCCAGAATACATTGAGATCACCTGATCGTCTACCTGTATTTAATAAAAGCTCTTAACCCAGCGTTACTGATATGAGGATTTACGTTATTTTTTTCCTTAGTCGCCTTCTAGGGTTCAAAATTTAGGCACTCGGCATCACCGACGAGTCCTGGAAGGACGAAACAGCTGTATAATGCAGTTTAATTCATTGTTTGGCTCTACTTTATCTACATCTATATTTGTATTAAACTATTCACTTTGGTGTCATACAAACATGTCACCAACAACGATAATAAAAGCGAAGGGCCCGTAATTGAAACTCGTGGGCTTCCTTTCAATCAGCGACCATATTTTGAACTGATTGCAACCCGCTGCTTTCTGCTGGTCAATTCAAGTAGCTGGACACAATCTCCACAGCACTGCGGATCTTCAGCTTCCTGACCAGCAGACAAAAAAAAAAAAATAAGTACAGGAAAGTTACAGGTAGAAAAAATAAGCCTCAGGTACATGGAGGCTTAGATAAACAACAATGTAATTAAAAATAATAGGCTTTATCAGAAGGTTGAAAACGGCCTTTTTATCGTTATATTATTAAACTAGATATTTTACCACAGCGGCATAAAATAAACTTCTCGACATTCACTACAAGGACTTTGATAATAATCTAAAGGTTGGTTTTGGCAACGAAAGCATGTTTTTCATTACTAGCCAATATAGATGTTAGATCACCATTAGAAAACCCCGTACATTGAAACTAATCGCTATAGTTGCAGGGCCTGTCCCGGACTACTGCAGTAGACGTTTAATATGTGGATCGAGTTCAGCAACATCTGTACCTCCCCTGTGTATTGGTTTGTTTCGTGTGAATAATTGATTGCTTTATACAAGACCGAAGTCGGGACAACAGGCACACCAAGCCCGTAAACTGAACAAACTTCATGTCTGTCGCTAGAGGTAACTAACTCGCATAAATATTCACATTATCTACATTATGTGCAAAGGATTCCTTTTACCTGTGGTTACACTATGTTTCCGAAACTTCAAAATTCGTTTGAAATGTCTCAAGCATTTCACAATAGTTTCAAAGACAGACTCGTAAGACAAGATATTTCCCATTGATTACAATTTTAGAACAAATGGATCCCCAGAATCCTATTTCGACTTTTGATAACATGAAATATTGTCCGTGAAGACAATAAGCTTAGTAAGGTTGATAATTGTCTTCTTTGTGGCTTTGAAGGTGAGAAAATACATCTGCTTTAACTCATAAAACATTGTTGATTTGACCACATACAAATTACGTCAATATAAAAATCGTTCAGTGATTTTAAATATCCGACTCAGTGACATTTAAATTACAATTTAATTAAATGTAAATGTTTTAAGGACAACTCAGTTTTTAGCCCATTATTATCAGATGGTATCCATTCAAAATGATCTGCGTCCGTGGTCCGTCGTACGTCCGTCCGTCCGTTAACAATTTTTATCGCTATTTCTTGAGAAGTACTGGATGGATCTTTTTAAAATTGCATATGGATGTTCCCCTAGGTCCTTAGTTGTGCCCGTTTGATTTTTGGACTGGTCACATAAACAAAATGACCGAAAGGCGGTCATCTGGGATTTGTTCAATTAAGTTTGTTATCACCATTTCTTTAAAAGCATTGAATGGATCTCTCTCAAATTTCATATGTCGGTTCCTCTTGGTTTCTAAGTGTGCCCGTCTAATTTTGGGACTGATCAGAAAAACAAAATGGCCGAAAGGCGGTCATTTTGAATTATGACTTTGAAAGTTTGTTATCGCCATTTCTTGAGAAGTACTTGATGGATCTTTCTTTAATTCCATATCCAGGTTCCTTTTGGTCCCTAGTAGTGCCTGATTGAATTTGGGTCTGATCAGAAATATAAAATGGCCGACAGTTAGCCATCTTGGATTTCGCCTAATAAAGACTGTTATTCCTATTTCTAAAGAAGTACTAAATGAATGACTCTAAAATTTCGTATGTATGTTCCCTTTGGTCTCTCCTTGTGCCCATTTGATTTTGGGTCTGATCAAAAGAAACAAAATAGCTTCCAGGTGGCCATTTTAGATTCGGCAGGTAAAGATTATCATTACAATTTCTGTTTACCTCTTGTAGTTTGTCTCCGTGTCACAGTAGTAAGGGTGTCTGTATATCTACTGTAGTTGTGTCTACCTGTCACAGTAGTAATGGTGTCTGTATATCTACTGTAGTTTGTCTCCATGTCACAGTAGTAATGGTATCTGTATATCTACTGTAGTTTGTCTCCATGTCACAGTAGTAATGGTATCTGTATATCTACTGTAGTTGTGTCTCCGTGTCACAGTAGTAAGGGTGTCTGTATATCTACTGTAGTTGTGTCTCCATGTCACAGTAGTAATGGTGTCTGTATATATCTACTGTAGTTGTGTCTCCGTGTCACAGTAGTAATGGTGTCTGTATATCTATTGTAGTTGTGTCTCTGTATATCACCTGTATAGGTGTCTCTGTGTTCATTGAGCATAGGGTAAAAAGAAAAACCAGATAAATAAGAATTTGTTTTATTTCATCAAATGCCACTCATAAAATTCCTAATGAATTCTCGTCCTGTTCTAATGGTCTTAATTCATCATCTCTTCTGCCTCTGCATCCAACATTTCCTTGGTCAATCCTGCCATCCTGTAGTACTCTGAATAGTTGTATTTTCTCAGAGGAAAATATTTCTCTAAATATCCTGTTGAAAAAAGGAGAATAACAATGACCACTGCTGACCTACACAAGAGTTAAAATAAGCATAAAACTTGATGTTAAAATTGAAAGTAAAAGTCTAAATTGATTATACTTCCTGACAGTACAGTATAATCTCATTTTTATTTATAGTAATGGTGACCTTGACCTTTGACTTCTGATCATGAAAAGCAATTGAGATTTAGCACTCCTGTGAAAAAGCAATGAAGAAAGTCTGTTAGTGATCATCTAACCAGAACTGAACATAATTTGTGGAAACAAAAAACAAATTGGATGAACGGACAGACAGACTGACATTCTGATTATTATATGGTATTGAAAATAAGTCTAATTTGATGACACTGCCACATAGCAGGACATTTTTTAAAGAGCATAACTCTTACTTAAAATTGGTACTGATCAGAAGTTCCGAGTGTCATACAAATTTGTTGAGTAACAAGTGTAACTACTAACAAACAACAGCAGACATTGACCCCAGTCTGTAGGGTATTACAAGGAGTTAAATACTAAATGAAGTGTGTTGTGGTTGTCATAAAACTTAACATAAGAGGATATTACTTGTGTGGTCAAAGATAAAGGAGATTATAAAGAGACTACCTCATAGAAACCACTTTCCTATTCATAGTAACACAGCTGTCATGACCTTTGGCCTACAGACCCCATGTGTTCAAAGTCTGGTTAGAGATAACCAGTGGTTAGTGAAAAATTGTAATACAAATAAAAAAAAATTGGGGAAACAATTGATCATTTCATGGCATTAGACTGGTCAATTAGATATCTTTTGTTTTAATTTTGCTTTTGACAGCCTTATTTCTTCAGAGGCAACAATTTGAATTTTCCACTAACCACTGGTTAATTCTAACTAACCTTTGAGCAATCGGAGGCAGATGTCTACAGCTATTACAAGCAAGTACTTTCAGTAAGGAAACCTTGTAAATGTTTAAGGCCAATAATTTAAGTTATATTGTCAGCTCAGGTTACAGAGCAGAAACCACTTTTATATTTCACTAGCCTATTCACATTTAATTTTTAGTCAGGATTTACTGCATGAAATTTCTGGGAAACAAAGGACTTAAAATAGCCCAGGTAAACTTGTGATATATGACAAATGACAAGTATGCAGGTGTCAGATGCTAACATGGTGATAACTGTTGTCAACTTTCCAAAAACCATTATGGAAAATGTTGTTTTTCTTACCATAATCCTGAGCCTTGGCCACCTCAAACATAAGGCGTTTATGTTGTTGCTGACACAGGCCTGTGACTTTACTAGGTAGACACTCTCCCGTCATTGGGTCTAAAAACTGTTGTAGTAAGTCCCTGTTCTGTAACCACAGAGATATACAGATTACTCATTATCAATCCTATAACACAAAGATTTCAAACCAGTTTGATAAAATTGAACAAACAGTTTAATTTTGAGAATGCACATGTAACAAAAAACCCACAAAGCTTCCACTTATAAGCATACAGCTTTGTTCCACTACAACAAATAACACACAGCTTTGTTCCACTACAACAAATAACACACAGCTTTGTTCCACTGTAACAGATAAGCACACAGCTTTGTTCCATTTTAACAGATAACACACAGCTTTGATCCACTTTAACAGATAACACACAGCATTGATCCACTACAACAAATAACATACAGCTTTGTTCCACTACAACAAATAACACACAGCTTTGTTCCACTACAACAGATAACACACAGCTTTGTTCCACTACAACAGATAACACACAGCTTTGTTCCACTACAACAGATAACACACAGCTTTGTTCCACTACAACAAATAACACACAGCTTTGTTCCACTACAACAAATAACACACAGCTTTGTTCCACTACAACAAATAACACACAGCTTTGTTCCACTACAACAAATAACACACAGCTTTGTTCCACTACAACAAATAACACACAGCTTTGTTCCACTACAACAAATAACACACAGCTTTGTTCCACTACAACAGATAACACACAGCTTTGTTCCACTACAACAAATAACACACAGCTTTGTTCCACTACAACAGATAACACACAGCTTTGTTCCACTACAACAGATAACACACAGCTTTGTTCCACTACAACAAATAACATACAGCTTTGTTCCACTACAACAGATAACACACAGCTTTGTTCCACTACAACAGATAACACACAGCTTTGTTTCACTGTAACAGATAAGCACACAGCTTTGTTCCATTTTAACAGATAACACACAGCTTTGATCCACTTTAACAGATAACACACAGCTTTGATCCACTTTAACAGATAACACACAGCTTTGTTTCACTGTAACAGATAAGCACACAGCTTTGTTCCACTTTAACAGATAACACACAGCTTTGTTCCACTACAACAAATAACACACAGCTTTGTTTCACTGTAACAGATAAGCACACAGCTTTGTTCCACTTTAACAGATAACACACAGCTTTGTTCCACTGTAACAGATAACACACAGCTTTGTTCCACTACAACAAATAACACACAGCTTTGTTTCACTACAACAGATAAGCACACAGCTTTGTTCCATTTTAACAGATAACACACAGCTTTGATCCACTTTAACAGATAACACACAGATTTGTTCCACTGTAACAGATCACACACAGATTTGTTCCACTGTAACTGATAACACACAGATTTGTTTCACTACAACAGATAACACACAGCTTTGATCCACTTTAACAGATAACACAAAGCTTTGATCCACTTTAACAGATAACACACAGCTTTGATCCACTTTAACAGATAACACACAGATTTGTTCCACTTTAACAGATAACACACAGCTTTGTTCCACTGTAACAGATAACACACAGCTTTGTTCCACTGTAACAGATAACACACAGCTTTGTTCCACTGTAACAGATAACACACAGCTTTGTTCCACTGTAACAGATAACACAAAGCTTTGTTCCACTGCAACAGATAACACAAAGCTTTGTTCCACTGATACAGATAACACACAGATTTATTCCACTGTAACAGATAACACACAGATTTATTCCACTGTAACAGATAACACACAGATTTATTCCACTGTAACAGATAACACACAGCTTTGTTCCACTGTAACAGATAACACACAGCTAACATCAATCAGGACAACAGGGGGAACAAATGTACATATCTAATATACAGTAAATTCCACATCTTACAAAGTCGGATTTAATGACATTCCACATTTCAAAAAGTAATAAAATTTCCCCCCATGAATCCCTATACAACTTTTACATGTATTTATAAAGTTGCTATGTACTACTGCTTTGTATGATGTGATTTGAGGGTCCCCACAGGGTAATTTATGTGTATATATGAACATTTCACACTCACGCGTAACAAATTTGTACATTGTCTAGAAAACACTATTCACAGTAACACACAAAATGACCTGTTTTAAAATATCTCACTGTTCATGTTCAGTTATATCTCAGAGAACCAAATTTCTTTCACCGGCTTTGTATCAGTAAACGAGGACAACATAACTATTGAACAACAGACACAAAATAACATTATTGATGAATTGAAAACCAAAACAACAGACTAATCACATCCAGAGGACATAGACTTGGACAGCAACTTTTTCCGAATTTGTGGATAGTGTTGACATGATAAATAATTTCATTGAATCGCATTCTATTAAACGAGTCTAGTGTACTACGTAAAGCCTATTTATAACTGATAACACATATACCCTGGTAAATATGTTGTTTTGTAGTAAAAAAAATCCATAATAAATAGCAAAACTTCACATTTAACCTTAGTGTTAGTTATGTTTATATACAATATTACGTAAGTAATAACATTTTGTCACTTCATTACACTTGATATTTAGGCCTACACATTGACCAGGACAGAAGTAAACTAGCGTCATGTTTCACAATGCATCTTTGATGGTCCCACTGACTTCGCAAAAAGTAGAGTTTACTATACAATGCTTACTTTGTCATCCTTCCTGTCTTAAATGCTTATAACAGTAATTACTTCACATATACGATACTTAACACATACTTATAACGGTACCTACTTCACAAATACAGTAAATATCTCATACTTTATAATACCTCCCTAATACTTATATAGTACCTACCTCATACTTATATACACCTACATAATTCTTATACCAGGTGTATAATACTGTTATCCTACCTCATACTTTTGAAATCTACCTCATATCTATCTATACTTACATATATGTATACCTACCCCATATGTGTAAAAATATCTATCATACACTTAAATATACCTACCTCATACTTTTATAAAATATTAATATATACCTACCTCAAACATATATGTAAACTTACTTCATACATGTATATATACCTACCTCACACTTATGAATACCTATCTCACACTTATGTATACCTACCTCCTACGTGTATATACCTACATCACACTTACATACACCTACCTAATACGTATAGGTACAATCTCACACTTATATATACGACCTCATATTTTTATATATTTGTACTTAACTCACACATACATATTCTTACCTCATACATGTATATATACCTACACCTAACTTATGTTTACCTACCTCACACATACATGTATCATCTTACACTTCTATATACCTACCTCATACCTATTTATACCTATCTCAAATGTATATACCGTAAATCTGTGGGTATAGTGCGCACTCGGGTATAATGCGCAGGTACTTTTTTGGGGTCAGATTAAACAAAAAAAAGTTTTCTACAGAAAAATTAATTGATTACTGGTTACCGCGATGAAACAGTTGATGTGGTTTGATCCATTGATAACTAAAGTCCCTACCACTGACCAGAAGGGCTGACATAGGTGCGACAACGAAACACCCAGAGATGGAGAGAGAGCTGTTCAACTTTGTATGCGATTGCAGAGATACTGGCATCGCTGCCAGTACAACAGAACTGCGGGCCATGCAGATCAAGAGAGGTCATGGGGTCACCAACTTTAGGCATTGATGGGATGGTCTGTCCGATTTATGAACAGAACGACAATCGCCCAAAAACTTCCGGACTCATTGAATTCCAGAGATACATCATCAAAATGAGGCAGAAATTCAGACACTACTATAGCCCCGACCAATAGTAAGACTGTGACTATTCGAATGACCGGAAACGGCAAAAAAATTAGATTCATCGTAATGCTAGCGTGTATGGCTGATGATTAAAAGATTCAAATTTTATTTTATTTTTTTGTTGTTTTTATCTCCAAACTATCATATATGACAGACGACTTTTACATATAACTATGTGAAGGGAGGTAATCCAATATGGCAGACGCAGAACTCGGGAAAGAGAACCCCAAGAATGGCATGTTCCTGCGTATAATGCACACCCCCTTTTTGACACGACAGTTTTAGCTTGAAAAAGTGTGCACTATACGCAGAAATTTATGGTATACCTTCCTCACATTTTTATATATCTACCTAATACTGATACCTTATTCATGCCTCATACTTATATACTTACCTTACACTGGAATATTCCCATCTCTTTACTATGTCTATCACACACTTATATATACCTACCTCACACTTATATAACACCAACCTCAAAAAATTTACATAGTGTAAATCCTGTGGCATATTTTATGTTATCTACTTCACATCGTACATCCATATTTAATTAAATGACCATAGCTGTTGATAGAACGCACAGCGATATTAAACCAACATTAAAGTACTTACCTCAAAACTGAGACATAAGTACTGGTCTCTGCACACTGGACAAGCATTTCCAGTACTGATAAAACCCTTTCGCTGAAAAACATATTTCAAAATAGTCTGAAATTTACAAATAAATTAATATTAAGTAAGTATTCATTAACCATAATTCAAGAACTTTAAAATTATTAAGAGTTTAGTCTGAAAAGTTTCATAAAGGTTGAAATATTCAATAGGCTAAAATGTCTGTTTTACAATATAGGGCTTAAAATTTTCTATAAGGATTAATGACTGAAATGTACCCGGTTATACCAAGAATTATCACAAGATGTACCTACTTACAACTATGGATTATTACTGTATACTTCATCTGAATAATATCAAATACAAAATATTACAGTATTAATATGATTTGTTTACTACCTACCACACATGTTAACCTTGTTTCTGGAGCAATGTGACCTCTAAAATTCCGTCTGTAATGCTTCCACACAACATCGTCACCGTATGTTTCTCTGTAGGCTGATAATGAACAATATGACAAAATTTCATACCTCCATACATCTACAAATATTTCCTTACATCTATAAATACCTCCATACATCTATAAATATCTCCTTACATCTATAAATACCTCCATACATCTAGAAATATCTCCTTACATCTATAAATACCTCCATACATCTATAAATATCCTCTTACATATGAAATTATACCTCCATACATCTATAAGTATCCTCTTACATATGAAATTATATCTCCATACATCTATAAATATCCTCTTACATATGAAATTATACCTCCATACATCTATAAATATCCTCTTACATATGAAATTATATCTCCATACATCTATAAATATCCTCTTACATATAAAATTATACCGCCATACATCTATAAGTATCCTCTTACATATGAAATTATATCTCCATACATCTATAAATATCCTCTTACATATGAAATTATACCTCCATACATCTATAAATATCCTCTTACATATGAAATTATACCTCCATACATCTATAAATATCCTCTTACATATATAAGTTATATCTCCATACATCTATAAGTATCCTCCATATGAAATTATATCTCCATACATCTATAAGTATCCTCTTACATATAAAATTATACCTCCATACATCTATAAGTATCCTCTTACATATGAAATTATATCTCCATACATCTATAAATATCCTCTTACATATAAAATTATACCGCCATACATCTATAATATCCTCTTACATATGAAATTATATCTCCATACATCTATAAATATCCTCTTACATATGAAATTATACCTCCATACATCTATAAATATCCTCTTACATATGAAATTATACCTCCATACATCTATAAATATCCTCTTACATATGAAATTATACCTCCATACATCTATAAATATCCTCTTACATATAAAATTATACCTCCATACATCTATAAATATCCTCTTACATATGAAATTATACCTCCATACATCTATAAATATCCTCTTACATATGAAATTATACCTCCATACATCTATAAATATCCTCTTACATATAAAATTATACCTCCATACATCTATAAATATCCTCTTACATATAAAATTATACCACCATACATCTATAAGTATCCTCTTACATATATAAGTTATATCTCCATACATCTATAAATATCCTCTTACATATAAAAATATACCTCCATACATCTATAAATATCCTCTTACATATAAAATTATACTCCATACATCTATAAATATCCTCTTACATATATAAGTTATATCTCCATGCTTACATGAATGTTATCTTCATCCACGTTTATTAATATTTCAAATCTCTATACATATATAAACATCCATCCATCCATCCTTGCATGCATGCATGCATGTATACACATACCTTACTGATGTTTGTATGGAGACACCAGATATTAATACATGTATGGAAATTTAAGATAGTTAATTGATATCTTCGCACCATTTCCTATCCATGATGTAACATCACTGTCTATATCATGACATCACATTTTTTTACTAATACAGTCAGGGTATATAAAATTTGTGACACAAAAGCAAAATTATTACATGGACAGGCAGATTATGCATTAAAACAGTTGTTGTAACTAGTGTAACCCTGGTAAAATACTAGCCGCAATATACCACTCGGTTAGAGAGAACTTCTCTTTAGTTGGTTGTTTAAACTTTATTTTATTTTGACAATGGCATTTCATTCAAAGGATGTTATACAAAAAGGATTCAGAAAGAACTTATAAACTTATGTTAATCTGTCTCCTTAGAAGTAACAAGCAGGCAGCGACTGATCGAATTTGGGAAAGGGAAAGTGAAAAGAGTTTAGGAGAGGGAAATGAAGTAAGGAAAGTGGATAGAATGAGGGAAAGTGGATAGAATGAGAATATTAGTTGGTTGAGCATCAGACTAGTAAGCCAAGGGTCCCGGGTTCGATTCCTAACAGAGGCATTGAAATAAATAATGACCTATGTTACATTAGTATACTGATAGTATTTTACTAGGGTTACACTTTATTAAAAGAAGATATTATATTAATGCCACTGCTGACTTTTAGCACTGTCAGGGACTTCTATGTTTCATTTACATCATGGATCTATATATAGTATATTAAGTAGTTCCTTGTTAAATGCCCTACCTTTACTAGCCAGGTATCGTTTACTTGTCTCTGCATCTGCTGGTTTGTATTCTATTCCTTTTCTAGCATCCCGTACCACTCTTTCATTTGCTTCATCTCTTGCAAGGCAAATACAGGTTACAGATATTGGTCTCTGTTGTACTGCCTGGTAACACAGAAAGCCAACATCAGTGACAAGCAATTCCTGTCTTCTCTGGGATTTATCAACGCAAACATAAAATTTGTTTTATCACAGTATAAAGCTGATGCTTTGCATCTGTTTTTTGTTTTTTTTTCAATTAAAGAATTTAACAAGAAGTTTTGTTTGGTTTAATTGATTCTAGAAACAAACTGGTCCTTGCCAAAAATAGATTCCTATGAAAAAACTGATAACGACAGTTTTGTTTTTGATTAGCATTGCTGATTATGTGTTCCAGCCAGTTAAGAAAACAGTGATAGAGCCTCCCCTGTTGATGCCAACATTATTACCTGCCATTTTATTTGATTTCCAATATCTACATCAATAGTGAAAACTAGAACAATTGTTTCATTACATCTTTATCGAAACAACAACTAGGTTTGTCTTGTAAGACAATCTTCACAAAGAGAGAGATAGAGTGAAAGTTTAGTGTATTCCAATACTTGAGCTGTAGTACGGTGTAGAAGGTAACTAAGGTGTGGTCAACACATACCAACCCTTTCTTCAACTTAAGTATCAGACTCAACGGTTTGAGTGCAGTTGGCCTTGGGAGGTAATATAGATTGAAAACAACTCATTTTTTTTTTGGAGTTTTTATGTTAAGTTGAAAGCAAGTACCAATTTAGGGAAGATTGTAGCTAGCTAGGTCAGGCCTGAATAAGATCAGGTTTGGATCCTGTGATGGTGATGATGCTGAAGACTTCAAATTGATAAGAGTTCTAAGAAAATTTATCCATAATTTTTTTTTTCAGAGAGTTGGATGACTTTATAATCAACTCTTATTCTATCACCTGATGTTATGTAAGATGTTGAATCTATTGCTACATGATTATATGTATGATCTTGTAAAGGGAGCAGGTTGGTGTGGCTTGTACATAGTGTTAAATATAGACTCTGTCCCTCCGCGGATGGAGTATGCTTCTTTAATCTCATTTAGTAGAGTTGCGGGTCACCAAGCATGAGATCCGAGTTCCATTCTCCTCAGAGGAATTTGGCAGAATGTGCTTTTCTTTGTTCTATTTCAATGGCGTCCTAAGAAATCCCAGTAGGAAGTAGTGTAAAAGGCAGCTGTATAAAACATCAGCATTAAACTTAACTAAGGTTAAAGCTGTAGAAATGGGAGCACAGGGAGCATGGACCAAATGGGAGACAACGGAAAGACGTCTTACATGGGCAGATATCTGGAAGTTGGAACCATGTAGAATCCAGTTCCTCCTGCGATCCGTGTATGATGTCCTACCAACACCTACCAATCTCCACCGATGGGGGATGATGGAAAACCCCAACTGCCCACTGTGTGACCAACCGGGTAACCTGGCCCATGTATTGTCATCGTGCAACACCGCTCTGACCCAGGGGAGATACACATGGAGACACAACAAGGTACTGCGAGAGCTAGCAGACACCCTTGAGAAGGAAAGGCAGAAAAAGAGGAAATGTACGAAACATCAACCGTACATCAACTTTGTAAGATCTGGAGAGACAACCAATAAGAAAGCAGTGCACCAAGGAGGGATACTGGATGGAGCAAACAGTTGGGAGATGCGGGTTGACTTAGGGCAAAGACTAGTTTTCCCAGAGGTAGTCCAAACCAACCTTCGTCCAGATATCCTACTATGGTCACAGCAAGGGAAGAAAATGGTAATGATTGAGCTAACTGTCCCCTGGGAGGATCGATGCCAAGAGGCTCATGAGCGGAAGAAAGGGAAGTACACTGATCTTGCAGACGACGTGAGAGCAAAAGGATAGTGTGTGGGTCTTGCCAGTAGAGATGGGGTGCAGAGGGTTCCCTGCACAGTCCATGTGGAGGATGTTTTCTACACTAGGCATCCAGGGAAGAGACCGAAGGGCAGCTGTTCAACGACTATCAACAACAGCAGAGAAGTCGTCCAGCTGGCTTTGGTGGAGAAGAGAAGAATTGAGCTGGAAGCCATCCATCGACAGGCAGTGATTTGGCCAATCACTGTCGACTCGCCACCTTGAGGACGTTCCAGGATAGGAGTCGAAACGTCCAGTGAGAGGTGGTCCTGGCTGATGACGTCGATGGTTTCTGCAGTCTAGCGATTGTTTTAAGGTAATTACAAAATAAACCACTTATATCACGCCAATTGCAAAACAAGGTAACAGCTTCACCAGATGAATGGTTATGACAAATGTACATATACTCCATATAGGGCAAGCACTCACCATTCTCATTTCAACAGCCTGGGAAAACTCCTTATATAGTCGTGCATTTGGGGTTTAGTTACCATTTTGGGTAATCAGCTAGTTATGCAAATGTATGGTTATTTTGAAATAGAAACAAATAAAGTTTGTTTAAAAATTGCAACAAAAAAAGTGAAATCTTTTTAACATTACTCAACAGCCAATGTGTCAATGTCTGAAATTGCATAAGAAATGTTCATTTCTTTGATCTACCTTTGTGTCAAAATGACTTCTTACATCTATGACTTTGTTCACATTTGGGAACATTTAGTGCAAATGGCATAAATTGACCAATGTTCTATTTTAAGTCACACTATAAGCAGTTGATAAACAGTGGATGTGATAAAGTTTGTAATTTTTACGATAAGCAAGCAATGTTATTTCACAAATGAAAAACCTGTTGACATGAAACATTTGCAGCAAATATTTAAAGGAAATTTAAGTGTTCCTATTTCAAATGGCCCTATATATTAGTAATTAATTGATTACTCAAAGCATTGACTTGGCCTATTCCTCAAATGCAGGACTATTACCCACAAGAGGGGTTCAATCCCTTATGGGATTTCTTCTCGAGACTGATTTATACCGAACGTTTGACAATGTCACTCGTCAGAATCCCCTACCGACGAGGGACATTGTCAAATGACCGATATTAATGAGCCCCAGGGAGGAATCCAAAAAGAGAGTATGAGGTTATTCCCAACCTGTCCAAGGATACGGCATCTTACAATATGTAAGTGTGTTGATAGTCTTTCAATAGACCGTATAACGCATTGTAAATCAAACTGGATAAACGTATTACCTTTGGAATAACTATATCGTGAAGAATTTGTTTGCATGCATTTGTAGAAATAGCACGAATCATCTTTCCATCAAGTACAAGATCAACATGTGTTAAGCTCTTTTCTAACAGAGACTGGTCTGAATCATTAAGACGTTTTATGGTCGTTTCCATTTTCATTATTAGGGGTATATTTCGTGTTATGTTTAATTGTTTATTTTCTCTTAGAAGAAACGTATTTTGTTTAAAATGATATCGGGAAATAGACCATAGAGTGCCAAATCAAGATTACATTAGCTGATTTAGCTGTTATACTGAAGTATAAACTAATTCACCTTTCTATATGGATTCGTCCATATGATGAAATCTCTTTGACATTTTTGTTCGTATTTTTCATATTAAGACAGTTGCAATATTCTTGAAGATATTGTTTTGTTATATCTCAACTTAGTATCTAGCCAGTTCTTGCAGGATGGAGAATTCAAAATGGAGATTTTTGCAATAATTTTTATTTGATTTTGGTTCAAGATTTACGTAGGCATGCAACAGGAAATTGTGACTCGAGTAGGTATACACTTCAATTCCGATAAACGAATTTGGCGTTAATATGTATTTTGGAATAATAAGGGGAGAATGTCGTCTCATATAGACTATTTAGGTGATGTCAATTGTTATTTAGTATATTTTTGTATCCTAATTGAGTGATATAATTTTTATATGATAAAGATTACAATTATTTTATTTCATATCCAACCCCGTCTGCGTCACATTTCCAGGGTCAGCTCAACGGATAAACTACTGCGCAATTTTGACGCCCATCCTATTTGGCGATAGGAGTAGGTCCGCGTTTACTCCGCAATGGAGGCATTGTAGTTCAGATTTAGTCATATAAACGAATAATTTCTTTCTTAAATCATAAAATTAGTCTATTCTGTAACTATTGAAAGTGATAAATGAGGACACAAGGATTCACAATGAGCATAAGAAGTATTTTCTAAGATGGGGCCAAACACCATGCCATGCTCTTGAGAAAACCGGAGTCGCTGACTACACTGTTACACATCAAATTACTTAAAAGTTAGGATAACATCTATCATAATTTTTGGAACGTGATAATTCCATAATATTTTAGAATTCAGAATAGAATGTCGCAGGCTGTCATAAAGCCACATACAGGATACTGGACTCACAAAAATTAAAGCGTAAGTGCGCTGGACTTCTCAAAAAGATAAAACCACCAAGTGATTTACTTGAATAAGGTGGTATATATATATGTAATGTGATTTTTTTTCTCACTGTTTTAAACAATCTTTGAAGTGAAATTTGTATTTCCAGCAGAAATGGACGCAGGTATAGTATAAGATTTGCCACGAACCTTGTCTTGGTACTAGTCAATATTGTGCCCATATTATCAGACATTCGGGTAGGATGCAATACTATTTGTTACTTTATATGTGAGTAGTTAATATCCATTTCTCATAATCTGTCATAATTTGTTCTTTCATTACTGGAATATGAAGCAACTACCATTTAGAGTAAGCGTTCATTGTTTTGGGCAAAATGGCCGCCGCATGTTGACTAGAGTTTACAATATTGGGGGTCAAGGACGTTTCGACTCGAGTAAACAGAGCTCGGTCAAAAACGTGACTTGATGATGTGCCGAGTACAATATGTTGAAATCATGATATTGTTGAATATTTTAATCGATACAAATGTGACAATTTGATACAAATGTTTGTACTGTAGTGCAGCTGTTAAGGTTGTTGCCGCATCCAATGCAAGGGCACAATGATTATCTAAACTCCCGAAATTGGAACATGTGTTTTGTTTCACACGTCATTTCATACAATGTTTTTTTTTTTGGTAATAATATATATAGTTTGCCAAAATTGCGATTAAAACAACATTTATTAAATATTTAATTTCATATCCTACATGATCATTTCATATACATATATTTTGGCGGGTTGAAATCTGGAAAAAAATTGGTTATAATAGGCCTAGTGATTAATTGAAAAGGTTGGTTTTTATAAATGTGTAAAAAAAATCATTTTTGTAATAACTGAAATTGTTCTGAATGTCATGCTGTAGTTAGGTGAGGCAATAAATGCTTGGATATTTTTTAACAAAATAGGGACTAATTGCAAAAACACCAGAACCTGAGCCCAATACTCCTGATTGAGCTTGGGTTATTTTTATCATTATTTGTAAATATCTATAACCAAACTTCACAAGTGAAAAGTGTGTAAGATTTTGTTAATTCCAAACTTCTTACACTATAAAGAAATTTAATTTCAAAATGCAGAAATGAAAAGTGATGTAAAAGATGTTGACATTCTAAAAACATGACATACTTTTAAGGTATTGTGTGAAATAATATTTGTTTCTTCCTACAGTTGTCTGTGCCAGTTGAAATTGGGAAAACATAGTCATGTTTTCTTTAAAATATGGAAGATATTGGTCATTTTCTCTTCATGTTGGTAAAATAACATTTTTGGAGAATAAAGCATGATTGAATATAGTGGTTACCTCCCTTTACATATTTATTTCATGTAATAATTTGTTAACATTTAAATGTATTAAACAGACTTAACAGTGATTAGGATAATGAATAATTGATGCTTTTCCTGCTACATCATTAACAGTGATTAGATTTTTACTGCTACATCAGCTTCAGGGACTACATACTACTGATAAACCCCACTTGTTTTAATTTTTTTTAAACTTTAAGAAAAAAAAATAGTTTGCTGACAGTAATTACATACATGACAAATTGTTTTTGGTTCTTAAAGTTTGACCTTAATTGAAATTTAGTCGGCTGCTATTGATTGATTCTTATGAAATATACATGTTCTAATTCATATTTGTGACATGCATTGTATACATATCGGAAATGTTAATTTCTGTATGTAATATTGACTGGACAGTTTTGTGTTTGTGACTGTATATGTAGATATTGTAATACCTTGATGTATAGGTATTTTTATCTTTTGGCAAAATATATGTATAGTTATATGTTGCAAATATATTGAGAGGCTGTAATGAGAGGTCATAAAAAGGGTATGCCATGTTAAGTTTGATTATCGAGGAACTCTCATGTCAGGTTTGAATTTTCCCTGGGTATGTCTATCTATTAATAAATTGTATGAGTGACTGGTATATCAACCACAGTACACGATGTCTTCATATGCTGTTAACTAGTGTGACCTATCATAACTTTGGGTACACTCTATTATAATGATTTATCGAAGTACCTCAGCCTTAAACATTAGCAACAACTCCCTATCAGAAGATATTTTGGGGGACACCATAAAATTTCGTTCTGCTCTGATGAATACTTTAAGATCAGAATAAAAACATATCATTTACACAGTAAGTCATGTCACTTGCCCGACTGGCTGAAAGAGTCGATGCAATTTCTGGAATTAATTTCTTTCTTATGATGAAATATGCTGCTAGGAAGATTTTGTATTTTAACTTTTAAACAAAATATGTGTTCTGTTGCAATCAATTCATTTGGCTACCAAAAGCAATACATTTTATAAGGCAGATCTGCTAATTACTAACAGAAATGAAATAGAAAAAAAGGACATATATTTTTTTGTTTTGCTTTAATAAAAAAAAGCTGAGCAAATGAGTTAATTGTAGAATTTGTGTGCAAACACTGAATAGACATACAGAAGCTTTTACTCAGGAGAATACGGAACTAACAAAATTACTTTAAACTAAGACAAGTAAAGTGGCAAATCTTTAATATGAAAAATGTAAGTATATAGTGTTCATACATTCATAGAATTATATGATTTGAACTGCTGTGTATTGTGTGATATTTTTAATTATCCTAGATTATAAAGTTGTTTATGTGTAAATATTTAGAATTTTCCCCATCTTTTTATTTGAATGTTTAATATCATTTAAAAACACAATTGGTGAATTTGAAAACAGGAAATTCATTCAATTTTTAGGAAATAATGATTTATTATTGCCAAATAGTTTTGGTATATACTAAAAATTCCATTTGAAGGTAATTCTGACTGATGTCGGTGCCATTCTATAAAGAGAAATTGTTACTGTCCATGAAATGTTGTTTTTGCAATCATATAGATGTGATAAATATCAATGCCGCTATATTTGGGTAGTACTCAATTATCAGTGATTTTTGTAGGATTTTTTCAGGTGAGTCAGAACACCCTAATAAATTTTTTTTAATTAGTCTCAATACTAAGGGATAGAGTGGGTTGTCAAATTTTGAGTGAGTCCTACAAGAGAAACATGAGCCCAGGACTCCAATATGTCAATATTACTTTATGTAGATGAGATATTTTGTATACCATTGTCGCAGTGATCTCGTTATAGTGGTATTATTTGAGAATTTTGATTAAGCATTTTTAGGTTGATCTCCAAAAATTCATTCCATTATATCAATGATTTGCAAGTGGATGATTGCCACTAAGGTCATGGATGAAATGTAGGTAATGCCTTCTTGACATCTAAAAAGTAATTTTATTGTGAAGATTGCCTGTGGTAACAGCTGTTGTAAAAAGTTTACTTGAGAAATGTATAGCAACAGGAAGTTTTATTCAATGTTTAGAAAATCTGTATATTTTGTTTTTATGCTTTTTGACTGACATTTGGTTTTCTGTTTCCTCTCTTTTCAGATTGTGCCACTAGGGAAAGTGAGCCGTTGTATGTTGTTGAGTCTGTACCTCGGGGGTTTGACCAGATATCCCAACAATTACACTTCCAAGATTACCTGATTTTGGATGATATCTTTAAATCTTGACAATGGTAATAACTTCTAAGATCAAATCAAATATGTAATACAAAGAACAATAGAAACTACTTTTGTTACTTTGTGTGAAAATAAAGATTAACACATATAAGTCAATACTAACTGTCTGTCATACTGGATCAGTATAAATCCAAGTTATATGGCTGGAGTACAAACATTGTTAATACCAAATGTTGAATGTGTAATATTTTATCTGTTTAGTGACACCTACATAATGTATTTCTACACAAAAAGTTGAATTAACAAAAAAAAAAATATATATATATATAAACACATCAATAGGTTATTTAGTATGCATATTAGGGTATCGCCTATAATTGAAAGCTGTGTTAGAGGAATTTGTTAGGATAATTGACATTGATTAAACAGAATTTACTACTTTGTATTCAGAAACACAGATGAAATACAAATTTCCATTTGATAAAAGTTTCTTCCTGTTATTAAAGATAATATGCAATCTTAGATATCGTATCGTTTAGGTGAGTCAATATTTTTGACAAGGGAATACATTATATAACATTCACAACTGATGGTAGCACTGCTTTCACACCAGGAAGTTGTGTCATACGTTGGTATACATGGAGATGTAAATTGTGTTTAGGGAGGGGTGTGTATGGAATGAGGTTGCCATTTTAAGAAAGGTCAGTGTTTGAGGAATAAGACTGCAGTCTAGTTAGGCAAATGAACTGAATGGATGGATGTTTGAGGATTGAGTATGCAGGCTAAGGTTAGGCAAATAGGGTATGTGTTGAAGACAGATTTCAGTTATGTGAGTGGGGATGCATGATAAAGGATTGAAGTAATAATGGTTATCAAACCAGCTGATTGTGGTCACAGTCATCATGTGGCTTTTAGGGGGGAATGAATGATTCTGTTGTTAAAAGTCATTGGGGAAAAGGTGCTTTTAAAACTGACATCCTTCAGTTTGTTTTGTTTAAACAAAGTTTAGTGGCTTAGTGAACTTGTTTTGAAGGGATACTTGGTGTACTAATTCTGCATAGGGTTAACTGGGGATTAAACCATCTAAAGAATTAACAAAAATGTTGACATAAAATTCCCAGTTTTAAAACTACAAAAAAACCCTGAAGATATGCTGCCAAATGACAACCTTGGGGAAGGAATTGTTAGAGTACAAAGAGATGTTACCTGGACTCAAGCCTGTGGTAAGAAACAAATGTGAATTCAGGTTGAAGTAGTATGACCAGTTATGTCAATATAACACATCACCTTGACTGAAACTACTCTCTTTACCAAAGAACATGGCTGGACCTGTCGTTACACGCTGTCATCAGTCATCAGCCTTGACACGCGATGTGATCAGGAAGTTCAGGACAATGAAGCTGAATCAGGATGATGGTCATCAGTGGTGTTAAAAAAAACCGGAACACCTGCATAGGTGATCAAAGACAGTTGATAAAGACTTGACAGTTTTGGTTGCCATTTCCTGACCACAGGAGCTTGAGATTGCCATGAATGGAATAATATCCTTCTTGCCCATGGCCAGACCATGCAACTTCTGATTCCTCTGCTGATGAAAAATAATTCCGTTGATGATGGTGAAAGAAGTGTCTGCATAAAGGAGCTTCATATATGCAGAGGTTGGAAGAAAGCTACTATTGTGTCAAGGTTGTTTGTGTAATGAGAGTACTGATTCACAGAATACCATAACATTATGTCTTGAATTGCCGTTTAGATTATCATGAGAGTGGTTTTAGATTAGAAAAAGTTTATATGTACTCTGTTCTGATCAATGCATGTTAAAATGCACTTGCTACTTTTTAACAGCACTTCCCCTGTTTTCTCCACTTTCGTCTTTTGTCAGTACACTTTCCTGCTTATCTGTATGTAACCTATCTGTCCTTTCCCTATTTAATCACTGTCACTGTCTATTGCCTTTTTGTTACTTCTTGCTTTCCTCCTCTGATCTGTACACATAATATTTCACTATTTATTACATTACAATGCTTGGTAAAAAGCTTGCCTCTGCTTTTGACCACCACCTGTACCTTGGTTTTGGAGGGGTAGCAATAATAAGACCATCAGGTTTAGGATAACAGCACTGTTAAGATGAGGTTTTTATTTGTTTATAAGCCTCACTTTTGACCTGATTATAGACACTGCCCCTGCCCCACTTTTTAGGGCTTATTGCCAGATAAAAACAATGAAATGTGACTACTACCAATAAGAAATCTTTAGCATGTGGTGCCCTTCTTCCTCATCTGTTTCACTCAATCTCCACAACACACTTACTTACTATCAACTTTCTCTTTTTTGGGTAAGCAACCATATTTGCTTTTAATACCAGGAGAATTCCATGAAATTCAATACACCTCCCTCCCCCTTCTACACAAAACACTGACCAGTGAAAGAAAGATTACCCACTAAATGATTTCCCCCTCTATGAAAGTTAACATACACATGATGTTGCACAATATCTACAGGTGGCATTTTTTTTACATTGTTTAAATAAACTTAGGAAAATGTAAAAATCTCTTTGTAGGGGTGGGAGTGGAGAGGATGGTACGGCAGTCAGAATCACTGGGATAATCCTTGGGAAAGGGTGCCGAATTCTGTATCTCTCTCTTTTAAGGTTTTTTTTTGTCTGGGGAACACATCCATGTTAAAGTCGGATGTTAAAATGAGAAAATTGCTGCTGAAGAAATAACTATCATTTTGCTCTTTCATTGATTTGTCTTGCCACCTGTCGCTCCTTCCTTTAGAACTAAAGTGTTATTTGGTCTGTTTGTTTTGCTGCAGACTGTCATATTGTGTTTGAATACTCAAAATTTGTCTACCACCACAAAAACAACAATTTTGGAATGCTGACTGAAATGTTGTTGAAACAAGAATTGGAAAAAGATAATAAGACATTGCTATCCAGTAGTGATAGTTGCATGAAGTAGTTGATTCAAAGTCAATCCAGTCCATAATTTCTGAAGAAAATGAAAAGTATACATGTGAATATATAGATCTGATTAAATCCACACACAGTACAGTAACTAGGGTACAGGGAAAGAGCAAGAAAGTTATGAGATTGGCAAATACATGGTATGACAATCGTGGGTAGGGAAAGTGAGATGAATCCCGTGTATAGCAGACAGAGAAGGGGAGAAAGTGATTTATTCTGTATATATACACTGAAAATTGGAATGGGTGACATGCTTCTTAATTCTACTGCAATATAGAGGGATGGGTACTAACGTGTTATCAATATCACTGATGTAGGTGTAAGAAATGTCATGCCTACATCACTGGTTTTATTCATACAAAGATACCTGTATATGCCCATCCCTCTTTATTGTAGTAGTAATCGGGTTCATAAAAGGAGCAATGACATCTACATAAAGGATTAAATATTGCTATGATGGAAGGGCAGTATCTATACCTGAAAAGGTACTATGGTTTATAGGATTAGACCTTGCAGTAAAACATACAAGTATTTTACTGTTGAAGTATAGGAGGGGATGCTATCAAGCTTGATTTCTCCATGAAAAAATATTAAGTTGGGAACTTTCAGGAATGTGCTATTTTAGAGTAAAGGTGAAAGGGTAAACTTAAAGGACAAGGTGAAATCCAATATATTGACACCGAGATACAGAAAGGGTAATCTCTGTAAATAAAGGATTTTTCCTCCACCAAGGGAAATGGGGATGATCAGTAAATAATGATGCTCTTAAGAGGTAGATAACTCTCTATTTGAGAAAAGAGGTCATAGTCTTGAAATAAAGGGGAGACAACTCTCATTCAAAGAAAAAGGTGACATGAAAATTAGTTAAGGGGAAGAACTAAACATTTGGGGAAATTGCCATATTCAAGAAATGAAGGGAAAGGCTTTTTATTCTATTAATAAATCAAATTTATAGAAAAGATGTTAGAATAACAAGAAGGCATTGATCCTCCATTCAAGAAAGCATATTCAATCTAAACCTGAAATAAAGGGAATGATAACATTCAGTAAAACAACAGGGTAGTGATGAAATACCTTTCTGATGATTGTTCTTTTTATGAGAAGTGGGTGTGTTTGGAGAAGGGTTACATTCTTAAAATGGAATATCTAGAGAGAAAGTAGTTGTAAATGATATAATGTGCAATAGGAGGTGAAGGAGACATGTATATGGATGTAGGGAGGGGAAAGATGGGATTTATCAAACTCTTACTATGTGGCATATTTTCTCCTTATCCAATTTGGCATTTAAATGTGAGATGATTAAATAATGATGATTGTGTCAAAATTCAAAGAAAAACATTTTTGCAATGCATGAAAAAGGGTGACATTCCATATACAGACCCAAAGATAAAATATCTATAGGAAAGATGGTTACTTTAGAGGTCTTTGGCAATGGATTCTCTACAATAAAAGTGGATACTTTAGGGGTCATGGGAGATGAACTTGCTATAGGGAAAGTGGATACTCCATAGGTCTTCTGAGATTGATTATCTATTGGGATGGTGGATACTCTAGAGGTCTTGTTGATTAATTCTCTATTGGCAATCTGAGATAAATTCTCTATAGGCTAGGTAGATACATGGAAAGTGGATACTGTAAGGGTCATCATGGGAGATGAATTCTAAAAATGGAAAGTGGATACTCTGTAGGTCATCTGAGATGAATTCTCTTAAGGGATGATGGACACTATAGGTCTATGGAGACTAATTCTCTATAGGGAAGGTGGATACAGGGAAAGTGGATACTCTTGGGGAGATGGGAGATGAATTCTAAAAAGGGAAAGTGGATACTCTGTTGTAGGTCTTCTGAGATGAATTCTCTATAGGGATGATGGACACTATAGGTATATGGAGACTAATTCTCTATAGGGAAGGTGGATACAGGGAAAGTGGATACTCTTGGGGTCATGGGAGATGAATTCTAAAAAGGGAAAGTGGATACTCTATAGGTCTTCTGAGATTAATTCTCTGTAGGGTAGGTTGATACAGGGAAAGTGGATACTCTAGAGGTCATGGGAGGTCAATTCTCTATAGGGAAGGTGGATACTTGAGGAGGCCTTGGGTGATGAATTCTCTATTAGGAAGATGGATAAGGGAAAAGTGGATACTATAGAGGTCATGGGAGATGAATTCTCGGAAGATGGATACTCTAGAGGTCTTGGGAGAGGGGTAACAGGTTAACATTCTGTTACATATGCACTGTAATTGTGAAGGATATGGGATTTACTGTATGTTTTGCGGAGATTAGGGAGGTATAACATGTATACTAGGGTTGATATGCAATGTATAAAGTTTAAAGGATTTGGGGAAAGTTTGGCATTTAGTGATAAAAGCATAAAGGGATGAATATAATGGTGTCTTGGAAATGATGCAAATTGAAACCTGTTTATGAAGCATGTTTAGTAACATTCTCTAAATCAAAGATATCTGACGTGGCATTTTACATAAATGATTTGAGGACAACTTATATAAAGGATTCTAGAAAGGGCAGCATTTTGATATTTCATACGAAGGGTTTACCATTATGGGATGGACATCATTGTATGTGGAGAGAGTATAGTTTGAGGGTGGCTTCTTATAAACTAAGTACCTTGGGGGGTGGGGGGGACAAGTATGGCATTATTTGTAGACAACATGAACATAAGAACTGTTGCACAAGATAAATAATTTAAGGATGGACAGCATGATATACATGATAGGGAGATTAGCAGTACAAGTTAGAGGGAAGGTGAAAAGTCTTCAGAGTAAGAATATAGGGACAGATCATTTATGAGTGGGAAAATAAATGGCATTTATAAGGGTATATAGAGAGAAGAGGGGAAATGGGCATTCTGTGTAAAAGCTATAGAGAAGGGATGTTATTTTGCATACAAAATATATTGTAGGAGTAACATTTTAAAAGGACACAGGAGTTGTTTACATGTAGGTCATATAAAGACATGCATGTTAATTTACCTAAAGCATTTCGGGGATTGATGGTGTGGCATTACATATACGACTGGGAACTGAAGTCACTATCTACTAAAGGTCATGTGAAGTTTAATGGGAGCAGAATGATGTGAGGATGATTGTATGAAAACCATTGAAAATTTACCCATGAAAGCCATTGAGATGTTGTATGCAAGAAATAAAGAATTTATTCTGTATATTTGTGTTTTGTATTTTATATAAGGAAGGGGCATCATCACATATATTTTGATTTGTAACTGATAACAGAAATAAATGTTCAATTTCATTTGAAGGGAGAACATTTCATGAGGATGGCACAATTAAATTAAAAATTGTCATTTTTATTATGATGGCTATTCAGATAAATATTTACAAAATTTCAAACAACTAAAAAAAATTGTTAAGGTACATTTGATTTTATTAGGGAGGGGTGGGGGACTGGGAAGATCGTGATCTATCATAACTGATGGTAAACAAGCTGTCCGTGTACATCCCAACAGAAGTTGGTAATATCATTCTTGAATAATAAGTGGAATATTTGCAAGAAAAGAAAATGCAAAGTATTCATGCAGCTCTAAGAAACCTTGAGACCATGCTATAAACATGTATAGAAATTTGATTGTTTGGGTGGAGTACACATTAATGTATTAAATAAATCATACACAGAACATTAATACATAAGTGTAATTATCACTGTGTAAATTATTGTTTGCATTGTGTGTAAAGTCAATGGTGTGCAGGTGCTGTGTGTGAATGATCAGTAATGTGCAGGTGCTGTGTGAGTATGATCAATAATGTGCAGATGCTCTGTTTGAATGATCAATAATGTGCAGGTGCTGTGTGTATGATCAATAAGGTGCAGGTGCTCTGTATGATAAATAATGTGCAGGTGTTTTGTATGTGATCAATAATGTGCAGGTACTCTGTGTGCATGATAAACGATGTGCAGGTGCTCTGTGTGTATAATCAATAATGTTGAGGTTCTCCATTTTGTTGATGTTCTCCATGAGTATGATTTGTGTTCTGTGTAATGTGCAGGTTTCATGTGTGTGTGATCATACAGCCGTGTATATGATCTATAGTTTGTGCAAGTGTTTTTTGTGTAAAATCAATGTAGTGCTAAAAATCATTGTATAACATTTGAGGATTGAAAAATTAAGTTTACTAGAGGACATTGAGTCCCAAACTAGAGCAGTAAATGACTGATATTCTTGTATATATTTGTTTATTCTTGGAAAATAAGAATTCATATGGCAGTTCTCTATTAACAGTCTTTATTTGTTTTGCAGCCTCCAATTGACCCACACCAGCTGCTGAAGGCACTGAGTTCCTTGCTGACACAAAGTGGGGCAATAAAAGGGCCTACTGAATCAACTCGCATATGCAGGTGTGTATGTGTGTAGTGTACAAAAAGCTAAAAAAAGTGTATAACAAAAGATGATATAGCACGCTAACGGAAAGTGGAAATGAGCTCAGTTGTCAAATTTAACAGTACTTTTTCAACAATTTACCAACTGATGTTGATAAAAATTAGCTGCAAGAAAGGAACTGTGTTGATTTTCAAGTTTGATTATTGTATTTTTCTCTTTGTCAGTTTAATGCGAGATGTGACCAAACTAGCCAGTAAATGTGTGTACATCAATATTCTGCGGGCGACAGAGACCCAAGATGTCCTGGAGAAGTAAGTCTTTAAGTTCTGTTTATAGGTGTTTAGTGGCAGGATGTAAAAGAGAAACCCAAAATCATTTGATAGTTCCATACAACCTGTCATAGAGGCCCTGTCTGTTGTATACTAGCAATATATTATATGATGTACAACTGGTGCTGCCAAACCCTTTTTGTCTCTGAAAAAAATAGGTTTGTTGGGTAGATATTATTCTTCAGTTGCTGAAATGAGTATTTATCATTTCTAAAGGAGTTTATTTACTTGTACTGTAGGTTCATAGATGTTGGAGGATGGGACATCCTTAATGTGTGGCTGGAGGACAGCAAAAACACTGAGAACACTCCAATCCTAGTAGAGCTCCTCAAGGTGTACCAACAGCTTCCCATTACTGTTGAACTCCTTAAGAAGAATGGTGCTGCCAAGACCATCAAACAATTCCGCAAATCAGAGGATGAAAGTAAGAACCCGTTTTGGATAAAAAAACAACTCATCTCAAAATGATCCCAATTTCCAATTTTTTCTCTTTCCAGTTTCTTTACTTTTAACTTATTTTGTTATTTCATTTATTTTTGATGATATGTAGCTTTCACTAACTGTTGTAGCTGCTGTTGATTCTAAAATCATATTAATATATCTTAATTAACCTCTTATGTGATTATTTCAATTAAAAGAGATTTATGATTGATAAATTGCGTAGACATTTGCTTGTTGTAGTAAACATATTTTGTAGTAGATCACATTTTTATGTTTTTGAAAGATACCGATATTCTGTTTGAGTACTTTCAGATTTTTGGTTGATAGAATCTTTATGTAAAGCTACATGAACAGTACTGGGATATGACTGGCTAACATAATATTTGTATTTTCAGTGTTGAAGTCTCTGTCGTCAGAAATTGTTGAGAAATGGATGAACAAAATTCGAGAGAACAGTAATAATAAAGAAGCTGGAGAAGCCAATGGTAGGTCAACATACTAGAAACTACAGAGAGTAGACCATTTCTTAAATTATCTCAAAAGAGTAAGCTAGTGGAATCAGGCATACTGAAAGGACTCAATGTTCATGTGAGATATGATTGGCACTTGGAACTACAGAGAGTAGATCATTTCTTAAATTATTTTACTGTTTAAAAGTGTAAGCTAGTAGAATCAGGAAGGCATACTGAAAGAACTCATTGTCTGTGTGAGATATGAAGCAACATAGCTATACCTGTTTAAATGTAGGAGGGCTTTTAAGAAATGTGCAACTTGTTGTTTCAGAAAAAGATAAAAAGAAAAAGAAGAAGAGTGAAAAAAGTGATAAAAGTGAAAAAAGTGAAAAAAGTGACAAAAGTGATAGAAAAGAAAAAGATAGTGAAAAAGACAAACAGAAAGAGAAAGACAAGCATAAACATGTGTCATCATCTCACCATCATCATCACCACCACCATCACCGCGTTAAAGAGGAGAAAGCAGAGTCAAGTCCGCAAGAAAAGTCAGATTCAGTCAGTGTGGACAACCTTAGTACAAACACTGCCACAGGGACAGTCACACCGGGAAATGGACTTAAAATACACATCAAACTGAAGCGCAATGACCAGACTGTTAAACCACCGGAGCAGAAGAGACCTTCTACTGTGAAACGACCTCCTGTCAAACCGCGTTCTAGTGGTATGTCTCAGCTGTATTGATAAAAAGGAATCAATATTAACAAAAGCAAGATAAAATTAACACAGTGTTAATGAAATGACTATATTGAGAATACATTGACAGCCCTAATAGTGCAAAATATCACAACAATTTGACCTCTGATAATCCCCTTACTGGTGATCACTAAGATGATATTTCAGTTGAATTTATATACACCTTGTCATATTATTACAGAAAAATCAGCTAGATGTATCTTAATCTTAAATTTAAACATTCTTAGAACTGTTTACTTTTAAACAATATCCCTTTATTACTGATTGTACAACCTCAGAAAATGGCATTATGGCCATTGTACAGAGGCTGAACATGCATGCCATGATATTTTTGTGTCAGAGAGGTGCAAAAAAATATTAGCATTAGCATAGTTTATTACATGTAAAATATCAATTTATTGAATTTCAAAATAAGCAGTAGGATAACTGTCCAAGCAGTTACCGCTTGAACGACTACTGTATAAATAGAGAAAACATGCTACGAAGCATGATGTTTAACATTGCACAAACAACAGGCCTATCGAAGTTCTGACAACTCACTTCCCCCTCTCCAAACATTGAAGTGTGTGGAGCATTCACATTCGCTTCTTATGTCTATGTACCAACCTGTATTCAGATCAATACCATTCATTATGGACGTGGCATAATCACATGATTGAATCACCTTTCAGGTTTAGTCCCATTACTCTGATAAGTGAAATGGCAGAGAATATGAAGCTGTCAGTTGTGGATATAGGAGCTTTTTAGAGTCTATGTCTCTAATAACTCATCATTCAATAAAATTCAAAGTCATTTCTAGGTCAGCGTTAATTAAATTATATATTTACAAATATGTCTGAAGATGTGAGTTCATGAATTATAGTACTAATGAAATATAAGTGATTTACAGTAGCAAGGAATTCAGTCTTTTGTTTGAAGGAAGTCTGAGCAATTATGCTGATATTTAAAATATAGTTGTGTTGTTTTTTAATAAATATTTAGTTTTGTGACTCCTGCTTTATATGGTTATCTGATTACATAACTGGCCACATTGTGAAGGTTTCCAGGTTGTGATTTTGTAATGTTACAGGTGTGATAGAGGACAGTGGACCAGTAGCACCTCCAAAGAAAAAAGTATCCACATTGTCCGACAACAAACCTGTAATCAAAAGACCAGGGTAAGTACCCACCACAAGTAGTGTCAGACAACACACCTGTAATCAAAAGACCAGGGTAAGTACCCACCACAAGTAGTGTCAGACAACAAACCTGTAATCAAAAGACCAGGGTAAGTACCCACCACAAGTAGTGTCAGACAACACACCTGTAATCAAAAGACCAGGGTAAGTACTACCACAAGTAGTGTCAGACAACAAACCTGTAGTCAAAAGACCAGGGTAAGTACCCACCACAAGTAGTGTCAGACAACAAACCTGTAATCAAAAGACCAGGGTAAGTACCCACCACAAGCAGTGTCCGACAACACACCTGTAATCAAAAGGCCAGGGTAAGTACTACCACAAGCTGTGTCCGACAACACACCTGTAATCAAAAGGCCAGGGTAAGTACACACACAGGCTGTAACAAACAACAAAGTTATACCAAAGGACCAGGGTAAGTATCTACACAGGTCATGACAGACAACAGACCTGTAATCAAAAGATTGCAGAAGCCCAATTTTGATAAGATATAAGCATTGCACATCAGAATTTTTGAAGAATCAACACACACCAATTTAACTGCACACTCACAGTCAATTTCTTTCAGAAATTGGCATTGCACATGAGTAGTTTAAAGGACCAACACACCAGATTTCTTCTGTATAATCAAAGTCAGGTCTTACTGATGGATCTTAGATAGAAGCAGATGATAATTATGATTCTGATAATTATAGTAAACTAATCAATGTCTGTTTACTTCTAGATCTGATCAAAAGATTAAAGAGGAACCACCATGGAAGAAATCTCGCCTACATCTGACAACATCCTCACTCCCTTCCAACTCACCGACAGAAAAATCTCCAACATTGGTGTCGCCAGGAGACATACATAATCAAATCAAATTCCCTTTCCAGAAATCAATCAAATGTAAGCTTACAGGGTGGTATGATAAGATTGAATATAATAGCTTTAATTCTATGCTGTCTTTATTTTCTCATTCAGAAGCAAAAATGGAAGCTATTTGTAAGATTAACATCAACAACATATACATAATGAAATGATAATGAAGTGTTATGCATTTTTGTTATACACTATATCAGGCAGTTTTTTTTGTTTTGTGACTGTGTGTTTTGTACAATTAGATACTCTGACAAATTAATTTGCAAATCTGGACTGACTGTTTGGATGATTGGTGCCATAATACTTACATTCAGATTCTGTTTGATTCTTACAGCCGAAATGCATGAAGACAATAGTTTTATAAATGATATCATACGACCAGTAGGAAGGATAAAAAGGAAGCCTCGCCCAGGGGTCAATGGAACCACACCCACTAAAACTACAACTTCAAGCACACCCACCACACCCCCATCACCTGTATCACCTACCACTGCCCTCAAGTCTAGTCTACCGTCTGTACCCTCGGTAAGTGTAAGATACAATACAGTCAGGTCAGTTTGTAATCAGTTAATAGTTTGCTCAAGACATCCATTTACTGTGACATGAAAATATAAAATTAATCCTATGTTACTTTGTTGTGTAGTTTTACAAGGAAACTCTAGAAACCAGTGAAACCAATGGAACTAGTCCAACTGAGACAAGAAGCCCTTCCCCAACAGAAAAAATGGACACCACAGAAGCCAAAGAAATCAATGACAATAATATGGAGACTGATAACAGAGGTAAGTACACACAGAATCCAACACAATCTTTTTGAGACCATTAGATTACAGCAAAAACTGTAGAATTGCCAACTTGATTTGGATTTGTAAAAAAGTTGTTAAAGCAGCTAATTTTCACTTAGATAAAAATTCAATATTTAATATTTACAAAACAGAAACATCAATTGTCTCCTTCTTTATCGATAGTAAGATCAGATATGAAACTGATAAAAACAGTGATTCTTGATTTTTAACATTTATTATGATATGCATACACAACTTTTAACAATTTTTTTCATTATCATCCAGAAGCCAATGTTGAAAAAGAGGCAGACAACAACACTGAGAAGCCAGCTGTGGACAATTTTGGGGAGAGCTTACAATCATCTGAGACCACCACAAGGAAAAAGAAGAAGAAGAGGCTGACTGTATCCTGGGCAGAAGAAAGCAAACTTCACCAATATCATTATTTTGAAATGGATGAAACAGAGAGAGGTACGAGTCTGCCAGAATTAATTCTTTAATGTGTCCAACTTAAAGTTTATACATAAAAGTTGATTTTTATAAATTTTAAAAGCATTTCCATAAGTACATTTTGAATACAAGAATTTTTGTTTTTAATTTTGCAGAAAATGTCAACAAACCAAAAGAGAATTTTGATGAACTGAAGAAACATGAGATGATGATGGACAGAAGGGTAAGTGATTTGTTGCCATGTACTCTCACCCTAATTTTGGTTGATGATTTTAGAAGGGCAAAATGATTTTTAAATTTTCAAAGAAAATTTTGTTTAGGGTATTCAAAAAGATTTATGAATGGTTCATGGTTACTAATTATTATCTGTTTGGCTTATTTTGCTTGTTGAGTATGGCTCAGATAATAGACATATTACTTTTTGAGGTCTCTGAATATTTTAAATATACTTCTTTCCTTTTTAAGGTGGCAGAGACTGCTAAAAGATTCACGAACGACAACATGCAAGAAGCTATTCCAGTAAGTATCATTACTTGATTTTGAATCTAGCTTTAACAATCTTGAATCCATTATATATTATAGTTGATAAAAAAAGGAATTTATTATCTGTCTTATAGAACATATTGAAACATAATTGAGCTCATCTTGCATATTAGACAAAATTTCTTTAGCATATCATGACATTAGAGTTCACAGATGGGCCTGTATGTAAGGGAAGGAATTTGAAACACCAGATATCCAAGTTCTCTACTGTGATTAAAAAGTTTGAGCTTGATTTCACCAGGTGTCCAACTACAATGTGTAAACTTACCTGTGGCATGAGTGTCTTATAATTGTAGTCAACTTGCACCAGCAGTCTATCGATCATAGTTTGATGATAAATCTCTGATGTCTTGCTACTAAGATACAACTATTTGTAGTCGTTAGAGTTCCCAAGTTAAATAAGGAGACCACAATTTTATATTCCCTATCAACGAAGAAAAGAATATAGGAAAGTTTTTTGGGAATAATGACAATAATTGTTGGTTACTTCTGTGTTGCAGTGGAGAATTCCTTTCTTAATATCTGGCCTGCCCCCACCTCCATCTGAGAGAGGTTCGCAGAGTCTGGAAAAAGATATACAGAAGGAGCGAGAAGGTGTTGTCTTACAGGCACTTTTCTTCAACAAGGAGATGTGAGTATTCCTTATTTGTAGACCTTCATTTGTAATATATTTCATTGAAAGTATTAAACTATTGATGTAATGCATCGCCTAGTTATTGGGACCTTTTATGTTACTTTGGTAACACAAAATTCTTAATGAATCAGTGAATATTAATGTACATTTGTATTTTCATGATCTTCTTTTACAGGCTCCCTGATGGACCAAGTGAACCAGATGTGGAATCTGTGGAGCCTTCAGATCCGAAGTTCATCCCACTGGAAGATGTAAGGAAATTTTCCATTATAATTCAGTACCTTATTGTAGTAGTGAAATAAGTTGATTGAACAGAAAATAGATCTATAGATCTAGTTTGTATTCATTTATCATACACATTGATATATTGAGTTGTTTCAAAAAATTGGTCTGACTGTAAGTGCAGTATTCTAAGTTACTCAGAAGATTCAGGTGAAAAATTGATGGGAAGCTTTGTCTAACATTTCTGTGTTGTGTTGTACCTAGGAGACATCAGGTAGTGAAGAGTTTACATACAGTTATGATAATCCTGGCCAAAAGACCACCCAAGAAGTTCAGGCACCTTTCCAGCTGCCTCCAGACGTGGCTAACATGCTGGCTAACTTCCACCAACAAGCTGCCAATGCACAGACACCAATGGATCCTAATAATCCAGTGTTAGCCAATGTCCAGAATCTTCTGACTTCCATATCGGTAAGGCAACAGAAAAATATATAAAATGTATAGTGAACATGTTTCAAAAACAAAGTTTTAGCAGTGAATCATTTCTAACTTATGAAATGCCTGTTAGAAGAACAATTGTGATCTAAATGTGTACTTTCTGTGTTCTACAGGGTGAAACCAAAGATCCCAGTAAGGCAGAGGCAGCATTGGAGCAGTTAAAGAGTGTCCTCAACAACCCAAGTGAGTAGCACAGTCAAAAGTCAATGGTAACTTTTTGAGCGAGAAAGAAAAGAGGCAGAGCAGAGTTTTATTTTGTTTTATGTTATTTAATTTGGTTTAAGTCTCCGTAGATAAAGATTTTTGAGTAGAAAACTAGAGAGCACAGCACTTTTTTTGTTTTTTTTTTAGGTCTAAGTCAGTAGATGTGTTTTTTTAGTTTTGCTGTTGTTATGAGACTGCTCAGAGTATTTTTCTGCTGTTAAAAATATCCAATTTTTTTAAAAAGCCGACAATTCACATAAGTTTTGTTGTTGTAGGTGTGATGCCTGAAAACCTTGGTATGGGAATGTCAATGAGTGGAATGCCACCACGTTTAGGTCTATTGGGAAATGCCCCACCAGGCTTTCCTATAGGTATGGGAGGACCCCCAGGAGCTCCAAGATTTCCTCCTCCAGGTAAGTCAAGGTCATTCGCAATGTTTCTATATAATAAAACTAAATTTTTTGTTCAGATATTTTGCATAAGTCTTGATTCACGGTAACCATTTCAATATTTTGATGTGTGTTTCAGGACCAGGCATGAATGGTCCACACTTAGGCCCCGGGGATCATGATGATTGGGGCGAGAATATGGTTGGAGGTCCCCGTCCTGGTATGAGGGGACGTGGCCGGCCAGGCATTCCAATGAGAGGTGGAAGGATGCCAGGACCACCTGGACCAGACTTTGGACCAATGGGGCCAGAATTTTGTGGAACAGATGTACCACCTCCTGGATTCATGGGACCAAGAGGGGGCCCTCGTGGAAGGGGCATGCGAGGGGGCCGTATGAGAGGAGGTATGTTAAAAAAACAAAAAAGTGATATAAAAATAACTTGCAATTTTATATAAAATTGAAATTATTTGAATTGACGAAGAAGATATGTTCATTGAATATTATATATCTTTTCAGGTCGACCAGATCTGCCAGTGTGTCGGCACTATGCTGCAGGAGGATGTCGTAGGGGAGCTACATGTATGTTCTTACATCCTGGTCCTCCAGTATAGCATCAATAGAACTTAGTGTGTACATAAGACTTATCTTCCAATTTATTGAGCGAATGCCTGGCAGGAATGCATGGAGATAGTGTGAACATAAAACTTCTCTTCCAATTATTGAACGAGTGTTTGGCAGTGATATCTAAAGAATACATGACAGAGATGCTTGGAGATAATGTGTACATAAGACTTCTTATTGAACGAATGCCTGGAAAGGATACTGAGAAAACAAGACAGTGTGTACCAAAGACTTCTCTTCCAATGAATGCATGGATTAATATGTGGATCTGCCTGTCAGGAATACATGTGATATCAGTGACAGATTGAATACCTGATGGAAGTTAAATGTGACATGTGCAGGAAAAGTGTGTAGGTGTGTGTTGTATCATGCAGACAATTACAGTTTGATCTCCACATGGACTTCACATTGCTGCAGTCATTGAATGTCTGCATGCTAGTGGTTATATGATACAAGTTCTGTGATTTAACAGTGCTAAACTACAAGTACAAATACTGACACTAATGGAATCAGCGGTGCAGAATCATTCCTTTGAATGGTCAAAGAGTGTTTTCCAATGAAAAATTACCCATCGAGGACTTCATCTGAAGTAATAGATTAGATGCATTGTATATTATAGGTGGGCAAGTGAGTGGTGAGAGTTATCAAGTGAATCCCTAGATTTTATTCATGTACTTGCCAAATAATTATTGTACATATATGATATCTCAGGAATGTATAAAGTATTGCTTTATTGATAAAAGCCATGATTATAATCATTATGCTAATCTTTAAGAACAAAATAGTGTGATATATATAGATACAAGCTGATGTAGATATACATACATATACAGTATACCTTGAGATAGCAAACTTCCAGTTAAATTATCAGAGAGTTTTTGTCTCCCTAGACAGTATGGCTCAAACCTCATAGTAAACAAAAATTATTTGTCTATTTTATATGCAGTATTACAAGTTAAACTTATACTGGACAGCAAGCACAGTCCGAGGAAAGTATGTTGTCTGCTTGATTTGCAACATTATTATTTTTGTTTTGGATAAAGTGAAATCTTCTGTGTGCTCAGCGTTAGACTTCATCCTTTTGGCAAAAGGTGACTTTATTATAAAATGACATTTCAGATCAATTGAAGAGTCAAAAAATAAAAAAAGAACTTGTAGTTTTCCTGTAGGTTTGACACAATTACATAGAAAAAGAATATTACTAACATATGTGTTATTGATTAATTAATCTTGGTATGGTGCCAATCTCCTTAACCACATGGGTTTTAGATTTCTTAATATCACTTTGAACAGCAAACCTGAAATTTAAGGAAAGGGTATCTGCAATTTTAAGATAGTTTGTGTCTGAAATAAACAGTATTGAACTCTTTGTCATGTAGTCTTGACATCAGACTTCAAGTTATTGAACAATCTAAATTGATACATTCTGCAATTTGAAGGTAGTTTGTATCTAAAATAAACAGTATTGAACTCATGTCTTGTAGTCTTGACATTGGACTTCAAGTTTTTTAACCATCTAATTTGATACATTCGTTGATATTTCAAAATAGTTTTATATTGTGCAGGTCAAACAACTTTCAAGCAACTGTTGTTATGTTGACTGCATTCTTGGTAATATTTTGTACTTCAAGTCCCAATTTTTTCCTTTTTGAGCAGGATTTTTAAGTATATGTATTGAGCACTTCACAACACTTAGTGAAACTTGTTACTATGCCATCAGACAAGTAATACATCCAGCTGTTACGGAAAGCTGTGATCAATAGATCAAATTCATTCTAGTTTCATGTTTGATTCACTGCTGGAACGTTGGTGATTTGTTCAGTAATTTGATGAACTAGACATTGCAAGGTATGTGAATTAAGGACGTTGAAAATTTTACATTGATGACCAAAAATAATCTACAATAGTATCTGGTATTCTTGTATCAAGTTGATATCATTTCAAAACACATCTATTTCTTGTTCATCTGGTGTTATGTGATAAAATAATTTTGTGTTATGTGAAATGAAAGATCAGGTTGTACAAATTTGTAAATGGAGATGTCAAAATGAAGAGAATGTATACCCATGTGTGTGCTGTGATGATATAAAAGTGTGTGGGTGTGCATGCCAATGAGGGAGGGTGTGTGTGTTTGATTAAACTTGTAGTATAATTGACTTTATAATTGATAATGAGAAAGAAGAATGATTGACAATAGAGTATATAAGCTAGAAATTGTAAATTAACATCCCTGAGTAGGGATAAAGAAAATGTGTTCCATATAATGGACAAATGTATGTAAAGTTGTACACAGGGAGGGATCTTCTCTTGTGCTACACAACCTTGTCAGCTTACAGTGTCAAACATGTTCAACTTTATACACAAGTTTCATCATTTGATGGAATAAAACCTATTTTATAAAAACAAGTCTCTTGTTGTATTTATTCTCATCAGAACTAGGGCTCAAGAACAGGTCTCGTATGTATTCCTGTCAGAAGTACGGCCAAAGAACAAGTCTCTCTTTGTCTGACTTCTTGTCAGAATTTATGCCGAAGAACAATCTCTCGTATGTATTCCTGTCAGAACTACAGCCAAAGAAATATTTTGTTATTATATTTTGAGCTTCAGAGAAAAGATTTGTTGTCTCTGTGACCAGCGATTTTAAAAATTGAAAGACAAATGAACTTGACTAATTTAAAGAGATTTGTATTTACAGCCGTCTACACTTTACTGAACTGTTTGGCCAATACCAGTTTGCTAATACAGATTGACTAGGTAAAAGTCTACACTTTACTGACAGACTGTTTGGCCAATACCAGTTTACACTGTACAGATTGATAGGTCTACACTATCTGACTGACTGTTTGGCCAATACCAGGGATCAACTGTACAAAGGGGCTAATTACTGACAGAGTTTGGCCAATACCAGTTTTGTACAGATTGACTAAGTGAGCTCACTCCAGTCTACACTATACTGACAGACTGTTTGGCCAATACCAGTTTACTACACTGTACAGATTGACTAGGTGGGCTAACTCCAGTCTACACTATACTGACAGACTGTTTGGCCAATACCAGTTTACTACACTGTACAGATTGACTAGGTGGGCTAACTCCAGTCTACACTATACTGACAGACTGTTTGGCCAATACCAGTTTACACTGTACAGATTGACTAGGTGGGCTCACTCCAGTATACAATCAATCTAGACAATTCGGGTGTGCCGATTCCAGTTTACAATCCTTATAGAAAATCTAGATGTGCTGATTCTAATTCTACATAAATCTTAGGAACTATTGTGCCCTGTTCATATCATTTTAAGGTTAAAATATGTTAATTATATCATCTTTAATAAAACTGGTGTATCATCATACTAAGAAAGACAAAAACACAATATTAGTGTATAAAATGACATTTATTAAATATAAAGTGATTCTGTCCAAGAATTTATCCAAAAATAGCATATAAAGATCACAGAGTTATACAACAAAAAATCCCTTGGAAGGTCACAGCATATATATATATCATCAGCAGTGTTTAAGATGGTCTGAGATGTCAGAAATTTCTAGTTTTGATAACATTAGATGATGGACTTTCCAAAAGAATTAGTAAAGAGCATCATATACTTGATAATAAAACATTGTAGATCTCCAATTCTGCTCTATTCATCTGTATCATTGTTTAGGTATGATCTACACTTCGGAGAAATTTACAGAATGCCATTAAGCCCAGCTTAACATTAAAGACGCCTTGTTGTGAGACAACCACATAATCACAATTATAAATATTCTATCTTTACAAGTAATTCTTCTTTATCATTAATCAATGTGCTCTATTTTATTTGCTCTGCAAATCATTAAATCACCATGTTTTTGCATTTTAGTCGGCTACGCCCTTGTGGTTTGGAAGAACTTATGCAGGTCTCCATTATCACAGATCAGGAATGTCAAGCATACAGAAGTTCATAAATACATGTTCATTAGTCTTCAGAAAGAAACCAACTCTAAAAGGTACACAGAAAAGTTACACAGAACTTGTTGTGCCCTGTTTCATCATATTCACAGCATTGATTCAGCAGTTACTTTAGCACGTTTATAGTGACCTGAGGTTAATGTTAAAACACATTTCAGCAGTAATACCAGAGATAATACTGGTTAATTAATACTGAGGAATGAAAAATGCTCTGTCAGCAGTTTCATACAGTAAAGTGAACAGTGAGACACACAAAACATGTGTCTATCATTATTACATCTATGGACGGAGTAATGATGTATGATGTAAATAACTTTGAGACACACAAAATATGTCTCTATCATTATCATATATATGGAATGAATAAAAAGGTATGACGTAAATTGCATTGAGACACACAACACATGTCTCTACCATTACTATATCTATGGACGGAATACAGAATTATGATGTAAATAACGACGAGACACACAAAATGTGTATCTATCATTACCACATCTATGGACAGAATACATATTACAGACAATACCAGACACATCAACTCACAAGTGTCCACATTATTTATAATCAATCTAACATACTGGAAAATGTACAAAATAATTACCAAGTTAAGATTCTACTAATAATACTTCACCACAGCTTTATTTAGCAGTTCTGGTTCCATCTATGTAATTCATTAAAGGAAGTTCTCAGACAGAACTATACACACGACCTTAGTTAAATTAATATTTCCTGGTTTCTGACACAATTACGATGGAGGAGATGAATATTTTTTGGATGTTTGGGAAAATGACTCCACCTCTGATGATAAATGGCAAGGGTATTTATTTGTCTTTCTTCTTTTTAGATTTACTGCTTCCCTTGGAGGCCTGAGACTCGGGACGTTTCTTCTCCTCTTTGGTATCAGGTGGATCCTTCGGAGTCGTTGGTGTAGGAGTGACGGCCGTCTTTGTTGGGGAGACTGATGCTACTCTGCTTTCTGATCCCTCAGCTTGTTCATATTTCATCAGTTTTTTCTCCAAATCACGAAGTTTCTCCTCAGCAGTTGCTAGATCAGTTTCAGCAGCGGCTGCCCGCTCCTCAGCTCTCTGGGCACGCTCTTCTGTATCTCTGTAACACATTGACAATGATTCTCTTGTACACAATAGTACACAACAGCTACACATACTTGTAGTAGCAAGCTTATCACACAATAGCTACAAATACCTGTAGTAGCAAGTTAAATTATCACACAATATTTAAAAAAAACACTAGCAGTAAGCTTATCAAACAATATCCCTAAAATCGCAGGCAGATTCTACGGACTTTTGGTGAAGTGACTCTGGACTAATAACTTACATGAGTTGATTTTGTAGTGAATCCATGGCAGTAAGAGCCTGAAAGGCCTTGTGTGTGTCTGGGGCATCAACTGTCCTCACTGCTGGTGCTGGTTCTTTTGGGGGTACAGGCTGACAAGAGGAAGCATACATAAGTACACAAAAAATATATCACTCAGACAACATCCAGATAGCTCCTAGCTATTGTCTTAACTTATGCCTAGATGTCGGATCCTATACCATGCTCCTAACTACTGTCTTAACTTATGCCTAGATGCCTGATCCTATACCATACTCCTAACTACTGTTTAAGCTTATGCCTAGATGCCTGATCCTATACCATACTCATAGCTACTGTCTTAGCTTACGTCTAGATGTCTGATCCTATACCATACACCAAGCTATTGTCTAAACTTACATCTTCATGTCTGATCCTTTACCATACTCCTGGCTACTGTCTTAGCTTACGTCTAGATGTCTGATCCTTTACCATACTCCTGGCTACTGTCTTAGTTTACATCTAGATGTCTGATCCTATACCATACTCCTACCTACTCTCTTAGCTTACGTCTTGATGTCTGATCCTATACAATACTCCTAGCTACTGTCTTAGCTTACGTCTTGATGTCTGATCCTATACAATACTCCTAGCTACTGTCTTAGCTTACGTCTTGATGTCTGATCCTATACAATACTCCTAGCTACTGTCTAATCTTAATCTATATATCGATTCCAATACGATACTTGTAGATATCTTATCAACTACCATACTCATAGTTACTGTCTGAACTTACTTCTAAAGGTGCCTGATCCAGTGTTTTTACATGGGTGTTGTCATCATGTCCAATGACTTCCAATCTCTCCAGGTCATCTATCTCTGCTTCCTATCATTCAAAAGCAAAACAAGTTTTATCATCTCACTGCATTGATTCTCAAACCCGACCAGACTTAACAAAAACAAAATATAGCTAGCATTCTTGAGTACCTAATTAACGAGAAAATTTGTCACTGTAAATAAGAGAGAAAAGGGCAATAACTCTGTTTTTACCTATCACCCAGAATGTGATCAGTGCAGGATATACTTTAAGTAAGATGTTTTAATTGTTCTTTGTTTCTAAAGAAAATTTCATAATCAATATAAATATGACAAAATTTATCAAAATATTTCCTAAAATTTCTTGCAAATGTGACTTACCTTCTCTGCCTTGGGTTGTACAGTGCCCTCTGTTGGAGGTGGGAGTACCTCTTCAGTGGCTCCATCTGGTGCCTGTTGCTCCCTTTCCTTGGGTGAGGTTGGCTCCTCTGGTTTCGTCTCCTCTGCTGGCTTGGTCTCTGGTTCCTTTGGCTACATTCACAAGAAGATAAGTATCAACAGAAAAATCAAGTTGTTATGATGATGGTATCATGAGAATCAGGAAGACAAAATATGTTACGTTGATACTTCGAAGCTTCAATAAAATCTGATGATTTTAACTGTAAAATTCAGTAATTCTGGTACAGTATGTGTAGATATTTGACATACCTCAGAAGGAGTTCCTTGTTCAGGTTGTTTTTCTTCAGGTTTCTCAAGTTTCTCATGATCATAATAAAGATCAACATCTGTTGCCATGGACTCTGTGCGTGGTTTGAGCACCTTGTCGTCTGTCTGGATCGGTGGTGGGAACAGAGAGATGACGGACTCTCCCAGTAATTGACTGGTCAACAATTTGGCTGTTTTTATCCAGTCTTCACATTCATGCTGAAATAGATTACAAGGTTTTTATTTTTGTACTTTACAATATTTTGGTATTTAAGAAAAACAACTTGTTTTTTCCAAACACACAGTGTCAGTTCTTATATCACAAGTAAGAAAATTACATGTGAGGTTTAAAATGAGTCACAGTCACCTTTGTTAGACAAATGAAAAGTGGCATAGTGATCTTATTGAGAAATATTCCATGAAGCAGAAGACGCTTACTCTTCCAGAACACCTGGTCTTATTCTCCTTGTACTTTTACAGAAGTCTCCATGAAAATCTTTCTTTTGTTCATATTTTGCCCTAGTTTTATGAATTTGTGTTTGGATTATGATCATGTTGCCATATTGGGGTTTTCTGATGTTTTTTACACTAAGGTATACAGTGAAAGAGACATGGCTCTCTAACTGGTTGTGATACAATAACATTTATTCGATGCATCTTAATAACCTGAAGAAATGTTCCAAAATATAATTTTATTATCACTCCAATGAATTTCATTGTACTTTAGACACATACTGTAGACATGTAGACATGTGCTGCAGTCACATACTGTAGACATGTACTGTAGACACGAACTATAGACAGAACTCCAGAACATAAGGAATAGACTTTCTATCACAAATGTTTTCCGGAACATAAGTGATAGACCATCTACCATGAATGTTAACAAGAGTATTACTGATAAAGGTCTGCCCTGAGTGTTTTCAAGATTAAGATAAGTGAGAAAGTCTTGGTAAAGTCAGTTCTTACCCGTAAGCGATGAAGATCCTTCAACTCATGGTCAGCATTGTCTTCCATATTGTCACGGCGAACTTGTGTATTATCCATCACAATTCCACTACAGCACCTACAGTTCATATCATATAACTTGTCAGAGATCTACCTTACAGCACAAACAAAACAGTTCATAACATCTGTCAGAGATCTACCGTACAGCACAAACAAAACAGTTCAGAACATCTGTCAGAGATCTACCTTACACCACAAACAAAACAGTTCATAACATCTGTCAGAGGTCTACCGTACAGCACAAACAAAACAGTTCACAACATCTGTCAGAGATCTACCGTACAGCACAAACAAAACAGTTCATAACATCTGTCAGAGATCTACCGTACAGCACAAACAAAACAGTTCATAACATCTGTCAGAGATCTACCGTACAGCACAAACAAAACAGTTCATAACATCTGTCAGAGATCTACCGTACAGCACAAACAAAACAGTTCATAACATCTGTCAGAGATCTACCGTACAGCACAAACAAAACAGTTCATAACATCTGTCAGAGATCTACCTTACACCACAAACAAAACAGTTCATAACATCTGTCAGAGATCTACCGTACAGCACAAACAAAACAGTTCACAACATCTGTCAGAGATCTACCGTACAGCACAAACAAAACAGTTCATAACATCTGTCAGAGATCTACCTTACAACACAAACAAAACAGTTCATAACAATTATCTGTCAGAGATCTACCGTACAGCACAAACAAAACAGTTCATAACATCTGTCAGAGATCTACCTTACAACACAAACAAAACAGTTCATAACAATTATCTGTCAGAGATCTACCTTACAACACAAACAAAACTGTTCATAACAATTATCTGTCAGAGATCTACCTTACAACACAAACAAAACAGTTCATAACATCTGTCAGAGATCTACCGTACAGCACAAACAAAACAGTTCACAACATCTGTCAGAGATCTACCGTACAGCACAAACAAAACAGTTCATAACATCTGTCAGAGATCTACCGTACAGCACAAACAAAACAGTTCATAACATCTGTCAGAGATCTACCGTACAACACAAACAAAACAGTTCATAACATCTGTCAGAGATCTACCTTACAACACAAACAAAACAGTTCATAACAATTATCTGTCAGAGATCTACCGTACAGCACAAACAAAACAGTTCATAACATCTGTCAGAGATCTACCTTACAACACAAACAAAACAGTTCATAACAATTATCTGTCAGAGATCTACCGTACAGCACAAACAAAACAGTTCATAACATCTGTCAGAGATCTACCGTACAGCACAAACAAAACAGTTCATAACAATTATCTGTCAGAGATCTACCGTACAGCACAAACAAAACAGTTCATAACAATTATCTGTCAGAGATCTACCTTACAACACAAACAAAACAGTTCATAACAATTATCTGTCAGAGATCTACCTTACAACACAAACAAAACAGTTCATAACAATTATCTGTCAGAGATCTACCTTACAACATAAACAAAACAGTTCATAACAATTATCTGTCAGAGATCTACCGTACAGCACAAACAAAACAGTTCATAACATCTGTCAGAGATCTACCTTACAACACAAACAAAACAGTTCATAACAATTATCTGTCAGAGATCTACCTTACAACACAAACAAAACAGTTCATAACAATTATCTGTCAGAGATCTACCGTACAGCACAAACAAAACAGTTCATAACATCTGTCAGAGATCTACCTTACAACACAAACAAAACAGTTCATAACAATTATCTGTCAGAGATCTACCTTACAACACAAACAAAACAGTTCATAACAATTATCTGTCAGAGATCTACCTTACAACATAAACAAAACAGTTCATAACAATTATCTGTCAGAGATCTACCGTACAGCACAAACAAAACAGTTCATAACATCTGTCAGAGATCTACCTTACAACACAAACAAAACAGTTCATAACAATTATCTGTCAGAGATCTACCGTACAGCACAAACAAAACAGTTCATAACATCTGTCAGAGATCTACCTCACAACACAAACAAAACAGTTCATAACATCTGTCAGAGATCTACCTCACAACACAAACAAAACAGTTTATCTAATTAACTGTCAGGTGTCCTCCTAACAATACACAGTACATAACATTTGAAGTTTATCTGAAAGAGCTGTGGTACTTGAATTAACATTTAAGGAAACTACCTGTACATTTTCTGTCCACAAACATATCTAAATGAAATATTTATCTTAAGGAGAACTTACGAGGACTGAAAAAGAAAGAACTAACATACATAGTCAAGGAGTTTATATGTAAATAAATGTAAACACATTTACACACTGAATATAAACAGAACAACATGCAGTTATAAATTATAAGAGTAAAGTGCTGTGTTGGTACTACAAACTTAGATGCTTATAATACGTCCACAGGAGAAGTTGTGGCTCAATGACTCACTCAAAATCTTCCTCATCTTCCCAATCACTATCATCTGCTTTATCTGTGCTGTCCTCAAGGTGTGCTTTACTTTCTTTTTTCTTGTCATAGTATATTTCAATGTTACGTCTTTTTCACACAAAGGAAGACAGATCAACAGCAAGGGAGGAAAATAGAGAGAAACATTAAAAGCAGAAGACAGAGTGAAGCACAAGAGATTATAGAGAAGATTGTTAAAGATAGTAGCAGGGAAATATAGTTATGTAGCATCTTTATCACAGAGCATGAAGAGATTTACAACACAACAGGCTACACAAATTGACTACACAACAGGCCACAGAGATTTACTTCACAACAGGCTACAGAGATTTACTATACAACAGGCTACAGAGATTTACTATACAACAAGCTACAGAGATTTACTATACAACAGGCTACAGAGATCTAATACACAACAGGCTACAGAGATTTACTATACAACAGGCTACAGAGATTTACTACACAACAGGCTACAGAGATTTACTATACAACAAGCTACAGAGATCTACTACACAACAGGCTGCAGAGATTTACTATACAACAGGCTACAGAGATCTACTACACAACAGGCTACAGAGATTTACTATACAACAGGCTACAGAGATTTACTATACAACAAGCTACAGAGATTTACTATACAACAGGCTACAGAGATCTACTACACAACAGGCTGCAGAGATTTACAATACAACAGGCTACAGAGATCTACTACACAACAGGCTACAGAGATTTACTATACAACAGGCCACAGAGATTTACTATACAACAGGCCACAGAGATTTACTATACAAAATGCTACAGAGATTTACTACACAACAGACTACAGAGATTTACTATACAACAGGCTACAGAGATTTACTATACAACTGGCTACAAAGATTTACTATACAACTGGCTACAAAGATTTACTATACAACAAGCTACAGAGATCTACTACACAACAGGCTGCAGAGATTTACTACACAACAGACTACAGAGATTTACTCCACAGTAGGATACAAAGATTTACTACCAAGCAAGCTAGAGAGATTTACTACACAACAGACTACAGAAATTTACTCCACAGTAGGATACAAAGATTTACTACCAAGCAAGCTAGAGAGATTTACTACACAACAGGCTACAGAGATTTACTATACAACTGGCTACAGAGATTTACTACACAACAGGCTACAGAGATTTACTATACAGCAGGTTATAGAGATTTACTACACAACAGGCTACAGAGATTCACTATACAGCAGGTTATAGAGATTTACTACACAACAGGCTGCAGAGATTTACTATACAACAGGCTACAGAGATCTACTACACAACAGGCTACAGAGATTTACTACACAACAGGCTACAGCGATTTACTACATAACAGGCTACAGAGATCTACTATACAACAGGTTACAGAGATTTACTATACAACAGGCTACAGAGATTTACTATACAACAGACTACAGAGATTTACTATACAACAGGCTGCAGAGATCTACTACACAACAGACTACAGAGATTTACTCCACAGTAGGATACAAAGATTTACTACCAAGCAAGCTAGAGAGATTTATTAATCAGCAGGTTACAGAGATGTATTCTGCATCAAATTAGTTAATTTACTACACGCAAGTCATAGAGATCTAGTGATGCACACAAAAGGCCAAAGATAAAATACATGCTGCTTTCAAAATTATACTGTCTGGCTAAAGCACTTTATACAGTTTGCTACATCGGAGGACAAGATAGTGTAGACTTACAGAGCAACATAATTTGTGAACATTTCCAGCTGTTCAAATAGAGTCTTGATTTTGGCATGGAGTTCACCTAGTGGAGCACTGCCCAGTAATGCCATCTCACTAGCCTCCTTAGAGTTATCTTCTCTGTCTGGGGCCAGTCTCAGCAACATCTGTACCATCCACCTCACCATAGAGGAGTGAAGAGTCAAAACCTACAACAGACAGCAAAACTTCCAATGTAAGCCGTAGTGTCATCTTGTTTACAGACAACAGATCTTGATGTCTCTTTTTTATTCCTTTATAAGTACAACATACATCTTAAAGGGAATCTATCAATTCATGTCATGTAACAAAAGATTACATGAAGAAATTAACTAGACCCTTAGTCACTGAGGGGGTGAAATGTATACCCTTCAGTCACCATGGGAGTGACAGGTATATCCTTTACTCAATGAGGTAGTGACAAGAATACCCTTTAGTCACTAAGGGGGTAACATGTATACCCTCCAGTCACCATGGGAGTGACAGGTATAGACTTTACTCAATGAGGTAGTGACCTGAATACCCTTTAGTCACTAAGTGGATAATATGTATACCCTCTAGTCATCAAGCATTACATAAGTGACATGTATACCATATACCTGTGTTACCTGGTTTACAGGGCCTAAAAATAACTAACAGACTGTGTTACCTGTTCTACTGGCCTAGAAATAACTAACAGACTGTGTAACCTGTTCTACTGGCCTAGAAATAACTAACAGACTGTGTTACCTGTTCTACTGGCCTAGAAATAACTAACAGACTGTGTTACCTGATCTACTGGCCTAGAAATAACTAACAGACTGTGTTACCTGTTCTACTGGCCTAGAAATAACTAACAGACTGTGTTACCTGATCTACTGGCCTAGAAATAACTAACAGACTGTGTTACCTGTTCTACTGGCCTAGAAATAACTAACAGACAGTGTTACCTGTTCTACTGGCCTAGAAATAACTAACAGACTGTGTTACCTGTTCTACTGGCCTAGAAATAACTAACAGACTGTGTTACCTGATCTACTGGCCTAGAAATAACTAACAGACTGTGTTACCTGTTCTACTGGCCTAGAAATAACTAACAGACAGTGTTACCTGTTCTACTGGCCTAGAAATAACTAACAGACTGTGTTACCTGATCTACTGGCCTAGAAATAACTAACAGACTGTGTTACCTGTTCTACTGGCCTAGAAATAACTAACAGACTGTGTTACCTGATCTACTGGCCTAGAAATAACTGACAGACTGTGTTACCTGTTCTACTGGCCTAGAAATAACTAACAGACTGTGTTACCTGATCTACTGGCCTAGAAATAACTAACAGACTGTGTTACCTGTTCTACTGGCCTAGAAATAACTAACAGACAGTGTTACCTGTTCTACTGGCCTAGAAATAACTAACAGACTGTGTTACCTGTTCTACTGGCCTAGAAATAACTGACAGACTGTGTTACCTGTTCTACTGGCCTAGAAATAACTGACAGACTGTGTTATCTGTTCTACTGGCCTAGAAATAACTAACAGACTGTGTTACCTGTTCTAATGGCCTAGAAATAACTAACAGACTGTGTTTCCTGTTCTACAGACCTAGAAATAACTGACAAATCACATTACCTGTTCAACTAGCTTTGCATCCTCACTGTCAATCGCATTTGTTGAGGTTGTCGTCCATTTCTGTACCTTCTTGATTGTTTCAGTCACCTCAATTCTTTAAAAAACACAAGACAGACATTAGACAGAAACTCAAAGCCAATATGTCAACAGGCAAGTACTTACCTGATAAAACAATGTTCATACAAATGTAAAGCTGAATGTATAATTATAATATTCTAAAACAACATACTCACACAGTTACCATGCAATAACCCCATGTCTGGTGATAACCCATAAATATATATATTGCTGTCATATAAAATCATAAACCAATGATTTCATTCACTTGTAATATGCCCATCCCTCTGAGTTTGAGTCAATAAAAAGTAATGTGGAATACATACAAGATATACACCACTGATATAAATCCTGACTGAACTGTTGTACAGTATTACTTAATGTGACAGGTTGTGACACATAAAGAAAGATTGTGTAATTTTGACACAATAAACCCCATGATTCCAACACTATATATAGCATCTAGAGTTACCTGGATTAAACGTAACACATGACGTTAACTTTCTGCAAAACATTTTACATTATATTAGGTGTTAGACAGGTGAGGAGATTAGTGCTGACATTATACAGTGTCTTCAAGAGATTAAGATCTATCCCCTAAAATACGTGTCAATGTCTTATTTCCTGGAAAACTGAAAACTGTGCAAAAAATGTGACAATGTTATGACCTTATGATAAATTGACAATGTTATGACCTTATGATAAATTGACAATGTTATGACCTTATGATAAATTGACAGCATTATGACCTTATGATAAATTGACAATGTTATGACCTTATGATAAATTGACAATGTTATGACCTTATGATAAATAATAAAGTTATGACCTTATGATAAATTGACAGTGTTATGACCTTATGATAAATTCACAGCATTATGACTTTATGATAAATTGACAATGTTATGACCTTATGATAAATTGACAATGTTATGACCTTATGATAAATAATAAAGTTATGACCTTATGATAAATTGACAATGTTATGACCTTATGATAAATAATAAAGTTATGACCTTATGATAAATTGACAATGTTATGACCTTATGATAAATTGACAATGTTATGACCTTATGATAAATTGACAATGTTATGACCTTATGATAAATAATAAAGTTATGACCTTATGATAAATTGACATGATAAATTGACAATGTTATGACCTTATGATAAATTGACAATGTTATGACCTTATGATAAATAATAAAGTTATGACCTCATAATAAATTGACAATGTTATGACCTTATGATAAATTGATAGTGCTATGACCTTATGATAAAATGACAAATTATGACCTTATGATAAATTGACAATGTTACGACCTTATGATAAATAATAAAGTTATGACCAAATGATTAAGTGACAAAAATAGAACCCAAAGATATATTTTTTTCATCACTAGGACACAGATTGAATAAAAGAGCTATACAAGAAGGCATGCAATTGTGACTAAATCTATTTCTCAATGCTGTACTACTGGTATTTCTAAACTAGGAGTGAAGGTCACATGGCAATTAAAAAATAGCTCAAGGCTTGTTAAACAAACGACCTGTAACCATCTCTCCTAGTTCTAAACCACACCTTAGTGTAGTGGATAAAAAGGACCCAGAGTTAGTTACTATGGGTACTTAGCACAATATCTGCCAACTTTTATTTATTATTTCAGAGTGAGAATCAGTGGGGTTTTTTTTTTACCTAAAATTTACACATAAATTTCAGAAAATGATTTTAAAGCATATGTCTTCTAAAGGAAATAAAGATAAACTTTTCTGAGACTTGAAATTTCCAAAGTGCCAAATCTTTCTCACTGAAATTCCACTGAGTTGGCAAATATGGCTGAGAAGTAGAGAATTCAGGCTGGTTAGCTCACAACAGTGGTAGAGGTGATCAGTGATGGTTACGCTGCTGTGATCAGACTCACTCAAGTGCTTCAGTTGCATTAATGCCAGGTTTACAATCTTAGTTGGTCAGAAGCTTTGAAGAATAAATAAGTGCATGTTAATTATCCTGTAAGATCACTACAAGACTAGATACGGAAGCTGACAGTGTTTCATATGGACTTCTTATTTATCATATATATGTAAGGTGACAGTGTGAAATAGTTACCCAGGAGAATCTCGGCTTTCAATAGAGAGAAATACTAGTATAAGTTTGAGTTTTGCATCAAGTTGGTTATGTAATTAGTAAATATCACAGAAAGAGTTGTCTACCTTGACATATATAATATACTGATACCAGAGATTAATAATTAAACCCATGCATAAATGTTTTAGTATATTGATAGAATTTATGGAAAAGTAAGAAAAAGATATACAAACTATTATATGTGCACATGGCTAATTATAGAAATGTTTAAAATTTGTTCTATGATGTTATAAATATCTAGGACAATTGATTTTAAACAAAATATTTTTTATTCAGATGTATAGCTATATTCTATGTAGATGTGCAGAGAGAGAACATTGTGATTAATGAAACTATCCCGATGGCCCTGTGCTTCAAATAAACTAGAGAGAACAGTAGAGAAGTTTTACACTACACCAATCTTGTTGGTTAGAAGGGTTTGAAGGGTTATTTTCAGAGTGTTAGAAAAAGCAGCAGGTACAATGTCACCATCACCACGGCTACCTCGTGTGTGGCTTTCCTTCGTCCCGATCCTCCTCACTCTGCGTGGTGCCCACATACTCTGCCGCTGAGTCCACAGCCGTCAACCATTCCTCCATGAGCTGACATAATGCTCCCCATTCGTTATCATGTATGGGAAGTGTCCCGTTCAGAGCAGATGACACTCGCATGTCCCATGTCTCCAAGGCATTTAAAAGATGGATAGCATTGGGAGCAACACCTGCAAGGAAATTAACACAGGTGTGAATATTTAAGTAATTAACACAGATGTTAATATTGAGGTAATCAGCACAGGTGTAAATATTTATGTAATCAACGCAAGTGTAAATATTTAGGTAATCAGCACAGGTGTTAATATTGAGGTAATCAGCACAGGTGTAAATATTTATGTAATCAATGCAAGTGTAAATATTCAGGTAAACAACGCAAGTGTAAATATTTAGGTAATCAGCACAGGTGTTAATATTGAGGTAATCAGCACAGGTGTAAATATTTATGTAATCAATGCAAGTGTAAATCAGTAAACAACGCAAGTAATCAGCACAGGTGTTAATATTGAGGTAATCAGCACAGGTGTAAATATTTATGTAATCAACGCAAGTGTAAATATTTAGGTAAACAACGCAAGTGTAAATATTTAGGTAATCAGCACAGGTGTTAATATTGAGGTAATCAGCACAGGTGTAAACATTGAGCTAATCAACACAAGTATTAACATTTAAGATAATGAAAATAGGTGAAAATATTTGGGAAACAAACAAAAACATTGAAGGTATAAACTTCCAGAAGGGCATATCTTGGTCAAAAATTAAAAATTAACCAAAAGTTACTGCATACAACCAAGCGAAAACATGGAAACAATTTGATAAGGATGTTACATATGATGGAAGGTCTCTGAAAGTTATAGTGCTGATCAGGAAGCAGTGAAGAAAAACTGGATAGGATTTCATCTTTAACAATTCAAGGTCGTATAGATCCAGTTAACAATATTCTTACTGAGGTAAAATAAATTGTTTGTCAAATTAATCAGCAAATTCAATAAAAACCAGAACTGTCATCCTGATGAAAAGTAATACCCTGCAGATACAAAGATTTTATATATTATTTGCTTTAGTTTCAGTCCCAGTTAATTTCTCTAGACATGTATCATCACCTTGTCATACATTATAGGGGTATAAAAAGTACATGCACATCTACACATATGTTTCACAATATTCCTGTGTAGTTTCATTGAACTTGGTTCACAACTTACAAGGTTATGATAAGCAGTTTGGAAAAGATTTTATCCATTCATAGGTCTTTTCATGGTTACCATGGCAATCAAAGGAGAACCAACATTTTGGAAAATAATACCATGGTAATAACTATTCTTAAAAACCCTTATATCATTTTTTTTATAATCAGATGGGTAATTTCTCAATTTTGACCAATCAATTTCCAGTAAAATCAGATGGATAATATCCAAATTTTGGCCAATCAGAAGCCTCCATTATGTTATGACAGAAACAAAACTGGAAACATCTGGTGTTTCTAATTACAAGCTTTGATAAGTTACGCATGCTTAGAACGCTTAACAAACAACTGAACTCAACATTTTGATTTAAAAACAATTCCAACATGAGACTGAAGTTTTCAGTAAATGATCAACTCTTAAAAGTTTACAACTGTAAAGTTACATAACATAATGACTTACCATAGTTTTTAAATACAACTGGTCTCCATTTCTCTACCACAGCAAATTTCAATGTTAAATGGTTTAGATATGGAAGAATTACATGAATGATCATTTTTATCTTAAATCTTCAATCATAAAACTTCAGTCTCCCACTTACTAATTCTGTGCCCCTACCCTAAACACTTTTAAGAGTCTTTTGAACGAACACTGGCAACAAGTACCGTTCAAGTTTTATCCTAGTTTTTATGTGGCACAACTGGACAACAACGAGTTGACTCGACAAAATGCGCCTCAATTAGCTGAGATAAGCTAACAAGTGGTGTCTATGAAGAAGTAACAGGTAACATCTTGCACTAATGATCTTTAAAGGTCAATATTAAATTTATCCAAACAAACCTGACAGCAAACTGAATTCTAAAGCTCAAACATCACCTCTCTATCCCATATGATCATTGAAGATTTTAGGAAGAGGTACTTCTGCAATCTTCGAAGCTTATCAGTCACTTATACTAACTAATCTTCCTCCAAGCATTCAATATGCCAAATATCAAAACTCAATGACTTTTTGTTATAAAAATAAGTTGCTTAGTTTTAAACCAATTTTATCTCTATGACATTAAAAATGAAACAAATTCATACACACAAGAGATCTACATTGTGTATATGGACTCCATCCTACTATGCTTCAGTATCAGGACTCCAAGCCTTCTGGTTCTACACAATTGATCCCTTCTACATTGAAAATCTCCCTTTTTTAATATTGTTAAATTGTCATTCCTGTGGCCTTGAAAGTAAGGTAAAGTCATATATTATAACAAACTTGATTTTCAATTTAGCATATGTTGCTGACTGAAAATGGCATCTTTATTAAGATTGGGTAAAATATAATGCAGTTGAAGGAGACTCACCATTCTCGCCAGTGATTCTGTTGTTAAACTGTTTGAGAAGTTCTTCCACCTCCTGTGAACAGAATAAAGTGAGAATAATTATACATGTATAAAGTATATTGACTCGGTCACTTGGTTACAGGACTTATGCCACCTAGTTACAGGAAAGATGCCACCTGGTTACAGGACTTACCTCATTAAGGATGTTCATGCTGTCTTGACTTGGATGGTTGACATTTGGTTCCTTTCGGTGGCGATTGAAGACTTTCAGAGCATTATCTGTCCAGCCATCCATTTGTCGCCTTATGACCATTAACTGTTCTTGGCCATTGAGAAGTGTGTCACCACCAAACTTTTCTGACTCTCGGCCAAGCACCTAATAGACAGATAAGTTAAAAATCAATACAACTTATGTACCAAAAAACACCCAGAAATGCCTCAAACATTAAACGATGTTGCTGTAACAATACATCTGATGTACACAAAACATCTGGATATATCCCCTTTATATCGTATAATAAGAAATGTATCCTGGTTAGAGTGTGATATAATTCTGGTCTTTACAGAAACTTACATCCTCCCATCTCCTAATGTCCTCCAGCAACATCCCCAGTCGGTCATCCTCCGGGGCCTTGATGAAATGGCCATCCTTCGTGCTGAAAACATACAGATGAGCTATAGATAAACATCTTAGTCAGAGCTAACAAACTCAAGGAGATTTAGGGTCTATCTGAAAATATATCAATGATTCATTCCAGTGATAACACTGGGTCTGAAAAATATAACACTGATACAGGGTCTGTAGAAATATAACACTGATTTACACCAGTGATAACACTGGGTCTGTAGAAATATAACACTGATTTACACCAGTGATAACACTGGGTCTGTAGAAATATAACACTGATTTATACCAGTGATAACACTGGGTCTGTATGAAATATAACACTGATTTATACCAGTGATAACACTGGGTCTGTATAAATATATAACACTGATTTACACCAGTGAAACATAACACTGGGTCTGTATGAAATATAACACTGATTTACACTGGGTCTGTATGAAATATAACACTGATTTACACCAGTGATAACACTGGGTCTGTATGAAATATAACACTGATTTACACCAGTGATAACACAGGGTCTGTAGAGATATAACACTGATTATCACCAGTGATAACACTGGGTTTGTAGAAATATAACAATGATTTACACAAGTGATAACACTGGGTCTGTATGAAATATAACACTGATTTACACCAGTGATAACACTGGGTCTGTAGATATATAACACTGATTTACACCAGTGATAACACTGGGTCTGTATGAAACATAACACTGGGTCTGTATGAAATATAACACTGATTTACACTGGGTCTGTATGAAATATAACACTGATTTACACCAGTGATAACACTGGGTCTGTATGAAATATAACACTGATTTACACCAGTGATAACACAGGGTCTGTAAATATATAACACTGATTTACACCAGTGATAACACAGGGTCTGTAGAGATATAACACTGATTATCACCAGTGATAACACTGGGTTTGTAGAAATATAACAATGATTTACACAAGTGATAACACTGGGTCTGTATGAAATATAACACTGATTTACACCAGTGATAACACTGGGTCTGTAGAAATATAACACTGATTTACACCAGTGATAACACTGGGTCTGTATGAAATATAACACTGATTTACACCAGTGATAACACTGGGTCTGTAGAAATATAACACTGATTTACACCAGTGATAACACTGGGTCTGTATGAAATATAACACTGGGTCTGTATGAAATATAACACTGATTTACACCAGTGGTAACACAGGGTCTGTAGATATACAACACCGATTCACACAGGTTTGGTTCAAATTCTCTTCATCTACTAAGTGCTCTACCTAAGGCCATGTTGTTAATTGCTTTCCCTACTTAAAACAATATGTTATAAATCTTCATGTAAGTTTTAAGCTAATAACTAAATATTAAACATTATTTTTACAGTATAGCTACAAATGAGTGAACACTCCCGCAGGGTTATAACACCAATTATTACTGTCAGTTAAAACCAGATGGATCTCTCGTGGTTAACAATTTTCCCCCCAAAAAAACAATTCATATTAATTTGTTAAAAAATGAATTATTATAGATATTACCATTTCCCTAACATACCTACCACTTGTCTGCCATTCCCCCAACTACCCACCCACCAGTCTGCCATCTCCCTGACATACCTACCATCTGTCTGCCATTCCCCCAACTACCCACCCACCTGTCTGCCATTTCCCAACACACCCATCCACTTGTTTGCCATCTCCCTGACATACCCATCCACCTGTCTGCCATTTCCCAACACACCCATCAAACTGGCTCTAATTTCCATGACATACCCATCCACCTGTCTGCCATTTCCCAACACACCCACCAAATTGTCTGCCATTTCCCTGACATACCTATTATCTGTCTGCCATTCCCCCACCTACCCATCCACTTGTCTACCATTTCCCTGACATACCCATCCACCTGTCTGCCATTTCTCTGACATACCTACCATCTGTCTGCCATTTCCCTGACATACCCATCCACCTGTCTGCCATTTCTCTGACATACCTACCATCTGTCTGCCATTCCCCCGCCTACCCATCCACCTGTCTACCATTCCCTCGTCTACCCATCCACCTGTCTACCATTTCCCTGACATACCCATCCACCTGTCTGGCATTCCCCCGCCTACCCATCCACCTGTCTGCCATTCCCCTGTCTACCCACCCACCTGTCTGCCATTTCCCTGACATACCCATCCACTTGTTTGTCATTTCCCTGACATACCCTCTCACAATTCCCTAACAAGCCTGGTTCTTAACCAGTATGAAAAAAGCAAATCACCAAAGTCTTCACACGGTTTATCAGTCAACACAAAAATGTTTCATTAGTAAAATACCAGGCATTAATTTCTAAAACTAAACCAATTTTTAGCCGCAGGCTGATCACAACACATCTGAAAATACCTGGCAGACTTTAGTCTACTGGTGACATCTGAGTCTGTGTCTCTGTAATCAATGTGGTAATATATATCATACCTGTTTCACTTCCTGTCACACACCATTCTTGTGTCACTTTCTGGCACAAACATCAGACACATCATTCCTATGTCACTTCAAGTCATACACATCAGAAACACACACACCAGTGTCACTCGATGTCACACTCATCATTCCTGTGTCACTCCTTGTCACACATAAGACATAATTTCTGTGTCACTCCATGTCACTCCTGCTCACACTCATTCATTCCTGTGTTGTTCCCTGTCACACCCTGTCACACAAATCAAGACACATTATCCCTGCATCACTCACTGTAACACACATGAGACACCTCATTCCTGTGTCACTCTCTGTCACACACATGAGACACCTCATTCCTGTGTCACTCTCTGTAACACACACGAGACACCTCATTCCTGTGTCACTCTCTGTCACACACATAAGACACCTCATTCCTGTGTCACTCTCTGTCACACACATGAGACACCTCATTCCTGTGTCACTCTCTGTCACACACATGAGACACCTCATTCCTGTGTCACTCTCTGTCACACACATGAGACACCTCATTCCTGTGTCACTCTCTGTCACACACATGAGACACCTCATTCCTATGTCACTCTCTGTCACACACATGAGACACATGGATCCAACTCCAATGTAGGCAATGTATCATTCCCTATTACAAAGTAAATATCAGAAAAAAGGAAAAATGAAAAAGATAAACAAAAAAGAAAAAAAATCTTATTTCAATTGACAGAAAAACTGAACATATGTAATGGAATCATCCACCAAATAAAATACATTAAAACCCATTCACCAACTATAGGTACATCTATAAAAAATGGAGAGAGAAAAAGACAGGTATAACAATATCTTATATAGAGTTATTGATTCATAATTCACACTAATAGATTCAGCAACAAAGTCACTGATAGTCTGGGGGGTCTATCTACACAGGTAAGGGAGATCAATATCCAGTATCTGGTACAACAGTCTGGGCGGTCTATCTACACAGGTTGGGAGATCAATATCCAGTATCTGGTATAACAGTCTGGGTGGTCTATCTACACAGGTTGGGGAGATCACTATACATTATCTGGTACAACAGTCTGGGTGGTCTATCTACACAGGTTGGGAGATCACTATCCTGTATCTGGTACAACAGTCTGGGCGGTCTATCTACACAGGTTGGGGAGATCACTATACATTATCTGGTATAACAGTCTGGGTGGTCTATCTACACAGGTAGGGGAGATCAATATCCAGTATCAGGTATCCTGTATAGGGGTGGTAAATCTATCTACTACGTGAAAGGGGAGACCACTATCCTATATAGGGGTGGTAAATCTATCTACTATGTCAAAGGGGAGACCACTATCCTGTCTAGGGGTGATAAGATCTGTCTTTTATGTGAATGAGGAAACCACTATTCTGTATAGGGGTGATAAGATCTACCTACAACAATGAGGGGTAGACCACTATCCTGTATAGGGGTGGCAAGATCTATCTACTACATAGAGGGGTAGACCATTATCCTGTATAGGGGTGGCAATATCTATCTACTACATGGAGGGGGAGACCACTACCCAGTATAGGGGTGGCAAGATCTATCTACTACATAGAGGGGTAGACCATTATCCTGTATAAGGGTGGCAATATCTATCTACTACATGGAGGGGGAGACCACTACCCAGTATAGGGGTGGCAAGATCTATCTACTACATAGAGGGGTAGACCATTATCCTGTATAAGGGTGGCAATATCTATCTACTACATGGAGGGGGAGACCACTACCCAGTATAGGGGTGGCAAGATCTATCTACTATGTGGAGGGGTAGACCACCATCCTGTATAGGAGTGATAAGGTCTATCTACTACATGGAGGGGGAGACCACTACCCAGTATAGGGGTGGCAAGATCTATCTACTATGTGGAGGGGTAGACCACCATCCTGTATAGGAGTGATAAGGTCTATCTACTATTTGGAGGGGGAGACCACTACCCAGTATAGGTCTATCTATCAGAGAGGGATGAAAGTGAAGGGAGTTAAAAGATGGGAGAGACAATAAGACTATCAATTCTACAGCTTACCTCCTCCTAGTTCTAGAACGGTAAACACAAACATGTATAATCAATCAGTGATCAAATTTCTATCGACTGTTAACATGGGAAAGCCCACATTTCTGTAAAGTTCTCCTGATTAATTACTCATTTGTGGAAACAAAGTCAAAATAACACATTTATTGTGATAAAACAAATTTTTTCTTGTAGGTGATCATCAGTATCTGTGATAACACACCAACTACCTGGAATATCTACTGGTGATTAAAAAAACATACACCTAATTCTCTGTGATTTTTTCTACTTAAAAAAAAAAAATAAACGAGTGAAAAATATACTACGTGCCATGATAAGAAATATTAGATGCAGAACATTTACTTACAAACAAAGATTTCTGATATCATTCATCCACCGTTCAATGCCGCTGCGTAGACCGCTTATATTTGTCTTCATCTCATCTTCACGCATGATGAGCACCATGTTAAAATCCTCCACCAGGTCACGCCACTTCTCCACGTGACCTTGCAGTCGTGCCAGGAGTTCAGTATCTTTATCACTTAAGAGGATGGTAAAGTGAGTCGCAAGTTTGGCCCAGGACTTTTCACTGACATGTAATCGCTTGGCTGTGACAAGGTTTGCTTCTGCTGTCACCTAAATAAACAGAAATTACAACATCATTCTGTTATCGTATCATAAACATTATATTATCGTATCACAAACATTATATTATCGTATCACAAACATTATATTATCATATCACAAACATTATATTATCATATCACAAACATTATATTATCATATCACAAACATTATATTATCATATCACAAACATTATATTATCATATCACAAACATTATATTAACGTATCACAAACATTATATTATTATATTATCATTTCACAAACATTATATTATCATATCACAAACTTTATAGCCATACATGTGTTGTAAAGGTGTGTAGATTGTGGACAGGCACTTCAATATTTACATGTCTAACATGGGACTCCATGGAGGGAAAAGAAATCCAAACTTATGAATGACATCTTATTTACATATGATAAAATATGTAAGTATATGATATGCTTACCTGCTGGTCTCTGAGTGTTAAATCAAGGTGAAGATATGTTTACCTGCTGGTCTCTGAGTGTTAAATCAAGTTGAAGATAAGTGTGATTAGACTTACATTAAGGGCTAGACTAACTGAAGCTAAGTGTGATGAGACTTACCTTTAGGGCTAGACTAACTGAAGTTAAGTGTGATGAGACTTACCTTAAGGGCTAGACTAACTGAAGTTAAGTGTTTAGGGCTAGACTAACTGAAGTTAAGTGTGATGAGACTTACCTTAAGGGCTAGACTAACTGAAGTTAAGTGTGATGAGACTTACCTTAAGGGCTAGACTAACTGAAGTTAAGTGTGATGAGACTTACCTTAAGGGCTAGACTAACTGAAGTTAAGTGTGATGAGACTTACCTTTAGGGCTAGACTAACTGAAGTTAAGTGTGATGAGACTTACCTTAAGGGCTAGACTAACTGAAGCTAAGTGTGATGAGACTTACCTTAAGGGCTAGACTAATTGAAGCTAAGTGTGATGAGACTTACCTTAAGGGCTAGACTAATTGAAGCTAAGTGTGATTAGACTTACATTAAGGGCTAGATTAATTGAAGCTAAGTGTGATTAGACTTACCTTAAGGGCTAGACTAACTGAAGTTAAGTGTGATGAGACTTACCTTAAGGGCTAGACTAATTGAAGCTAAGTGTGATTAGACTTACCTTAAGGGCTAGACTAACTGAAGTTAAGTGTGATGAGACTTACCTTTAGGGCTAGACTAACTGAAGTTAAGTGTGATGGGACTTACCTTAAGGGCTAGAGTAACTGAAGTTAAGTGTGATGAGACTTACCTTTAGGGCTAGACTGTAGGCAGCTTGACTCCATAACTCTCTCTCCTCTGTCAGCATAAGAACCTGGCCTTCTAAGCGTTTACGTTGAAGTTCATATAAATCATGGTATTCTGCCAATAAACTGGCATTTTTCTGAGCCTCCATCAAGGCAGTACGGAGCTGTGAAGGAAGGTAGATAGGTCAGTCACACTAACAGTACATAAAATTTGTTAAAAAAACAGAGATGTGGTAATGGGGAGATATAGAGATGTGGTGATGGGGAGATATAGAGATGTGGTGATGGGGAGATATAGAGATGTGGTGATGGGGAGATATAGAGATGTGGTGATGGGGAGATATAGAGATGTAGTTAAAGGGAGACACAGAGATATGGTGATGGTCAGCCATAGAGATAAGCATAAATACAGTGATGGTGAGACAGAGAGATTTGGGTAGATTCAGTAAAGGCAATAAAGAGATCTGTGTATATACAGTGATGGTGGGATATTGAGATCTGTGTATATACAGTGATGGTGGGATATTGAGATCTGGGTAGGTACTGTGATGGTGAAACAAAGATCTGGGTAGGTACAGTGATGTCAAACACCTACATCTTCCTGTGCCTGTGCTGCTTCCTTGGTGACCTTCCGATCGTGTTCCTTGACAGCTGACAATTCACTGTAAATAACAAAGTAACACTGTTACTTCAGAGATGGTCAGGATTCTTTTGGAATTAGGAATGTACAGGAAATAGTATGTGTTATCTTTTATAAATCAAAATGTTACAGCAATCAGGAAACTTTGCATAGGTGTAAGCATACAGTGAGTTTGAACTCGGATAGGAAATCAGGGTAAATGTAGAAAATTTATATGATTATGCTGGTGACTTTGAGTTTTCTTATATCTGCCTGGGGATCAACCCCCTTTATTATATCTGGCAGTCTGGTTTACTTGTTATCTGTTGTGTGCTTTTACCACCCAGACAAACAATGGAGGAGTGACCTTACCTGGTCAGAATACTAATGGTTGACTTGAACCTCATCAGTTCTTCAGTCAGTCTGCGATCCAATGCTCTTTGTGCCATCACCTCTTCATGTAAACTACAATACATCAAACATAAGTCAACAGTTCTCTAATAAAATATCTTATAACTGTAGAGTGTACTGACATTATGACAGTAAATATTACAAGTCTTTAAGATCTTAAGAAATCACCTTTTGATCTGTTGAGGCACCTTGTTCAGAAGCTCTTTGTATTTGAGACGTAAGTCTGCCAGGAGTTCTCCTCGCTCCACACACTCCACACTGGTCTGTAGGGGCAAAATATACCAAATATTACAAATGATCCACTAAGCTATAAATCCAGTATCTCTGATATTGCAGAAGTAGATTTTCCCAAAAGTTTTGTAATTACCAGGTATATACTGTGAAATCATTCACTTTCATGGGAGATTTATTTTCATGGATTTTGTGGGTACTAAGAGAACATGAATTCATTTGTCCATGAACTGTTCAAATTAGTGTAAGTAGATTTACTGAACAATATCTATCCAAGAAATCAAATGCCTTAAAAATATCACTTTTTTGAAAAACCACAAAAATCAAGTCCCCTGAAAATATATGATCTTACAGTATTCCTTTATGTATTCTATACTTTTAAAGTTAAAATGCATTTATTGTCAATATGAATGCAATATTGATCACGAAGCAAAAAAAGTATTAAAAGTGATAATCTCTCACATGGCTATTCTGAGGGAATGAAGTCAGACATCACGATTATCTATCCCATCTAGAAGACATTTATTTTGACAAAAGATGCAATTCAATAAACATAATCTGACAACTGTCAAACAATTGAATTTACATGTCAGGTGTATTTTGAATTTTTTTTCATGTCCATTTCCTTAATATATAACACTTCCTTGTTTGTACGGGAAAGCTTCTTTTTGATCAGAATCGTCTATAGATTGTGTTATCTAAGTCAATATAAAATTGTATTGATGTATAGCAAACATAAAACCTATTATATAGCAATATATAGGTCAACATAATGTCAACTATGTTATTATATCTGAGTACATGTAGATGCAAATGAGAATGTCCTTCTGAATTAATGGAAGACAGCTATTCAATATGTGGATTTTCAAATACTTACATATTTCATGTTGCTATGATTTGATAATTTCAATTATAACACTGAACGTAGAATGAAGCCTTCTTTTTGCATCGTATATGTCATACAAAGTTTCATGATACAAATGTACTCTTATTTCATTTCCAACTTGCAGTATATACAACAAACCTGTCGGATAAGTTCATGAAAGACAACATTGTAGATGTCCTGTTCTTTCTTAATCAGCTCCATCAAGTTGTGCATCTGTAGACAAAACAAAGGGAAACACATGTCAGTTCTCATTCTGTAGCGTTTTCTATAATCGCCAGAGGATTTGACCTGAATGGTTGGGATTCCTCACAGGTCAAACAAACCTGTCACACTCATCAATAAAATATAACACAACAGTCAGACCCTTGTTACACTCATCAATAAATTATAACACAATAGTCAGACCCGTCGTTACATTTTATTTTCATTCATTAACAAATGTACCACTCTAATAGACGTTGAAATGACAGCTGTTCTTACAATGATACCATCCCTTCTACTCTCATCTGAAATTTCTTAAGTGTGACTCCTAGTTTCCATACTTAATTGTGACCCCCTGGTTTCCTTACTTAAGTGTGACCCTGGTTTCCTTACTAAAGTGTGACCCCTGGTTTCCTTACTAAAGTGTGATCCCTGGTTTCCTTACTTAAGTGTGGCCCCTGGTTTCCTTACTTAAGTGTGACCCCTGGTTTCCATACTTAAGTGTGACCCCCTGGTTTCCTTACTTAAGTGTGATCCCTGGTTTCCTTACTTAAGTGTGACCCCTGGTTTCCATACTTAGGTGTGACTTAAGTGTGACCCCTGGTTTCCTTACTTAAGTGTGACCCCTAGTTTCTTTACTAAAGTGTGACCCCTGGTTTCCTTACTTAAGTGTGACCCCTAGTTTCTTTACTAAAGTGTGACCCCTGGTTTCCTTACTTAAGTGTGACCCTCTGTTTTCCTTACTTAAGTGTGACCCCTGGTTTCCTTACTTTAGTGTGACCCCCGGTTTCCTTACTTAAGTGTGACCCCTGGTTTCCTTACTTTAGTGTGACCCCTGGTTTCCTTACTTAAGTGTGACCCCTGGTTTCCTTACCTGAGTAGGACCTTTGATTTCCTTCTCTGCATCATTTACTCCAGCTCTTTCCAGCATCTCTCCTAGAGTTTTCTTTAGCTGTAATACCTCATACCGACTGGATGGTTTCCTGGAATGTCCAATACATTGTACATTAGTATCAGGTACTCTAAATTCAGTCTGCCTTCTTTTTTACTAAAGCTACATCTATACTACCAAGATGAATTCCTGTTAGTAAACGTTGACCAAAGTAAATCCTGGTTACTAATGGGTGACCAAGATCAATTTTTTATTCTTACAGTTGAACAAAAGTGACAAAGTGTCAACAACACTTTCTTAAAAAATGATGAGAAAATATTGTGTTGTAATTATTTGTCAATAAATGGTACTTACATAGATGGAAACATGACTAAGTGTTTCTCATGGTCCTCTACCTGGTTACTGTATTTACTGGAAAATAAATTTCATTACATGACATCAATAATGAACTCTAATCCACCACTTCCTTATGTTGAAAAATAAAATTTTGGTAAACTACATATATGTAATTATGTATTTTCATAATGAAATCATGACACAGGTCTCATCTAAACAAATTCATTTTGTAAACTATATTTGTCATTATTTAAGACAGAACTACAAATGTATTATCTAAAGTCATGATGTAAGGGAGAAAATCTACCATTGCTGTGTATCAACAATAAAGTCATAATTGTACTAAAAGGTACTAATCTATTACTGGTGTGTGTCAACACTAAGTTCATAACTGTGGTATATCAACACTAGAATCAGAACAGTTCTAGGAATCTATGGCTGGGGGTAACAACACTTACTCCTCATGGAACTCAATTCCCATCACTCCTCGGTTTTTGACAACATGGTATTCATCTGGTATCAGGGTGTCTGGTAATACTAATGGCTACAATAAATATAGAGTGCATTACTCAAACAAATCTACTTAAAGATCAAAACAGAACATTTTACTGGGAAATGTCTTCTAAACAGATGAGAAAAAATGTGTAACAGCTGGATCATGTGTTACCTTAAACAGTTAGATCATGGGCTACCTTAAACAGCTGGATCATGGGCTACCTTAAACAGCTGGATCATGGCTTACCTTTCTCTGTTTGTCCAAATGTTCTTTCCTCACTTGACTTTTATCTATTTTATCTGGTCTCTCAAGTCCCACTTCTGGTTTGGGAACATCATAGAGGAACGAGATGTCACTGAAAAGAAAATTTTTTTTGAGTGATTAGTTTTATAACGATAATAGAACAAGAGTATCAGTAAAACTGATGAATCCTCACAAATAAGGACACAAAATTACAACAAAGGAAAATAATCCTGTAATTAAAGGGTTTCATGCACTGCATTTGGTATACTGTACATTCTCCTAGTATGAACAATGTATGCACCAAGTTTCAATATCCTAGCTTAAGTGAAAGCAAAGTTATGCTCTGGAAACAAAGGGTTTAACAAAGAGCAATAACTCTGTAATTTAGGGGTTGAGGACCCTGAATTTAGTACACTGGACATTCCCTTTATATAACCAATGTATACATCAAGTTTCATGATCCTTGTAGAACTGTGGGCAAAGTTATGCTACAGACACAGAAGGACAGATGGAGAATGGGCGAATATATGCTCCCCCACCAAAATTTTCAGGGAGCATAACGAGACAATACTTAATTCTAATACATCAAGAACAGGTCGCCAAACAAGTGGCAGTCGTAGACACTTACTTGCCAGCACCACATACACAAGGTGTATTTTCTGTGAGATGCTTGAATCGTTCACGTCTCTTGTGACCCCAGACACTTGCAGGTGGCGGGCGAGTCTGAACCTGAAACAGCACAAAAAAAAAATTACTATTTGTTTGACCATGAATTTGAAAAAAAAAAAAATTCAAGAGAGTGTTGCGAACACTGATACAAAAAATTAAAATGAACATCAAGTATGTGAATACTTTATTTGTGTTAAATTACATGTGATAAATTTTTTATTTAGTTATTTGAGTCCTGTGCTATAATCACCGAAGTGGTGCTGAGATTTCTTGCCCTGTTAGGAGGGCCCAGTTGATCCCTAACTGGTGGTGGCTGTGTAAGGGCAAACAGAACATCTTCAGGTAAAAAATCGCTCTGTAAGGAAGTAGGTAGTGGCTTGGTACGGTCCACCTGATTTTCACTGTTTTTCAGCTCAGGCAGTAAACCTGCAACAGATTTCATAAATATGTCTGTAAATATATATTCAGAGACTAGACGTTAATAATGTGATATTTACACTGAATTCATATCATTGATACAAACTGTGGTCAGACCTTATCAAAATAACATGCAACTACTGAAACCCCATACAGCTGTTTAACAGACCACATATAAACTGAAAGATATTAAATGATTGTAAAATTGGTTGGTTATTTCAAAAATAATGAGGGCGAACACCATATCCGGTTCCATCCATTTATTAGGTAAAAACCCTAAAGACCCTACAACATAACATACATAAAACACATAAATACGATCCCTTACAATACATTAAATATCTCACGTAATATACATTACAGATAATATCACAGTTGTAATTATCTCAAAAGAGAGTTCAATTGTTCCACCATGTACATGTATAATTACTGTACTTATATTATATAAATACAAATACTTAGTTCAACATAAAAAAAGGAATATAGCGACACACTATAGCTATGGTACGTTACACGTTATTTAATAATTCAATAGAATATTATGTAATTATAAACAATATGTAATGTGAAAACATACCCCAACAATGGGTTAAGGGTCCTAAAGTAACATAGGGCTCGATCGTAGGCAAATGAATGATATCATTGGATCGTAGATCTAGATGATTAAATTTACGGGACAAATGTGTTCGTAAGCCGGACGGAGGTTTCACTCGTCCGTAGTAGTCAATGTCCCCTTTGTCCACTAAAAACCCGCCAAATACAGACAAAGACCAAAGAACGAAAACGAGACAATAACTGGACATATATAGACACACTACGTCACACGGGCAAACTGGACATATAGACGCAACATATATACATACATTTATAACGATTACAGACGGCGCGAAAATCCCAACGACGCGACGCTAGACAACAGCGGCCAAAATTACATAAAACTTAACCCTATTACATCCTCCCCCCGCTAAGGAAAAGGGACGCCCTCGTCACCTAAATTATACAAGGATAATTCACACCATGTCAACATTTGTTGATATACTTATCAAAGAGAATAGCTTACATACTACATATTAACATCACTAAATATTCAATTCTGAAATAGATTAAAAGCAAATATCATTCACGACAAACATAAAGTGAAAATGTCGCAATCACTGATAAAATGAATTACAAACTGTCAAAGGTAAACATAAATATCAAAATAAGAAAAGACGTTTAAGGCTTATATATCACAAATGATTCTGATTAAAGCAGTGGTAGCATCTGGATTAATTCTGGAAAACACACCTTCCTTTGCCAAGTTTTCCAAAAGCTTTGCCTTAAGGTTCCACGAAGCAACATTTACTTGCGAACTCTTTGCTCCTCCCATTACAAATTCACCCGAAGTTTGCCATTGTGGCGGTCTGGAAATTCTTGTAGATCTTCGGGGAAGAGGCACCGGACGCTCTGACACATGTTCCTCGTTCGTATGAGATTCGTCTTGGTCCAAGACATCATCAGTTGGGATGACAACTGTATCCTGCCCAAGTTCACCAGTCGATGACACTACTGAGTCTGACTTCGGAACATCATCTTGTTTTACGTCTTTATTGGCATCATCTGCTGGTCCTCCCTCCTCAGTAGAGAACTGGTCGTCACCAGGCGGACCAGTGGCAGACACAGGAGAGCCTGGATCGTCATCCGGATCCCGTACTGCCGTATCGCCTTCTTCATCATCTGACTCCGAACTGCCAGCTGTACAAGGTGCCAATAAAACATTTGTATCCTCGTTGTCAGAGTCTTCTATATCTGCGAGGGCTAAGTTTGTGTTTTCCCTGGAAGGCTCAACCTTGCTATCCAGATTATCCAAGGACATTTCTTCGTGTGGAATGTATCCTATAGGCAACAGGTTGTTTCTGTGTAAGGTTCTTGTCCTTCCCTCTGCTGAATCTGGTTCCACTACGAACACAGGAATATTCGGGTTAGGTTGGTTAATCACTGTACAGGCATCTTCCTCCCAAAGGTCTTCCAGCTTGTGTTTCCCATCAAAAGCTAGCTTCTTCACCAATACACGATCTCCAACCTTAATAGGCAATCCTCTGACCTTGAGGTCGTAATGGGCCTTCTGTCGCCTTTTCGCTTTCGATAGCATCTCTGAAGCTAAGTCGTAACTGAAGGTTAATCGATCCTTAAGGTCCTTCGTGTAGTCGGAGAGAGTCTGTTCTTCTTTAACAAGTCCACCTAAACCAAACACAATGTCCAATGGTAGACGAGGCTCTCTTCCAAACATGAGATAAAAAGGTGAAACTTTAGTAGACTCATGACGGGTGCAATTGTAGGCGTGGACTAAAGATGGGATATATGCCTTCCAATCCTTCTTTTCTTCTGGTTTCAGAGTGCGAAGCATAGAGATGAGGGTACGATTAAACCGCTCAGTAATTCCATTTCCCATGGGATGGTAGGGGGTAGTATGTGATTTCTCCATCCCGAGAAGATCACAAAGTTCCGATATAACTTCACTTTCAAAGTTTGGGCCTTGATCAGAATGTAGGCGTCTTGGAATACCATAGTGAATGATGAAATTGTTGTAAAGGGTAGCAGCTGTTGTCTTCGCAGTTTGGTCTCGAGTTGGAAATGCCTGCGCGTACTTTGTAAAATGGTCTGTGACAACAAGGACGTTGGCAAATCCTCCTTTACATGGTTCCAGAGACAGAAAATCCATGCACACTAACTCAAGCGGATGAGAAGTGTGTATCCCAACCAATGGTGCTCGCTCATTCCTCGAAGTCTTAGCTCGGATACAGCGTGGACACTCGTTGACCCACTCCTCTACATCCTTCGTCATGTTGGGCCAGTAGAATCTGTCACGTAGTAGAGATAATACCCTGTCCCTACATGGGCGCCAATGTAAAATTGGTTGGTTATTTCAAAAATAATGAGGGCGAACACCATATCCGGTTCCATCCATTTATTAGGTAAAAACCCTAAAGACCCTACAACATAACATACATAAAACACATAAATACGATCCCTTACAATACATTAAATATCTCACGTAATATACATTACAGATAATATCACAGTTGTAATTATCTCAAAAGAGAGTTCAATTGTTCCACCATGTACATGTATAATTACTGTACTTATATTATATAAATACAAATACTTAGTTCAACATAAAAAAAGGAATATAGCGACACACTATAGCTATGGTACGTTACACGTTATTTAATAATTCAATAGAATATTATGTAATTATAAACAATATGTAATGTGAAAACATACCCCAACAATGGGTTAAGGGTCCTAAAGTAACATAGGGCTCGATCGTAGGCAAATGAATGATATCATTGGATCGTAGATCTAGATGATTAAATTTACGGGACAAATGTGTTCGTAAGCCGGACGGAGGTTTCACTCGTCCGTAGTAGTCAATGTCCCCTTTGTCCACTAAAAACCCGCCAAATACAGACAAAGACCAAAGAACGAAAACGAGACAATAACTGGACATATATAGACACACTACGTCACACGGGCAAACTGGACATATAGACGCAACATATATACATACATTTATAACGATTACAGACGGCGCGAAAATCCCAACGACGCGACGCTAGACAACAGCGGCCAAAATTACATAAAACTTAACCCTATTACATGATGAAAACAAATTATATGATAAATAATCTCTTACCTTCTTTAGGCACCATTTCTTGACCTCTTGGTGTGCCATAAGACGGTCCCCCATGGAAACTGTCCTGGCGTGGCTCTACAGCTGTACTCATCTTTTTCTAGTTTAAAAAAATGCATGTATCTAAAATGTGAGGTATATTACAGTATTATTTAAATACTCTAAAAAATACACACATACAAGTAAGATCACCTAAGAAAAAGTAAAATTGCTATGATATGAAAAAGTTAATTAACAGTTGCCTGAGTCAATTATTACCAGAATCTGAACCTGATTCTGAATGACGCCCATATACCAAAATAATCAAAATAATGTATTTCATATTTTCCAAAAGCTTTTAATTGATGAAATCAGCAACCGAATCACATAAAAAGAAATTAATTTATGAGCATGTGTCTGGTTAAAATAAAGATGATTTTAGTCAGAATAGTAAGACAATAACTCTATCACTAATAAATTTGTTATTTTGCATTTTCTCCCCTCACACATTATCTCTTGTAAATTTGTGTGGATTGAAAACAATCCAAATCTGAGATAACACATGCATCTATCAGTTTTCAAGTTAAATGGTGATATTGCTACATCAACTGATAAAATTAACTGTCATGGTGTTTGTAAAAAAAGATATCACTATTTATACAATGTCATTTAGTATACTTGGTGTAATAGCAATGTATTTCCATTTAAGGATAATCACTCATTCAGAAAAATTCAGACATCCTTTCCTTCCATAATTCAAACGACAGTCTAAGATTCTCATGACAGTGCCATAACATATCTGAATGTATACATACAATAATAATCAGAGATATAGCAGGTATTTGAAGTCTCATTAATTTTTCATAACACAGACTGGCTAAACCTAAACTATTGTAAACATTCATTTGTTATTGAAAGTCAAGTCCTAGCTGTTTCTAAGCTAACAGTGCAGTATTGTAATTGTATAAATACATACAGACTAAAGTAATAGAGAGGCATATATGGGCATGTATAACAGATTTATGTAATATTACAAAGACGGCATATCATAGGACAAAAATATTTCCCTTCGAAAGTCATTATTTGCAGTGATTTACAATCACTACTTCTATTCTTACTGCTGAGAGAGATTTGCAAGAAATTACGAATATTTTATCGATAGATATGTGAAATGAAACACATCAATGCCATGTGTTTGTAATATACAAGGAAATAACAGTGAATAAAAAGACTGTTATGATATAATACCTGTTTATATTGATCGTCACTTCAGTCGGCAGTCTCCGGCGCCATTTTGATTTACAGTGTTGTCAAGGAAAACGGAAACGGAAGTCACACTAATATCCAAAATGGCTGCGAAGGGGGAGCTACACGTGGATATGTTGTCAAAAGAATTACAAAGTATTTTGAAAAAATATCCAACTCTTTCACTTCAAAAAGGACGCGAAAAGGTAGGCATTTTAGTTTTGTCAATAAGTACTTCCATAATTATGTTAATGTAATGGCGAAATTTAATACGAGAGGCAAATGTGATGTAGATTTAAACCGGCTGTCAAAACCAAAACAAAAAACTAAACAACATGCACGCTCAGGCATCAGACTTTTCATGTGTTAGATGACAGCTAATGTGATATTGAGATAGCAGAAATCTCGTAGAAAACCCGGGCGTGATTCACCACAGGCATCAGATGTTTTATGTGTGAAACAACTACATATACTGTTTAACAAGAATCCTGTATATATAAACGGAAGCTTTTTCTTGTGTATATAACAAAGTTTGATGCCGGTGTGTAACTCAAAACAACATCATTGAAGAATTTTATTTGTTATTTTGTCCTCTTGTCTAATATCCGACTAAGGCTGATATTATCAATATACTGCTTTTAGGATTCCTCCTTGGAACTCATTTATATCGGACGTTTATTAACTTTATATCGGAATCACACACTGACGAGTGACATTGTCAAAGGTCTGATGTAAATGAGTCCCAAGGAGGAATAAAAAAGGCAAAACTGATCTCCTTGATCTGCATTAAGTGCGCAAGCCTCATGGCCATAGTATATATCATATGTACAAAATAGAAATATGTCAAATAGTAGTCCTTACGGTACATATAACATATCACAGATTCATTACATGTTCAAAATAATGACCTTGACCTACTTTTAAGGTGACATGGCAATGAATGATCACATATCTGCTGAAGTCTGTGCCAGTACTAGGACTTGTTCAACAAATTATTTTTATAAGCTGCAGAACAGGTGAACCACATACAGATCCATCAGGACATTTTTTTCTGTGTCATAGTTGAATTAATCCTTAAATAAATCCATGAAAAATGTGTATGAGTTGACTTTGCAGTCAATAGTTTACATAATATAAGTACAGCAACATTTAGACTTAAATGGACAAGAAGATGACCTGCTAGTCACCATCTTGTGAGTTTTCATTTTGAAAAAAAATATCACTAAACCTCTCATAGAACCTAATCTTATAACAGTAGCCATTCCAAAATTGAAATTCAAAATTGGAACCCTTTGGAATTCTTAAATCATGTGACTGGAAAATGGAGGTTTATTGATAATACAATATTTAACTTCAGAAAATTTGTTTTTCATTGTTGTGATTTTGAAGACAAATGGAATTGGGCAACAAGCAAAGACTATGAAAGCCCTTTCCTTGCTAATATAAACTAATAATAGTGAATGAATTTCAAGTAAATAAAGGTATCAGTATTACAAAAAAAAAACTAGAAATATTTGAGATATGATATTACTTACAAAATAGTTACTACCAATAGTTGAGATTATAATGTCACTTGATAATTGCAACAAGACTCAATCTGAAAATTACCTTGAATGGACTTTGTCACGGACAAATTGACCATACACACTTACTCTCCAATGCTGGATCCATGCAAATAACAAACAGACCGAAACTTGTCACAACATTTTTATCAATAATTCATGTTAAAATACTTTCATCAATAATTTACATGTACTTCAAAACGACATCTGGTATCAGTAACAAATCTCTTCACTTCAGAATGGATTTATTTATGTTTATATTAAGCTCATGCAAACCATTAAGAAGTGTTTGAATGTGTAGAGAAATATGATCACAGACAGGGCTATTTATTAGATGGGGATCTAGTTACTAAGATAATTTCTTAGCTAGCATAAAGTTATATTTACTTTTATAAAGAGGATAATGATCAGCATTATTTTTTTTATGAGATTGAATTGATTGTTAAAAATCTAAAAAACTAAACTTTTTGATGCAGATGTCTTCCTTTTGCAAGTGTCAGTAGACCAGATAATCTGTATAAAATATTGTAATTTTTTCCCTCACCTCAAACTGACAATTTTACATATCAATAGATAAATATATCAGTATGATTGTATAAGTTATATATCCAAGCTTTTTATAAAACCATCTGAAATGGAGGGCAATATAGGTTAATGGTGGGAACTACAAACCAGCTGATACATAGAAAACTTTAGGTTTATTGTACAATCCACAAACCGGATGAAATGGAGAACAATATAGGTTAATGGTAAGGCCCACAAACCATTTAAATGGAGGACGATATAGGTTAATGGTGGGGCCCACAAACCAATTAAAAGGAAGGACAACACAATCAACTATATAGGTGGACATGGATATTCTTCCTGAGGGTATAGAATTTCAGTCAGAAATGAGTAGTGGCAGACCATCTTTATCACCAGCCCTCCATCTCTAGGTCCCAGGTTTGAGGCCTACATGGAGAAGGTTTTCTCTTTGAACTACAATTTTCCTCCAGCATCCACACATGGCACATCCTTAGATGCACCAGTTGTTAGTAGGATGTAGATAAAAAAAGTAAAGCAAATTTAAAAAAAAAAAGATTTCCTGTTATTGCCTTCAAGGTATATTAGATGTTATCAGGTAAATGAAAGACAATGTGTAGAAACAAGCTATGGTGGTACATCCAATATATCCACTGTTCTACACACTCTCATGGCTGACTACCAACATACCTGACTTTACTTCTTGTTTCAGATTCGATGTGAACTCAGTGGCCATGAAATGCCATGTAGTCATGAGACTGTCAACACCTACATCAATGGTAAAAAGTTCCAGAAATTGCTGGCTCAGAAAACCTTTGAATATGAGAAGTACAAACAACACATCATCCCTAGCACAAAGAAGGGCCGGCAGTAAGTAAAGACTTTTTTGATGTCAAAAGTGAATTGAAGTTCAAAAGATTTTGCATCTCTCTTAGCTGTAGTCAATCTATGTTAATATCTATTGGTTCCTTAACGTAAAATTAAATATCCAATTGTGTAACTCGAATGAAGTTACAAGGTGTTCTCAGGAAGGATGATATACAATACAATCTTTTCTGGAGGACATCTCTGCGATATATAACATTTATATGTCAATTGAAAATGTCTGTGTAGCAAACGGCTCAAGTTAGTTGCTGGGTAGCTTGATCGGTTGAAACATCTGCTAGACTTCCGAGGTCCGAGGTTGGAGTCTAATTAGTGATTGTATTTTCTCTTACTGAAGAAGAAGTGTATAAAAAGTAGACCAAGTCAATTGCTGACTAAATGTCTCAGTCAGAGTTCAACTGTAAATTGTAGGGCCTTGTTAAGTCCTTGTCTGGTCTTCCTGTCCTTATGTATGGGGTCAGAGGTCAAAATGGTAGTGACAGACCTGGTATATTATATTCAAATTCTCTTCAGAATTGTAAAGCTCATGTACATGATATTTGTCATTCTCCAGACATCAGCTGTTTTGTATGCTGACGTTGAGACACATGAACAATTTACCTGACCATATACAGAAACATCTGGAGGGCAGACGATTCCTAAAAGCCTACAAACGATGTAAGTCTGTCCTGTGTCTGAGTAATATGTAATAAGGTGCTATTATGGTTTTTCATTGATTTTTATAATTTTGGTTTTGTATCTTAAATCTTCTTCAGTTTGTGTCACCACCCTGTTTAATGTACACATGAAAAATTTGATAATCATTCTGCGTTGTAACTTAACATATTGCTTCAAAACACTATGGTTACAGGGGAAGAGTGTCAGAGAACAGGGGAGGTGTTCAAGCCCCTCGAAAGCAAGAAAAAACAGGAAGAGCAGGCACTTGATGAGGAAGATTCTGATAAGGAAAGTGACGTGGACAGTCTAAGTGACCTCTACCCAGGTGGGTTTTATAACAGTACAACTCTCCCGCTCAATGAAGGTTGATGGAGGATATATAAACAGGTTTTTTCTGTCTCTTCATCTATATTTTCCAGAGCAAACCTCAAAAACCATTCAAAATAAGTTTTTACAAAAGCTTCTACACACATCATTCCAGTGGTCTAGTAGCACCTTTTGCTTTGGAGCAAATGTTATATTACACACTTTCAATGTTATATTTACACACTTTCAATGTTATATTTACACACTGTCAATGTTATATTACACTCTGTCAATATTATATGACACAATTTATATCTTATATTACACTTTGTCATTGTTATATTTACACACTGTCAGTGTTATATTTACACACTGTCAATGTTATAGGACACAATTTATATCTTATATTACACTTTGTCATTGTTATATTTACACACTGTCATTGTTATATTTACACACTGTCAATGTTATAGGACACAATTTATATCTTATATTACACTTTGTCATTGTTATATTACACACTGTCAATGTTATATTACACACTGTCAATGTTATATTTACACACTGTCAATGTTATATTACACACTGTCAATGTTATATTACACACTGTCAATGTTATATTTACACACTGTCAATGTTATATTACACACTGTCAATGTTATATTACACACTGTCAATGTTATATTACACACTGTCAATGTTATATTTACACACTGTCAATGTTATATTTACACACTGTCAATGTTATATTACACACTGTCAATGTTATATTACACACTGTCAATGTTATATTACACACTGTCAATGTTATATTACACACTGTCAATGTTATATTACACACTGTCAATGTTATATTACACACTGTCAATGTTATATTACACACTGTCAATGTTATATTTACACACTGTCAATGTTATATTACACACAGTCAATGTTATATTTACACACTGTCAATGTTATATTACACACTGTCAATGTTATATTACACACTGTCAATGTTATATTACACACTGTCAATGTTATATTTACACACTGTCAATGTTATATTACACACTCAATGTTATATAACTCACTGTCAATGTTATATTACACACAGTCAATGTTATATTTACACACTGTCAATGTTATATTACACACTGTCAATGTTATATTACACACTGTCAATGTTATATTTACACACTGTCAATGTTATATTACACACTGTCAATGTTATATAACTCACTGTCAATGTTATATTACACACAGTCAATGTTATATTTACACACTGTCAATGTTATATTACACACTGTCAATGTTATATTACACATTGTTACCATTATATCAAACATATATGTTTTACAGTGTAGTAAAAAAGATTTGAACTGTATGTGTTTGACCTGATTAAACAGCTGCTGATTTTGAGGATGATGGAGAAGAGATGGAAGGAGATGGCACAAGTGAGGATGTGGATAACAACCACATAAAAAAGAATGGCAGGGTCGCGACTGACTCTGAATCTGACTTCGAATTTGAAGCTCTCGAAGAGGAACCTGAAGATACATCAAAAACGTCAGATCCTGTAGTGAAAACAAACAAAAGAAAACATAAAAAGGTAACCAATGTTTCCCACAGAATCCAGACAAGGATTGTCAGTGTTTAAACCTGTTTCTGTGTCAAAAATTATTTCAGTATCTTTTTTTTTTCTTAGAAATAGCTAAGAGACACAATATTTTTGGATTTTATCAGAAATTTTAAGTTTGGAACATTTTCAGTAATGCCTTTTCCTTTCAAGCTGCAAAATGATGAGCAATACAGGCCCATCAGGTCTCTTGTTGAACTAACACTGCACCAACAATCCTTGTATTCTTTTACATTTCAGGAAAAGACACCAAAAAAACAGATCAAGAAAAAGAAATGATGTACAAGGCAATGAAACCAATGCTACGTATCTTGTATTAATACATTATCATCAGATATCGTTGATGTGTCAGTCCTGGTGATGTCTCGCTCTGCAGCTCACATTACCGGGAGAAATATCAGTCACAACACTTATCACACTGAATTACAGGTTCTATATGTTGTTGTCGTGCCTAGAATCTCTATTTCTACTGCATACAGAGGCTGTATCACAATGGATCAGGAACCCAATAGAGGAAGGCATTTATACACATACTTAGTGATCAGGTGATTGATAAAGCTGATATTTTAACATTAAAATAAAATCAATTTTAAAGAGCAAATTAAAATATATGCTACACAATAAATGTTTTTTTCTTTAATTCTGAAAATTGTCCATACAAATCAGAAGGCTTATTAGTATTAAGTCATCTGAGCAGAAGTGTATCAGGACGAAGGGTGCTTGTAAGTAATCTGAATGACTAGCCTGGTAAAAAACACTGTCTAGTCTTTTCTATGCATCATCTCTGTTAAGCTAGTTTCTGCATGCAAGATTATGAGTCGAATAATTTAGTGACTGAAATTCCATCTATGAGTTACCTATTTTGATGATCTGTGCTCCAATCTATCCGACTGTATAAGCAGCCATAAAAGGAAGTAGGAGATGATCTGGTTGTACTCCTTACAGGAAACTGGAATATAATTAAAATTGACATCCAACTGATGGTCATTGAATACAAGAAATTTGTATGAAATATAACCTTAACTTCATGTTTGAGCAGGTAGCCAGTAAAATGACCCTGGCTGAGCACACTCTTTGTCAAATCACTGTGTGACCCCTGACCACAGAGTTTAACTTGTTAACAACCCTGGCTCAGCCATGACCAAGGGTCAAACATTAAACTTGTGAATGACCCTGTCTGTGCCATGCCCCCCTCCCCCTCCCAAGAATAAACTAGTTAAACTGGTTAATGACCCTGGTAGAGCCTGAATACCAGGTCCTTATTTGACGCTTCATAACCTGAATACCAGGTCCTTATTTAATGCTTGATGTACCTGAATACCAGGTCCTTATTTAATGTTTGATACACCTTAATACCAGGTCCTTATTTGATGCTTGATGTACCTGAATACCAGGTCCTTATTTAATGTTTCATACACCTTAATACCAGGTCCTTATTTAATGTTTCATACACCTTAATACCAGGTCCTTATTTAATGTTTCATACACCTTAATACCAGGTCCTTATTTAATGTTTCATACACCTTAATACCAGGTCCTTATTTAATGTTTCATACACCTTAATACCAGGTCCTTATTTAATGTTTCATACACCTTAATACCAGGTCCTTATTTGATGCTTGATGTACCTGAATACCAGGTCCTTATTTAATGTTTGATACACCTGAATACCAGGTCCTTATTTAATGTTTGATACACCTGAATACCAGGTCCTTATTTGATGCTTGATGTACCTGAATACCAGGTCCTTATTTGATGCTTGATACACCTTAATACCAGGTCCTTATTTAATGTTTGATGTACCTTAATACCAGGTCCTTATTTAATGTTTGATACACCTTAATACCAGGTCCTTATTTGATGTTTGATACACCTTAATACCAGGTCCTTATTTAATGTTTGATGTACCTGAATACCAGGTCCTTATTTGATGCTTGATGTACCTGAATACCAGGTCCTTATTTAATGTTTGATACACCTTAATACCAGGTCCTTATTTAATGTTTGATACACCTGAATACCAGGTCCTTATTTAATGTTTGATACACCTGAATACCAGGTCCTTATTTAATGTTTGATACACCTTAATACCAGGTCCTTATTTAATGTTTGATACACCTTAATACCAGGTCCTTATTTAATGTTTGATACACCTGAATACCAGGTCCTTATTTAATGTTTGATACACCTGAATACCAGGTCCTTATTTAATGTTTCATACACCTTAATACCAGGTCCTTATTTGATGTTTGATACACCTTAATACCAGGTCCTTATTTAATGTTTCATACACCTTAATACCAGGTCCTTATTTAATGTTTCATACACCTGAATACCAGGTCCTTATTTGATGCTTGATACACCTTAATACCAGGTCCTTATTTAATGTTTGATACACCTGAATACCAGGTCCTTATTTAATGTTTCATACACCTTAATACCAGGTCCTTATTTAATGTTTGATACACCTGAATACCAGGTCCTTATTTAATGTTTGATACACCTTAATACCAGGTCCTTATTTAATGTTTCATACACCTGAATACCAGGTCCTTATTTGATGCTTGATACACCTGAATACCAGGTCCTTATTTGACGCTTCATAACCTGAATACCAGGTCCTTATTTAATGTTTCATACACCTTAATACCAGGTCCTTATTTAATGTTTGATACACCTGAATACCAGGTCCTTATTTAATGTTTCATACACCTGAATACCAGGTCCTTCTTGAATAATTCTTAGTAAAGTATTGTATTGGGTAATGGGACCTCTGAAATATTGAGTCACATACGAGAAGTTGACCGACTTAAGTACATTGTTATCAATGTTTATCTCTTTATCACAGCAACATACCTGTCTCAATGACGACACAATCCAGGACCAGGTACAATTTTTAATCTGACTGACCCTTGAACAGAGTCATTTCAAGACAGGGTGTCCTTGAGATATATATGTATTAGTTGATAAATATCAGCAGTGATAAATAAGGTGAACACAAGTAAACTAAAGTTTATCTTTAATAAACTGGAAATATGACAAAACAAATATCACCATTTAAAAGTAACTCTTCAAAGTTAAAATCTTTAATCAACATAATTTACTAGTTGTAATTAAATATTTCTACATAATTTGCAGCAATATGAACAACAGACAAACTAACTTTAGGTGACAAATATTAAAAGATTTTTATCTTTGAATGAAACTGATTGCTTATATATTAAGATTACAGTTATGTTAACTTAGCATGTCTTTCCACTGGTTGTGTTATAAGAACTTCTATGTCTTAAGAATTTCTACTAGTTGTGATGTAAGAACTTCTATTCTACATTTTACAAATTTTATCAAAATATGAGAAATATGTTACATGCAAATATGTATTGTACCAATCCTGGCTAAAACAAGTTTTGAATAAGTGTAAACAATGTTGATATCAAAATGTATCCTGTATCTTATTTTCTGTCATGTCAATTAAATAAGAAAATTAATGATCACAATCCAAGGATGGGAAAGTCTTGTTATAGGATTGGGTTCTATCAAGTGAACATTGTAAATCCAGTCGATACTAATTACCGACAACAAACAAAGCTTTATAACCAATGCTCACAAGCCGGGTTTAATGAAAATGATTCAAATGAAAGACTTTTTTGCAATTGATATTATTTAGAAGTTTACTGACATTTCATAACGATACTCCTTTATTCAATAATTATATCCTGCACAAACTGATGTGCCAGTAGATTTTCTATTTCCATCTGATTGTAATGTGATTCTTATGAAAATATACATCACTATGTGCACTTGTTCACTGTTAAGAAAGAAAAAAAACAAAATCCTTGGGTACATTATCTCGTGAGATAAATATGACTTCAAATGTTAAACAGGTAACACACAACACAAAGACTTCAATAAATAACCATTCACAACTATCTCCCATACTGTCAAGTTCTGTAGGCGGTGGATATCATTATACTCCAGTCCCTCAGCTATAATCCGCAAGTCACAGATACCCTATAGTGGTAGATATCATTATACTCCAGTCCCTTAGCTATAATCCACAAGTCACAGATACCCTATAGTGGTAGATATCATTATACTCCAGTCCCTTAGCTATAATCCACAAGTCACAGATACCCTATAGTGGTAGATATCATTATACTCCAGTCCCTTAGCTATAATCCACAAGTCACAGATACCCTATAGTGGTAGATATCATTATACTCCAGTCCCTTAGCTATAATCCACAAGTCACAGATACCCTATAGTGGTAGATATCATTATACTCCAGTCCCTTAGCTATAATCCACAAGTCACAGATACTCTATAGCTGGTAGATGTCATTATACTCCAGTCCCTTAGCTATAATCCACTTGTCACAGATACCCTATAGTGGTAGATATCATTATACACCAGTCCCTCAGCTATAATCCACAAGTCACAGATGCCCTATAGTTGTAGATATCATTATACTCCATTAACGATAACATTTATCAGTAACACTTATCTGAGTAGCCACATCAATGGCATTTCTTGGTATTAAACCGCTAGATGGCAGGTCAAGGTAACTGGATTGATAACATGTCTGGGTGACCATATCAATGACATTTCTAGGTTACCACATAAATGGCATAATCAGTGACATTTCTTGGTTACCATTTCAAAGGTATTTCTGAGTAGCCACATTGATGACAGTCGGGGTGACCACATCAATAAAATGTCAGGTAACTGCATCAATGACATTTCTGGTAGTTACATTGATGATGCGTCTGGATAACCACTACAGATTTACTAATAATTTACATCAAATAACAAGTTAAATAGCATGACTTGATAATCATTTCAATGAGACATGTCGATAAATTTGACAGGTATCATCACATGACCCTGTTCACAGATGTCACATGACATGTACAGTCTATCACATGACACCCTTGACAGATATCACATGACATGTATAGTTAATCACATGACACTGTCAACAAATATCACAAGATGTGTAGTCAATCACATGACATATGTAGTCAATCACATGACAGCTATTGAAAAACATCAAGTCTATATACATGTCATATAATTATGCTTTAAGTTAAATCATTAATAAATACCGAAGAAAGACATGCAATGTACAACATATCCAATAAAAACATTTTTCCCAGACAAATTTCTGCATAACTGTATATCAAAAGCATAACCCACATAAACATTTTAGAGAAAAAATCACAAACAAACAATATTGCATTTCAGAGAGAAAATTGAGTAACTGTAAGTCTTTAACATCCCAAAATGATCACAACTGGCGGAGATGCCCAGGACTACTGTCAGTCCACCTGTCACATCTTACTCCTGCAGACCTAGACTCATCAACAGAAGTCAAGGAGAACTGTCACTCCACCTGTCTCATCTTACTCCAGCAGACCTAGACTCAACAACAGTCCAGGACTACTGTCAGTCCACCTGTCACATCTTACTCCTGCAGACCTAGACTCATCAACAGAAGTCAAGGAGAACTGTCACTCCACCTGTCTCATCTTACTCCAGCAGACCTAGACTCATCAACAGTCCAGGACTACTGTCAGTCCACCTGTCACATCTTACTCCTGCAGACCTAGACTCATCAACAGAAGTCAAGGAGAACTGTCACTCCACCTGTCTCATCTTACTCCAGCAGACCTAAATTCATCAACAGAAGTCAAGGACTACTGTCACTCCACCTGTCTCATCTTTCTCCAGCATACCTAGACTCATCAACAGAAGTCCAGGACTACTGTCACTCCACCTGTCTCATCTTACTCCAGCATACCTAGACTCGTCAACAGTCCAGGACTACTGTCTCTTCACCTGTCTCATCTTACTCCAGCATACCTAGACTCATCAGCAGAAGTCCAGGACTACTGTCACTCCACCTGTCTCATCTTACTCCAGCAGACCTAGACTCATCAACAGTCCAGGACTACTGTCACTCCACCTGTCTCGTCTTACTCCTGCAGACCTAGGCTCATCAACATAAGTCCAGGACTACTGTCACTCCACCTGTCTTGTCTTACTCCTGCAGACCTAGACTCATCAACAGAAGTCCAGGACTACTGTCCCTCCACCTGTCTCATCTTACTCCAGCAGACCTAGACTCAACAACAGTCCAGGACTTCTGAAACTCCACCTGTCAAGTCTTACTCCAGCAGACCTAGACTCATCAACAGTCCAGGACTACTGTCTCTTCACCTGTCTCATCTTACTCCAGCAGACCTAGACTCAACAGTCCAGGACTTCTGAAACTCCACCTGTCTCATCCTACTCAAATAGACCTAGACTCATCAAGAGGAAGCACCAAAAAATCTAACTACAGTGGATACAATTGCACAGCTGTACACTGATACCACACAAAGGACCATGAGTCACACACAATATGAGGGAGAGATATTGTAAAACAAAAGAAGTACATAATTCTATCTTGCTGTCCCTTTCTTTGACTTACCATTGTGACGTAAGTTTGTAAGCATGAATTTTAGAGAAAAAATTCTGATAAAATCTTAATTATTTTTTTTTATCAAAAAATACATCTTTTGTTGAAGATATTTACAAAACCAAAAGTAAATCTAATGATTGTTTATGCAGTTCTCAAAATCCACCTCAATTTTCATGTTTTTCACCCTTGATATAGATAAAATTAATACAAAATTCTACTTTTGTCCTGATTTAGTTTTTGGAATTTGTACTTTCTAAAAACTAGATAAAGACAACTTGTACATTTAAAACTGTATATGTCATTTTTAAGTCAATCAAAAAATATTTTAAAGTTCTCAAAATTCATCAAAATTTCATGCTTTTCAACCTAAGATAGACCACAGCAATCCAAATCTCATTTTTCAATCTCCCAAGTGTACCTGTACATCTTTAGATCTAACAATATACCATATGTGGCTGCTTCAGGACTCCATACACTAAATGTTAATGCCAATGGTAAAGAATCAGTCTTCACTTCTTCCTTGAGGCAAGATGACAAGCATTGCTATGTCTTAAGTAAAACAGGGTAACACAGCCTCTGATGTAGACACAAAGCCCTGTGATGACTAGAGAAATTTCAGCATGTGTCAGCATTTTAATCTATTCCTCCTTCTGTTCCATCTGTTGCACATTTGATTGGCCTTCTGTATGAGTAGTCTCCCCTTCTTCAGGGATCAGGACCTCCTCCTCTTGAGACTTGGTTTCTATAGCACTCTGGTTGGTGTCCTGGTCTGTATCCTTGGAGTCCTCATGTTGACCATCTGCTCTATTCTGTTTGTCATCTGCATCACCACAGTTTCTGTCCTGTTCACTGTCTGCTCTGGTCGTTTTGTCTTCCAGGTCATCCTGTGATTCTGCATTAATTCCCTTACCTGCCTGCTTGGCCAGGGTACGTAGGGGTTGTTGAGGTTGTGTAGGAGTTGTTTGCCCTTCATTTGACTTTGGCAGATTGAGTGAGGATGCTGAGGGTGAGGAGGAGAGGTGACTGGAGGGAGAAGGTGATCGAAGTGAGGACACCTGTTTGATAACAACCTCTGGCCCTCCATGGTAAATACCCAGCAGAAACTGCCACATTTCCTCGGATAGTTGACCATAGTCAGAATTATGTCGGACTATCAGCTGACCGTTTCTCATTACTGAGATGGCCTTGTTGTCCACTGGACCAGGCAGGGCTGAAATTCAAACAAAAGTGTTCTGTAAAAAAGTCAGTGAGATTTCATATTTATCTTATATAATTTAATGTTTTTAGTTTTCTTTTTTCAGTTTCATCTGACGATGCAGTATCATCAAAGATAAAATTAATCATAAGCTGAAACTGACCAATAAACATGTCATTTCATGTGATAGGGAATGATATAATACAACCAAAACTTACTACAATGATAGCTACAAGAGATTGGAAGATATCCCTGGCTGAATGTGTGGAAAAGTAGGAAAGCACTTGCATTTCAACTCTTCAACAAGGGTTCAATTGGAAATGAAAAGGTATGGGGTCACATGCCCAACAACGTAGGATTGCCTGTAGTGCTATGATTTCTTACAATTATTAGGAAATAAAGTTTGCATATACATCAGTGGCTTCAAAAAAAAGGGGGGTGTTTTGTCAATCACTTATAAACCAGTGTTTGTTTGCTAGATTTATAGCCCTGTTAACAGCCAGGGTAATTTACTAGTACTCACTTGACGTACGCTTGCGTACAAAATTTTCCCATTCCTTGAACCATGTCATACTGATAGCATAAATTATATGTGGGTTGTCTTCGTCTTTAAACTTCTCGTTGAGCTGAAATGTACCAGAATATAAATGAAACTTGTCGATAAGTCGATTAAAGTTGTCCATTTTCCTTAGCAGTGTTAACTTATCAGTAATATATTATGAATTTCAAATTCATTGTATGATTTTGCACAACACCAAATACTATAGATACTAAGATCACTGAAGAGAGAAATTATGTGGAAACATCAAACTTACTGCCACAAACTGCTCCAGTTCTGTTTTCTGTCGGTAAATTAAGTTGTCAAGTTCTGTTTGACAGGCAGAGCATGCATATAGATGATTACATACTGGCCCACCACCAAACCTGTCACAAGTAAAATAGAGTGAAGTAAGGCATGTTTCCAAGTACCTCCCACAAAACTACTCCACTATAATAATTTATAACCAAGTCACCTTTCAATGTTAAGGTAGAAAGACAAAAGTATATTATATTCTTAACGGATTTTAATGTAACAACACCCACTTTTCAGAACCATCATTGATACTTTTCTTTTTCAAAAGATGCTTCAGATCAAAATTCTGTCATTTCGATAGAAGGATTATTGCTCTAAGTCATCCACTCGGCCCCATCCCTGAGGCCTTAGGGGCCCACACCTTACATTAGCAATAGAGTCTTCTTTTGCCCAAAAATGCTTCTGATGAGATATTTGGTCAAAATCTGCAGATTCTATCAATACTTGTATTGATTTTTAGGAAAAAGTTTATGTATATATATATCCCTGACCACTTTCTTTGTCCTTACTGAGTGCTGTACTAACCTGCCATGTAAATTCTCCCACAGTGACTGGTCAAATGATTCTACCAAATCCTCCACATGGTCGACTTTGTGAGGTGGTACACCTGTGAAATTAATAAGGTACCCCTCACATAAAACAGGAGATTTAGGTAACAAGAGGAAAACACAAAATTATGGAGAGACTGTTTGTTACTAACAAATTATTGACTAAAAAAAAAAATTCTGTCAGTGTTGATAAATATATTCAACAATATCAATTCAGAAAGAAATCTTCAGCTCTAAACATACATTAAAGTAGGTAAGTTTTTCGGACACTCATTGATATTGTCAATTCACGTGATAGAGCAAATCTGATGATGGAGAGTTAACTATTGACCAGATCACTACTGACGCTGGATTTTACATACATTTATCTACATCTATGTGTTCTCTCTTACATCTTATGTAATGTCATTCACCTAAAAGGTACACAAAGGGAGATAATTACCTCCATGAGGACACAGAAAGTCGAAGTTAGTTATAGGACCAGGTTCAGCGAACATGTTAAAACGGTTGATCCATTGCTTTGACACAAAAAACTGCAGGAGGCTTGGCTGTTGAGGGAAGAAAACAAGATTTTGAGTAACAAAAACTGTATACATACAATTATTTTCTTGATCACAACCGGTCTACTTCACTTTGAAAATTATTATATACATAGACTAGAAAGTCAGACAAATTCTCCTTGTCTGATTTTAAAACAGATTAAAAATACTCTTTTACTTAGTAAAGTAGGTACTGAGGATATATTACATACCTCTTGAGTTTCCTTCAGCTGCATAGCTTTCTGTCGTATTGATATCATTTTGTCATTTCTTTTCCTGCAATACGAAAAACAAATATTCAACATCAATAAAATGAAAATTTGATCTCTACAGACTATCACTTTTACAAAAAGTAGTCATTTAACTTTTTCTATAACTTGTAAAAGTCATCCTAACTAACTGACTGTTTCCATATCTAGTCAAGTCACCCTCATTATCTGACTGTTTCTATATCTAGTCAAGTCACCCTCATTATCTGACTGTTTCTATATCCAGTAAAATCACTTAACTATCTGGCTGTTTCCCTAACCATCTGGCTGTTTCCCTAACCATCTGGCTGTTTTTTTATCTTGTAAAGTCATCTTAATGACTGACTGTTTTATTTTTTTGGTAAAAATCGTCTTACTCTGGTTTTTTCCATATTTGGCAAAGTCCCCTAATTATCCGTTTCCACATCCAGTAAAGAAATCTAGCTATCAGATTGTTTCCATTTATGGTCACGTCACTTTAAATATCTGATCAGTTATTAGCCATTGATGTATATCTTATTTACTGAGTCACCTTGACCTTACCTGTAGAACAGGACGTAAGCCTCACAGTTAATGACCTGGTTGATGTCCACCTCTGTGACATACTGATCATCAAATTCATACCACTGTTCATTAGTGTAGTTGAGACAGTAAGCTGTGTAGTGACCAGCTGTAATTATAATATAACCACATATTTATACACAACATAAGAAACGCCATAGTTAGGGTTTACATACTATTTATTATTTAAAACACTACATAACAAGATTGTCATAATAAATACATTTGGCTCTTCTTTGGGGCTACTCACCATGTGTATACCTTACAAAAACATTCACATAAAACATTAACTTCCTAATAATTTAACCTGATCCGAAACTTAAATGATAACATGTTATTATCCGATTGAACATGTAAAATTTAGTTATTATCTAAATGGGGAAAAGAATTTCCTGAAATTCTGGAACAGGGTAAACTGTTAATCTACGTTGTAACCTGGAACAGGTTATGAGACAAACCCTGGAATGGCCTTAATCAAAATGTAACCTGGAACAGGTTATGAGACCAAACTTAAACAATGTAACCTATAAGCAGCTTATATGACTAAAATAATACATAATTAAATTTGTAACATACCAGGTAAACACTCACACAAATACATATGCAAAAAAGATTGGGAATAGCCATCAACAAAAACATGATGAGTAGCCCAAATACATGTTCTTAACAAAATGTAAAATTAAACAATGGCTTTGAAAATACTAAGAAATATATACAAAGCAAGGGTGATGTACGGGGATGGTGGGTGGGAAAGTTTTATAACTGTCCCATGCCACTAAAAACCTGCCCACGTGCTGCTTCTCTCTACACTTTCAACACTTTTCTCTCTCTTACAAGCAACTGCTCTCATTGGTTGATTCTGATCACGTGAACTTTTACATCATACTAAATTTAGACACCCTACATAAATGTAAACAAACTAATATCTACCGTCAGTAATAAGTCTGTACTAATAACCTACAGTCTGTACTAATAACCTACATCAATTTATAACCTATACACCCATGCTTACACACACCAGCCAGCAAATAAGGATGACGATATGTTGTGTATAAACTCAAATTAAATAAATTTCCATTTTATACACAACATAAGAAACGCCATAGTTAGGGTTTACATACTATTTATTATTTAAAACACTACATAACAAGATTGTCATAATAAATACATTTGGCTCTTCTTTGGGGCTACTCACCATGTGTATACCTTACAAAAACATTCACATAACACATTAACTTCCTAATAATTTAACCTGATCCGAAACTTAAATGATAACATGTTATTATCCGATTGAACATGTAAAATTTAGTTATTATCTAAATGGGGAAAAGAATTTCCTGAAATTCTAATGGCCAAACGAATGAATTTTTGCTATGTGTACAGCAACAATGAGTGAGAGCCCCAAGAAGATAATAACGATAAGATGTATAAAAAGTAATACTATGAAAGACAGATACCTTCAGAGGACCTAATGTTTACACATGTTTCTCTGAGCCTGACTAACGACATTTTGAGATACTCTTATATACCTAGTGTAACAGTCAGAAGACCAACGTCCTAAAGTCTGAATCACATGATCTTCTATACCAGCGGCAGCAGCGGTAGTTGCTGCCCCTATCCTAAATGAATGGCCACTGTAAGGTTTGTCTCCAAGTCCTAACCTGTCCATAATTTGTTGAAGATAAGACAGAAATTTATCTCGGGATAAGGCCTCAGAACTATATCTGTCCTGAAACAGAGGAGAATCGGGAGTAGCCCCTGCACCAAGTCTAAAATTGTAAAGCTGATCCATCGTCATAACTGGACGAACCACATCATTTTCATGGATATTAATATGAACACCTTGTTGGAACACATCACATTTGGATTTCCTCAACATAAAAGTATAACAAGATCTATCTGGCGCTATACTGATGTCTTTCATGTATACACAACCTTGGTCATCGACTTTAGACCGTACTGTAAATTCACCGCAGCGAAGGAAACCGAAAAAAGCCATCTGACACATACATCGTAATTGTAAATCCATAAAAGCTGAGAAAACACTACCGTTCAAGAGTGAACAAATCCTTTCAAGTATATCAAATGTTATGGGCAGCCGTTTTGGTAATGACTGCTTGGACTTTTTCTTAATACCTCTCATAATATAAGCTAACCTAGAAGAATGACTTATCATATCACTGTGTCCTGCCTTAATATAAAAGTACCGAATTCCAGCCAGATACACCTGAATGGTTGCTGCACTCAGTTTTAACATCTGATGGCAATGAGTTACAAAGTACACTAACACCTCCTCAGAAATCTGAGGTAAAGCACCAGTGAATGTCACACCAAACATAACAGCAAAGGACAAGAAACACTGAAGACCAGACGAGTAAGCTGTCCTGGTATTTTTGTTGATGGATGCTTCCCATAATTTGTCCACTGCCTGTCCTAACACAACATCAAGTCGCTCATGGGTAGGCATGCGGTTGGTGTTGGATCCGCATTGGGTGCTAATTTCCGAAATCTCTGCATCTGCCAACGAGACAAAGAATCAGCAATAGAGTTTGTATGGCCCATAATATGTCTTGCATGAATAACATAATTATGACAAGCTGAATGCCAAGTCAGCCTCCGCATGAGTTTCATAATACTTGTAACACGAGATCTGCCTTTCCTGATAATGTCTACTGTGGCCGCATTGTCGCAGTTGAATAGAATACGTTTCCTGGACCAGGAGTGGCCCCATAACACACAAGCCATCACTATGGGGTAAAGTTCGTAAAAAGCCATAGATACTTCTTCGGAACTCAAATCAGGAAAATTCCCCTGAAACCACTTGTTGTTGTAAAAGCCAGCATAAGAACGTTGAGTAGAGTCAGTGAAAAGTTGGATATCTGCAGCTGCTACAATGTTGTCATCCAGAAAGAAAGAAACACAATTCCAATCTTGTAAAAACCTAAACCACATATCTAGGTCGATCCTACACTCTGCCCCAATTTTAACATGGTGATGTAGTTCTTTTACCGTCGTAGACAGGGCAATCAGATAAGATACAAAAGATCGACCTGGCACAATGATTCTTGCTGCGAAATTAAAATGACCAAGTAAACTCAACAGTTCCCTTTTTGTACACGACTTCCTGGTTCGAAAAGACTGTAAAATCTCCATAATCCTATCACGTTTTTCTTCTGGTAAGCGTGCCTCCATTTTCACCGAATCAAGGAAAATACCCAAGTATTCTAAACCTGTAGTAGGACCCACCGTCTTATGAGGAGCAAGAGGAATGCCTAGTCTATGAAATATCTCCAAAAATTGCGTCATAATGAAATCTGCATTGTCCAGAGGTTTGATCACAATTAAAAAGTCATCCAACAGGTGTAATACATTCCTAATATTGTAATTATTCTCAGCTATCCAACAAACAGCTTGTGACAGATGATCAAAAATTTTTGGACTAGATCTGCTTCCAAACACTAAACGAGTATAGAAATAATACTGGTTGTCCCACATAATACCATGAAAAGGCCACAAGGAAGGGTGTAATGGTATAAGTTTAAACGCATCAGTAATGTCTGTTTTCACCAGCCAACAACCTTTACCCAATTCCTTTATCACCTGAATGGCTTTATCAATAGTGACATACTGCAGTGAATACTCGTGTTTGTCGATCAAATCATTCAGACTAGGGTTTTTGTTATCATTATGTGGGGCAGATAAATCCACAATGAGTCGTTTTTTCTTCGAGTATTTCCCTTCTGCTATCCCTATGGGGTTGACCCGATAATGTGGAAATGGTATGTCTATGAAAGGCCCCAGCAAAAAACCCTTTTCCAGTTCTTTAAAAACAAGGGTTGTAGTTACGTCCTGTTGCGTCCTAGCTGATAAAAGATTCCGACAAATAATATTATTCTCTGGAAGTTGTTTGATACCCGTCTGAAAACCTTCTTTAAAACCAGAGATCAAGTACTGCTTGAATCTTTGATCTGGGTGTTGTAGTAATTCCAGCTCCAACTGACTGATATTAACTGGTGTAGAAACCGTTTTAAATGTTTGTGACCTACCCCTATTCCTTGAATCATCTGTAATGAGTGTCATGACCCCGTCAGTGGACGAGGACCCTGGCTGTTTTTTGAGAGATGCATGGGACAGTGAACTCTTGCATGTTCTTTCTTGCAGGTGACACACGCATGTAGATGGTGGCAACGCATATTCTGACAACCCCTCTCACTGTTGAAATTATTACAAATTTCCTTTCCCAGATAGAAAACTCTATTTCTGCCGTGTATGTCCATATGGGAATTGAAGTCTGACGTTTTGAATGTATTCTGTGGGTTCTTTTGTGGTGGCATCAATATATTTGGGCAGAAAGGTGTTGTATGTGCTGTACTGCTACAACGTTGACAGCTGTTGGGCTTAACATTAGCAAAGATGTTACAAAACAATGTGTTATTTCGTACAGACCAATCAACGAGAATGTTCTGGTATTTCAGATGTGCGGCAGCCCGCTTCGCAAATTGACAATGGTATTCATAAAATCCTTTACCATTGTATCGTGTGGCCATGTCAATAATATCCCGTTCATACAGGTCCATCTCTACCCTCCTAGTGGGGTGTGCTGAACACAAAATGTTCTTATATATCCCGAACGCCTGAATAAATTCCCCAATGGTCAGTGATCTATTGATGCGTGGGTCTGTAACTGCGATAGATGGGCCTTGAAAATAGGGAATTAGTAAACTGGCCAAGTTGACATCCTTACCGTCTATGATCTGTTTCCTTAAGTTTGGAGCAATCGTCTCCACGAGTGGCAATGACTCCGCCGAATATCCATACGCTGTCCTCACGTATGCCGAAGACGACGAAGGCTGAGGGGGAACGTTGGCAGTGCCGTTAAAGGCTGTCATAGCCGAATGTATGGTATAACAGGCCTGCTCTGTTGCTTGGGCCTCACTGCCTGCAGCCGAAGAAACTATCCTGGCCTCTGTTGACAAGGTAGGACTCACGCCTGATGTAATGGTAGACCTGGGCCTGTTGGACTCTCCATTAGATAATGCCGTTACCTTTTCCGTTAGTTGCACAACATTAGCCTGCAGCGAAGCCACCGTACTTGATAAAGTCTCTACTACGCTCACAAGACCGCCATTAATGTTTACCTGCGGTGCATCATGGGATCGCGCACCTTGCCTCGCGGAGCTAGCCGTAGTAACATCACCAGAAAAATTTGTAGTTTCGTACCTGGCTAGAGTCTCCTTGTACAGTTTCACCAATTCTGAATGTTTGAAATGCACAGGCGGTGTAGTTCCCATTTTTACCAATTCTTCTTTTAATTTTGCCACCAGCCAATTCTCTGGACGAGACTGATCGTAAGGTACACTGCGGCGAGATGTTCGACGTTTTGGCGCCATAATAGGCCTAGGAGTCTGATGAAAACAATGCCGAGGAAACAGTCTAAATTATTCAAATCCTGAGCCCTTTGGGTAAAATATCACAGAATATACGCCTTAGACGGACACTTGACCAGATTCCACTCGTCCCAACGATCGACGTATCATAGACTAAAAGTTCGTAACACTTGTCGTGAATATGGCGATGGTGAAGCTGAAGGCTGAAGCTGGACAAGCCTGTAACAGGACGTCCCCACGAAACCGCGTCTGGCTATCGCATTACAGTAATTCGATCTGAATGGTAGTTCTCGTCCTTGCATATACCAAAGAAAGTTTTATAACTGTCCCATGCCACTAAAAACCTGCCCACGTGCTGCTTCTCTCTACACTTTCAACACTTTTCTCTCTCTTACAAGCAACTGCTCTCATTGGTTGATTCTGATCACGTGAACTTTTACATCATACTAAATTTAGACACCCTACATAAATGTAAACAAACTTATATCTACCGTCAGTAATAAGTCTGTACTAATAACCTACATCAATTCATAACCTATACACCCATGCTTACACACACCAGCCAGCAAATAAGGATGACAATATGTTGTGTATAAACATAAATTCAGAACTTGTACAACAACCTACTTACCCCCAGCAGTGCCGTGGTGACAGATAACAGCCAACCAACTCAATGAAAGGGTTAACCTGTTTATATCATCGTATAAACTGAAGGTTGAAAATGTCATGTTTACCTGATGACTTAAGTTTATTTGTAATGTCATATAACGAGAGAAACTACATGTTTTAAAAAGTCATGTTTACCTGTATCACTATGAGTCAGGTAGTGATATTTACCTTTGTGTGTGTATGGCTTCATGTCCAGTCCATCCAAAGGAAATGCCACATAGGAGCTGATCTTTGATGAGTAGAATTCATGTCTGAATCTCTTCAGGTGAACACACAGGATCTATAAAAGTGAAAGTTTTATTAGATATCCTAGTTCTGTTATACTAACAAAACAGCTGTCTAGGTTTAAGTGCACGTCCAAATCTTCAATAAATCTTTTTCCTCCTATAAATCAATCTAAATAGATATTTATTTAATTTTTGTGTTTCCCATTCTGGATGTCACCAGCTGACAGTTTGCTGTAGGAATTTTGATACTTAAATACCAAGTATATTGCCATCTAGGGCATCAAAAATAAATGAAACTTGTTTCACAATTATTGTAAAATAAATCTGGTGTTAATTCTTACATCAAATATAATTTCATTTCATGATGAACTCAATTTTTGTTATTTTGCCTCTAACAAAGCTCACTGTATGAAAGAAAATACGCACCTCAGGTAGTTCCAAGACTTTAGAATATTTTATACCATTCCGCAGTCTGTACATAACAGAAAAAATCATATATAGTATGTACAGGTATGTACATCAATAACTAAGGTAACATGTATTTGATTTACATACATCTATCAAAACCTATCTTTCTTCAAGGTCATTCATATCATACATTTCTCAAAGCTTTACCAGATGTCTGGACATTTTCTCCTGTACTGAGAATTAAAATCACTCATATTTAGGATTTCTTTACTAGAGGTAGAGACATTTTCTCCTTTCAAACGGAGAATTCAAGGTTACTCATACTGTACATTTCTCATAGCTGTACTAGAAATCAAGATGTTTTCTTTTTCCATCACAAGAATTCAAGTCTCTCAAATTTTCACATTTCTCACAACTATATTAGAGTTCCAGACATTTTCTTCTTCTGTACACATAATTCAAGGTCATTCATAATATACTTTTCTCATTGCCTTACTAGAGTTCCAGAACTTATTTCCTTTCACACAAAGAATTCAAGGTCATTTATAATATACTTTTCTCGTAACCTTACTAGAGATCCAGACATTATTTCCTTTCACACAAAGAATTCAAGGTCACTCACTTTTTACATTTTTCACAGCTATACATGTTGTCTCCCTTGAGTTCATCAGCGGAGAAGAAAGCAGCAAGACAATCCTGCAGGTTAATGGTAGGGCCTACAAACCAGCTGAAATAGAGGACAATATAGGTCAGTAGTAGGGCCCACTATCCAGTCAAATTTCATCTGCAGCTTTCTTTAGGCAAGCTTGTACCAATCAATAATTCCTATCATATTTATCTGGCTTTTTCCGATTTATATAACAGTGGTGTGCATGGGCTCATGGGTACTCTAAATGATTTGCCCGGGAACTGTTCAAAATTTACATAAGAAGATTTGTTGAGCTACTTTTCTCTAATGAATAATCAAAAAAAAAAAAAGCAGGAAAATTCGTCCCCATCAAAATACTATATTTCATAGTATACAATATGGTAAACCTACCTTTTCATCCAGGAGAACATGAAAGAGAACCAGCCCTGGTGCACCTCTCCACAGGCCCCACCCTTCGGTGGACCACCCTGGGAACTGTGGTGGATCATGTTAAGGTGGTCCTTCCCCGGGATAGGAAGTGACAGGTCCTGGAAAGTCTCTTTTGTGGTTGACACCTGCCACAACAAGTATACAGCTGACTATAGTTTTAAACAACAAGGGCTATCAAAGACTGGTTAGCTCCCCAAATGGCACAAAATTTAAGAACGAAAAAAGTAACAAGGGGCATTAGTTCCTAAATAATACAAAGAGAATTATGGTTCTTCACTGCACTTTTCCTCATCAAGATCTGTTTATCTATGAAGTTTCATGTTGATATCTCTTATAATTTTTGTGTTCTCAAAAAAAAAGGGCAATAACTCCTTAATCATGCAAAAAGAAAGTTATGCTCTGGACAAAATTATAACGGATGGACAGACAGACAAAGCGGCAACTATATGCTCTCCCTTCCTTATAAAAGACAAACTAGCTTTCAAACCTTCAACAGAGAGTATATCATCCAACAGACCAGAAAAAAGTCCTAAAAGGATCAAAACATATTGTCATTAGCTTCTTAGACTTGCCCTTTGTAAGTCACTGGTGTAATCTTATCCATTTAGCAGTTATACACTGTACAGAGATAAAATCTTGTTATCTTACCTCTTCATAAGTCAAACTATGTACAGAGCTGAGATTTTTTTATCTTACAGATACATTGTATAAAGATGATTTTTTTTTATCTTACCCGTTCACAAGTTAGACATTGCACAGAGCTGAGGATTTTGCCATCAAATGTATCAGAAATGACCGACTGATACTGGACATTTTTCTGCTTGCCTGTAAAGAAGTAAAAACACAAATTCACAAACTCTTGTTTATCACCTTATGACTACTCACATCGCACTTTGTCATAAGCAGATGATATAAACTTTTAAGTAAGCTTGAAAACTTTGCTAGACAAATAATATGAATATGAATTTTTCAGGAGCAGCCTAGTTCAATGATTCAAAATGATGCAAGTCTTTAAATAGGTCAATTAAGTTCAATAGGAACTGTACTAGATACCACCGATTAAAAAATCACCTTCTTCAAACAAACAAAACTCAAATTCATGTGAGAACAGACCAATTATTTGATTAAGATAGAACTAGTACCTTTTTTATTGTTCACACTGGTTTTGGTGGAGTAACTGTTTCTAGACATACTATTACACGAGTCTAAGCTTTCCGATGCTCGTTTAAACCTCGGGCTAGACTTTGAACGAACTCGACTTGGATTTGATTCCCCATCCGATGGAATATCATCAGGATGACCACTGTCCTCTGTACAGGTGGCGCTATTAATGGTCACTGTGCTGCCTGACCGTTTCGACATCTGATTGACTGTCTCCTTTAAGTGTTTACTAGCCACTACACTGTCCTCTATATGAGTCTTGCCCCCTTTCTCCTCATTCTGTCGAAGTCGGGCATACGTTTTACCAGCACTGACTCTGGAGTGAGAATCTGTTTTGTTACTGTGAGCAGAATTGTCAGAGTTTTGTACAGTTGTGCTTTCACCTTCTTCACCAATAATTGCTACATCTGCTGAACACCTCTCACTACTAAGACCAGAGTCACATGTCTCGTAAAAGTCTTCTGACTGGCTGCTGCTATTAGAATCCATTGACAACTGACGATCATGTGACGCTATAAATTTGTGGGACTCCTCTGCATTTTTTTCATCAGAATCATCATCATTATCGTCCGAGTCACACGGTAGAGGTTGTTTCAGTTCTTCATGAAGTTCATCCATGAAACATCGCAGAAATTCTTGAGCATCCTTCAAATTGAGAAAATTATAACATTTTCAGAAAGACAAAAAATAGAAGATAAGAGGATCACCTAAAGAAAATAATATTCTGTAGAATTATTCTATTATGACAAAATCTGACAGTTGTTTCTGCACAAAGAAATAGTGATAACACTCAGCACAAAGAAATAGTGATAACATTCACTACTAAGATAGGTAAGTACTTACTCAGCACAAAGAAATTTGTGATATCATTAGTAAATCGGATTTCAAGTAATTTCTTTGTCTCATTTTGGAAAAGATTGATCCACAGGGAAGGAAAATTTTAGGAGTAAACTCTAATTTAGGGATTCTGGTCCCATTATGAAATAGATCCAACTGCGAATGGGACCCATATGTGGCCCCACACAGCCCCTGGGAACAAAACTCTTGAGTTATACAGTTATAGACAAAGTGAAGACACGCAAAATACCAGGTAGTTACTGATGTCCATTCTTGTGTTTTAAACTACAAACTGAAATGTATTGTGTACTTTCCATTAGCGACTTACCTGCTGGGAATATCCTCTAAACATGGGATGGACTACCTTAATCCCATTGACTACACTGTTAGGAATCACATAGCTGGGTCTGAAATGGATACTCATACTTAAGTTGTCTAACCAACAAAGAAACAAGTGATCTCTTCATTACAGGGTCCTACACACTCTAAAAAATACTGAATTATCACAGGGTCATACAACCACTTAAAGTACAGAATCTTTACAGAGTCCTACAAACTCTTTGAAATACTGATTTATCACAGGGTCATAAAACCACTTAAAGTACAGAATCATTACACGGTCATACAAACTCTTAAAATACTGAAAATATGTCAACACTAACAGATATAACAACTATAATTAAATAGGATGTTGCTCACATCAGACCGTAGTAATACAAATCTTACCAGTCATGGAATGTTTACACTGTCACATATGTACAATCATATATTACACCAAACAACAGATTTAAGCTTTCCACTTGTCAGTCACTATACAAAGTGTAGACATCTACATACAAAAACAACCCACCTGCGTTTGTGCCAAACTTCGCTGATCAAACGTTGATAACTTCTTGATAATTTTGGGTTTTTCTCTGGCTGCACAAAGCCATGACAATCAAGGAAGAATCGACTCAGAGGAGGACTGAAAAAATGGCAAATCTCTTTATATTGTTAAAAAAATAATCCTGCAGGAGGGATTAAAGTGTCTATCACCAAGTGATCTTTCATGATTCAATGTAAAAGTTTCAACAATTGATAACATTATTCAACACCCTGAGAAAGATTCATTTAAAAATTTCTTAAGAATAGAATAGACAAGAATGGTTTAAAGTAGACTCAGACCACACAAACAGGTTTTTGAACATCCTACCAAGGTAATATAACCGATACATTTCATAGTAATTGACAGTGATATGTAAGGAGAGGTACTAGGTTTAACAATACAGTAGTCCATTAGTCAAGGTCCAGGGACCTATACGGAAAATAGTCAATTAGTCAAGGTCACGGGACCTATACAGAAATAGTCAATTAGTCAAGGTCCAGGGACATATACAGAAAATAGTCAAGGTCCAGGGACATATACAGAAAATAGTCCATTAGTCAAGGTCCAGGGACCTATACAGAAAATAGTCCATAAGTCAAGATCCAGGGACATATACAGAAAATAGTCCATTAGTCAAGGTCCAGGGACATATACAGAAAATAGTCCATTAGTCAAGATCCAGGGACATATACAGAAAATAGTCCATTAGTCAAGGTCCCGGGACATATACAGAAAATAGTCCATTAGTCAAGGTCCAGGGACCTATACAGAAAATAGTCCATAAGTCAAGATCCAGTGACATATACAGAAAATAGTCCATTAGTCAAGGTCCCGAGACATATACAGAAAATAGTCCATTAGTCAAGATCCAGGGACCTATACAGAAAATAGTCCATTAGTCAAGGTCCCGAGACATATACAGAAAATAGTCCATTAGTCAAGATCCAGGGACCTATACAGAAAATAGTCCATTAGTCAAGGTCCCGAGACATATACAGAAAATAGTCCATTAGTCAAGGTCCAGGGACCTATACAGAAAATAGTCCATAAGTCAAGATCCAGGGACATATACAGAAAATAGTCCATTAGTCAAGGTCCTGGGACATATACAGAAAAAAGTCAATTAGTCAAGATCCAGGGACATATACAGAAAATAGTCCATTAGTCAAGGTCCCGGGACATATACAGAAAATAGTCCATTAGTCAAGGTCCCGAGACATATACAGAAAATAGTCCATTAGTCAAGGTCCAGGGACATATACAGAAAATAGTCCATTAGTCAAGGTCCCAGGACATATACAGAAAATAGGTCAATTAGTCAAGGTCCAGGGATCTATACAGAAATAGTCAATAAGTCAAGGTCCAGGGACCTATACAGAAAATAGGTCAATTAGTCAAGGTCCAGGGACCTATACAGAAATAGTCAATAAGTCAAGGTCGAGGGATGTATACTGACCAGTTAGATAAAGCCTGGAGAGCTGAATTCAGGTAGCATGTGTTTCCCAGATTTTGTAGTCCAGTCAAACCTGAAAATTGATTTACTTACTATAAATGAACTTACATTACAAAGAAAAGATAATTTAAACAAACATTGTAGATAACCTTGCCCCACCTCCCTGTCTATATTAATGACAACTCACTCAATTGGTTTTTTCACAACAACTTTCCTGTTAAAAATAATTTTTATAATAAATAGACTGCTACTCACCACTATATAACATACCTTTGGTGTAATATTGACTGATATTAACAACTGACATTCATCATTGTGTATCAGACATGCAATTTGTCTTTTAAAGAAGACTCATATTATGTCAATGTACTGGATACAATATAACGTAACTATTCTTAAGTGACCCCACTGCACGTTGATGAGTTACCCTATCAGTGAACTGTTGCTAGATATAATACCTACTATCATTTAACAACCCTCATCGCTTTATGTTATCATCCTCAAGGTCAGAGTCAGACTACTCACCAGCTGATGAGTTACCAGGTGTAGGAGAACTGTTGCTAGATATAATAACTACTATTGTTTATTGCTTAACAACCCTCACCTCTTGGCTTTATGTTATCATCCTCAAGGTCGGAGTCAGACTCCTCGCCAGCTGATGAGTTACCACGTGTAGGGGAACTGTTGGTAGAACTTGATGCAGATTTCCTCAACATACTATTCTTCTTCTTTGCAGACAACACACTTGCTGAGTTTTCCGGAATTCTACAAAATTTATCACCCAATAAAAGTAACATTAAATGTCTTTCTCAGCCATACACATTTATCACACATACATGAAAAGTACAGTGACATAGCTGATTTAGTGATTTCTCTTAAATTCAAATCCATGCAGATATTTGTATAACTGATTAATTCCTCTATGTATATGATAAGTAATTATCCTAGAATGAGAATAATTTTTATTGGATGACATATCAGAACCAGGAAAAAGTGATATTTACGTGAAGAAAGGTTTGTTCCTGCCTGGAAACACCTCTGATTCACAAGCGTAGCACCAGATCCTCAGGGTAGACAGGTTGATGGTCATGCTGTGTTTTTTGTCCTGGTTTAAATAAGATACATTAGGTGTAATTCAATGGGTTATTTTCTTTAATGATGATAATCGTGACAAAATGACTTGTGTGTTATAAGACCCAACCAACTAATGCTCCAGGCTAAAGTTTCCTAAAAAAATATGTAAAAGAATTATGATTGTGTTTGTATCTCAAGTTAGAATCACAGGCAGTATGTGTTATGCCCAACCAAATAATCGCAGACATCACCAGATGGTATAGAACACCTATCTAATTGATTTAGGTTATTATACTTCGAGTTTTGATCATTTCTTCATACATAAACAAGTAACTGCTGGCAACTGTCAAGAAAGTGTCAGAAGTTCTATCACATTTCGCTGAAAAGCTTAACCATTTACGGAATGTGTTGAGAAGTGACCCTGACCTTGAATGTAGTCTATCATGTAAACTTTCCACAAGTATGACCTTGACCCTTGTACGTGTGATATATCCACTCACCATGGCATGTTCCGAGCTATGATCCTTGACTGATTCACCACAGCCTACATACTGACAAGCCCCAACCAGACACAGCCATAAATTGTTGGCTTTCACATCACAAGTGTTGCATGTCAGATCCTTCAGCTGTAACAAAAATATTCCGAGTATATCCAATAACATCAGAGTATAAAGAATAAACATCACTGTTGTCAATAACAAACCAAATTCATTGAAAACTTCACTGATGAGTGATGACTGCTCTTAATACAATCTGTCTATCTTTCTTCTCATTCATATGTGTAAACTTATGTTTATAATGAGTTGTGCTTATTATAGGTAAAGTATAATTATATAACCATTATTATCGTCACTGTAGTGGGAAGTATAAGAAACTATTTATCACTGTAGTGGGAATGTAGTGGGAAGTATCTATCATCACTGGAGTGGAAATATAAGAAACTATTTATCACTGTGGTGGAAAGTATAAGAAACTATTCATCACTGTGGTGGAAAGTATAAGAAACTATTCATCACTGTGGTGGAAAGTATAAGAAACTATTCATCACTGTGGTGGAAAGTATAAGAAACTATTTATCACTGTAGTGGGAAGTATAAGAAACTATTTATCACTGTAGTGGGAAGTATAAGAAACTATTTATCACTGTAGTGGGAAGTATAAGAAACTATTTATCACTGTAGTGGGAAGTATAAGAAACTATTTTTCATCATTACAGTGGGAAGAATAAAAAAATATTTATCATTACTGTAGTGGGAAGTATCTATCATCATTGTAGTGGGAAGTATAAGAAACTATTTATCATCACTAATATGGGAAGTATCTATCATCACTAATGTGGGAAGTATTTTGAAAGGAACACAAGGTGCCATGGATAAGGAGCATCAAACCACACACCTCTGGCCTTCACTGAGGTTACATAGGCCTATGTTCTAACTAAATGAGCTACTACGCCCCCATTAATACTTAATATGACTTCACAAAATCCAGTAGTAGTTTTTATCTAAATGTCATCCCCTCATTCTTTTCACCATTTTACAAAACCACATAGCAGTTTATATCTAAATTTGTTCACCTCATGTTTGGTACGAAGTTCTTCCCAGGTAACACTGTCAACATAGGACACATGTGGGCAGCTTGACTGCTTCTTTGATGCCATTATACTCTGGCGTGTGGATCTTGTTAACTTCTGAAATGTTAATGCCAAATTGGTCACAATTCATACACATACATTACAATAAATTTCACATTCAACATCCACCATGTAAATACTCATTGTTAACTTCTGTTTACTTTCATATCGCATCAGATCCAATTAAAGCTTAAAAAACCATTATTATATTCTACAGAATCATGCAGGCTTTGACACTGACTTGAAAAAATGTTTGGTAAAATTGTGGTGTCCAATCTTATTTGGATTGATTTTAAAACAAATCTTGTTACATCTAAAATCAAGTAATTCCTAGAAAAGTATAACACTTGGCTTTCTGTGTTAAAACCAGGAATCCAGTTGGCATAGTGTGTTCTGTAAATAGAATATTTTCATGGAGGCTTAAGCTTACTTTTTATAATCATGTTTCCAAAATATGTGATATTTTGTCAAGGTATCTTTCAATGCTGGATTGGCTTATATAACTTTTACCTAAGTTTATCAGGTTTAATTCTGCATTATTAATGTTAAGGGAAAATTTCAGGATTTTCAAGAAAGTTGATGGGATTCCATCACCATCCCATCTACATTTTGCAATTGAAATTTTCAGCAAAAGCATTGGCAAAAAATTCCAAAATCTCAGCCAAGAGTGATTCAAGATTCTTATTCCTCTGTTTTACGATTTGGTTACACATGAACAGTACTGATCATTATCCTAGTAATTGCAAGTACACATGACTTTTACTCAATTCTTCAATCAGTCAAAACAATTACAATAAATATTTGCAAATATGGGTATGATGTTGTTTCAAATACATATGCTAGCTTATTACTTGCTGAATTACCCATTGCATACATATACAAAATGAGATGTGTGAGCTCATACTTATGCTAACCATTGCTTTAAAATTTTAAACAGCAACTTGAAGTTGACATATCATTGAAAAAGGGGTTACCAATTGAATGAACAGCTGCCAGAGTTAAGTACTAAGATATAGCACAGTGATAAAGAAGACATCAAATTTGGTCAATCTTAGGTTCGATTAACATTAACTAACACATAGTTGATATTAAACGACAATTGGTGGAACAATCTCCAGACATCTTGTCACTATATATTCTAATATAAGTTTTAAAAGGATTAAAAGCTAAAGACAGGGATGTTAATATGGTAATATAATATTGATTTGGGTCTTATATTTGTATTCCTAATTTACTCACTTGGCCTCTGTTCATCTTGTTTTAAGTACAAAAGGTCAGGCTTCATTTATACATTCTTATATACATTGTTATCTTAGTACTGGGCAGTAACAGTCAAGTGGCGGGGCAATCCCCAAACAGCTTGACAGTTACACTAGGCAGTGAACTTATTAGGATGGTCCTTCCAGTGGGTGTTCAGCCTGGTTTTAAAGCTATTCACAGAGTTTGCTGTAATAACACTATCCAGCAAATTTTTCCAAGAATTGATTACATGGTCGGAGAATGTATTTTTGCAGGTATTGCACCGAAACGGTCTTTTGTACAGTTTTTCCTGTTCCCTCTTGAGGCTGTGTATTCTGGTTGTACAAACATACTTCCTGAATCAATTTTATTAATAATTTTAAGCAGTTGAATCTGGTCAGCACGTAACCTCCTATACTCCAGCGCTTGGAGACCTAACGTCCTCAGTCTCTCAACATAGGACAGGTTTCTCGGGGTTGGGACACGCTTCGTGACCCTTCCACTAGCAAATTTGGTACATACATGTGATTCTAAAAGAAGTTGATCAAATTTTTACTACCAGGTACGCTGAGAGTCCTGTCTTAGCTGCATTGATATTCAGTAGTGTTTGTTACCTGGGGACGTCGGAAGGTTTAGAGGATGGAGTGGGTGTTACAGATGGCTAGAAAAGAGCAATACTACCAGACTACATTTCGATCTTTCATATGTGATGCAGCATGTATTTGGTACTTTATAAGCTAGTTCATAAGTAGTATTGTTGGATATCCGTTAACATCAGGGTATGCAATTCCTTATATTACAGAATAAATAACAGACTAACAACTGACCACGTTGAGCTGCTTTCACTTTCCTGAATCGGTTGACATTCATGATCATGTTTTGAAAAAAAAATATAAATCGAAGTGAGGCCAAGTTTTTAGTTGGTAAAAGTCTGCAGATACGAATCATATTTACTCTTCAATACAAACCTGGTGCTTGTATCTCCTTATGTATCTAGACGACAGCAAGCAAGATCATGTCTCGTTTTTCATGTCATCATTTCGCCATGAATGGGAAGTTGATTTATTCAGGAAGGATAACTCTGAATTACAACAATACTCGTGTGTAAAGGTAACGTGGGTCTGAGAGCGCACGCGGTTACTAAAGTTTTCAACAGTTATTATATCATATATATTCAAATATCCAGGACTAGGATTACAAGTCTCAATTCTAATTACTTTCAAATTTATACAGACTCGGTTTATTGTATTTAATATTCCTGAAAATTAACTTATCGTTAGTTAGCAGTTGTGTGTTATCATAAAGGTCAGCTGAACATGATAACCCAAACTCAATAAAATAAGATATTAATAGAATACCTTTGAAACATACGGTACATGATGATGAACATATATATTTATTCAGATTGCTTATATCTGAAACTTGAGCAGAAAGATGACAACATGTTATTTTCGGGTCTTGAAATCCAATAAGCCGTGGCCACGATCTATCGGAAAAAAGTGACACATTTTAAAACTTCTTCTCAAGCTCAACTGGTACTATTTAGTTGGAAGTGACTTGATATTGGTGGGAATGTTAAGGACATAGAGAGACAAAGGATTGTTAGTTGTTGGCCTTCCCAAAAAATCTATATAGCAGCCTTTGCGGTCATTTTGTAAAGCGATTAATATTGCCTATTTCAAACCTCCTATCTAATTTCACCAGTTGAATTTAACTGAAAATTAAGTGAAATCATCGTGTTATAATTTTTTGGGTCAGTCCGAATTCCAATATATAGCCTACTAATACTGCTGCTACTACTACCACCACCACCACTACTACTACTGTTACTACTACCACCACCACCACCACCACTACTACTACCACTACTACTACTGTTACTACTACCACTACTACTACTACTACCACTACTACTACTGTTACTACTACCACTACCACCACTACCACCACCACTACTACTACTACTATTACTACTACTACTACTACTACTACTACTACTGTTACTACTACCACCACCACCAACTACCACCACTACCACCACCACCACTACTACTACCACCACCACCACCACCACTACTGTTACTACCACTACTACTACTACCACTACTACTACTACTACTACTCTACTACTACTACTACTACTACTACTACTACTACTACTACTACTACTACTACTACTACTACTACTACTACTACTCTACTACTACTACTACTACTACTACTACTACTACTACTACTACTACTGCTGCTGTTTCTGCTGCTGCTGCTGCTGCTATATTTAAGTCTCCATTGTCTTATAAACGTTAACATGATTAACATAATGTGACAGATACGTTTATTATGCGAGAATATTTCGATAGATTTGTTGTTACAAAAAGAGGAACACTTTTTTATTTTCTTTTAATCTGTAGGTCACTTGCCCAGCGGTAACTGCAGGTAGTTATGCCGTGGAACACTGCTTTTTGATAATAAGAGGTTCAAGTTACTGATATTGAACCTAGCTTGTGGCATGTTGAGATTAAGGGCAACCAAGTTTGTTCAAATGAATAACACTGGTCCACTTTCAAGGTCACATGTGTCAGGTGTGTTTTTATTTCAAAAGTACTTCTCCTCAATAACAAAGAGCCCCAGTGGTGCTAATAATGTCCCTGTTGTATGCTGAGACATAAGTCTGTATACTTCAAATATTATACTTATTGGTTTGTAGCTTCAAAGAGCAGAAAATAATTTCCGAGAGAAGTCGTGTAAGTCTGTATATAGATCGTTCATAAGCATTTTGTCTAGTATTTCAGCTGTTATTGTACCCAGTCGTATGTTTTCACATTGCTAAGATTCTACCGTGTAAGTATTCGGTTCTCCTTTGCATGCTTCTGGGAAGTTAACTGTACGTTTTTCTCTATCAGTTATTTTCGGAAGCGTGAACAATTTATACATAAACACATCCTCGATACTTCAGGGGTTATCGTCACTTTCGTTCTCTGCAATCCCTGGGACATGTCATGGCAATATTGAAGGCACAAACGGAGTAATTTGATTGGCTATAGGGGGCCAAAACTGACAAATCAGAGACTGATACGCACCCAACTTCAAAGCCATTACAATATACCGTTATGCGACCCAGAGATTCGTTTTATATACATCAAAGGATGATACTAGTCTTTTCGTCTTGTTCACAAGGTGTCGCATATGACACCTTCAGTTTTTGATATGACATGTTCCAGGGGTGTAGAGGCTTTATGGAGCAATTTTGTGATAGATTTACAAGGACTTCTGTTTGCACATTATCATGTTTTCAAAAGTGTTTGCCGTTGTCGAAATATTATTAGAAACAACAGATATTCAAGTTTGAAATGTATACCTACCTTTTGTTAATTGAACCCGCCGCCATCTTTAAAAAGCCATTCCTTGGCGGGTACACGACAGAACATGACTAATTATTATTTGTCTTGAGAAAATCTGGATGTTATTTAGATACGTTTTCCTTAGTTATAATTTTTGACCATATGTAGACTTGACCATATAACCGAACGGAGGAAGAAACTGGATACATAAGAATTGCAGAAAAAAAAATCAGAATATTTTCTGATGGCGTCAGCGTGTGACGTCACTTCAGTAAGATTCGTATATATGGACATCGCATTTGCGTAATCGGCTCCAATCCTTTTCAATAACCGCTAGAAGCATTCCAGGACTTCGAAGGGTCAGTTTCAGGACTGCTACGAGACGGATTGCATGAGGCCAACATCCGCCCGCGACGTACCGCTAAACGTCCAGTTTTGCTTCGACGTCACAGGGTTGCGCGCTTAGCATGGTACAGGAGGCATAAACGATTCACCATTAAACATGGACTGGTCTGAAGTGGTATTCATAGATTAGTCCAGATTTGATAGTGGCCGGACGGTCGTGTTCGGGTGTACCGTCGACCGGGAGACCGTTACAGTGACGGTTGTGTTCGGGCGTACCATCGGCCGGGAGAACGTTAGAGTGACGGTTGTGCTCGGGTGTACCGTCGGCCGGGAGAACGTTACAGTGACGGTTGTGTTCAGGTTTACCGTCGGCCGGGAGAACGTTACAGTGACGGTTGTGTTCGGGTGTACCGTCGGCCTGGAGAACGTTACAGTGACGGTTGTGTTCGGGTGTACCGTCGGCCGGGAGAACGTTACAGTGACGGTCACGTTCGGGTGTACCGTCGGCCGGGCGAACGTTACAATGACGGTTGTGTTCGGGTGTACCGTCGGCCGGGAGAACGTTAGAGTGACGGTCACGTTCGGGTGTACCGTCGGCCGGGAGCACGTTAGAGTGACGGTCACGTTCGGGTGTACCGTCGGCCAGGAGAACGTTACAGTAAACTTGACCTGTGTGCGTTACCGCAACAAAATTACACATCATCTTTTCTTCCATTTATGCTACAACAACAGGCCGTCACCGTGCTACATTAGTGAGCTTTTTGAGGTGGAACGGAGAGTTGTCTACGCCAGAAGCCAAACCCCTCCGGTGATGTAGGACGCACTGCGTCGTAAATTGTCAGGCATTTGATCAGTTCCACGTGTCATAAGTGTGTGACAGACATCAATGCGAATAGTTGACTTAATACACAATATGGAAATTGTGAAACTGAATTTGAACCCAATCCTGATTGACCGACCGATTGTCTGATTCACCGTGTCATCATAGAGATAGTATATTGCAGAGACAGATTTGATACCAATATAACATATTATTCTGCGTTTGAGTTTATAAATTAAACAGTTGAAATTTGATTCCAGGATCGATACATCAATTAAACTACTATGACAAAAACATGCATTTATCAAAGAATCTGAGGCCGTGGTAGCTCAGTAAAGTGTGACCAACACAACCACGTGTTATGTCTCCAATATGCATTAAGAGAATTGTCTTCTCGAATCAAAAAAAATATTTGTAGATGGAAGTTTTACAAAGAAATTGGTTGTCTCCCTTACTTCGTGTTATTGTTCAGTAAATGTAAAATAAATAAATGTAACGATAAATATAACAATAAATGTGATCCTGTCACTACTATTGTGATGAACATGGCCCCACAGAATTAAACAGTTTATATTGTTGCTTAGAGATAGGTCGAGGTCAGTTCTAATACCCAATGTGTCATGCCAGTGTGGTATCTGGTGACCTTCAATTTAATAAAGATGGCAGAGTGTAAAACGTAAAAATACGAAAAAAGTTTAACATGAATTACTATACATATAAGTTTTCAAAACAACAGAAATTCTAAATACCAATATCTTTCATAATCTGTGTGTTTTTAATAGTTTACAGTTAAGTTATTTGGCTCTCTAACACTGTGGTGAAAAAAACATACTGGATTAGAACTATTAAGGAGCCGAGAGAAAACGGAATGCTGTCGAACCGAGATTTTAAATCTTTGAAAAGTAGCCTAGATGGAATACAGGAATAGTAAAGATATTGAAATTATATTCCTGTTTCCAGTTAACCCCATTAAATCCTCCCCATTTACCCAATTTTCTTCTCTCACGAGACTCATTTGTAATAACAGCTCTACATTCCCCATAAGCATATTTCTTGTTATCACGTGATTTAATTGTAAATTGTTATCTCATTATTCATTATGGAATAATCATCCTAAGGCATGGTATTGTGTACCACATGTATGAAATGATGTTGATTCTGTCCACGTGTAATCTACTCTCTGTCACAATATTGTGTACCACATGTATGAAATGATGTTGATTCTGTCCACGTGTAATCTACTCTCTGTCACGATATTGTGTACCACATGTATGAAATGATGTTGATTCTGTCCACGTGTAAATCGATATTGTGTACCACTCTCTCGTGTAATCTACTCTCTGTCACGATATTGTGTACCACATGTATGAAATGATGTTGATTCTGTCCACGTGTAATCTACTCTCTCTGTCACGATATTGTGTACCACATGTATGAAATGATGTTGATTCTGTGACGTGTAATCTACTCTCACTGTCACGATATTGTGTAACACATGTATGAAATGATGTTGATTCTGTCCACGTGTAATCTACTCTCTGTCACGATATTGTGTACTACATGTATGAAATGATGTTGGTTCTGTCCACGTGTAATCTACTCTCTGTCACGATATTGTGTACTACATGTATGAAATGATGTTGATTCTGTCCACGTGTAATCTACTCTCTGTCACGATATTGTGTACTACATGTATGAAATGATGTTGATTCTGTCCACGTGTAATCTACTCTCTCTGTCACAATATTGTGTACCACATGTATGAAATGATGTTGATTCTGTCCACGTATAATCTACTCTCTCTGTCACGGTATTGTGTAACACATGTATGAAATGATGTTGATTCTGTCCACGTGTAATCTACTCTCACTGTCACGATATTGTGTACCACATGTATGAAATGATGTTGATTCTGTCCACGTGTAATCTACTCTCACTGTCACGATATTGTGTACCACATGTATGAAATGATGTTGATTCTGTCCACGTGTAATCTACTCTCTGTCACGATATTGTGTACCACATGTATGAAATGATGTTGATTCTGTCCACGTGTAATCTACTCTCTGTCACGATATTGTGTACCACATGTATGAAATGATGTTGATTCTGTCCACGTGTAATCTACTCTCTCTGTCACGATATTGTGTACCACATGTATGAAATGATGTTGATTCTGTCCACGTGTAATCTACTCTCTCTGTCACGATATTTGACTTATGTAATATTTTAGAACATCTTGTTATACATACTGTCAAGTATGTCATAATTAAGTATGAAATGTTTTTAAAAAGCGGATTGTCCTCTGACGTCGCGGTTTTGTCGCTGGGCAAGACACTCCATCCTCATAGATCTAAACGGCCTGTGAAGGGCCTCCCGTATTGTGTTCAGTGAAGTGGTCACAAAAGACTCCGCCTCATGGACACTGGCTGTTCATGGCGCGGTAACCTCGGACAAACAAACAATGAAAAGTCACTTAGATACAGTAGTAACGCGCTTGTCTTTCACTGACTTAGGTGCCCGCAGTTTGATTCCCGGAACGGAGGTGAAATGATATGGGGTCACCGGCCTGTTCTGATGGTTTTCCTCGTGCACTCTGGTGTCCTCACACACTAAGGCCCCTTCGGACCATCAAAAAAATTATAAAAGTTGAAAAAGATAAATAAAGTTTATTTAAACCACGTACGTGTATCTGAATATCTTTTAAATGCACCGATATTTAAAATCTCCAACGGTCCTCGTCTTTGATTACAAGTATTGATTATCTTGTCACTGTCAATGGTTTGTCACATATGTGCCTAGTGTGCACAAATCTATATGAGTGACATACGAGAATACACATGTCTCGAATTATCAGGCTTTATCTAAGAGAACCCACGTAGGAATTTATTTACATACATAGTTTTTACTGCAGCAGGTGTCAAGATTTAAACCGTTGCAAGGTCACGTGAATTTGCATTGTAATAACATTAAACCTTAACACACATAAATCATTCAAAGATTGTCGTGTCTTTCTAAACATGGGGCCTAATAATGCACTTCGATTATTTATTGATCAATACAAAATACCTTAAAGTTAGAACAATACACGCAAATCTATGGATCCCTGATAACAGTCCAATTTTGCAGAGACAAGTGACTGAGGCGTTTTAGGAAGGTAGAGATATATAGACTGGCAATTGTCGCTTGTTATCAGTGTTGTACGAAGTAGGCGTGCTATCTGTTCATATGGGTAGTTATTGGTAGCCACACGTATACACTGTTACACAACACGCACAGACAAGTACCCATAGTATTACCAGGAAGAGAGAAACATTTATCTAACGTTGATGTGTTATTGTGGAATCCACTGTCCGGATTTTGTATTGCACGAGAGTAGGAATAGGTATCATGTGATATCAACGTTATCGGGATTGATTCAGACTGCCAATTATTGTGAAAACGACGCTCGTGTTAACTTACTTGACCTAACAATACGTAACAAAGGATTGACAACCACTAGTACAAAGTAATTGCAGTAGTGCATTGATTGCTAGCTAAAAGAAGCTTGACTTCCAGTTTATGAGTGAGAATGGATCCCCCTGTTGATTATAGCCGATACACTGGGCATTATCGAGACACCTCAGCTGATGGACGTTTTCCACCATCAAGAACGCGTGATCACCGGAGTCCACAAATAGGAATTGGTACTACTTCTCCATCCTGGGACCAGCAACATTCGTTTTCGAGGGGACGGAGTCCAGATCCATTTCGTGAAACTGCCTTTAACGGCAACATGGGAAGATACGCTCAAGAAGACCGTGGGACTTTTTTCCCACCTGGGGGGATTCAGCAACCAGTTCGACCATTACCGCGAAAAGATGGTGACCACATGGGATTTACTAGAGTCCCTAACGGAAACCCGCGGTACCAGAAGAGTTTCCGAGACCGTTACCTTGGGGATAAAACCAGATATGCATCAATGTCATCTCGCGGTTCTGACGAACGACCCAAATTCGCATATGACAATATGGGGTTTCAGCCGAAATACAGGGAACCGGAAAGAAGAAGTGATGGGTCACTGGCTTCAGTTCAGCGGGGATACATGTTTGATACAGACTTCGGCCACAACCAGGTAACAGACAAATACGACGAAAATAACTACATCTACCGCGATCGACGAATGGCGAATGGCTCGACAAGAAAGATGAACAGATCGAAATACAGTGATGTTGACGAAGGTGAGAAGAAAGTCCGACGCGGTGTAGGATTTGCCATGCTTCTGCGTTTAGTGACGTGTTTACTGATATTCTGGGATCTGGCCAATGACTGGGTTGTAGGTGCTTCCGGACCGTCTCCGTTTGTACGGCAAGATGAATCGACTAGCAAAGCATGTTCCCAAAACGAAGATGTTTTTGAGTATTTGAACATCAGCAATACAAAGGCCAGGGAATCCATATGCTTGGACACTGTAAACATTTGGACATCACTGACAGTTTTTATGTTGCTAGGGTCACTTATAGCAATAATTCAGTGCATCAATATCACCATGGAAACAATTACTATCGTTCGTGGGAAGAAGGTTTTCCGGATCTTGTCAGGACAAAGTGAACTTTGTTTAACCATATTTTGCGAGGAAATACCCCAAGCAATCATTATGATAGTGTTGCTATTCCATTGTAAATGTCCACCCAACAAAGTGGACATTAACCTCTTTGCACTGTTGGCAAGCATCAGTGCGTGTGTGAGCGCCATCTTCCGTCTCTGTGTGAGTTATGATTACGTCACTGGTAATGATGGATGCTGTAACCAATGGTGGCGATGCTGCTGTTGTCGTAACATTGACTACTGTTGTGAAGTCAAACCCCGCGAATTCTTCTGTACATGTGAAATTCCGTTTCCGATGTTTTGTTGCACACTAAATTGTGATCACTGCAAATGTTCTCCGGTGACATGGTGCAATTTTATTCTGAAAACATTCGGATGTTTCTGTGATTGTTGTCAGGAAAAAGAAACCAGCTATGGAATTCGTCTGGTCAACCTGTTCGGAATATCTCTGCTGTTACTGTCTTTCGGATTGCAAGTCTTTGTATTCGTCGTTACAGTGCACTAACTTGAGGCCGTTCTAATAGTTTACTAGACGTTTAGTAATTTTTTACCAATGACATCATGTCTTCTACATCAACACGAGCAGCGAAAGTAACCAGTTTGTGGCCGCGATATGGAGTTGTATATAGAGAGAATGTATGGTCAATGTCATAAAATAGCAGTATTTTGGCGAAGGCGAAGAAAGGCAAAAGTGGCAAGCCTCTGCTTATATTTTAAGACACTGACAATGTATTCTATTTTTCCTGCAACATTTACTGAAAATCAGACCATTGAAACTTTCACAATTTTGTTGTTCAACATGACATTGACCTTGCGCTGAATTTTGCCTGATGACGGACGTCAAAATCATTGCTCCGCGCGGAAACATAGTTCCAAATTTCATCGGATATAACAGTGATTTTATGAATTTTCATAAATCAACTTGTTCATTACAACATGTAAAATCGCTTATTTCAACAATTTTTTTTTCATATTTCTAAACGTAATAGTTAAGTAAATTCGGAGAGTAATTATGTCGAACTACCGCACGTGTTAAAAACACGGCTGTTTTCCGTCACTGTCGAATACAGCAAAATTACATATGGCAGGTGTATTCCGACAATGGCGGTGCTAGTTGCAGGATAAGTCTACATAGAATGTTATCCTTTGAAAGTGAAAATGTCAGTGTTTAAAACAGAATAATCCATAGCCGTAGACAGGTGTTGCAAGCTTTGAGTGTCGGTTTTGTTTTATTTCCTATTGGTTCAAATGGTTAACCTTTAACAAACTTCTTACAACAATTATATGTATGCACAGTCGATGTCGTTGCCTGGCGAGAGTTAAAAACATCGACTTTAATATATCTGTGCATTCAAAACCATGTTAGCATGACATAATAATATTTGAACTAATTGTACCCAGACAATATATAATTACCGTCTATCGGCATACCCGTATATAACCTGTACCATGCACATGTGGTCAATCAGAGTTAGCACAAGTTCGAGAAAGATGTGTGTGACTAGTTCTTAACCCGCACCAATAAAGTCCACTGCATGATTCTTATCCCTCACAGTGGGCAAGTAGTGTTGATATTTCCGTCATAACTACTATTGGCCTCTAAACGCCCACTTGTCTTTCGTGTCAGAAAACTACCATGAAAAAAACTGAGGAATTGGTCCGTGCGAAGTGAGATGGCAAAAAGAAAGTACATGCGTCTTCTTGGAAGTTACCAGTCACAACGTAACAAAGGATAATACTGGTGGGATATGCTAAGTGATCAATTATCTTGTCTTTCCCTTTTCATACTTCGTACATTTTCAAAATGTAGTTTTTAGCAATTGTCTGAAAAGAACCATCGTTTTATCTCTTGGAGTTTGTTGGACAGACAGTTCGTATTTGTAGTTAGTTTTTCCCCCATATTTGTGTTGATTACTAACGAACAGTTATTTTTTTCATCACCCAGGACCTGGGCCGACTATATAATTTCTATCCTACTATCACTTGTGTTAGAGGTACCAAAATTAGATAATTTTAAAAGTGTCACATGTAAAGATGTACATGGAAACCTATTTTTAATACAAATTACAACTGTATATCAAAAACCAACAATCATAAACAATTTATGAATTCCGTCCGCGAGGTTTGCCGTAGTCTGCATTCCACGTTTTAATTCATTCGATTAGTGACACGGTTCAGGTGCAGGTTTATAGAATATATGACTCTACTGCATCTAACTCTAAATCATTAAAAGGTCCTTTTCATTTGTGTGTCTTTTGTACAATCTATCTGCGATTTCAATTGTTTACTTGGTCGGTATCGAACGCGACAAAGTCAAAAATTAAAACCGCGTATAATCGTGATATCTCGACCTGCATTATGTAGCCATTGTATATTATTTTTGAAATTGATTGAGTGTAACATTTTCCGCCCCATACCAACAGATGGACCACAAGAAAGACATACAGACACGTCCGCCAATAGCAGATAAAATGTGATAGTGGGACTGGATTCTGAAAATTATGTATTTTTAATACAGTGTCTATTGAAGTGAAATTTTATATTAAAAGCATTACATATAAATCGTATATTTTTTCTGTACGAATTACATGGACTTATATGTAGAGTTAATAGTCTCAAGCATTAAATTTAAGGTTTTAGTAGGGAGACTGGGCCGAATGTCGAGACGGAAGGCGAAAGTCCTTTTCTGGCTCTTCTCCTTGCGTAACTTTCTATGTAAATAGTTTTGTAACAAAGTATACAATCACCCTAATAAATCACTTTGTAATTGTTTTATTTGTTTTTTTGTCTTTAGCTACCCAACAAAGACACTCGTAACTCGATTGGTTCATAACAATGCTGACAGGTAGTCAACACTGGAATATTTTCTGACAATAGTATACAAAGTTTGAAAGTAATAATCTTCGTGCACGTTCATGTAAGTCGAGATTTCAATGCCACAAGATCGATTTCCTACATTTGGCAACACAACAATGTTATTGATCACGATCTTACAAACGAAGAGGTGAGGTCATATCGGTGATCACCCTGCTCAACACGAAACTTCCGGGTTGGTTATTATCAACCTCGCTGCACGTCTTCACCTTAAAATGCACAAATATTTAAGTTGCGTGATAACAAAGATAAAACTACGGTCGATAATACACTTGTCCCCTGTCTGTTTACCTCACAGTTATAATATTCAGTTATAGCTGCCCGAATGACCGGATTGTTAATCAACGATGTTGCTGTGCCATGTGTTAGTCTGTCCCAGTAAATCTGAGTAATTGTGGAAGTGATTCTGTATCACTGTCTAAGTGAGTCCATGTCACTGTCTTAGTGAGTCTGAGTCACTGTCTAAGTGAGTATGAGACACTGTCTTAGTGAGTCTGTATCAGTCAGATTGTCATTGTTGTAGCGAGTCGGACTCCATGCCTAAGTCAGTCTGTGTTACTATCAGTGAGTCCTTATCACTGTCTTAGCGAGTCAGTGCCTCTTGTCTGAGCGATTCGGAGTCACTGTCCAAGTCCTCCTCGATACTCTAGGGGTTACGATCACTTTCGCACTCTGCACCCCTGGAACATGTCATGGCAAAATAGAAGGCAGAAGCGAAGTAATTTTATTGGATCCAGGAGAAATTAACAGACCAATCACAGACTGATCATGCTCCTTTCCAAGATTACAAAGGAGCGACACCAGCTTCAAAGCCATGACGATATTCCGTTACGCCGTCTCGTGATTTATTTGATGTACATCAAATGATCCAACTGATATTTACGGCTTGTCGACAACGTGCCGCACATGGAACCTTTAATTTTGACATGATATATTCCAGCGGTGCAGAGAACGAAAGTGATCGTAATCCCTGGAGTATCGGGGGTGTGTTAGTTAGTCTTTATCAATATCTAAGCGAGTATGTATCAGTGGCTTAGTGAGTCTGTGTCACTGCTCTAGCAAATGAATAGTGTAATATTGAAGTCACCTTGGTCTTTCAGATCACAATAAAACCACACAAAAAACTCTCTGATACTTTAGATTATTCGTTTATTTACAAATATCATTTTAGCGTTTTTCTGGCTGGATATGATATAAAATCAGTTTGTCTAATGGGGCAACTTATGTCATGTTATATAACAAACAGACTTCACATCATATCTAGTCAGTGAAAACCCCAGAATAATCCCACCTCAGCCATTTCTTCAGTGATTTCACCAAGTGGTGTATGAAGGTCAACTTAAGCCTACTGCTGAGGACGTATTTTTTTACAAGCACAGTATTGTAGTAGAAGGGAGGGAACTCTCGCAGACTCACATCCAGTCACAAAATTAACATAATATGTACTCCCAAACATTAACTGATACATTAGAAATAAAACTAGATCACAATAAAACCACACAAAAAACTCTCTGATCTTTAGATTATTCGCTGATATAAAATCAGTTTGTCTAATGGGGCAACTTATGTACTTCATCAATTTGCCATCAGACACTTCATACACTTTAACCACTCATACAACAGTGTTATCTGTTCAATTAGTGCCATCAGACACTTCAGACACTTTAACCACTCATACAACATTGTTATCTGTCCAATTAGTGCCATCAGACACTTTAACCACTCATACAACATTGTTATCTGTTAAATTAGTGCCATCAGACACTTCAGACACTTTAACCACTCATACAGCAGTGTTATCTGTTCAATTAGTGCCATCAGACACTTCAGACACCTTAACCACTCATACAACAGTGTTATCTGTTCAATTAGTGCCATCAGACACTTCAGACACTTTAACCACTCATACAACAGTGTTATCTGTTCAATTAGTGCCATCAGACACTTCAGACACTTTAACCACTCATACAACAGTGTTATCTGTTCAATTAGTGCCATCAGACACTTCAGACACTTTAACCACTCATACAGCAGTGTTATCTGTTCAAGTAGTGCCATCAGACACTTCAGACAACTTAACCACTCATACAACAGTGTTATCTGTTCAATTAGTGCCATCAGACACTTCAGACACTTTAACCACTCATACAACAGTGTTATCTGTACAATTAGTGTCATCAGACACTTCAGACACCTTAACCACTCATACAAATGTTAACTGTTCAATTAGTGCCATCAGACACCTCAGACAACTTAACCACTCACACAAGTGTTATCTGTTCAATTAGTGCCATCAAACACTTCAGACACTTTAACTGCTCTTACAACAGTGTTATCTGTTCAAGTAGTGCCATCAGACACTCTAACCACTCATACAACAGTGCTATCTGTTAAATTAGTGCCATCAGACACTTCTGACACTTTAACCACTCATACAACTGTGTTATCTGTTCAATTAGTGCCATCAGACACTTCAGACACCTTAACCACTCATACAACAGTGTTATCTGTTCAATTAGTGCCACCAGACACCTCTGACACTCTAACCACTCATACAACAGTGTTATCTGTTCAATTAGTGCCATCAGACACTTTAGACAACTTAACCACACATACAACAGTGTTATCTGTTCAATTAGTGCCATCAGACACTTCAGACATCATATCACCATTCGCAACACAAAGCAATAATGTGATAATAGATAGTACCATAAAAAGAAGGATGGAAAGTGCTCCATATACAATACAAATACTGTCACTGGTTTCATGTAATAATAGGATTTAACAATTGATTGCCTATAAATATATATATGTATATATACATATATATCACTATTGTTCTATCAATGTGAAGCATAAGAGTCCCTACTGATAAACAGCTATAACACTGCTTGTGCTTTATCTCCCTTGGAATGTGGAGTTAATTACTACATGTTCATTCACTCAGTATCTTTAATTCATACAAATATCAATAAACACATCACTCCTCCATAATGACATAAATCACAGGTAACAGCTTTCATTTATACTTATAATTTAATAATATAAATATCAATTGAAAAGTGAACTAAAAAACATTATAAAGACACATTTCTGCTGATTAATCTTCATTCCTGATTAAGAATTAACACATTCATACTTTACAGACACAAACGTTTGACAGTTGGCAATGACAAATTATTGTACACAGAGACTACAAATAAATTATTCCTTCTCCCAACAAACAGTTTACAAATCCCAGTGAAGGATGACCCTGTTTTATACCATTAAAGATCATTTCATCAGTAACATGAAACACTTTATCATGAGAGTCATCCTCTTCAAGCCATCTAAAGCTGCAACTCCCTTGATCTGTGAACTGTTTTCTCGGATCCAAACCAGTTACTTGAAACTGGTTATATGCTGATTAACCTACACTTCTGTAAGCACATCAGTATTCTTTGTGAAAACCTCAGTTGATACCCCAAATTTCACCTCAATATATTTACATTAACAAATGAATAAAAAGTGTAAGTTAAACACTGTAAATGACATTGATTATGGTAATCATTATGGCATCGTTAATGTTGTCATAGAGACAGGGAAAGTACCATCAAAAAGATCTTTCCGTTTGAAGGATTGCAGTTTTGTATAGAATATAGATATAGGAACAGAATTATCTTCTACTGGAATTTACGATAGTAGGAATTACAGATGTTTTGCAGGCAGAGATCCTATATTTTGATTGCACTAGTATATAATTTGATGTTCGTCTGCAAAGCTCTGCATTGATTCTGACTGTAAATGTCATGGCACAACAATCACATGCCTTATCAATCTCGTACAAAATTCTTAACTGAATATTTTTCATTTAGAAATAGAATACCTCTGTTGGTTTTCTTAAGTATCCTTGACTAGAAATATTCTCATGTTGGCAGAACTAGCACCTTAACCAGGTTACTGGTCACTATATATATATATATGCACAGGATGAAAAGTCAAAGTCTTCAGGATCCAAACTGCCTAAGAAGATTACTCCCAGATAAACCACTTTTAGACTAATTTGATGCACATTTACGAAAAAAAATTTTACTTTGTACACAGGACATTCATATTATCATGTATTTAAATAATGTTTCTTTGTTTATTTGTTTCTGTTCTCTTTAAGCAGACCTACCTGAGACAGAACAGATTTTGAATATAGTCAGGCCCCATACTGCTATGAGTATTGTTTTTCAAGAGGTGCTTTCATCACGAAACCAGCTGTGATATGCGACCAGTTCATTTATGGGGACAATCCCGAAACCTATCCCTGGTTACATATGAAAAATGTCACAATGTGATGAGTGCAAAAGATAATAGATTTGCTCTCTCCAAGTCTAAACTTGGTTCTAATCACGTGACTGCTCTTGTGATGTTTTCAGCTTGGTTCTAATCATACTCATGACTGCTCTCACGCTGTTTTGGCTTGGTACTTGACTCATCTTTTTGATTCACACGCTTCACATTGTCAAGAGCAGCTGATTCAGTCACTCTGTTTAGATAAAAAAACAATCTTAACAGTGAATCAGCATTAATTCAAATAACAAGAGTTTTTACAATTTTTTCACACCAATTGCTCCTCATTATAACCAACATATATGAACCCCAATATGAATAAAATTCCACATCAATACATTCTGTCACTATACAACTTCCATATGAATAGCAATCTCACACTTTGTCCATCAGTCTATCCATACAACTACAGCATGGACACTTCCACTTCATCTAACAGCCTACCAATACAACTACAGCATGGACACTTCCACTTCATCTACCAGCCTACCAATACAACTACAGCATGGACACTTCCACTTCATCCACCAGCCTACCAATACAACTACAGCATGGACACTTCCACTTCATCCACCAGCCTACCAATACAACTACAGCATGGACACTTCCACTTCATCCACCAGCCTACCAATACAACTACAGCATGGACACTTCCACTTCATCTACCAGCCTACCAATACAACTACAGCATGGACACTTCCACTTCATCTACCAGCCTACCAATACAACTACAGTATGGACACTTCCACTTCATCCACCAGCCTACCAATACAACTACAGCATGGACACTTCCACTTCATCTAACAGCCTACCAATACAACTACAGCATGGACACTTTCACTTCATCTAACAGCCTACCAATACACCAACAGCATGGACACTTCCACTTCATCTAACAGTCTACCAATACAACTACAGCATGGACACTTCCACTTCATCCATCAGTCTACCAATACAACTACAGCATGGACATTTCCACTTCATCTACCAGCCTACCAATACAATTACAGCATGGACACTTCCACTTCATCTACCAGCCTACCAATACAACTACAGCATGGACACTTCCACCAGCCTACCAATACACTTCAATCTATCCACAGCCTACCAATACAACTACAGCATGGACACTTCCACTTCATCTACCAGCCTACCAATACAACTACAGCCTGGACACTTTCACTTCATCTAACAGTCTACCAATACACCAACAGCACAGAGACATTTCGTCCACAAGCCCATCAATAAAACTACAGCAAAGACACTTTGTCCACCAGAGTATCAATACATCTACAGCAAGACACTTACACTTGGCTAGCTTATCAATACAACCACAGCAAAGACACTTACATTTAATCTGCCAGCCTATCAATACACCTTCAGCATAGCACTTACACTGTGCCCGACAACCTATATATACAACTTACGCAAGACACACTGCATCAATCAGTCTATATAAATTATACACATTAAGCAAGCCACTTACACTTCATCCATCTCCAATTCATCATCACTGTCCTGAGGCACCTGTAGATAAGGGTTGTTGGATGCAGGACGGAACTTCCAACCTGTCACTAGGAAAAACAGGAAGGAAGTTGTCTCTCGGAACAGGTCATATACCCATTCATATTGGAATGGTACTGTAATCTACAATATAAACAACAGGTAACATCACCGGTAACCAAAAGCAAACATATTTTTCTGGTGTCTTTACATTGCATCTGGATATTTCAGCTTTTACTTAAAATATTTTTATTCTCAATTTAAATGTTACAGTAGATGTATTTCAAAGATAACATTTATCTACCCTCTTGAGCCACACCCCTTGAACCTATGGAGGGTTAGACCCAATTTACTTATCCCTTTCACCCAAACATATTTCAAATGAAATTTGGACAATTTCTACCACTGGAAACCCTCCACCTTATAAGATCAATTCTTCACACAAAATCAAGTCCTTTTTACCCAAGGATTTTCAAATGAAATTTGCATAAAAAAACCCCAAAAATATGATTTTATTATTCTATTTCTCCAACTGAGAATCATTTCCATTGGTCTAAGGGTGATCAGGATCACCCTTTATACAAAATTGAGTCCCATTTACCCAAGGATGCTTCAGACTGAATCTGACAAAATCCAATCATACTTACTGAAGAAGAGGGATTTGAAAGAATTTGATAAATTGCCCCTTTTGGGACCCTCAGATTCCTGGGGCACGAAACCTGCCATTTATATTCCTGTCCTCACAGCAATGCTCTTTCATTTTTGACTAGTTCAGATTTCAGAAAAAAAAGTTGAAAAGACATCTGATGCCAGATGCTGGATGGATGATGGATATTGTGCCATTGCATAAGCTCACTGTTCCTTCAGATCTGGTGAACTATATATTTGTCACTGATACTGATACAGTTTATTTTTCTCTTTCTTTCTCCCTAGCTCTCTCTGTCTGTCTCTCTTTGTATCTAGTGGTGATGTATACCTACCTTTATAAGATATGCTATTATCCGTGTGAAGTAGATGTAACACACCACCTGTAATTGAAGAAAAGAGTGTTCAAAATTTATTATCTGGTGCTTCGGGTTCTCATAGATATATCCTTATTAAGAAAAGATAAAACTGGTGAGGTGTTCTGGGCTCACACTGGTGAACTAGGGTCAGATTTTCAGGTTTATGGGTCAGTTTGAGACATTAAATTTTGGTCTATGTGGAAACGCAGGATAAAGTTGAGCTGTTGAGGAATGTGATCTTACCATGATATAAAACTGCCTAAATAATTTGAGCTTTTGAAGACTGATAGCAGCCTTGCCATCTGTTCTAGCACTTTGCTGCAGGTGACGTATAGACCTGAAAATACACAAGTTACATTACATGTCGATTTATCACATATATATATGCAGCCAATTCTGTTTAGATGCAAGTAAAATGATATTTCCATCCTAACCATGAAAAGTGGGAAAAATAACAAAATTGATATCCTGTTGTGTTATTGTACTCCTTGTGCCTACACATTAAGTTTGATTGACTGCGAGAGAAAATGGTTAAATACAGTGTATGAATACACACATGCACTTAAAATTGGACAGACAATTGAAAGGTTTTTTTAAGTACACTCAAACAATATTGTGACAGCATCAAACTCATTGCTACCTCCAAAAATTTTTTTTTTCACACAAGGTTATCAATAGGTGGCCCAATAAAATAACCTGTATACTGTTAATACAAAAAGTGGCCCTATAGAAATGTCTGTATACTGTTATCAATTGATAAGCTGCACAACACAGCAGGTCAATGATGATGATATAAACAGTTAACTTACCACACAACAGGGAAGAGGATAGCCCCACAACACAGCAGGTCAATGATGATGATATAAACAGTTAACTTACCACACAACAGGGAAGAGGATAGCCCCACAACACAGCAGGTCAATGATGATGATGATATAAACAGTTAACTTACCACACAACCGGGAAGAGGATAGCCCCACAACACAGCAGGTCAATGATGATGATATAAACAGTTACCTTACCACACAACAGGGAAAAGGATAGCCCCACAACACAGCAGGTCAATGATGATGATATAAACATTTAACTTACCACACAACAGGGAAGAGGATAGCCCCACAACACAGCAGGTCAATGATGATGAACACTTCCTTCCACATGGTGTACTCTGACTGGCCCTCTTGACTTTCCTCTACTATAATGAAAGCCACATTGTCCAAAACCTACAACAAACATAATTACATTCATATTGTTTATATGGTTTTCTTTTTTAATATGAAACTACCAACCATACCAGCTCTGTTTGTATTGACAAATCCTTACTTCTCTTTTATATTGACAAGTTGTGCTTGTCCTGTTTAATAAAAACAAATTCCACTTGTCATCTTCATACAGACAATTTATCCTCACCATCTTTATTTCTAAGTTTTACTTGTCCTCTTGATAAAGACAAATAATATTTTGTTTTTTCACACTGCCCAATTCTACTTGCCATACCTCTTGATGCTGATCAATCCTACATAGCTAATGCAGACAAGCTACTCTACTATCAATATAAAGATTTTCTTACTGTTTTCATCAGTAAAGACAGGTTTTACAATATCCCATTAGTGTAGAGAGGTTTCACTTTATCTTATGAATAAAGACAGGTTTTACTGAACCTCATCAGTAAAGACAAGTTTTGCTTTCTTGTCAGTAAAGACAGGTTATAATTATCTCATTAGTAAGGACAGGTTTTACTATATCTCATCAGTAAGGACAGGTGTTACTATATCTCATCAGTAAGGACAGGTTTTACTATATCTCATCAGTAAGGACAGGTGTTACTATACCTGAAGTGGCAGAATGATAAGGAACAGTTTCTTCTCTTTAACAGAAAGGATGTGTTTGACAAAGGCCCAGCCAGCACCAATGAGTAGAATGGTGGAGAACAGCAGTGCGCCCTTAGTCCTGTGGAAAAAAGGCATACAATCAAGTAAGTACAGGTCATCAGTTTTATCAGTATTGGTCTATCATAGTAGTGAACCAGTAAGTCACGTGTATTGATAACTACCTCTAATGGTAGTGACAAATATGGACAAATACTACCAAGTCCAAGACCAAGTAAGTCATCTTATACAAGTGTATAGCAAGTGATCTTACAAGCTTGAATGTATGAGTGGAAGACATTACAGCTTTTACTAAGTACATCCCTGGGGATATAGGATGATTCAATTGAAAGATACAGATAAACGTGCAAAAACATAGAGATTCCTTACAGATAAATACAGTGGAAAACACAGAGTTTACTTACAGATATACCATGCGAAAGACACAGACTTTACTTACATATATACATTAAGGAATACACAGTACTTACCTACAGATATACATTGAGGAATACACAGTACTTATTTACAGATATACATTAAGGAGTACACAGTGCTTACTTACAGATATACATTGAGGAATACACAGAGCTTACGTACAGATATACATTAAGGAATACACAGTGCTTACTTACAGATATACATTAAGGAATACACAGTACTTACTTACAGATATACATTAAGGAATACACAGTACTTACTTACAGATATACATTAAGGAATACACAGTACTTACTTACAGATATACATTGAGGAATACACAGAGCTTACTTACAGATATACATTAAGGAATACACAGTACTTACTTACAGATATACATTAAGGAATACACAGTACTTACTTACAGATATACATTAAGGAGTACACAGTGCTTACTTACAGATATACATTAAGGAATACACAGAGCTTACTTACAGATATACATTAAGGAATACACAGAGCTTACTTACAGATATACATTAAGGAATACACAGTACTTACTTACAGATATACATTAAGGAATACACAGTACTTACTTACAGATATACATTAAGGAATACACAGTACTTACAGATATACATTAAGGAATACACAAAGCTTACTTACAGATATACATTAAGGAATACACAGAGCTTACTTACAGATATACATTAAGGAGTACACAGTGCTTACTTACAGATATACATTGAGGAATACACAGTACTTACTTACAGATATACATTAAGGAATACACAGAGCTTACTTACAGATATACATTAAGGAATACACAGAGCTTACTTACAGATATACATTAAGGAATACACAGAGCTTACTTACAGATATACATTAAGGAATACACAGAGCTTACTTACAGATATACATTGAGGAATACACAGAGCTTACTTACAGATATACATTAAGGAATACACAGAGCTTACTTACAGATATACCATGTGAAAGACACAGAGTTTACTTACAGATATACGATGTAGTATAAGACTGCCCATGCTTCCCGGTGAAAACCTTCCACAGAAATGAAATGGCTGTTGATCTAAAAACAATCAAGCATACACAGTGAATTCACCTAGGAAACTAGAGATTCATAGAAGAATAAATAAAAGAGCTTGTCTTTTGCTTCAGTTTCAGCTACCTCAGAAATAATGCCCATCCATATACATACAAGTGGAGTTGGTGGAGATGGGGGAGTTGGGGGGAGTTGGGAGAGTTGAAGTAAGGGGAGTTGGTGGAGTTGATGGAGTTTGAGTTGGGGGAGTTGGTGAAGTTGGCAGAGTTGGGGAGGTTGGGAGGGTTTGAGTTGGGGGAGTTGGTGGAGTTGATGGAGTTGGGGGAGTTGGGATAGTTGGTGGAGTTGGTGAAGTTGGGGGAGTTGTTGGAGTTTGAGGGGATTCTAACCTGAAAAGAACAGTGTCATAGACAAAGTAAGTCTTCTAACCCACAACATCAAATAGCAGTTGGTATTTTATACAATGAATTTGAGAAAGGTACACCTGATGATATACTTACAGAACGAAATAGACAAGAGAGACTCTTCACCATGATGACAGACAGCATAAGGTAGTGGATTTTGTACACGTCCTCACTGTGGGTATACATCAAAGTAAGCTTCATGAATAATGTTTTCTCTAAATAGAAGACAACATTTTTGTCTTGTTTCAACAAAAATGTAAGATCATTTTCAGGAAACAAATCTGTCCCTGACATTTTGATATCAATGATCTAACAAACATTTCTCATACAATCCAAGTCTTAATCCTTTCTTTCATCTGGAACTGGAACACAATTAAATCATTAGTAATTCTAATTATTCCTACAGCAAAAAAAGTATGCTGACTTCATTTTAAACCTACCTGCCCCTCTTGAGGATGGTTGACCAGACGATGGCAGTCAGGACGTACAACACAAAGAGACAGAAGAAAAGCTTCGGTATGGGCATCTCCCCAGCAGACAGGTAGTTGTTATCGTTAGCTTCAGTGATTCCTAACTGTAAACACCAATTTTAACATTGAAATTCATAAAAATATAAAAGAAAATAAAGAAGAGATCCCAGAGGGACTTTGACATCTAATATTTTATGATCTTCTATGTGGAAGTTTTCCTACTGATTGATTTCTGTCTGTTTTATCAATGGTCATGCTTAATGTTAATGAGTAATGATTAAAAAGTCATGAAAATTCCATCATTCTACAGTAATAGCTCTACAGGTAAATATATGTACCAAGGGAAACCTATACATTCAACAGTGTTTACTTAGACAAGCAATACGACTTCATGAATAATTACTGTTGTTAATTTTCAAATCCATTTTCATCTTGAATATCCAATTAAATACAAGAAGTGACAAACACACTAAGGCAAAACTAATGAGTATGACTCTATAATAGGTTCTTGTAATGCCCCTTCAATGGTTACACAGTAATAATGTTAACAAATTTCAAATATCTGAAGTATGAATACATGGAGGCCAGTTAAGACTAAATGAAAGAGTTGATCACTATCAAAAAGAAAGATGGAATGCTGAATAATGGTCTATAACGAACATGTCCCTAACATCACTGTGATTATTTAATTACAAAACATATACATTTTTTGAGAAGCAAAAACAAACTTCAAAAGTGAATTAAAAAATGGCTGTTGGCAGCCATCTTGAAAATTGAATTATGTTTAAATAAAACATGCAAACCTAGGATTAGAAATAGACAAACTATGTAAATCAAGAGAATCTCATGATCATTGCGAACATATTTTGAAGTTTGGGATATGGTACTGACCATTAGGTGTACTTCTATCAGCTCCTTAGGATAGTTGTAGCAGTTATGGAAGTACAGGTTGTACAAACCTTCTTCTTCATCTGTATTGATGGCCACACCAAACTGTAACAACATCAAATGCAAGTATGGTAATGCATTCTCATATGTAAATATCAAAATGTAACACACACTTTCCATTATTAAATCTATAAATATCCACACATTTACATTATTAATCTATAAATATCCACACACTTAAAACATTAAATCTATATATATTCACACACTTACATTACTAAATCTATAAATATCCACACACTTAAAACCTTAAATCTAGAAATATCCACACACTGAAATAATTAAATCTATAAATATCCACATACTTGCAGCATAAAATCTATAAATATCCACACACTTACAGTATTAAATCTAGAAATATGCAATTACTTCAGAACTCTTCTACAGGTTTTGACAAAATGCTACTTTGGCACAAAATCAATGAAGACTTGATAGGGAAGTCAACAGTGCAGTCTGATTTTATGGGCTAACAACAGTTCAAGAGAATTTCAGTAACTAGGCTTTCCCACAACTACTCATCCCCATCCACTACCCATCCCCATCCACTACCCTTCCCCATTCACTACCCTTCCCCATTCACTACCCATCCCCATTCACTACCCTTCCCCATCCACTACCCATCCCCATCCACTTCCCATCCCTATCCACTACCCTTCCCCACTCACTGCCCTTCCCCATCCACTTCCCATCCCTATCCACTACCCTTCCCCACTCACTACCCTTCCCCATTCACTACCCTTCCCCATCCACTACCCATCCCCATCCACTATCCATCCCCATCCACTACCCATCCCCACTCACTACCCTTCCCCATCCACTACCCATCCCCATCCACTACCCTTCCCCACTCACTACCTTTCTCCATCCACTACTCCCTACCCTTCTCCTCCATCATATACCCTTCCCTACCCTCTACCTTTCCCCATCCACTACTTTCCAATCCACTACTATCTCTTTAAAATCAAGAGACAACAACAAAGACTCACAAAGGCAGAGAAACCCCCATCTTCTGTCTGGTGCATCCTAATTTTCTTCTGCACTGCAACATCCTTAGTCTGAGATGACTTATGTCCTGTTTTGTCTGCTGAAGCAGGTTTGACATTTCCTGTCTTGTCTGTTGAAGCAGGTTTGACATCCTGCGTCTTGTCTGCTGAAGCAGGTTTGACATCCTCTGGTTTATCTGTTGGAGCAGGTTTGACATCCACTGGTTTATCTGTTGGAGCAGGTGTGACATCCTCTGTCTTGTCTGCTGAAGCAGGTTTCACATCTTTTGTCTTGTCTGCTGAAGCAGGTTCAACATCCTGTGGTTTGTCTACTGAAGTATCATGAGGTTTCACTGGCTTAGCTGTAGGTTCTTGAACATGAGAACTGGCAAAAGTTGTTGTGGAGAGCTGTGGTAAGCTGCTGACATCCCGTTTGGTTTTTTTACCACCAACCAAATGTTGGTCGCCAAGTAGGACCTTTGGCTTGGATATGACAGGGCGGTTAAGACGACTGTTGATGACATCCTCATCATCTGTAATCAGTAATTTCTTAATGCCTTTCCCTCTTCTGCTCAATGTCATCCTGAAAAGTATTCCAATAGATAAGTTTTCAACAAAATTAAATTTCTACATCAACAAGACCACATTAGTATATCATAATGTCTTATTTTCTTACAAACATTATCAAGATTCAACAACAACAATGTATAACTTTCTCTGATTAAACTAGTATAAACATGGACCATCTATACAAGATCAATAATGTCAAAGTACCCATCAATCAGATCAGTAAAGTCAAAATACCCATCAAACAAATCAGCTAAGAAGTTACAGGTCAAAGACATCAGAGAGAGAATCACTGAAGTTAAAAGTCAAAACAACAGATTGAGAACCAATGAACTTACTCAAGTGTCTTGAAATTCATTTTGAAGAACACTATAGAGACAGAGTTGTTGGTGAACTCTTTTACTGATGGTGACTGTAGAATGCACTTGCCCTGGTTGTCCTCCTGTAGAAATAAACAATGATTCTCTGTAGATAACACAGTAAATTTACTTACAGCAAAACAATGAGTTCAGCAAACCTAATCATGCATATTCAAAGGTTAAAACATCCAGCTGATATTATGTAACATTGGGAAAATACTAGCCACAAAATATCACTTGGCTGGAGAGAACTTCTCTTTAGTTCAATCAGTTGAGCATCAGACTAGTCAGTCAGAGATTCCAGGTTTGAACTCTAGCAGGTGCATTAAAATAAAATAATGACCTCTTTTACATTGACGCCCATGTAGGGACTGGGAAATAATACTTAGCAATACGTTCACAAGAATCACTGTAAGCAATACTTTCACAAGCATTGCTGTAACTCCTGAAAACTCAAGGTCAAGTTATTTCCTGGAGGGGGAGTATGTAACTTGGTAAAATACTAGCTGCAAAATAACACTGAGCTGGAGAGAACTTCTGTTTAGCTTTAATGGTTACAGCACACATCAGACTAGTAAGCCAGAGGTCCTAGGTTTGAATCCTAGCAGGGGCATTAAAATAAAATAATGACCTCTGTTACATTACATTACTGTATTGAACATTTTGTGTTAACCAATCATAAGCTTTATTTCAAATCTTTGATCTGTGACAATATTGTTTTAAGTTAGTCGGTCAAACACTTATGTGATTAAATTGCAAACTGGCAGTAGTTTTTTCCCGCCAATAATATCTATTGGTAATTTCATGCAGAGTTTAGCAATTGTTTACAAATACATCCAAATCAGAACACATACCATACAGTTTAATACACAAGGAAACAGGTCACATATAATTTAGTTCTATGATACTAACAATAAAGTGAACAAATCATGTAGATGTCTGATACCAGTAATACAGTGTACATATAATACAGATGTCTGATACCAGTAATACAGTGCACATATAATACAGATGTTTGACCCCAGTAATACAGTGTACATACCATGTAGCTTGATATTCCTTTACTGCCACTCTTGTCTAGTGTAAACCCAAACTGTAAAATTCAAATAAAAAAACTTTATTAACTTGTTATTTTTGTAAATTTTTTTCATAAGAGTCAAGAACACCATTTCCAAAATTCCCTATATTGTAAATATAAAGAGATCTGGTGGATCCCAGAAATCTGACAGATTCCTACAGGAAAATCATGATTGCAGAACTCAAATATTTGAGTCCCTAATCAATGCCCTTTAAACAAAATTTGACTCTTTTTGTGAATGCAATTTGGAAATCCCAATAAGTTAAATAAGTATTGTGTGACAAGATGTTTGATCTGTATAGTATTTTATCCCTGCTAAGCATACATATCTATCAAAATGTCTTAGTTTTGAATAATCGAAGTCATGATTATCCAATTATTGTATTGATCATTATAAGTCAGTTGATGTAATGATTTTTCTGATAGTTTAAAGATTAATAATAGTATTAATCATATGGTAGAAATGGAAGCCTAGCTCTACATTATAAAGAAATCCACATTACCATTGCATCTTTGTAATCAAAATCGTCCGTACTAGTGACAGCAAATAGCGTCATATTGACGACCAGGGTGCCTTTCTTCAGAAAGCCAAAAGTACTGAGGGGTATTTCTCGTCGCTCATCTGTCTGTAAATGCAAAGAAAAAAAAAGGTAATCAATATCATAAGTTTCTTGGTACAGTGGAACCCACTTGATATTTTGGAAATTATCTATGAACTACATATGACAAACAAAATTAGTTTTGACGAATTTAGTTTTAGTTTTGTGATTCAATGGTCTGTAGTTGGTAATTATCTGCATTTTGTGTTAAAAATGGCCTGTCATGCAAGTCATAAAGCTTCGACATTTTTCATATCGAACTTTGTTTAGAAGCAAATATCTCAAAAACGTGTATCATTGTAGTAATCCTTTTAAATCCAAGGACATAACATACACACAATGACCCAACAGCATTCTATTCAATGTCAAGAATATAAGTACCAAAGGTTTCCTCTGTCCCCAGCACCAGATGTAAACACCATATTCTGGTGATGAGATAGAGGAAATTGAGGCTACCAAGCTTGTCTTTTTTTTATAGACTATTCCTTTTCATGTAAGAGGTCTTGAATGGTTCTGAATATTTATCCACAATTTTATTTTGGTTACTGTCGATAATCAAAATTCCTTCATATATACTGACCATGAAAAAATATTCTTTATAATTCAAACTTTTTTTCCCGAATTTTCTTGACTTCGTTTAGAGAGGGATTTTGAGATTAGGCCATTTTGTACAATAATATCCATCGTTTTTCCAATAATATTCAATTAATTTTCCGTTGTTTATGTCAGAAGCAATACGAAATTATCTTCGCTGCTCATTTCCATGTGGCGCCATTTTCATATATACGGTTACCAAAACGATGTCAAAATGGCATTACGAAAATCGCATGTTTTAAATAAATTATTCTTTCCCTGGTAATACACACCGACAGGAATAACACGAGATGAACCAGGAAACAATTCTCCATAAGTGTACAAAATTTCATTACATATAGTCCATGAATGAAGCCAAGAACATTTACCGAAAAGGGTTTGAAATACAAAGATTATATAGTCAAAAAAAACGTGAAAGACTTATGGCACGTCATCGTAGTAGAACCCTTCTTTCGGACCTAAGAATTTTTGCCAAAGGGTGGCAAAATGACATTTGCAGTCAAATATAAGCCTTGCAACATATCAGCTTTCGTTATCAAGGACATTTTCACTTATGTTCACCTTTAAATCCAAATGGAAAATCCTCGCCTGAGATGGCAGTACAAACAGTGTTACAATAAACACAACTGTCAACATCACAGACTTCGTCATATCGTCCATGTTGGCGACCGTATTATACTGCGATATGTTACACTGTATGTGATTGGGCAATGGTAAGCAAAGAGACCAATCCACGCTGGTTTCACATATCCTAAGGGACACAACTCGCAAACTGAAGGAAACGCTACACTATTACTGTCAAGTCAATGTCAGATTTAACGTTGAGCTATATTGTAGCAGAAATAAATTTATATGTTTCGGAATGATTTATAGAAGAAAAAAAAATGAAAAAAATCACGATTTGATAATTTTTCCCGAAACCGCGATTAGTAGAATAAAGACCATTACTAACATCACGGACTTTCGTTATATAACTAACATGTAAACTATGCCGAACTACCTAAGTTCGTTATAATAAACATGTATCTACCCCTTGTGTTAAACTAGATATCAGGAATTAACAGCATTGCGAGATGATTTGATGTACAATATAAATTAGCCAAAACGTCAATGGGAAATATGACATTAGAAAATTATTGCGACGTAGATATTGCTAAAAATAATCAAAATATCGAAAATACTGTGAAGTTGACTTTTTAAAGACAATATCTAAATTTAATCAGTATCAATGAAAACTTAGAACAAATACATCTAAATATAGTATATGCATTTACGTTTCTTGCCTTCACACGTTCACATTTAGGAAACTTCAAAGTTCTGAGTCTTCCAGACTGAAATGGACGATACCCAATTTATGCAACCTACATTTTAAAGATATTAACAGCAGATGCTTAAAAATCATCATATTGTCTTTCTTCTTCCTGTGTAAGTACAGGACTTCCGAGGGAGTACAATGATGCACTGGCGCATGAAAAGTACCGATAAATACCTTCTGGCGTTATTTACAATGTTAAGAAACGAATAAAACATCTACAGCTGACTGGAGCGGCTGCTGTGATGGTCATAAACAGCATGCGGAATGTTTCGTGTGTTTTGCCTGTCCTCACGGATGAGGATAATCCGTTCCAGTCTCTGATGATGTGGGAGAAGAAGAGTTTGTGGGATACTTTCTTCGATGCGGTTGGTTGTAGGAATTTAAGTGCACCTCTTGCCCTGCTGTCACCTGATGTCAGTTATCCTGCCCCTTAAATGTCCGTGGGAGATTTTAAACATCACGATGAGCCTGGAAGTCGTAAGGCGATGATTGAGAGTGTCCCATTGTAGGTCCTGCGCCACGGCTGTCATGCACCCTGGACAACGGTTTCTGTAATTATCTGTTACGGGCCGACCTCCTTAGGACCTGCATGAGAGTCCTGGCGTGGACTTGTTGATATGGATCCCACGCTGTGCTGACGTACTCTAAAGTTGGCAGACCGTTGCCTGGTAAACCATAGACTTGATGTGGGGTTTGTGTCCATGGGTGTTCCTCTTGACGAATTCTAGAGTTCTGATGGTATTGGTCTTGATGTTGGAGACGTGTTCATTCCAGTGCAGCTTATGGTGAATATCAACATTCAGATACTTGACACTGCTGACTTCCTCGAGAGTGTGGTTATGTAATGTATAGCCTGAGTGGGTGCCGCTTGTTGGTCAGGTGGTTCACCGTACACTTTTGTTGGTGGAACTCCATCTCCCATTAGTGTTCACAACATTGGAATTATGGCAGATGCTCTTGGAACTGTTTTGCATCGGCTGGGCACGATATGCTCATGTGCAGCACGCAGTCATCTTCGAATAGGGCACGATATGCTCATGTGCAGCACGCAGTCATCTTCGAATAGCCGTGCATCTGACTGAATGTGATCTAGCAAATCGTTGGTGTATGTTAGGAACATCAGTGACCCCAGCACCGTCACTTGTGGCACTCCGGAAATGACATCAGCTCGGCTAGAGGTTGTACCATCTGGATTCCCTTTGTCAAGAAGTCCATGGCATGTTCCAGGGGTTCAGAGAGTGGAAGTGATCGTAACCCCTGAAATATCGAGGATGGGTATTAGGGTACATTATTGTACACAGAATCTGATAACCCTAAACACTTGGCATGTGTTCACTCATCACACTCGTCGCAGGCAACAGCTTTTGATCCCAACGACATGGTTTGGTGCAGACTCCGATTGGGTACTTGGTATGTCATAGGTTGCTCTCTAGTCCACTCATGAGAAGTAACACTTGGGCAAGTTTTCATTATTTAATTTGGCCACGATGTTTTTAAACACATGATAGCCAATAAAACACAGTGTACGGACAGTTTACATGGGTTTCGTGTTCCAGGAGTGACAAAGGGTAAGACTACAATGGATAATATATATATCTGTTTTGTTCAGGGGTATTTCTGGTGAAATTTTTCATCATCAGAATCAAAATGTTCAGAGGCAATTCGGTGGCAATTGTTTACATTGGAAAGCGGAAGTTGTAAAAAAGATGTCGATTTCATTTGAAACTTCTGGAGAACACGATCTGGTATTGATCGTTTATCCACTGGTATGCAAAGTTGTTCCTAGATGTTATCTAAATATATTGCAACTAAATAAAATCCTGATGCAAGGTCTCAAGTTTCATGAAAATTTGAATTTAAGCTCTGCATGATGAAGGGAAGTCGTCCTTGAGCATGCTCAACATGTTATCCAATTTCGTTGCATATCTGAAAGCAATTATGGTTAAAAAATCAAAATATATTGAAATAATGAATTAGTAACACTGGTAAAATACTAACAGCAATATACTGCCCACTAGAGAGAACTTCACTTTAGCTCGATCGATTGAGCGTCAGACTAGTCAGCCAGGGGTTTCGGGTTCGAATCCTAGTGGAGTCATTAAAATATATTATAACCACTGTTACATTGGCATCCATGTAGGGACTCGTGAATGATACTTAGTAATACTTTCACAAGCATCGTTGTAGTCGATGGAAATTTGAGGACAATAATTTCCTGGAGAGGGAGTGTGTTGAATGATACTTAGTAATACCTTCACAAGCTTCGTTGTAGTCGATGGAAATTCGAGGACAATAATTTCCTGGAGAGGGAGTATGTAACCCTGGTAAAATGCTGAACACAATAATATAACGCTTGGTTAGAGAAAACTTCTCTTTAGTTCGATCGGTTGAGCGTCGGACGAGTAAGCCGGAGGTACCGGGTTAGAATCTTACCGGAGAAAATAAGTAATGACCTCTGTTACAAATGAAGTGAAGTCGAGTGAAAATATATAATATGGCATCTGCCACTTAGTTATCTAGTGGCCGCCAGATAATGATGTAGCGGAAGCTAGGAAATTAAGTGGCAACCACCAGATAAAATATTTTCACTAGTAACATTGGGAGGCGTCAACACCAAACCAGCCATTAAAAAAAAAAAACACAAAAAAAACCCACATGGACATTTTCATTAAGGGAAACTTACCGTTAACAAAATAATTCTTTATAAAACTGATGCCGCGTATAATTTCTGATAAAACTAAGAAGTTTTATGAATATTAAATTTGTACTTAACCTCAAGTTTGCATTTGATTTAACGAGCTTTAAACTGCAAAGCAACGAAAAAAATGAAAAAAAAAATGTATTTTAAAATGACATCAATCCTTTATTTGATTACTTCTAGTTTTTAATTTTGTAAGAGTAAGTTTTCGGTAGAGAAATTTCCGGGGGTACTTTTCACGATTAAAAAAGAGGGGGGTCTCTGTTCTCTAAATTTTGCAATTTTTCTCCCAAAAAGCCAGTTTTTCCAAGATCAAGAAAGCAGGCGAAATATATATTTTTGTGTCTTAAAATTACAGGAAACTGGCCGTTCGTAAAAGCGGGTACACATGTACCGGAAAAACTTCATTTTAGATTGTATCGTGCAGAAAACCTCGCGTCCTTTAGGCTTGAACGAAGGAACACCCCGCCCCCAACCCATCGGCTCTCCTACTTTCCGCGTACATATCTGTTCAGATTCTGTGAATCTGGTATACACAAAAATAAAACATGGTCCCGAGGGGACATGAAAGCGGAGAGGCACGCTTTACTGTATTGACGACATCATTGTCCCTAATGAATTCTTACAACCCACGAGAGTTATTTACTTGACAAGATCACACGACAGACATATCTATCTTCATCTATTCGACAAGCATCTGAAAAAAACGAGCTCCGACATTTATATAATATTAATTCAGATTACATCTAACTTAAGATTTATCGGACCTGTATGGACATCGCGGATCAATATGGATGCCTGGAGCGGGATATAAATCTAATACAACATGTGGTTGATATATTCCTTCACTCGATTTTTCGAAAATTACAATAACACGAGCTTCAGGGAATTAACGGTTACCGGCGTTCTTGCTATTTTGACCGAGTCTGGCATAATTCACAGGGGGAATATTGTGTTAGATAAGAACAAAGACTAGGAAACATCATTGTACAGTCTGTACCCCAGTACCTTGAGGGCATCGCATACCATCGCCACACGAGTTTGACCGCAAGAGGAGCCCTGGAACTACAGAAGCCAAGACGCATAGGAAACGACAGTGTTCGAATATTGTCCTTTCTCGTTGGAATTTTTCATGTTTGTGGTGATTGACTTTCATGAGGTTAATTTTACATCACAGACACATTATATTAAACATGTTTGTATCCGTCCGTCCATTACGTAATTCACATTAAGCGTGCTATTCTGTTGTTATACACTAACTACGGTTTCCAGTAAGTGAAAATTTGTAATTTCAAAATATCTGCCAAATACATCACCAAATAGACATGTAATCGAATATTAAATGACAGAGGATGCTCCTGTGAACACAGGGCCTTTGTATGCCACTGTTCCTCAGGAGCTCAGGACTCCGGTACACTACTGTTCCCAGGGAAACCAAGACCATAGCATGCCACTGTTCATAAGGAACTCATGCCATTGTATGCTACTGTTCCGAGGGAACTCTGACCTTGATATGCCACTGTTCCTTGGGAACTCGGGACCTTGGTATATGCCATTTCTAGTAAACACAGGACCTTGGTATATGCCAATGTTCAAAGGAAACTCAGGACATTGGTATGCTACTGTTATTAGGGAACTCGGAACCTTGGCATACCACTGTTCAAAGAGAACTCATGACATCGGTATGACTCTGTTCATAAGGAAATCGGGACCTTAGTATATGTCATTCCTAGTGAACTCAGGACCATGGCATACGCCACTGAACATAGGGACTCAGGTCATTGGTAGGTTAATTTTCTTATGAAACTCGGGACCTTGGCATACCACTATTCCTAGCGGACTGGGGACCTTGGTATTAGCTATTGTTAGTGAACTCAGGACATTTGTATGTTACTTTTCTTAGGAAACTCGGGACCTTGGCATACCACTATTCCTAGGGAACTGGGGACCTTGGTATTAGCTATTGTTAGTGAACTCGGGACATTGGTATATACCACTGTTCCTAGAGAACCCAGGACCTTTGTATACGCCACTGTTACATGAGAATACCGGACATTGGTAAGTCATTGTTGCTATGGAACTCAGGACCATGGTATACACTAGTGTTTCCATGGAGCATAAGACCACTGTATGTCACTGTTGCTATGGAATACAGGACATTGGTAAGTCACTGTTGCTATGGAACTCAGGACTATGGTGTATGCCACTGTTCCTGAGATGAATTCGCCTTTCCTTGTTTACGCCCACAACCGTACTTAATCTCCTTAGGGTTTCGCCCGACAGACATTCTTTATCAATCGATTTAGGATCTTGCCACATATTTTGCGTCTTAACAAGCAATCTATCCATACCAAAATACTTTGCCCGATTTTTATAGGACGAGTTTCAAGCGGTACCAAGATACATACAAAGTGATCGTCTTGCTTTATTTCTGGAAAAAATTATACAGTCCTAATACATGCACTGTATCATCGTCTTGTTTTCTTTCTGTAGCGAGTTTTACACAGTCCTAAGATCTATAGGGCATTGTCATAGTGTTTTTATTACTAAAGTGAGTTCCATGCGGTCAACTAAGATATGTAGAAATTGTCATATTGTATCGCATGATTCGTCCTGTGAGGTTATCACATCATAGCCCTTGTCTGGTTGTTCAGAGATATCTTGTATGCTCTACATCGCGACCAGTATTATCATAATGTAGCATTTAGAAATAACGATGAGAGTCGTCTGTAATTAGACAGCTGTTGGAATGTATAGATCGTCCTGTATGTCACGGAATCGACATTGTACGATTTTATATCAAATATTCAAATAAGCACGAGTGTTGCCCGTGACTTTGGGTGTACACAGCAAAAGCGAAGTGGCCTCCAATGAGTAAAGCTAGATGTTACAGTCGGGGCAGAGAAGTGTGACAACGCCGTGAAACTACTGCACTTCACTAATGAAGACGAATATTGATCTTTACAAATCGATAAAGCTTGAGCGGAGACATGATACCGTACACAGCCATCAAGTACAGCACTGCACACTTGTCCTCAACACCTGTCCAGCATCCCATATTGAGTAAACAAATCCCCAAAACCAACAAATATGGCGTGGAACTAAGCTCTTCTATCTATATGATCGTTCAATCGTTACCACAGGGTTGCACACCATCAACAACTTCAGTTAGCCAATTCACCAGTACACTTCCATAACGATCGATTAGGTGATTTATCAGTAATCGAAAAGAATTAGTCAGGATATCAATATTGGTAAATCGAGACATTCTGGTTTCCCGCCATTAGTTGCGGAGGCTGTGATAATAGTGTCGCTTCGATGAATCACGTGATTTGGTATGGTGACATGTGACAATCTAGGAAATTAAAATATGGCGGCTGCTGGAATCAGTGAATGTGTCAGAGGATGAACAGAAGGTTACAACAACAAATGTGTTCTATCTTCATGTGACAGTGTTTTTGTCAGACTCTGTTTTGGCACAATGGGCAAGAAACAGAGCAAGTTAGACGGCACGGAACTAAGGGACCTCTTGGACTCTACTTATTGTAAGTAAATAAATCGAGATATACCACGTACAGGTCCCTACCTATTTAACTGTATAAGTCCCCACTAGTTCCTAACTGTATCTCCTAAGGTATATAACTGTATGCGTAGTGTATATATAAGTCTCCAACAGTATGTCGCTGTATGTGTGGTGTACATGTCCCCATCAATATATAACTGTGTATGTGTGGTATACAGGTCCCCATCAATATATAACTGTGTATGTGTGGTGTACATGTCCCCATCAATACATAACTGTGTATGTGTGGTATACAGGTCCCCATCAATATATAACTGTGTATGTGTGGTATACATGTCCCCATCAATACATAACTGTGTATGTGTGGTATACAGGTCCCCATCAATACATAACTGTGTATGTGTGGTATACATGTCCCCATCAATATATAACTGTGTATAACTGTGTATGTGTGGTATACAGGTCCCCATCAATATATAACTGTGTATGTGTGGTATACATGTCCCCATCAATATATAACTGTGTATGTGTGGTATACATGTCCCCATCAATATATAACTGTGTATGTGTGGTATACATGTCCCCATCAATATATAACTGTGTATGTGTGGTATACATGTCCCCATCAATATATAACTGTGTATGTGTGGTATACATGTCCCCATCAATATATAACTGTGTATGTGTGGTATACATGTCCCCATCAATATATAACTGTGTATGTGTGGTATACAGGTCCCCATCAATATATAACTGTGTATGATATACATGTCCCCATGTGTATGTGTGGTGTACATGTCCCCATCAATATATAACTGTGTATGTGTGGTATACATGTCCCCATCAATATATAACTGTGTATGTGTGGTGTACATGTCCCCATCAATATATAACTGTGTATGTGTGGTGTACATGTCCCCATCAATATATAACTGTGTATGTGTGGTATACAGGTCCCCATCAATATATAACTGTGTATGTGTGGTGTACATGTCCCCATCAATATATAACTGTATGTGTGGTATACATGTCCCCATCAATATATAACTGTGTCCCTATCAATATATAACTGTATGTGTGATATACATGTCCCCATCAATATATAACTGTGTATGTGTGGTATACAGGTCCCCATCAATATATAACTGTGTATGTGGTATACATGTCCCAATCATTATATAACTGTGTATGTGTGATTACAGGTCCCCATCATTTAAATATATATATATATAACTGTGTATGTGTGGTCGTAATCTTCAAAATCTGGGTTTTGCTGCTTTTACATGTCCCCATCAATATATAACTGTGTATGTGTGGATATACATGTCCCAATATCAATATATAACTGTGTATGTGTGAGTATACAGATCAATGCATTCTAGTCAATATAAAACTGTGTATGTGGTATACATGTCCCAATCATTATATAACTGTGTATGTGTGGTATACAGGTCCCCATCAATATATTACTGTATGTGTGGTATACAGGTCCCCATCAATACATAACTGTGTATGTGGTATACAGGTCCCCATCAATATATAACTGTGTATGTGTGGTATACATGTCCCCATCAATATATAACTGTGTATGTGTGGTATACATGTCCCAATCATTATATAACTGTGTATGTGTGATATACATGTCCCCATCAATATATAACTGTGTATGTGTGGTATACAGGTCCCCATCAATATATTACTGTATGTGTGGTGTACATGTCCCCATCAATATATAACTGTATGTGTGGTGTACATGTCCCTATCAATATATAACTGTGTATGTGTCGTATACAAGTCCTGTACAGTATATCAATCTGTATCTATGTTGTTCAGGCCCCAATCACTATATAAATGTGTATATGATATGCAGGTCTCCATTAATGTGAGAATTTTATTGACGGCCTCCAATATATTTTTTTTATATATCTTTAGCTATTGCTGGATGATATACATGTATATCAACTATATACAGAAATATTTTGTATGTATTCAATCTTAAACTCTTTTTAAAATATAGGTGAATGAGTTGAATCATGTGGTGGAAACTAGCAATACAGTATGTTTTTGAAAAATTGAATGATGAAGGATGATTTTACTGTTGAACAAAACACATGAAATTTTCCACATTTTATATTATTTACATTTTAATCACAAGGAAGATAAAACACAGATATGACTTTGTGTTTCAGTTGACAGACGTGAGATCCAGCAGTGGTGAGTATATGTATATATAAGTATTTCATGCTAAAGCAAGTATGAAACTTTAATCAGAAAGGGGGATATTCTGTCTTATTTTTTCTTTATGAAGTGTAATAATGATGGTGACATGCCTTAAACTCTCACTTTAATCAGAAGGGGAGATAATCACTCATATTACACTTCATGAAGTTTAACAGTGATGATGACATGCATATAGCTACCATTTTGATCAGGAGGGGAAATAATCCCTCTTATTTCTTGTCATGAAGTATAAAATTGATGGTGACATGCCTAAGGCTAATATTTTGATTAGAAGGGGAGATAATCCCTGTTCTTTCTCGTCATGAAGTTTAACAGTGATGATGACATACCTAAGGCTAACATTTTGAGCAGAAGGGGAGAAAATCACTCATATTGCTCATCATGAAGTTTAACAGTGATGATGATACAATCCCTCTTATTTCTCGTCATGAAGAATAAAAGTGATGGTGACATATCTAAGGCTAATATTTTGATAGGAAGGGGAGATAATCCCTCATATTAATCTTCATAAAGTATAACGATGATGGTGACATGCCTAAGGCTAACATTTTGATCAGAAGGGGAGATAATCCTTCTTATTACTCATCATCAAGTATAACAGTGATGGTGATATGCCTGAGGCTAACATTTTGATCAGAAGGGGAGACAATCCCTCTTATTTCTCGTCATGAAGTTTAAAAGTAATAGTGACATACCTAAGGCTAACATTTTGATCAGAAGGGTTGATAATCCCTCTTATTACTCATCATCAAGTATAACAGTGATGGTGATGTGCCTTAGGCTAACATTTTCATCATAAGTGGAGATGATCCCTCTTATTTCTCAAGTGTAACAGTGATTGGTGCCTTTGAGCAAGAGAAATTGAAATAGAATATCGTATTAAGGTTATTAGAGGAGATGACCCCTAATTTTACTAATGATCAAGTATGACAGATATGATGTCATGCCTCTGGCTTGAGTATACACATTTGAAATTGTTTCACTGGCTGAATCTGCAAGAGAAATACCAGTACCAAGATTTGAAAGCAGATTATTCCACATGAGCACTTTGAAGGTGCCTGACTTTCTTATCCAGAGAAATTATGAAATTGGGTTCAGATTGTTCAAATTGAAATGGAACCTCACATTGAAATGTAACAATTCCAAAATCTAGTAAAGGTGTGTTAGTTTATCAGGGAATAAATCTGTGTTGCCTTGATTGACCTATTGTCATTGATTGCCTTGTTATTCATTGAATATAATAATGAAATAGGTTCACATATTACAAATGTAATAAAGCTTATTGTGACTTCAATTTAGATAACAGAATGACAGCACACATGTAATTAACTTTCGGTGATTTCCGAGTATCGTTGGTTAGCATGTGATGCGCGCGCGGGTAGAGTGGGGTAAGGTAATTTTGATGCTAGCTACTCATGGGGTTCAGATGTGTAAACTTTGAAAAAAAAAAAAAAAATGCCATGAGTGCGTCTGTTTAAGTTTTTTAATGGGGGTGTTGTATTCATTTGTTGTTATAAGTTGGTGAATATACATGTATAATATACGGGCAGAATAGCAAAAGCATTGACATTGTTGTGGTTGTATTAACGAATTGTGGTAATTAAAAGAGTAGCAAGTATCCTTCCATTCATTGTGTTGTAGTTATTCTTTAGAAAGTAATTAATCTATATTGGGACAAAGGAAGAATATAATTTCATTTATTGCATTGTGATGTAACATGGGAGACCATAGATATACGGTTTGACTTAGAACCATAGACTTTCTATACCATATTTGCTTGTGATATAAAGGATCTTCAATTTAATTCCAATTTCGTGAATTATGAAGCTTTTTGCAAATTTTCATCTTAGCTCGCCAAAGGATTGCTAAAATGGAAAATCCTTTGGCTTATTTCATTAATTCACATACCAAATGGAATTTCATGTAAGATCATATATTTATTATTATATATCATGTTGGGTAGCAGTGATGACATGTCTATATACGTAGCTTACACATCTATCAGAAGGGGAGATAACCCCTCGTATTATTTATCTATCAAATATGACAGTGATAGTGACATGCCTATATGTTACATGTCTACATGTCTGTCAGAAGGGGGAGATAACCCCACTTCTTATTATCTGTCAAGTACAACAGTTATTGTGGCACACCTATATGGTATGCTTCTACGCTTCTATCCAGAGGGAGATAACCTTTACGTAACCATCAATCAAATATATGGTAAAATGGTTATAGCTTATGCATATTTATCAGAAGGAGACACATGTCATACAAACATATAACAACAAATTCTACGCTTTCTGTTTAAGTGGTCATGCCAAAGGTAAAGGGTCAAAGGTCACATTCTACTGCTTATTCAAAGTCATCAAGCAGTGATCTGCATGGAACAGGGACATTCATATCATACAGACATTTTCTAGTTTTCTGTTAAACTTTTGAACATTTTCTTAAATAGATAACCTATTTGAGGAAAGTGATGATAACATCCTTAATAAACAAAGAATCAGAGTAGTATTGTAGGATAATAACATTATTTGGTGATAACCAGGTTACAAGGAGTACTGTGAGTGTATGTGACTGATGATACTTTGTTCTCATTAACAGGTACAGAGACTTCATGAGGGACTGTCCAAGTGGTATACTCAGGAAAGAGGTGAGTATCTGTACAGGACTGTCCTAGTGGCATACTCCAGGAAGAGGTGAGTATCTGTACAGGACTGCATGTTTAAGTGGGAAACTCAGAAAAAGGATGAGTATCAGTACTAGACTATCCTAGTGGCATACTGAAGAAGGTGAGTATTATTACAGGATTTTTCTAGAGGCATACTCAGGAGAGAGGTGAATATGCACAATACTACTAAGGCAAATGTTCTCTGCATTGTAAGAGTTATTTCCCTTAGTATGCATTTCTCTTTTATTTATATTTCTATAGATTAGCTTCAAGATTGTCAGCAATATAGAATAAATTGTAAACATAATGTTATTTCAACTTTTATCTTACCATACATTACAACTGCAATGTTAACCTTCCATTACAACTACAATGTTCGGAACAAAAATGTTAATAATATGTTTCAACTACAATGTTAACATTACTACTGCAGTGTTTACGTTCCGTAACAACTACAATGTTAACATAACATTAAAACTGCAATGTTAACATTACATTAAAACTGCAATGTTAACATGACGTTAGAACTATTATGTTAACCTTCCAATAAAAACTACAGTGTTAACATTACATTAAAACTGAAAGGTTAACATGACGTTAGAACTGTTATGTTAACATGACGTTAGAACTATTATGTTAACATGACGTTAGAACTATTATGTTAACATGACGTTAGAACTATTATGTTAACATGACATTAGAACTGTTATGTTAACATTACGTTAGAACTATTATGTTAACATGACGTTAGAATTATTATGTTAACATGACGTTAGAACTATTGTGTTAACATGACGTTAGAACTGTTATGTTAACATGATGTTAGAACTATTATGTTAACATGACGTTAGAACTATTATGTTAACATGACGTTAGAACTATTATGTTAACATGACGTTAGAACTATTATGTTAACATGACGTTAGAACTATTGTGTTAACATGACGTTAGAACTATTATGTTAACCTTCCAATGAAAACTACAGTGTTAACATTACATTTCAACTAAAATATGAACACTGGATGGTTGGTTGGTTGGTACTGTGGTAATGTACTTGTTTTTCACCTAGGTGTCTGGGATAAGATTTCTGGAAGTTGAAAGGTATAGGGTTTCCTGTCCGACCATGTGGGTTTTTCCCTTGTTACTCCTGTTTCCTCCCACATTAAGACAAATTGCACTTCCATCTGGATCAACAACAGTAATTAAAAAGTTGGAATCACTTGTAAAATAAAAGTTCAATGTAATTTTTACATTTCAACTACAGACTTCACATTCAATGCATGAATATGATTGAGGTATGAGAAGAGAGTATATATGATGTTATGATGATCAGGCCATTATCTGTAAAACATTTCACTAACCTGGACATTATCTGTAAGATATTTCACTAACCTGGACATTATCTGTAAGATATTTCACTAACCTGGACATTATCTGTAAGATATTTCACTTACCAGGACATTATCTGTAAGATATTTCACTTACCAGGACATTATCTGTAAGATCTTTCACTTACCAGGACATTATCTGTAAGATATTTCACTTACCAGGACATTATCTGTAAGATATTTCACTTACCAGGACATTATCTGTAAGATATTTCACTAACCAGGACATTATCTGTAAGATATTTCACTTACCAGTACATTATCTGTAAGATATTTCACTTACCTGGACATTATCTGTAAGATATTTCACTTACCATGGCATTATCTGTAAGATATTTCACTTACCATGGCATTATCTGTAAGATGTCTTACTTACCAGGACATTATCTGTAAGATATTTCACTTACCAGTACATTATCTGTAAGATATTTCACTTACCTGGACATTATCTGTAAGATCTTTCACTTACCTGGACATTATCTGTAAGATATCTTACTTACCTGGACATTATCTGTAAGATCTTTCACTTACCTGGACATTATCTGTAAGATATTTCACTTACCAGGACATTATCTGTAAGATATTTCACTAACCAGGACATTATCTGTAAGATATTTCACTTACCATGGCATCATTTGTAAGATATTTCACTAACCTGGACATTATCTATAAGATCTTTCACTTACCACGACATTATCTGTAAGATATCTTACTTACCAGTACATTATCTGTAAGATATTTCACTTACCAGTACATTATCTGTAAGATCTTTCACTTACCAGGACATTATCTGTAAGATATTTCACTTACCAGGACATTATCTGTAAGATATTTCACTTACCATGGCATCATTTGTAAGATATTTCACTTACCAGGACATTATCTGTAAGATCTTTCACTTACCTGGACATTATCTGTAAGATATTTCACATACCAGGACATTATCTGTAAGATATTTCACTTACCAGTACATTATCTGTAAGATCTTCCACTTACCAGTACATTATCTGTAAGATCTTTCACTTACCTGGACATTATCTGTAAGATATTTCACTTACCTGGACATTAACTGTAAGATATTTCACTTACCACGACATTATCTGTAAGATATTTCACTTTCCAGGACATTATCTGTAAGATATTTCACTTACCATGGCATCATCTGTAAGATATTTCACTAACCTGGACATTATCTGTAAGATATTTCACTTACCAGTACATTATCTGTAAGATATCTTACTTACCTGGACATCAGGACATTATCTGTAAGATATTTCACTTACCAGTACATTATCTGTAAGATATTTCACTTACCAGTACATTATCTGTAAGATATCTTACTTACCTGGACATTATCTGTAAGATCTTTCACTTACCTGGACATTATCTGTAAGATCTTTCACTTACCTGGACATTATCTGTAAGATATTTCACTAACCAGGACATTATCTGTAAGATATTTCACTAACCAGGACATTATCTGTAAGATATTTCACTTACCAAGACATTATCTGTAAGATATTTCACTAACCAGGACATTATCTATAAGATATTTCACTTACCAAGACATTATCTGTAAGATATTTCACTAACCAGGACATTATCTGTAAGATATTTCACTTACCAGTACATTATCTGTAAGATCTTTCACTTACCAGTACATTATCTGTAAGATCTTTCACTTACCAGGACATTATCTGTAAGATATTTCACTTACCAGGACATTATCTGTAAGATATTTCACTTACCATGGCATTATCTGTAAGATATTTCACTTACCACGACATTATCTGTAAGATCTTTCACTTACCTGGACATTATCTGTAAGATATTTCACATACCAGGATATTATCTGTAAGATATTTCACCTACCAGTACATTATCTGTAAGATCTTTCACTTACCAGTACATTATCTGTAAGATCTTTCACTTACCTGGACATCATCTGTAAGATATTTCACTTACCTGGACATTATCTGTAAGATATCTTACTTACCACGACATTTTCTGTAAGCTATTTCACTTACCAGGACGTTATCTGTAAGATCTTTTGCTAACTAGGACAATATCTTATAATCTTTCACAGGTGAGATGGTTAACTGTGCAATCGCTTGCGTAATACATGTTTATTTTCAACCCTTGGTAACTGTTGTGTAACATCATTCCAGAAAGGTGGTGGTTGTAAATTCAGCTTAAATCTTCTTTAATCCTGGAGTATTTGCTTATTGACCATGAGATATAATTCATGGTGTGAAAATCAAACCGCCATTTCAACATTTAATGGATTGAAATTGATAAGGGAATCTAAATAAGCCTTTAATCCCTGTTGATATAAGTCAGTGTTAGTGACAGGACATCTGCACACATCACACACGTAACTTCACATTCATACCTAACACAAGACAAGTTCTAAATGAAACGAAAACTCGGCTATCCCCTGGGACGGATTACTGTTTCATGCCTCTATGAGCTTTGCCAGTCTTTTTACTTTTTCCTAATTAGGTTGAAACGCTATTTATTACAAACTGAAAAGTTTTCAATGAAGTGGAATAATCTGTTGATTTGATGTTTTGATTTTCGTATCAGATTTCACTTGAAATAGCAATTAAGTCCTCTTCTGGTTGGTAAAGTTAAACTGTTAATACTATTTGTATGAGTTATATCACCTTGACCTTCTCAGGTAGATCATTACCTGTTGACCTAATTTCTGGAATACTCTATATATACTATGAACAGGGGAACCATGTTATAAATTTAAATATAGAGACCTAACATTACTAGTAAATCATATCTTCATAAAGAATATAGAGAAGCAGCCATTTGTTACCTACCTTTTTAGTACAGGGAATATTCACTATAATATTTACCTGTGTAGTATACACAGTATGTACTGTAATATTTACCTGTATAGTAAAGACAGCACTCGCTGTAACAGTTACCTGTGTAGTACAGACAGTACTCACTGTAACAGTTACCTGTGTAGTATACACAGTACTCACTGTAACAGTTACCTGTGTAGCACAGACAGTACTCACTGTAACAGTTACCTGTGTAGTATACACAACACTCACTGTAACAGTTTCCTTTGTAGTATACACAGTACTCACTGTAACAGTTACCTGTGTAGTATACACAACACTCACTGTAACAGTTACCTGTGTAGTATAGACAGTACTCACTGTAACAGTTACCTGTGTAGTATACACAGCACTCACTGTAACAGTTACCTGTGTAGTACAGACAGTACTCACTGTAACAGTTACCTGTGTAGTATACACAACACTCACTGTAACAGTTACCTGTGTAGTATAGACAGTACTCACTGTAACAGTTACCTGTGTAGTACAGACAGTACTCACTGTAACAGTTACCTGTGTAGCACAGACAGTACTCACTGTAACAGTTACCTGTGTAGTACAGACAGTACTCACTGTAACAGTTACCTGCGTAGTACAGACAGTACTCACTGTAACAGTTACCTGTGTAGTATAGACAGTACTCACTGTAACAGTTACCTTTGTAGTATAGACAGTACTCACTGTAACAGTTACCTGTGTAGTATACACAACACTCACTGTAATAGTTACCTGTGTA